TAGGCTATATTCGTACTCGGTGTCCCGATAGTAAAATAACTTTACTACGTTAGCGCGTAGTTAGTTCTATTATATTAATAGAGAGAGTAGGCAGTTACTTAATCGTGTCTTAGATTTAATTATGTCTTCTGCTTAACTATCGACCCCTCCTAGCGCCCTATCGTTCTCGAAACCTATATAGCGGGCTAAATATATAGCCCTTTCTTAATACTATTACTCCTATCGTTTACGTCGATTGCTAGCTCTAGAGGTATAGTTAGTAAGCTTAGAGCCTAGTAGTAGAGGACCTTCTAGATCGTAGTTTACTACTATAGATATAAGAGAATCTATTATACTCTATTTAGAATCCTATTCTAGTATAATAGATTAGCTATCTACTAGAGAAATTATCGAGATATAAGCTTAGAATGTCTGCGCGTTAGCGTATCCTATATAGCGCTACTATATAGTATTAGTATAGTGTCCTATATAACGTTAGTTAAACTTCTCGTAATTAAAGTATACCCGTCGAGAACGTACGATCGAGTATATTACTATAACTATAGCGTAAATTATATGCCGAGAAGCGGTCTACAAAGCCGGTACGCTATATAAGCTCTACTAGTATTTTATTAAGAGTATCTACTATAATTATCTTATCTAGAGATAAACTTCTCTAGAAGACCGGTATATCTATATACTCCGGCAAGATTCTAATCCTAACGTACTTGCCTTCTATATCTATAAGACAGCGTAGATCGTAAACGCTATATATATCTTAGAGTATATTAGAGGCTATAGCGAGGGCGATAAGCTAAGCAATCGAGTAGAGCTCCGGCTACTTAGGATCTTCGAGCAAAATTATACTAATACTAGAGTATTAGTTAGTTTTATTATTCTCCTATTATACGAATTCTAACCTACGCCTTTATACTATCGCCTCGGCTGCTCTTATAGTTACAAATCTTAATATTAGCTACGATACGGCGTCTTCTATTCTCTAGAGAAACAAAGAACTCTATATCCTTCTACTTTAGACTCTTATTACTTTTAACGTAGGCGCTAGACTTAATAACCTCGCCTAGCCGAAGTCCTAGAAATAAGAATAGTAGGAGTAGAAGTAAGACTTATAAGCGCTCGCGAGGATATTTATAGTTAAACTCGTCGCTTATCTAAAGAAACTAGAGTAGAGTGCGAACGACTACTAGTATTACTAATAGCTTCTCTCTAATCTTTTAGTTCGCGCTATACTCTATATACTCGACGTCTACGAATAAATAGAGCTCGCCTATATCGCCGTAGTTTAGGCGCTTCGCTTACCTAAGCTTATCTTCGACGAGTCTATTAAGTATATAGATATATTTTTTAAAAGTAGAAGTCCTAAGACCCGAGCTAAGTTAACCTTTCTTGCTAGTAACGGCGTATAGAAGGAATCCTATTACCTACTCTTTTATTAGAGCCGAGGACTAGGCATTATACTCTACGTATTTACGTTCTTCGTCTTTAAATCTAAGCCGGAGATACTCTATCTACGCTTTCTCTACGACCTTAAGGAGACTACTATAGAGTTTACTAATACGGCCGGTAAGTAGAACTACTAATTTATCGCTACGAGCTAATCGCTTAATTCTCTCTTAAAGCGTAGCGTAATTAGGTACTATAATAAGAGTATAATTTAACGATATAGAACGTAGTCTAAACGTAGTCTAGATAGAATAATATCTTAGTCGTTATAGTAGCGAAAGATATATATAGGAAGAAGTATAAACCTATATAGAGTAAAGGCTCTTATAGAAAAGTCTAACGTTTCTAACTATTAACTCTAGCTTAAGTATAAGCGAGTTGTATACCTAATATATAGTACAACTACGTAGTATGCGATTATACTATATATAGCGAAGTTATACGTAGTAGCGGGAGAAGGGAAAGGCGTTGAGCTTAAATAGATGCCTAAAGCCTAGAACTAGGATTCGGTTAGTAAGCTTTAAGCGAGGAGACCTAGTTCCAGGATTCGGGATATCGATAGCTTAAGCTATAACACTTAGTCCCTCCCTAGGTTAACAAAAGAGCTACCGACCCCAAGACAAAGCGGAAATCATGACCACTAGACCAATGAAGAGAGAAGCTCACTTAGCTCTATGGAAGCGTCCGTTCAAAGATTGTTCATATCCCTTCATCTTTGCCGCTAAATTGCAGCGCTTGCAGGTGGCCAACGGTTCCGGGTGCTGTGCATGGTTGCTCCATGTGGTAGTAGCAGACATGCTGTCCGAGCATAGCATACGTCAAGAATAGAGTACTAACTGCAACAATTTCTGCAAGGAACGGCCACGAAACTTCTCAAGGATGCGGAGCTCGGAGGACTGCTTGAGATCATGACAGCTGGAATCGACTTGTTGCTTCGGAGTCATCGGCAGAAGATAGCACACCAGGCAGTGTCCCATACAGCTCTGCACCGAGTCAGACAGTAGAGGGTGCCTCACATCTGCCATCCGGAGCTGGTCCCTCGCAACTACTTTCACTAGGGGCAGTCAGATCGTGGTCATTTCCTCATGGTAGAGAACTGTCTGAAGCAGAAGTACTTTCTAACGGCGACTTTGGGCCGTTTTGTATATGGCATGCGGGATCGGGCACAATGGTTCTGCAGTGCTGCAGGCACGTAATCCAACGAAGCAGACTGTGCAGTGGCTAAGACGTCCCTCGCTTTGAAAGACTGAAGAGAAGACCCGAGAAAAGTTTCTATGGGAGCGATCTCGTATTCCTTCTTCGGGCTCAAGACAAATGCCCTGGGTGATGCAACACCACCGGCAACTGGCTGTGCTTGATTTCCAGGCGCACGGCCAGGCCTCTGGCTCGCACAGCATCCATACCATGTTAGACGCCGATTCTGCCCAGCATATCCAGCATTGCCAGCACACGGTACTGGTTCCCGTTGGACCGACAGCCTCCTCCGCCCGAGCTTGTTCTCGAGAACACGATGCCCCTCTCCAGTCGCACATGGGCCAATTTGCAATGTTTCCGCACTAGCCTCTATTGGGAGCAGCACTGCAGAGCTTTTGATCGATCGCGCTCAGCCTGTTTATGTGAGTGCTACCAGACTCCTCAAGAGAAATTGTTCCTGGCGACCCAAGTTGGATGTCGCTCAAAGTCTTCATCTTCCAGATCTCGGCGATCAACTGAGGAGCCATGACTGCCCAAGCCGAGACATTCTGATATCTCAGACCAATTGTTCGCCGCACATGGAGCGATCTTAGATTTGGAAGACAATGCAGCTGTTTCAGCCCTATCAACATCGATGCAGGCTGTCCCACTACTAACTCAAGTTTCGTAATGGCAGACAGGCGCCGTGCACCCAGAGAATCTAGGAAGCTCGTCGGTGACTCGATCGAGAAGCGATTGACAGCATAGAATATTTCTTCGGCTTCAGCGAGTGCTCGTCGTCAAGTCAGAAGAATTGCCAAAGTTGCTGGAGCCTTTCCATGCCACGGGGGAGGCACAATCTTGACGGCACCCCTCGAAGTGGGAATGCTAAGCAGGTGCTCATAGATATTGAGCCTGAGCTCTGCTGGTAGACAGAAGAGCAGAGACTGGTCCTGTGGGTTGACCGATTTATTCAGCTTTGTCTCCTCGATATTTGCGTTCATCCTCATTTGGTGTTCTCTGCAAGAGGCTGCACCGAAGCTGAATTGCAATTGAAACTTGATGTAAGTGCTTCGCGATGGACCTGTAAATTCGCGACCCTCGGGGTCCTGGATTTCTTCTTTGGGAGGTAACATGACCCAGTCCTCACCGTCTCCAGAATTGACGCCCGGGATTGTGTCGGCCATCGATGCTAACAGGTCTTGCAAAGCCTCGGTGAGCTGCTGGTCGATGGCCTTGGAGATACACGTGTCTGCAGGCACATAGACAAGGTGTGCAGTACTTTAGAGTTCGGCTGGATCTAATGAATGTGATCAGGCAGCAGGCAAGACGTATCATACGTCAGACGACACTAGCTTCATCCTTCATATGCACTCGTGGTCTATTGTGACCAGCAATTGAAGCTACCCAACTCTATCTTGCAGGTCCCTGCCCTTTCTTGTTGGCTTGTACTGATATGGTTGCATGATCATCCCAACACCTTAGACTTGCGTAGCTGACTTGCGCCATAGTGGTCTACAGCCCTTCCTCATAAGGAACGATCACGTCTGGATAGACGTCCGTAACAACACCTTTAATTGGATCATCCGGTATACGGCGATCGCATTCCACCAAGTCCACCGCGATATCACCTCGAATCTTCTGCAAGTCGGCGTCTCCTAGGTCTCGCACGCAATACAAAGGCCCAAATCTATAATTCTCTGGGCTTTCAAAGATAATCTTCGGTTCGAACGTCATACCGGTGGTTCGTTTATGCCGTTCCAGTGTGCAGCCCTTGTGCAAGAATACGAAGTAAGACCCCTCCACTACGTATGGCGAGTCGCAATTATACGTTGGCGCTTCATACGAATATGGGGATATTGCCGAGCTGTACCTCGCTTTGCGCCACCAGAGAGTCAATCGTGGCCGTTGCGAGCTGGCGAGAAGGAGAAAGGCCCCAAGGATAATCGAAAGGATGGCGAAAAGGGACCGAGGCGACTTAGCCACGAACTGCTGCATAGTTTTGGCGAGCCGTTGGCGAACGATTGCTCAAAGAACAGCCTTTTGCTGGATGAGCGGTTGGTCGACTGTGTGCTAGAATTCTCGACTTGCAAAGCCGAACATTTCGATCGCGAATTTGAAGAGCGGTGGTGAGTTGAGATTGCACAAGAACAAGAAGGTGCCGAAGGGTGTGGAATCAGGAGTACGTCAGTGTTCTGGTTTTGAAGATTGAAGAGGGCAAGATGCAGATGGGAGGCACAGCAAAAAGTGTGGCTCCAACAGGCAGCAATTCATGCACTCATGACACCTTGGCAAACGCAGGATGCCACCTTGCATGTCTGGACGCATCAACCACCTACTCGATATCGCACCTGAAATTCTCGACAGCGGTCCAGTCGCCCATAATGGCCCCAAACTACTCAATGTTTCTGGTTCTGATTCTCACACTTCTTATATGTGTTGTGGCCTCGTTGCCATCGGCCCCGCCCAACGACATCCTCGCGCCTCTCTATGGACTGAACGTTCGAGACAAGTGGCCGGACGAGTACGTGATCATGTTCCAGGATGGATATTCTTTAGACGAGCACTTTCACACCATCGGTCGCAACTTATCACACTCGGCCCAATTCGCCAAATATTCCTTCGGTTACCAGGCGACTATAGACAGGCAGACACTGGACGAGTTTGTTCGACGAGATCCCAATGTTCTCTTTGTTGAGACGAACAGACCGATTTACGGGATTCAGCCAGTCGATGTGGTATATTCAGAGCCTTGGAGACCCCCGTGTGCGCGCAACACTTGCATACTGGATGGGCAATGCCATAAGCTCTGGCGGGACGAAGATTCTTCGGAGAATGACCACTTGAGAGAAGAGATATTTCGACAGCCCTTTGCAGATTGAAGCTGCTTCGATCTGCTTGACAGAAGATCATGGCATGGACGCTGGCATTCGCCCAAACGGTCGGTCACTGGACCGTGCAGTATGAAGCACTGGCAAAACAATTCAAGGGTCATTACGCTGTCAAATCTGTTCTGAGAACATGTTCAACAACACGAAGTCGCTGTATTCTCGCTTTGTGTGCAGATATGGCGTGGCAACGGCGCAGAAGAAGTCATATATGTAGAGTCCACATCGGAACTTGAGAACAGTATGTTTTCTGCGCACAGCCGATCACATTCCTCCAACGCATAAATCAAAGCTCTATCAAGCACGATGCATTGCTATCAATGAAGCTCCGCAGAGAATCCATAATCTCCTTCGGATCTCCGATAGAGACTGCTGTTGCATCCACAAACACATGCTCCTCCTCAAGAATACTCATTACGTCCGGAACTTTTTGGGCAAAACCCGTAACATCGATGAGCCCGTCAAACTTCTTTCTGCCAGTATACCCCTCGAGGCCTGCTTCCACGTGTTGCACCGTGTCCGTTGCATTTGCATCGATGGCATAGTGCGCCCTGAAACTCAGGACATATTGCCCTACACGTTTGACCAGATCATCGTGTTCGGTGAGATCAACCATCACGAAAATTTGTGCATACGGATGAGCTGCTTTGAGGAGCAAGCAGAGAATGGCACTGGTCGTAGTCTCGCCGCCAGTCACGAGGATCGAGACCCCAGGGACGGAGGAGCCACTGTTTATGACGGACGTGCTCCTTCGGAGAGCGTGTTCGTAGGCTTGGGCAGCATCGTGAGCCAAGATGTAAGACGCGGCAATTGTAGCCGCCTGCTTTGGAGCCAGCTCGGGAGGCTTGATGCATAGTATAGTCTCGTCGAGTGGAATCTTGCTTCTCTTTGTTTGCTCGGCAGGAATAAGCATCATCACAGTATGCCCTTTCTCGAGTGTCCCAGTAAGATCGTGGCCGACCTCTTCTACGATGCCGCACGCTCCAACGAATGATATGGAAGCAATGTGATCGAGTGCATCGGTCGTCTCGCTCAGACTGACAAGCACCTGATTTGCTTCCAGTGGAATTGCTTCATCCATGGCGCTGTGACAATGCACGAGACTGATCTGAGTGAAGAAGGATAGTAGTATGTCATACAGACAATCACTCGGATGATATAAGATACTTCATGTACAATAATGGTATTACGAAGGACGTTGGCAATGTTACGCTGCGGGGAGAACATGACTACAAACACTAAGCTGGTTCAAGGAACAATCGACGGTCGTTCTGAGTTTCATTGGTCCATTGCCGCATACCACACTGACTGCTGTGCCTCACGGCTGCATGCTGCAACTGCGATCCTCGAGGATCGAAGCGCGAACGTTAAAGATCGTTCGAATCTTTTTTTTTTCCATGCACACCGTCAATCTCTGTAGCAGTTCTAGGCCTTGCACGATAGCTGGTCGACCCAAAAGAAAGGAGTTCGGCGTAGTAGCATGAACGTTGTGAAGCCTCTCGCAGCTGAGTATGCAGAACTCATTAATTTGACCCGCTGCTATGATAGCTCTGGCCGCAGATTTCTCTGAGGGGCAGCAGCGCAAGCGTCGGGGGATTCAGTCGACGGAAGATGAGTGTAGAGAGAATCAATATTGCTGTAACGAATGACCCTAACGGGGTTTATAAATGATTGAAAATTACATCACCCTCAGCATTCGCCTATCATTCTCCCACGCCCTGGCAGCCTACAACCCTGTATTCCACTTCGCAACCGGTCCCCCCAGAGGCTTCCCGACATTGTCCTTAAATCGACCAATGTAGTTGCCAGGCGCTTTGTAATTACAAACAGTCAAATAAGGCGGGATTCTGCTGCTGCCCGTGCCAACAACTCCCGTCTTACTACAATCCGCAACATAGCAGCCAAGCGAGGTACTGCCCTTCCAGACGACCTGCGTAAAGTGTCCAAAGGATCCAAACTTCGACATGTCCGGCTCGGAGGTATTGTACCACTTCGGGTTATAAGCGTTGAATTCGCCTCCGTACCAGAGGTCCGTGATGGAAGATGTGATGTTGGCTTCTTTGAGGCCGACGGCAAGGTTTTGGCCGTAGCCGCCTCCACCGATGGAGGTGTTGTGTTGGAAGTTGCAGCGTAAAGCGAGTTCTTTTGCGTATTTGGCTAGGTCAACGTTCCAGGTGAGGTCTGGGGCTGAGTGGTTCCTGCGGTGGATGTTGTGGTGGAGGAGAGCTCTTTGCTGGAGAGTGGCACTTTGGCGCTTCTCATGCGGCTCCTGTTGGCCAGAGGGAGTGATGAGAAGGGGTTCGCCAGTGATAGCTTTGACGCCATTCTTCTCGACGAGTTGAGAGGGGATGGCCAGGGCTGTTGCTGCCAGCGCCGCCAGTGGGTAGATGAAGTGCATGTTCGTTGATAGTAGTTTCGATGACACCTAGATGCAGAACGACTCAGATGATATTGTTGAGATGTGAGTTGTTGTTGATGATAGTCCGATCGAGGGAATGATTTCAGACATTTATATGCCCTCCATCTGCTTGTCGGTCACTCGAATGCTTCCACTATACCTGAGGCACGAGGGACTCATCCCGTCAGTGGCTAAAGATCTAGCCATCGCGAAGCAGTGGCAACCAGAGCCTTCGCCGTGACCAGCGTCAAGATCTACGCATACCGGACTCGATGCGTCGTAGTGCTCACATGTCCGAATCCCACAGCTTTGTCCGTTGACGTTTTCCGTCGAACATACTGCAGCCTCTGACCAATCCTGAACGGAGCAACTACCTTGGGCGTCGCATCGAACCCTGATGGCAATGATGAGAGACGTTTCAGACGTCGAGTCTCGCTCGGGAGTATGACTTCAAATTGAGGCGCCACATCCATAAGCATGTTGGCTGACAATTCAAGCTAGCTGAAGGACAATGATCCCACTACCGGATCAGTTCCAGCAAGCGAAGGCTCACGTGTAGTAACGGCCAAGCCGAGGAACTGAATGTGGAGTGGATAGTGTAGGATTCAGGGCCCTTTGTGGTGATGTATGCAGACTGTGCGATCTACACAAACCAGCCAGTCATTGAAGTGTCAGGCTGAGACACGTTGTCTTGGAACACCGATCTTCGCCACGCGAAATCGTCAGTCGGAGCATATTCGCGATGCATGTGGGCGCATGAGCCATGGTACACAGTAGTAAGACATGTGGCCGCAAACGGCTAAATGTGTGGAGTGCTCCGCAACATCAATGGCGCCAAGATTTGAGGCGCTCATGATTTGAAGCACCAGACAATGGCGCTGAAGTCGAGCTTGCGGTACTTTGATTCGCTCGATTGACTGGGTGTATGTTGTTCGGAAGTCCGGCCATCCTACACTTCTACGTGCCGTCTCGTGAACCCTGTGACAGACCTTCCATCGTGTGCGGCCGCACTCGTGGAATGCGCTTACTTCAAAAAGGCAGCATAGGGAAAAGATGTCATGCTGTCTTTGATATGCGACGATCATGTCGCTCTGAGGATTGAAGATCGAATATCACGCTGTACGCAGCGCGATCCTGCCAATGAGCAAACGCCCAATAGTCCCAATCACAGGAAAATTGCGCCCATTAGCATACCTCTGCCACAGCTGCGCCGTAGAGAGCTTCGTTGGGATGAACGACGCAAACATTCGCTCAACGTGAAGGAGGAAGGTCCGAATATGCGTAGTACCCTGATGGAACACGCAGCACACAGTGGTGGCCTTTGAGACCGCTTTGCATCTCTCATCGCATGACGGAACATCGGGCCGCTTTTGCTTGTATGATCTGCGGCAGCTCGATGATAGTGCTGTAGATCGACAGACTGGAAATGCGCGTGATGTAGCACCATCGTCAAAAAGCGTGATAAAGACGAGTTGAGCGGCTTCGCAGCACATAGGATGATCATATTGATGACCTAGGCCAGTGGCAAGCGAAAGGCAGTCTTCTCCTAGGCACATGTGTGGACATGCTAACGTGTAAGGAACGCTCTGTGTTCCCGGAGTCACGATATCCCTTTGGCGATAGCTTTGGGTGTAAACGCCGCAGCTCTTCGGGCGTGGTACTGGAAGGAGTGTTGTGACGCGATAGCTGGACATGCGATCGAAGGACATCGAAGCGATCTGAAATGCAGACAGAGCTTGAGTAGTCTGAGATCAGGTCATCCAGCTCGGCTGTTCGTCTACATTGGAGTCTTTCTCCCACGGCTTCTTACGCCGTGCGGCCTGTGTTTCTGATGCCTGACCTTCGAGGATCGTATCTGGGATGTCCTTGATGCCTGGAATCGGCTTGCCCTCCGCAATCATATCACAGATCTCAGCAAAGCTCGCAGGTTTGGGAGCATCGCCCATGCCGCCATCGTTTGCTGGTGGGGCTTGCTGCTGGACATGTCCTTGTCCGCTGCTACCATTGACGGCTGCACTGCCTCCTCGTGCTTCGACCCAACTCTTATAGCCGTCAAAGTCGACCGGCGTGCCTGCTTTGCGTGCGTAGTAGTAGCATTTCGCTCGCAAGGTGAGATGCTCGACTTGCTGCGGATCCTGTACCGAACCTAAGATGGCCGACAGTCCTCCTTGAAACTCGGGATCGCTGGCCCAGTCGTACTCGTCCAACTGCCGATACAAAGCGGTGTTGTCGACACTGTTTGTCTCCGCCGCCATGGTGTAAGTGATTTTGTGTGTGCAGGCGCAGGTGCATGTGCAGTCTGCTGGCTGGCAGGGGCCCAATGCTGCCCAGCTGCAATGCACGAATGCCAAGCCTGCAGCAGCCGCTTCGACCTTCTCCAGCCACGAGACAGCTTCTGCTGCTTGCTCCATCAACAACCACCGCTTCCACCTCGGCGCACCTCCGAATTATTCCACTTCTTTTCCTTTTCTCCTCTGCACTCGCCCGCCATANNNCCGACATCAAGTCAGTTGCCCGCCCGCGCGCGACGCACGCGCTGCAAAAGCCTGCCGACTAACAGCTGGCAGATACGTCGGCACCCTCAAGTCCATCGACAGTGAGACGGCCACCGTCTCGCTGCAGGACGTCGAATGCCATGGCACTGAAGGCCGCAAGGGCGATCCCGCGCTCGAGATACCCGGCTCGGAAGCCGTCTACGAAGGCATCGTCTTCCGCGGCAGCGATGTCAAGGACCTGACCATCCTCGCTCCGCCCAAGGAGAACCGTCCTCCGCAGCCGCCGCAGATGCCCAATGATCCCGCCATTCTTGGAGTACGTGCCACCCACCTCCCCCTCACCTCTGACACAATACATGATGAAGCATTTTGGATAAAAAAAAACACCACCGAGAGCGCAAAAAACGTGTGGATATCTCCGTTGCCTTCCTTCTGATCAAAACTCGCAAACTCCTCTTCGCGCAGCATACTCGAGCCACTTCGCGAGGAGGCATGCTAATTGGCTTGCTAGTCCTCCGAATCACAACCACAGCCTCCTCAAGCACAACACCAACAACAACCTCAGCAGCAGCAGCCCGGGCAGTTCCGTGGCCCTCCTCCATACCCAGGCCCTCCACAGCAGTTTGGCTACCCTGGACCGCCGCCCGGGCAATTCCAGCAGCCTCCACGATTCAATGCGCCAGGCGGAGCGCATGGATTTCCGGGACAGCCTGGTGCTGTGCCCGGCTACGGCATGAACTTTGGTGGGCCTCCCCCACCTGGATATGGTCCTCCTGGGCAGTTCTATGGTCCGCCCGGTCAAGGCTTCGGACCTCCTGGGCAATTTCCACACCAGCAACCTATTGGCCCACCGGGCATGAACCAGCAGCGTCCACCACAGCAGACACCTAATCAACAGCAACAGCAGCAAGCGCCCATTGGAAGCAAGCAGAACACTCCTCAGCCAGCTCCTTCGCAAGCTCCTCAAGCTCCGTCTGCGCAGCCCCCACAAAACAAACCAGCTGAGATGTCCACCACGCCGGTGCCTTCGGCCACGAGCGGCCCACCACCGCCAGTCGAGTCGAAACCCACTGCCGCTGCTGCCACTGCCCCACCTGAGGCAGCGAAAGCACAGGCGCAAGCTCCCGTGCCTGCCCTGCCCAAGCCTGCGTCCAAGGCCGGCAATCGTGTTGCTCTTCCCCTTCCTGCCTCGAGTCCCGCTACCGCCAAACCACGAGCAGCCCCTCCTGTTCCTCAGGCCTCTGCGCCCGCTGCAACAGCTGCACAGTCCGGTCCATCACAGTCCGCGACAACCGCCACAGAAGCTGCTACGGCCGCAGTCGCTGCAGCGATGGCCAAGCTTGGTGCGGTGAATCAGCATACAGGAGCTGTAGACAATCTATCGCAAAAGGTGAACCAGATGAGGGTATCGGATGGCCAAACACGGGGCCGAGGAAGAGGTCGCGGTGGCGCTCGAGGCGGTCGGCGCGAAAGCCAGCCGAAGACGGTTGACGTCCCGAAAGAAGACTTTGACTTTGAGAGCGCCAACGCAAAGTTCAACAAGCAAGAGCTGGTCAAAGAAGCTATCGCATCTGGTAGCCCAATCACCAGCCCTACCAATGGCGACGTTGCCGACCCGCTTTCAACTGCCACAAATGGACACACGGATGACGATGTGGTCATCCCACCGAAGGAAAAGGGATATGACAAGAAGTCGTCGTTCTTTGACAACATCAGCAGCGATCTAAAGGATCGTACCTCACAACAGCAGAATGGCGAGTTTGTTGATGGTCGCGCACTGCGACGCGAGGAGCGCTCCAAGAACATGGACACGTTCGGCCAAGGAAGCATCGATGGTGGCTTCCGCGGACGTGGTCGAGGCCGAGGCCGTGGAGGTTTCGGAGGCCGTGGACGTGGTCGTGGAGGATTTGACGCTGCACGCGGTGGGTTTGAACACCGCGGTGGCTACAGAGGGCGTGGACGGGGTGGCTTCGAGGCTGCGGCAGTGTAGGGAACTGCCGCTTTGCATCTCATGATTTGATCGCACAGATTCGCTGGTGTGGTCGAGAGCACAGATGTGCCAGACACGGCGAAACGAAGGACTTGTATTATAGTGGATGACCATGCGGATTGCCTGCCCGTGCATGGGAGGCAGAGATCCGGAAGTTATGCAGATACGCCATCACGACAGTAGACTGCTTCGGCGGTCAAGAACATCATGAAGCCTCAGCGTTCTCTCTGTTTTCATTCAGTCTCTCAATGTCTAAAACCATGGCTGTGACGCAGAGAATGTACACGTTCTGGGCTGTATTGCATCTCAAAAACCTGTATCCATGAATTAAAAAGGCGCTATGCTGCAAAATGCTCTATACAACAAACCATGTGGCTTCATCATTTCGGGCTTGCATTTCCATTTCCATTTCCATTCGTCTTGGGGTCCGTAGCCTCCACAGCATCCTTGATTTTCCCATCTTGAACTTGGTTCTGATCCACGCTGAGACCCATTTCACCGCGAGCATGATTCTTGGCCATTTTCCTCAGTGCCTCCTCCGTGAGACCTTGTCGGAACATGCGCTCCAGCACATCTTTCTTTCGCGTCTTATGATCGCCGATACTGATGACGATGCCAGCTGTAATGTTGCAGGCGAGGGAGAAAGAGAGGATTGTGGCTGTGAGTGCTTCCGGGCGGACACGGTAGTCTATTGACCAGGTACATGTACCGAGTGCGACTTGTAGGAGACTGTGGCAGTCGAGGAGGACCACGGCTGCGACCATGTGTCGGAGTGGGAAAGCGTGATGGGTTGCCGTTTCGTGGGGTTTGTAAAAGGTGTGACTTTTGTTGAACTTTGCTTGATGGTATGCCAGGCGCTTTTGTTGTTGTGGAGTCAGCACAGAGTATTCTGCCATCTCCTCCTTGTCGATGATATCGTCCACATCTGTCGCGCTTTGTCTCCTGTCCGGAAGGTCGTTTCGATCGATCAAGCCTGGTAGTCCTTGTTTCTTGCGCAGTTTCCAGGTGAGATGGTGATAGTGTGCGATGAAGCACATGTGATAGGTATCAACTGCTCGAAAAGGTGCAAGTCCATCTCCCATAAGGGCGAATAATGCGACCAGGACCAAATCGATGACATTGATGATGTATTCCTGTCGACCGCCAACATAGATCCAACCGATCAAGGCGAACACCCAAGCCGTACCAAAGAGAGTCACCAATACTGCGTACACTGTGACAAAGAGCCCCAGCGGCTTGCTGACGTATTGGCGGAAACCTCGCATGGAGCGTTTGAATCCTTCTCGTTTGGAATGCAAGAGATGTCGCACGTGGTCATTAAGTTCGGCAACGTCTTCTTCATCCCAGCCATCGAGATGGACACCGTGAGGAAGTACGGCATAATGTGAGTCGCTGAGCTGGGAGGATATCGACATTTTGCGGGTGAGCCCGTCCTGAAGTTCTATCTCGTCCGTGCCTGTCTGCGAGGGCCTTTCGGGTACTGGTTTCCGTGGGATCTTTGGCGGTCCCGTGCGAGATGTTCGTGTCCCTGCTCGAGAACGAGCTATTGCTTCAATGTCGGCAGTTGGCCTTCTCGATAGCTCGTATGTAGGCCGACGATTAACAAGACCACCGAGATCGGGAACGAACAGAGAATTTTGCAGATTTGTTAATGTGCCCAGTGTGCGAATCTCAGGATCGACGAGGTCGAGCAGGTCAATAACATCAGCTTCGTACTCCTCTTCTGGATAGTGCGAGGTGGGCTGGTCAGCACCGAATGCGAGTGAAGTATTACTACGAAATCGACTCAATCCGACGCCACGCGACCTCTGCGCTGCGTTTCCAGCACTGCGCATAGCAGTTGCGGTACCAGGGTTCAGTCTGTCGGGCGTGGGCGAGCGAGTGGCCATGTCTCTGACATTTATGCCGGGCGTAGTGGGAACAGAATCTACCTCGCGAATGCCATCGGTGCGAGTTGCGGTTCGAAAACTAGATCCAGTCGCCTGCTGATCCTCTCTAATGGTTGACATGTGGTGACCTGGGTCCATGGTCCTCTGTCTCGATAATTCCGCCGCGTCCGAGAGGATATTGCTCGGCGGTCGCTGTGGTGCTGAGAAACTGCGGCGTCGACCAGCGACGGTATCATCCTCGACTTCATCTCCCTCCTGTATCGAGGTCGGCCGGGATCCTGTGTGCTCTCGTATCTGAGAAGTCGGCCGCGAGCCATAAGATGGCAGTCTTCGGATGCGGATGTTCGAAGGAGCTCTGAGGCTCTCGAACGAAGGTGCTCCTGCCACATGCCTGGCGCCTTGTTGTTGGGTGCCGGCGCTTGATCGATTAGGTGGATTGCCACCACGGCGAGATCCTGAGCTGAAGTAGTCCATATGGGCCAAAGAAACTTTTAGAACGTGTTACAGGATGAATGCTGCACCGCGTCTCCACGTCCGTAATTCCACCTTCGTCAATGTGAGTCGTATCCAAGAAGCAAGTCGTGAAGAGCGTTCTATTGCAAGGCCATCCGTGAAAAGCAAAGCGCAAGCTGCGATCACGCTTGACGCGCGGTATGCTGGAGAGTGCGGTGCTGCTGAGAAAGATGCCGGAAGTTCCGAAGAGCCAGCGCCAGCGCTCCCGTGCGAGTTCACCGTGCGGATTGCGAGCGCACCTCGATACAGCACCTGGAGTGCGAGGCGACGAGTCTATTGCTCGTTCTTTTTGGTCCAGGCGCGCGTCGTCGTGGGTATCTGCAGACAATTTTCAGGGCAGACGGAAAAGCACAGCGCGCGCTGGAGTTCGTCGAGGGAGCAAGGATGGCTGGCTCGGCAAGCAAGCGCCTGCAGTCAGCTCCAGCTTGGTGCGGATCGAGGTGCTGTGATTTGCGCCTGCTCTGCTGATCAAGCGCGGGACAGATGGCTGATGAAGCTTGGTCTGCACACCACACGAGACGCTGGCAACTGTCGTGAGAGCTTTCTTTCAGGTTTGCAACCGTGGAGGCACTCAGTCGCGGACGCGGCCTGTTCCTGGACCGACGACGTTGAGCTTGGGCGTGATCATCGCCGCAATCTCCCCAGCATCGTCATCGCCCCGTCCTAGAATGGCATGTCCGGCAACAACAGGTTATCAGGTTATCTTCATCACTGTACCGCATACATACACTTCTCTACATGGCTACAGTGAGCTACTGTCGAATGGTGGAAAGCCAGCAAGCGCTACAAGCAGATGGAATCATGGAATCGTCATGGCGTACGTGGCATACATGTATTTCCGTCTTAATCTGAGTTACTCGTGGCAGCAGCAGCAGCAGTTTCGGGCAGATATGACGGGACACAATTGTATTGGACTGGGCGACACATATCGCCAAGGGAAGCATGGGAGCGCGGAGAATACAAGAGATGATCGACACAGCCGCGTGCTAGCAAACGGCATCTGACCCATTGACTTCCTAGTAGGGTAAGCATAATTCTCGACAAGGCGTCTACTGGCCTCGCTGTGTCTGGCGTGCGTGAAGGCACCTATTGGTGGTCAAGAAGCGGATGCATCAATCGTGAAACCTTTGAAGGCAACCTGCCCGCACTCAGACACATTCTTTGGCCCGCGAGCTCCAAAGACAATCATGTCAAGGTCGGAAGCGAAGTCCTCCTGTTCCTGCGTCGACTTTGTAAACGCCACCGACAAGAAATTGCGTCAAACCGCGTCAATCAGCACTGCATTCGTAAAGATTTCCAACAGCAAGTTCAAGAGCTGCCTCAGGTATTCGCTAGCTCCGTATGCCAAATGCCAATGTGCCCCGCGACACGCGGATGTGGGCACCCTGCACACGGTCCGGCGCCAGGGCAACTTCCATGATTGACTGAAGAAACACACGCGCCTTCCCATATGACCGCAAGAAGTACAGCTCGACTTCGACATCTCAGATCGACTATCGCCCCGCCTCAACAGCAACTGACACTTTCGCGCCGATCCACCAACATGGCCAATATTCACACACCAATCCCCAACCTCAAACTCAATGATGGTACGTCCATTGAGCACGTCATATCAGCATACACTTACTCCTCGCAGGCAATAGCATTCCCATGCTGGCCTATGGCACGGGCACTGCTTGGTACAAGACTGGAGACGAGTCTAAGCTCGATCAGGCATGCATAGACTCGACCAAGACCGCCATAAAGTTAGGATACTACCACCTCGACGGAGCGGAAGTCTACAAAACAGAGACAGAGCTCGGCACCGCGATCAAGGAGAGCGGAGTGTCTCGTGATAAACTATTCATCACTACCAAGGTCATCACGAACATTCAAGACATTCCATCGGCCATCAGGACGAGCTTGAAGAAACTGCAGGTCGATTATGTTGACTTGTGAGTTCAATATCATTGCTTTGCCATAAATGGTTCTAACAAGATACTAGGTATCTGATCCACGCTCCATTCTTCGCTGAGTCAAAGGAGGACCAACAAGCCAAGTGGAAGCAAATGGAGGAGGTAAAGAACCAGGGTCTGGCCAAATCGATTGGTGTCAGCAACTACCTTCCTGAACACCTCGATGCCATTCTCGAGAACTGCACGATTCCTCCCGCAATCAATCAGGTGTGTCCAAGTGAGACGAGATGATCAGGGCCATGCCACTGACCCGTTCAGATTGAGTTCCATGCCTACCTTCAGCACCCAGATTTGCTCAACTACCACAAGCAAAAGGGCATCGCCACCGCAGCGTACGGCCCACTTACCCCAGTCACAAAGGGTGCTGGTGGTCCGGTCGATGGCATTGTGGCATCTCTGTCGAAGAAGTACGCCGTTAACCCTGGCGAGGTCTGTCTCCGATGGTGCATTGACCAGGACGTTGTCGCGATCACGACCTCGTCGAAGGAGCAACGACTGTCTGACTACCTCCGTGCCATGACCTTCAAGCTGACGCCTAAGGAGATTGAGATGGTGAGTGCAATGGTGTCTGATGTCTTATTTCTTTTGCTGATGCTGTACAGATCAACGAGGAAGGGAGCAAGAAACATCTTCGTGGCTTCTGGAACCACAAGTACTCGGATGACGATCGTCGATGAGCAAGTCTCGCTCACTGTGCAGGTCGAGCGACAGAGGCCACGAGTGCGACAGATTCTAGTTCGACAGATTTTGCCAACCCAAAGTAAGCAGCCGAAAGCTCAACTCTCTGAGAAGAGACAGGTATTTCTGCTCAACAGTTTTGACTTTCTCGCATCACTGCACAGAGTCATAAGAGACACGAGTGCCCTCTGGCACCTGGCTCCTACCATCTACTCTCGCTCAGCATTCCTCGTCACACCCCTCGCAATCTCGATCAAACTGTCAGTGCTAACATCATCCGCCCACCCCTTAAGCGTAAACGACAACAAATGCCTCTCCACAATCTCCTCCTTCCGCTCCAACAACTCCCCAACATCCCAATTCGCCCACACAAACTTCCCATTAAACCACCTCGCCTCAGGACTCACAGCCAGCCACACCGCCAATCCCGCCGAAAGCTCAGGACTATCAAGCGCCTTCCTCGCAGCCTGCTTCGCCATATCCGTCGCCACAACTCCCGGTTGAATATTAAAAACTTTCCATTCTGGATTCTCATGATGTAAGAACTCCATTATCCGCGCTGCTGCGTTTTTGGCACAGCTATATGCTGCTGCCCCAGGCGCATATGGTATATGAGCGGAACCAGAGGAGACGTTGATGATTGTGCGATTTGCGTCTGGAGTCTGAGATCGATTTGCACGAAGGAAGGCTTGGGAGACGATGAGGGTTCCTCGAGTGTTGATTTCGAAACTGGACCAGATGTCTTCGATTTCGACGTCGATGATGGTTCCGGAGCCCAGGAGGGCTCCGGCGTTGTTTATTAGGATGTCGGGGACGGTGTTGAAGTGCGCTATGGCGGTGCTGAAGGCTGATTGGACTTGATCGGGTTGTTGGATGTCTGCTACAGTGAGAAGGACGTCGGTTGAGGGCGAAATGGTTTTGATTTTGTTGGCGGATTCTTCCAGTGAGGCTTGAGTGCGGCCGAGGAGAACTATGCCTTTGGCATGGGCGCGGGCGAAACCTATTGCGATTGCTTGACCTATGCCTCGACCGCCACCGGTGATGATGACGATTTTGTCTGAGCAGTCGAGAGCGGGTTGGGTGGGATCGATTGCTGGGTATTGGTCGTGGTGATAGGTTGAGGTGAATGATGGGTAAGTTGGAGCCATTGCGTCTGCGGAGAGTACCTCGACGTACTCGCAAATACTCACTGAGCTCGATTTCGTTCTCTGATCCCAAAGTGTCACTTCTGGTGATTCCTTTGTAGCTTGTCTGCACGGGTTTAACAGACGAATGCAACGGACTTAGCGGGGTTTGGCTGGGTGGCATTCAGCCTCTTTCTACACATCGAGCACACGCGCTGGAACGCCAGAGCTCTGCTTCCAATGAGTTCCGCTGAGTCCTGGTGTACGGGACCAAATCTTGGTCTGCTTGGTAATTGCAGTGGGATACCTCGGTGTGCTTGGGTAGAGTGCCTCTACCGCTGCCTCAGGGTTCGCGGAGGCCATTGACTTGTCTGGCTTGCAAAAGACTGTTCTCAATCAGCTTGATAATTTTAATGGAAGGCATCCGAGTCACGGGGAGAGAATCGGCGAGTACGCATAATACATTGCTGCATGCTGGAGTCCACGAATCGTCTCCTCTGCATGCCACCTCTATAAGTGTGCCTTCTTCAACCATTTAATTGTATGACAAAATTCCTCACTCATGCTGACTTGCTTGTTGCCCAATTCTGCAGCCTTTAAGTCGAATTTCACGTTCTCAATCAGTGCTTGGCTGTTACTGCCTCACCGGTGGCTTTCTCAACCATCTCCTTCGCAATGTCACCAAGGGCGACCATGCACACGGTTTGCCAGATACCGAGACCGATACGTGGCGCAACACCGCGGTACAGACCCTTGAGACCGGAAGTGCCGTAAATGTATCTGAAAGTGTTGGCGACTGTCATCTTCTTCGGGCGGTTTGGATCTTCCTTCTTTGACTGCATTTCCACACGGATGACCTCGATGGGCTGGTTCCAAGCGCTGAGACCACCACCGAGAGCAGATGCAAGAATACGTTCGGGCGCTGAAAGCTTCTGTGAAGTGTCGGTTTTGCCAGTCACGCTGCGGATACCGTTCTCACTAAGCACAGGTATGTCAGTTTCTGTCTTGATCATCTCATCCAATCTGCCAGAGCTCGACTTACGCAACTCTGCTGAGACCGAATCGTGAGCCCCAGTTGGTGACTTGTCGAACTGCCACAGCATTGACACCCTTGTTGATACCACGAATGCCCTCAGCTCTGTAGATAGCCATGAAGGTCTCCATGGTTCCCGGTGGCTTCACACCGCTGGCCGCGGCCTTGTGTTTTGTCATCTCCACCGTCTTCATGCAAGTGCAGAAACCCATAGTTGCGTACGCTTGCGCGAGACCGCCCGTCATGCCTCCAGAGATACCAGCCACGAAGTTGCTCGCGCCGAGCGTCTTTGCGTAGTACTCGGCTTCGGAGGCCACGAAGAGGAGCACAGCTCCTTTCGTGGAGGCTTCGATCCATGCCCACGGGATCAGACCTTGGTAGACTGTGTGCCATTGTCAGTAGTGAAGATGCGCCTGCCAGCTTATCGTGTGCAACACGTACAGCCGAAGAAACCACCACGACCCCAGATCCTCGCGACCGACCCTGCCATGCCGTCCTGTCGGTTGGCGGCCATGGTGGTCTTCATCACCTCCAAAGGCTGCCCGAGCGTTGTCACCTCGAACAAGTTCAGCCCGGAGCCCAGCAGCAAGTTGCTGAACTTGACCGGCTTCTTTTCGAGCTTCTGCCCGCCTGGCGGTGTCGTGGCGGCTTGAGACATGCTGTTGTGGAAGTGCTCGCTGTTCTGGCCTGACCAAGGCAAGAGTGTGGCTTCTTTGCCTGAGGAGCGTGAAGTGAAGCGGAGGGCGGTGCGGGTGCTGGTGTCTCTCTCCGGGGAGTGTAGCTTGTGACAGCAGCCTCGTGCCGAGAAGGAGGATGGCTCGATTGGGGGACCGGACTGGGCGTGGAGAGAGGATTCGCTTCGGCTCTCACAACACTTCAAGACTTTTTGCTCAAACGCGAGACACAAGCATACAAGGAAGACAGTTTGGATGGGAAATGACAGAATCAACAGACACAGCAATAGCTATCTGACGCGCCAGGTGGCCGTCGTTATCGGCGGAAACATTAATGGCTGAGGGCTGGTGTTCCGTCTCAACAACAGCTGTTCGGGCATCTCAACCTTCCCCGAGCCCCCATGCACGTCTATTGTCCGGAAACTCTATTTGCGGCTGCGGTTGTGAGGCTGCTGAGGCTGATGCTCCCTGCCTTACCCGCTCCTCTACAGTCAAAAATGAGCTCATGCGACGCTGCTGATCTCCCCATTGGCTGTCCGCGGATAGTTTGAGCGCTCTGACACTTTTTGTCGGAGTCCCTGGTCGGCGGCTTGTGCTTCACATGAAGTCAGAGCGAACGCGAGAACGAGCAATGGCACTCGGACAATTTTTGTTTGGTTCTCACACATTGCGCAGCTGTCGTTATTTGGTTGTGTATTCATACATAGAAATTTAGCCATCACCAGTCGCTGCTGAACATGTTTCCCCTGATGCATTCGTTAATCTGACAGTGCTTGCGGCCAACAGCCCACAGCTCGTAGTACTAACACACGCGATGAACTCCTCCTCCATCGCCTCGATCTATTCACGGATTAGTGACCGGTCGCTCTGGTTTCTCGTCCACCTCCATCACCTCCGAGAAGACTGAGCGCGCGCTGAATACGCGCATTCTTGCGAGGTGGGCTAGGTAGTTTATATGCGATTCAGAGCTTAGCTCCGACAAGCTTGGCCCAGTGCTCAGTGCTGAAAGACTTTGGTCGCTCAATTGGTGCACCAACAGCACGGTCGATGATGAGCTGAGGAAGGACACCGATAGCTCTGCTGACACCGAAGAGCACGGTGTAGAAGTTCTGCTCGGTCAAGCCGTAGTACTGGAGGAGAACACCGGAGTGGGCATCAACGTTGGGGTATGGGTTCTTGGTCTTGCCGTGCTCAGTAAGGACACCTGGAGCAATCTTGTAGACTTGCGAGACGAGCTTGAACATTGGGTCGTCTGGCAGGTGCTTGAGCGCAAACTCGCGCTGAGACACGTAACGTGGGTCAGTCTTGCGCAGCACAGCGTGTCCATATCCTGGAACAACACGGCCAGACTTGAGGGTGTCCCAGAGGTACTTGGAAATGTTCTCGTCCGAGAGATCGGAGCCAACAGACTTCTTCATCTCCTGCAGCCAGTTGAGCACCTCCTGGTTGGCGAGACCGTGGAGTGGACCAGCGAGACCGTTTAGGCCAGCAGCGAGCGACAAGTATGGCGATGAGAGGGCAGATCCAACAAGGTGAGTGGTGTGGGCAGACACGTTTCCACCCTCGTGGTCGGAGTGGATGGTCAAGTAGAGACGCATGAGCTCAACGAAGTCGGCGTTGTCAGCGAAGCCGAGCTGGTTGGCCAAGTTGTATCCGTAGTCCTTGTCCTTCTGCACAGCTGGGACCTTGCCGTCCTTGTAGACGTTGCGGTAGATGCGTGCAGCAATGGTTGGGAGCTTCGCGATCAAGTCCATGCTGTCCTCGAAAGTGTGTTGCCAGTACTCGGTCTTCTTGATTCCCTTGGCGTAAGCCTTCGCGAAAGAGGATTCGTGCTCGAGAGCAGTGACAGCCAGCGAGAACTGAGCCATTGGGTGAAGGTCGGATGGGCAGCGGTCGATGAGCTCAGTGACAAACGATGGGACATCGGATCGGGCAGCCCACTCAGCAGACAGGTCGCGGACCTGCTGCTCAGATGGGACCTCGCCAGTGAGCAGAAGCCAGAAGAGGCCCTCTGGCAAAGGCTCGTTTCCACCAGGAGCCTTTGGAAGAACTTCCTGGCACTCTGGAATTGTCTTTCCACGGAAGCGGATACCCTCCTCAGAGTCGAGGACGGAACCCTCCCAGACGAGCGACTTGATGCCACGGGCGCCGCCGTAGACCTGGTCAAGTGTCACCTCTCCAACAACCTTGTTGCCATAGTCTTTGCGGAGCTTCTTGATCTGCTCGATCTTCTCGGGGAGTTGTGCGGCGAAGGTCTCTTTGAGGGACTGCAAGACGCGATACGTTAGCATATGATATATGCGATCACCACAGCGATGGGTATTGCTTAGGTGAACATACTGCGCTCTTGCTTGGTGTCGCGTAAGTTCGCACGGCATTGTAAGCGGGAGAGCGAGCCCAGCTTGACTGGGTCGCCATTTTGCGGAGCGCCAGACGAGAAACGCTGGTGGAGGCCATCTTGGAGGATGATCTATAGAAAGGGAGACGGTGTGGATAAGAGCAAACAGCAGACCGGACAATGGATGAGGAGGCTGAAAGGCCGTCGGACTAAAAAAGCTGATGCTTCGGAAGTCCGCTGGGCTTGGTAGATGGGCCGATCCCACACTTCTACGGACTGCATCGGAAGGGAACAGCCTCAACATTTTGATCACTTTACATAGTAGTCTACCGTGGTTGCACGCATAGCTGGGAAGGCCATTATACGCATGCAATTACCTGGATACATCGTGTATTCTTAAAAGTGATCGGACTGCTGAGACCAAAGTTTGTTTCCCTCACTCTACGCGAAAGGTGCTCGCAGATATCCTTCGCTCATGCATAGTCTTGCGCGCAGATAATCTGACGGACAAAGCTGCCATTCACCGCGTCCGATGGTGTTGCACGTGGAACAATTTGCATTTGAAGGCTGACGCTCCCAAATCAGCGTTTCTTGCCCGATCATGCTGTCGCCTTCTTGCTTGCATGTGTGTTTGACAATGTTTCGCATCTGAGTTTTCGGAGCGAGCCGATCCCGTGAATTTCCTGCCATGTCCTTCATAACCTCCGCCTTCCTCGCACAGAACCGTTTCCTCCTCGTCTTCGCAACAGTCGGCAACAACACCCGGATTCACTCATCAGTGCGTGCACCGTGAAAACCGCGGGACGCTTCACTTCACGTGCCGATTCGCCGCTCCCTTCCCGGCAATTTCTTGTGCGAAACTTCCGTGCGCGTTGCAGAACATCCAGCGACTTCCATTCTCTGCTCTCTGCATCAACACAATCTAGGTCATTCGCCTCGAGCTCGCAACGATTGCGCTCGCACAAGCGCCTCACATCTACGCCCTTCCGCCGGACACCCTGTTTTCATAGGAACAAAGACGACATCTTATCACTGCATAATCCGATCAGGATATACAATAGCTGCGAACAGGATCATAACACCAAGCAAAAGGCGTAGGCGCATCTCTCATCCACCGTGGGCGAGTAAGGAGAAGTCGGTGTAGACACAGGGCCTTCGCGACCGCAACATAACCCGACCACGTGCTGAACTTGGCATCACGTCTGTGACGGATAATCGAAGCGCAGTAGCTCGTGCAGAACTATCTTGCTGACCGCCATCGACATCAATAGCCTGTAGGCTGGGTGAGGAAGCTGTAGAGCGTAGCTCGTGTCAGATCGTCCGCCAAAGAGCGTAGACTAGGCCGCCAATCACACCATGGCGCAGTCGACTGTAAATGATCTTGACAACCTCCTTGCGTCTTTGAACCAGCTGAAGGCACCTGGAGCAAGCAAAAACAAGATCCAGACAATCACAGCACTCAGCGTCAGCAACATCCAGGTAAGCAGCCATTAGCGCTCATCAACTCGAACAAGTCGGCCATCAAAAATTCCATCCGGCCCATTTGCAATCAGAAAACAGCTGACATCGTGAACAGTCGGAGTCTTCCATTGTGCAGTCATTTTATCGCGCGTTGAAAAAAGCACCACCCACTCATAAGCTTGGTGCCCTCTATGTCATTGATAGCGTCGTCCGACAATGGATCGAGAAAGCCAAAGCCGCTGGACAGGAACTGCAGTTTGAGGGTCGCGGAGAGCCAGGCACCTATCCTGCAGCCGTGAAGCGCGTGACGGAGCTGATGCCAGCACTGTTCGACGATATCACAAAGGATTTGCCCGTGGATCAGAAGCCAAAGCTTGAGAATATGGTCGCCATTTGGGAACGTGGCAACACCTTTCCCATCAAGCTGTTGCAAGACTTCAAGTCTAAGCTTAGCAGTGACTCCAGTCGCGAGGAAGCCGGACGTAATGCTATTGCAACACACTCGGCTGCTACTCAACAGTCGTCAGGTGAGAAATTCATGGCTCCACGTCCTACTAGACCGTGCCTCACGCCCGTTGGATATCCTCCGCAACACTTGTTCGATCGAGGACTTATGCCAGGAAGAAATCGATCAGGCCCAGCCAATGGTGCACCACCATCATCCGTGCCATCTACTGCAGATCCTCGTCGGCAGCCACAACCGCCCGCTCCGCCGGCTCCTGCGCAGCAAACGCCTCAGGCAGATATCAATGACATCCTGGCCGCGTTGTCCAAAGCTGCAGCTGCAGCACCTGCAGCACCACCTCCGCCGCAACAACAGCAGCAGAATCAGCACCAGCACCAGCAGCAGCCACCGCAAATGCAACCGCAGTCGCAGCAACAAGCGTACAACGCGCCCGCACCACCACCTCCGACTGCACAAATCCCGCCGAACATCGCCGCTCTCCTTGGCCAGCAGGGATTGCCGCCACCTCAGGCATTCCAGCAGCAGATGCCCCAGTTCCCTCCCTATGGATTTTCTGCACCGCCATCTGCACCTCCCATGGGCACCCCAGTGTACGCGCCACCTCCGCCACAACACTTCCAGGCCTACCCACAGCAATATCCACCGCAGCCTCCATCTGTTCCACAATCGTACTCTATTGCGCCCCCTCCTCAACAAGCACCTCCGCCGGCCGATCCACTGGCGCCACTTCGCGGACTGCTGCCAGAGAATATATTGAATGACCGTGAAAAGCTTGTTCCTGCGCTCCAGCTGTTGCAGGATCTGCAGAAAGAAGGAATTCCTCCCGAGAAATGGGGTCCGGTTCTTGAAGCCTTCGAGCAGCAATATGCGCCAGCAGTTCCCTCTTACGGTGCACAAGGCGACTATGGTAATGCTAGAGGCCGTAGTCGGAGTCCAGAGCGAGGCCGTGGCGGCAGAGGCAGCCCGGTTTACGGTACATACGATGCAAATGCCGCAAAGCAGAACGACGGCGGGCGCAATGGAGGGGGCCGTGGGCGGTACAGACAACGATCTCCCATCCGCAACAGCCCGGGAACCGCAAATGGACGACCAATGCAGCCCAAGAACATCCAATACGACCCATCCTTGCCGCCAGACAACATCAAGGTGCTATCACGTACCTTGTTCGTTGGGGGTGCAAATGGTACTCAACAAGAGATTCAGGAAGTTTTTGAGCGTTTCGGCCGCGTGCAAACATGCATTGCCAACCGCGACAAGCGCCACGCCTTTGTCAAGATGACCACACGTGCATATGCATTGGTCGCCAAGCAAGGTATGGAAGACTTGCAGAATCGAAATGATCGGGAAGTCATGAATGTTGCGCGTCAGACCAAGTGGGGTGTTGGTTTTGGTCCACGCGAATGCTGTGACTACCAGCGTGGCGAGAGCATCATTCCAATCCACAAGTTGACTGATGCCGACCACAAGTGGCTACTTACTGCCGAGTATGGTGGCACAGGAGGCAAGCCGTTGGAGGGAGGAATGGTGCTGGAAGAGCCTGATATCGAGATTGGTGCTGGAGTCAGCAGCAAGGTAAGCAGTGCTTCAATGTCTAACTCTGTCGAGATCCTACTGACACATATACAGGCTATGAGCAAGCGCGTTGGGCCTGACCACAACCCGCAGCCTAAGCATCACAAGGAAGGCGGTCACGGCCGTGGGCGCCACGGCAGAAAACACCATCAACACAACGATCGAGACAACCAATATGGAGGAGGATACAGTGGCGTATCTGGCGGACCGCCAGCCATCGACTACGGTGCCATTGCTAGGCCGGAACCAGTCGCCGTGGCCACGCCACCAGCAGTCCCAGGATTCGGATTCAGCTTTGCACCGCAGGCCAACAATCAGAACCCTTACCGCTAAAGAGATTGTTCATTGAGGTGATCTGCATATCGACGCTGAGAGATCTCTGAAGTTGTATCAAAATGGTCCAGCACCGCTGGGCAGAAAGTTTTTGTTTTGAGCGATGAGGAAGGAGGCATAATCATATGACATGATTCTACGCGTGTAACAGTACGTGTAAGCATAGCGTGGGAGATGGGTTGCATTAGTTCTGGCATCCGTCTGCTTCTAACTGTATCTACTTGTTGCATCAGTCAACCTGATGAAATGTCGAGTCTTTCCAACCATGATTTTGTCCAAGAGTCATTATTTTGTCAACTCAGCGTTTCCCCAGGGCGTGCTCTGGACGTGTCCCGGTCGGCCCAACTTCGCCCCTGGTAGTTTGAAGTTCTTCTGTCTTTGTGAAGCAAATCTTATATGCAATGAGCTTTTCGAATCGTCTACGTGGCATAAATTTCGTACTCGTCAAATCGTTGCGACTCAGCGGCCAAAAAAGCGATCCACGAACAAGTATCGTCGTCGTGTTCGTGTGCCATTTTTTGTCCTTTTCGCTCTTGCTCGTACTATACAACTTGTAGCGATCGAGAAGCCGACGATAGCCCTCACATACTCTCGTCAAGGCACCAGATTATTCGACTGAAAGGAAAGATGCCAGCAGAAAGTCCCTTAGCAAGAGAGAACCGGAGTAGATGATGATGACTTAAATGTCAATAAGAACTTGTGATATTGTGGTCATATCTGCCTATTGTTTCTTCAGTCCAAGCAAGACTATCATGATGCATGTGACATTTCCCAACAGCTTCTTCACTTCAGGAAAGAGCGCTATGGGGCTGCAGACGCCTGTTGACCTTTTCGACCTGGGGCAGACGTTGTTGTTGGCAATGAAATTGGAATATCGTTCTTTTTGCCGTAGCTTGGAGAGCTCGTGCAACTAGGGAAATCTAGTGCAACATTTAGATGCTTCATTGGTGCGTGTCCAATCCATAGATCAGGAGATACTCATGCTGCGTTGCTCGGTCGACTGCTGCCATTGGGATGTCTGTGGCCGCAGCCACAATGCAATGGCTTCCTTTAATTGCCTCTGATTTTGCAGATAGCTCGTCAGTGGTTCAAAAGTACATAACAGCGGTTACCAGCGGTTGCAGCGTGACGTGACGTGGCGCTGTGGTCATATGGCCCTGCATGCTGACACGGCCTTCTTCATCCTCATGTCACGAACAACCACTGATCTTGCGGGGATTGATACTGGCATCTCTCTGTTGTCGTTTCGCACGGCTGTCGATTATGGGCTCTATAGCTCTCTAAATCTAGTGCTTCGGTTTCCTTATCCATAAAATCTGCCTGTCCAGGCGAAAGCAGCCCACCCCGTTTCAACGCCGCGCTAAATGCGCACCAGATCTGTCATGTGCCGCGGAAGCGAACGACTGCAAGTATACTGAGGAAAAAACTGCAAAGGCCACACGAGCCAATTTTTACTCGCTCTCGTCGCCAACAACCATTGTTGCCTTCTTGGAGCCTGGCGCAGCAAGCTTCGCAGGTGGCAGACCAAGACCATTGCGGTTGCGGAAAAAGAAGACCTTCGAGTTCTCTCCGGTCGCACCCTCGTTGGGCTCCACCCATTGGCACCAACGGGCGCTGTTCCACATTGACTTGATGAAGCCAACGGATCCACCTTCAGTGTTCGCTCGGTAGTGGCGGCCCATGATGGGCTTGATCGCTTCGGTCGCTTCGTCGGCGTGGTAGAATGGAATGGTCGAGACGTAGTGGTGGAGGACGTGGGTTTCGACGATGCCGTGCATCAAGGTGCGACCGATGAAACCGAATTCGCGATCGATGGTTGCGGCAGCGCCACGAGTGAAGTTCCAGGCATCACCGGTGTAGTGAGGCAAAGAAGGATCGGTATGCTGGAGGAAAGTGATAGCAACTACAATGGGTTGTTAGCGGTGTCATGACGAGGACCGGCGACACAACTTACCAAGCCAGTGGTTGACCCAGAGGTATGGAATGATGTACCAAACCAAGAGGTTCTGGAAGCCGTAGGTGCGGCCGACAAGAGCAAGGACAGAGACAGTGATGGCGAGACCGAGATCAGAGAGAAGAATCAGGTATTCATCCTTCTTCTCGTACAACGGGCTGCTTGGCAGGAAGTGGTTGACGCTGCCGTTGCCATTCTTCTTGCCGATACCCTTGCCCTCTGGCTGCTTCTCGTGGTTGTTGTGGCCAGTGACATTTCGGAAGAGGTACATTGGCCAGCCAACGAGTTGTTGGCCGATGAGCATGGATGCGGTGTAGATTGGGGTCTCCTCGAGCAGCTCGTGCATCTCGTGAAGGACGTAGCCCATGCGGGTGGCGTGCTCCTCACGAGTACGGGGCACGAAGACCATGTCGCGCTCCATGTTGCCGGTGGCCTTGTGGTGCTTGCCGTGGCTGATCTTCCAGCTGAAGTATGGCACCAAAAGGGCGGAATGACAGAACCAACCGACAGTGTCGTTGAGCACCTTGCTTGGCGAGAAGGACTGGTGGCCACATTCGTGGGCCAACACCCAGAGACCGGTGCCGAAGCAACCCTGAGCGAAGGTATAGAAGGCCCATAGGGCGGCTCGGAGAGGATACGAAGGCACGTACTCGGGCGTGCAGTATGTGTTGAAGAGGTAGAAGGTGCTTGCAAGGAGAGCGATGTCCCGAGCGACGTAGCTCAATCCTCGGAGACCCGACCTCTCGTAGCAGTGCTTTGGAATAGCATTGCGGATGTCGTTGATGGTGTAATCTGGCAGCTGAAATTCGTTGCCGTATGTGTCCACAAGCTTTCCCGAAGCAGGCTTTTGCTGGAACTCCTCCACTGAGCCCAGGGATGAGAGGGATGTCGACGAGGCAGACGCAGTGGGCGAGTCGTCTGGTGTGCCGGCAGTCGAGCTGGCCACGGTCGAGGGCATCGACTCAGCGGTGGTGGTGCGTCTCATGGCCGCCTTTTGCGACAAGGCTGTGGTGCTCATCGTGTCGACGAGCTGGTGTGTGTGTGTGATCGTTTGTATTCGTCGGTGGCGAGGAGGGCAGAGAGTGATTTTGCTGCTCACTCTGAAGTGAGAGGTGGCCCGAATGTAGCGGTGGAGCGAGGGGGTGTATATCAATGGTTGAGGGAGCTCAACCAAAGCAACGCGTTGCTTGGTACCAATGGATGGTGAAGGCTGCTGGGTGGTGAAGGAGGGGAACAAACTGTGGACGACACAGTGCAGCTGGAGGAAGTAGGAACGAGCGACGAGCAGCGCAGCGGCGTGTTTTGTGCGTTTGCCAGGCTGAGGCAAAGGCTAAATTTGCTAGAGGGTAGAGAATTGAAGAATTCGAGATCCAGGGTCTGCTCAATGGCCCTCGCCCTCGCCCCAAGACCCGCTGTTTCCCTCTCTCACTCACCACCTCCTTCGCCCATTCTGCAGCGACAAGTGAAGCAATTTCACACGCTGGTCAGCGCGATATCGACTGCCTACACACCATCACCATCATCGCAAAGAACGCCTTCGAAGCTGCCTTCAGCGTCCAGTTCCAGCTGCAGACGCCCATTTCGAGATCGTCCGCTTGGCCATGCACCTACGGTCCCCAACATCGCTTATCCACAATGCGAAGAAGGGCCGAGGGTGACCAGCAGAAGTAGTGGCCCGCACAGCACCTCTCTCGCTCGCCAGCCCGCCCAGCGGGACGACAGGCAGTCCAAGCCATCCTGCTGTTCGATGCATTCCGAGCAGATCAGCTTGTGAAAGTGCCCACAAGCTCGCACCGAGAGGGCAGAGACCGCGTGGGATCTGAGGTGAGCGAAGGGCACGCCTCGGCACAGTACCTTGGAACGCAGGCACATGTACGACGCTGGTGGTCCATGAAACTGAGCGGCTCTGCTGGACGGACCTGCCGCGACTTCTGGCTCGCTCTCTGCTCACCGTATCAGACGATCTGCGTTTTCACCCGATACCACAAGTCTTTTCGCCTTCTCCCCGACCTACTACTGTGCTGGACTGCGAGCCAAGCACCAATCCAGCAGCGCCAAACTGTCAGTTGCAGGACGCCATCCAGACGTGATGGCCACACTGCAGCCACACGAACACGTCCAGAACTCACAATCCAACCACGAGCCAGACGCGCACTAGAAATGCCGCTCGTCCTGTGCCTGGCCTGGCGGTCGTCGTTCTCGCTCCCGTGCCAGATCCACCCCGCAATTGGCCAATGCACAAGCTTCAGCGACAAGGCAAGCTCGACCACTTCTCGCTGCCACGTGAACGAGTTACAGCTATTCTGTGTACTGGAAACATTTCACATGCAATTCGCCATAGCTGCGCTGCGCAGACGCCCCGATTATATGACAACATGACAACATGTGCGCGTTCAACGACCTGCAGCTGTCCCAATAACATGTGCACTGGTCTATGAGGCTTGGAAATTGGTTGTCACTGGCAATATCGCCGGTTGTCAAAATATCTGTTTGAGAAGTCGGATTACATTGCCTCAAAATCCTTCTGTTCAGAGCCACTTTTTCGACGCCTAGCACGACGGATCGAGTTGAATCGCGCGGAGGCAAGCCCCTCTCCCTCCTGCTGCACAATCATTATTGGAGCATCGCTGCACGACGCTGCCACGCTGCGTTAGCGTGGCCATTATGGTCGATCTGGCCAAATCTCTCTCGCCACATCCTGCACCAGCTTCAGCTTCGCAAACATCTTCTGCTCGTCCATGCCCTCAGCTCCAACCGCCACGCTGGCGAACCCACACTGCGGGCTGATGCCAATGTTCTCCAAGGCTTCTTGCACGGGTCGACCTTGACCTTTGGCAATGATATCAGCTGCCTCCAACACACGCTTCTTGATCAACCCTCGATCCTCCAGCTGCGGGTCTTTGGTTGTGACCACACCTAGGACAACATTCTTGTGCTTCGGCAAGAACCGGAGGGGCTCGAAGCCACCTGATCGAGGGTTGTCATATTCCAGGTAGAAGGTGTCGTAATTGAGTGTCTTGAAGAAACGCTCGGCGATCTTCTCGTACGACCCCTCGCTGAAGTGCATAGACTTCGAGAAGTTACCTAGACGACGTCAGTTGAGTACCATCAACAAATTCCTTGGGTTGCTAACCTCTGCAGATGTGCAGGCCGACGTGAAGGTCATCGGGCCTGTCCGCGATGCAGTCATTGTGTGCCTTCAAATACAGGTCGAACAGCTTATCGGTGTCTTCGCCGTCGTCTCGCAGTCCTTTCAACATGTCCTCGGAGCAGAAATATGCAAGCGTCGGGTCGTCGATCTGGATGTTCCTCAGTCCAGCATCATAGAGTGTCTTGAACTCTTGTCTGTACGCGGCTGCCAGATCCTCGAAGAAATCCGTGTCGTTTGAGTACACGCTAGGGTCGTAGCATTTCCCAGGAGCCAATCGAAGATGGAAATAGCAAGGCGGCGGCATCGTGAACTTGGCCTCCTTCCATTGCTCTTGTGGAAGAGTGTCTCTCAACAGCAGCCAGTTCTCGAGGTATGGGCTCTTGGAGTACTTGATCTTGCCCGTACAAACCGCTGCCATTGGGTATTGCTTGCCGGCCTTCTTCAGCGCAGCAATGGGAGCAGCTGAGAGACGAGCGAGCTCCCACGGCACAGGGCTGACCTCTTGGAAGCCATCGAGCTTCTCGAAGAAGCCAGAGAAGTAGTACTTCCTGTCAAACTCCCCAGAGCACAGCGCCCTCACATTGTTATCCTGCTGCTTCTTCACAATATCGCTGATCTCTTTTTGCTGAACCTTTCTCAGCTCCTCTTGCGTAATTTGCCCCGCATCTGCCTTCTCTTGTGCCTGTGAGACAGACTCAGGTCGGATCAGAGACCCAATGTGGTCAGCGTGGAAAGGAAGCTTGGTGACTGTCATTGTGCTAGATGGTGAGCAAGAAGATCAATAGAATATGTCAGCCAACAACACAGGGCACTTCGGGAGGGGCTCGGCGGCATATATAACAGTCCCAGCATGATGACAATCACGAGAGACCCGTCCCTGTGCAAGGTACTGTATGCCGTCTCCACGCGCGGACGGCGGGACTGGCTTTCGCGGCGGGCGGTTTCTGAGAAATCTCGCGCGACCCCGTCATCAATTGGCAGCTCGAGTGTCGGCAAGTGGTGCTGTGAGCTCGCAAAATGCAACTGCCGAGCTCGCCCTAGTCTGCTCTGCCCGCCCACCTTTCTCACATGGGCACTTTGGTCTCGTAACAACTTTCGCTTTTGCCAACACGCTCGGTTTCCGAATCTAGCATTAGCAGTGGCGCCGCGGAACGATTGGAGATGATGGTCCTCCAGAACATTCAGATGTCGCGCCACGGGGCATGATTCGAGGTGAGGGGTCGTCGTGAGGCAAATGCGGGCTTTGGTCCGTGCTGGGAAGTTGCGGAGATTGGGAAATTGTCTTGTGCAAGACACATGAATACAAATCAATGATCGGGCATTGCAACGACGAGAGACTTATAGTGTTTCGTACATGTGCTTGCTGACCTTGATGGATTGCTCATGGGGAGTGCTGATGTCTCAGCCATCACCTATCACTACAACCATGTCTGGAATAATTTGGCTACAGCAGCGACATTCACTGCAGCGTGTTTCAAACCACAAGGATAGGCAAACCTCTCAGTGAATGAACCTGCAATCCCCATATTTATACTCGTGCCTTTTCGTCATGACCCGAACACTCCTGCTAGCCGCTCCAAAACGGTAAAGCTGAAATATTTGCAGTCTCAATGACTCAGCAGGTCTCGCCACGATATGGAAGTTCGACATCGAAGAAACTAAGAAAGCGTCAACATCAGCATGAGAGTGCAGCATCGAAAGCCGCAAGCACTTCGTCCGAGCACTTACTATCAAAGCACTCTGCCTCGCCTGAAACAGGAGGTACACCAACAATTGGATTGAAACTGAAGAAATCTGTTCGCTTCAATGACTTCTTCGACTGGTTCCGGAAACCAGAGCATGGATCGTCACGTCCTGATCACGACAGACGGCACAGTAGTCTAACAGATGTGAGCACTCCGAAGCGTAGTCGACCTGGCGTGGTGGAAGATACTCCATCAGAAAGATCCAGCTTACCGAGCTTGCCCATGAAGTTCACTCGGCATTCACGCCGACTCAGTAATCATGTTCGAAGACAATGCTCTAACCATTCGATGGCTGAAAGACTACGTGATAGCGCGAGTCCTCAGCAGAGCGAGATGTCGAGATCAAGTACAATCGAAGTGCCAGGTAAGATGGGTGAGTCGTCCACGAACGCTGAGATTTACTATTGGCCGAGTAGGCGTGATACGTTCTCGATGATGCAGCTCTACCGAGCTGGCGATAAGAACGATGATGAGAGTCCAAGCCGTTCGAGTAGCAGCTCTGACAGCTACGAGAGAGCTGCTCTATCATGGGAAGCGAGTGTGGGAGCGAAGCGGTCCGGCAATGCTGCAAATAGCCTGCTCGAGGATAGAAAGAGATAGCAGCAGCAGTCCTCGTAATCTCTCGCAGTCGTCACCAACAGCGAATCGAAGAAAACCCTCTCATCCACCTCTCAATCATACCATCCCCCAACCCTCTCACTCGAGGCCATTCCCGGCACATACCCCCTCTCACTCGACCCCTCCTCCCTCAACACCACCTCCCCATCCCCACTCGGCACCCTCAAACTCTCCACCAAAACAAACCTCGTCCCACTCCCCTCCTTCTCAAACAACTCCCTCACAGCATCCACCAAATCCCCCAACCTAACCCCTTCCTCCCTCCTCACAACAAACTTCTGCTCCCACTTCGGTTTCTTCCCATCATAATCCAACCACTGCACAAAAGGCGCCCTCCCCGACCCCAATTCATAAAACGTCCTCGTATACCAAAACTCCGTAAAAGGAGGACTACTAGCTAGCATTTCCCTCCACTTGGCACTTTGGTCTAAAGTTTCGAGATATCGAAATTGTCGTTCGCTGATTTCGAGGGAGAAGTTCCAAAAGCGGGGTTGAGAGGGTAAGAGATCGTGTTGGAGAGAGGAGAGTTCGAAGGGCCAGGCGGAGCCCCAGCTGCGTTGTTGGAGGAGGAGGATGGGGATCCAGGTGTTGGGTCGAGATGGTGGGAATGGGTGTTTGGTGTTCCATGTTTTGTGAATTTCGGTCGGATTGTTGAGGGGTGTGGGGCGGTAGAGGAACTCGCGTATGGGTGTGGAAGTCTTGAGTAAGAGGTGCCATGTTCGGGATGCGGTTTGAGAGAGTAGAATTGTTCGATGAGCGGCAATTTCTTGATGAGTTGTGGCGCTGGGGAGTGAGAGGAGGATGAGTTCGAGTAGTTCTGGAATATGAAAGACTTTGGAAGCTGCGTTAGGCATTGCTACTTGATCTTCCATTGCTATCGTGGAGTTCATGGGAATGTGGCAGAGTGGTAGGCACACAGACGAGTGAGGTAAAGAGCTCAATAGCGCAATTCGGCAATAGCTCTGGTCAAGCTCCGTCAATCCGCGGGCTCCAGCTATATTGGAGCTCCTGTTCGGAGGCAGATAATCCATTATGTGAATTTATTATACGAACCAGCCAACATCCTATGAGCTACATGAGCATTGCATTGCTCTCTGATATCTTGGGACATCACCAGTAAATCGATCTTGCTCCTCCTTGTCTCCCTCCCATCTATCGGCAAACGGATCAAGCGCCATAGTCATGACCCGATCCAGGATCTCTCGGTTGCCCTTCTTTTCAACCTCAGTGATCACCTCATCCAATATCCACGACCTCGGAACGAAATTGGGGTTCACGGCCTTCATTGCTGCAATGCGCTCCACACGCGCTTCTTCCGAGCTAGGCCAGTCTTCGAGTACTCTCTTGCGCCATTCGCCTAGCCACTTTGCCACACGGTCTCGTGCCTGATCCTCATTCACACTGACGAGCCCGCCAAGGCCCTCATGGTGGAAGAAACGACTTGCGACTTCCTTGGCTTTATCGTGCGTATCAATGTCAACCATGCTGATGTTGCTCAAGCGTCGGAACGTGTGGTTGAAGTCAAGCTCTAAAGCTTCGAGAGTGTCGAGCAACTCGGAGTACAGTTCCTTGAAATCACTTTCTTTGCTCTGTTTGAGACCGAGGCGAGCTGTCATCAGACGCTTGTATTCGGCCATGAACACAGCCTTGTACTCCTCGCCGACACGGTCGATGACAGTCTCGGCACGCTTGACGAGCTCGTCTGCACGATCTTTGCGCACACCCTGAGTCGCAAATTCCTCGTCATCGACCCAAGGGCCAGCGCCAATAAGTTCGCCCAGCGCTTCTGCGAGGCGGACGTGGTTCCACCAAATAATGCTTGGTTGGTTCTTGTACGAGTAGCGAAGCATGTGGTCGTCATGATTAGGTGTGTAGTTGGGATCGAAGTTGTCGAGGAATGCAAAAGGCCCGAAGTCTATCGAGAGACCAAAGATAGATGTGTTGTCCGTGTTGAGCACGCCGTTCATGAAACCATAAGCTTGCCACGCTGCAACTGTCTTTGCGTTGCGACGAGCGACTTCCCTGAACAGTCGTGTGTAGCGGTTCTCAGCCAGCTCGTTTTCGCCCTGTATCTCGTCCCTGGATACGCCTCGACTAACTTCCACGACGTCCTTCTCTTCTGTGGTCGATACGCGCCCAGGCAGGTTCTGCCAGCCACCAAATACATCTTCGGCGACATAATCAGCCAACTTCCTCAACATGTCTCGGTCACCTCTTGATCGCGGAAGGTCAAATGTGCCAAAGCGGATCCAGCTCTCTGCAAATCGCGCCACTATTGCTGCAGGCTCTGTGGTCTCACGTCGGACCTTCTCTTCCGGGCCCAAAGTCAAGCTCAAGGCGCGAGTGGTCGGAATGCCCAAAGCGTTCAAGGACTCGCTCACCACGAACTCTCGAATACTGCTCCGTACCACAGCCTTGCCATCTGCAAAGCGTGAGTACGGAGTCTTGCCGGCGCCCTTCAGCTGAATCTCATATCGTCTGTCGGTTGTAGGATTTGTAGTCTCAAACAGCGAAATGGCTCGTCCATCCCCAAGTTGACCTGCCCACGAGCCAAACTGGTAGCCTCCGTAGCACTGCGCCCAAGGATAAATGTCCTTCTCGCCTGGCTCGTCGCCGTTCAAGGTTATGATCTGTTCGCCGGCGACCGTCTTCTTGAAATCATCCGTCTGGACGGACGCCGGGTCTATTGCCAAGTCTCTGAGCGCTGCTTTCGACACAGCGACTAGTTCGGACTGCTTAAAGGGATCGGGTCGTACAAAGGTATACGCTGCATTCTTGACCAGTCGAGGACCAAGCTTAGTCCTCTCGGCCTTGTGTGAGTCGGCGGGGGTTGGATATTCGCCATCGGCAGGGAGNNTCGAAGTGAAGTTGTTGCTCTTGGGCAGATCGCGAATCGAGAAGGTCTTTTGGTCGGCGGGCGGATGCGGGGGCGTGAGACTCGCCATGGTCGCTGCTGCTGTTCGATGGAGATGTGCTGTGATGGCAGGTCGTCCTGGCAGACGGAGCACTCGATGCATTCACGGCACAAGTACAATGACAAAGAGAGGAAAGCAAAGTGGCAATAGCTGACTTACTTACTGCACCAGCACCGAATCACATCCGCAGCGTCTCCGACTGTCGCGTTGATGTTGCTCGCCAGGCACGTCATATGCTGCGAACGATGTCGGCAGAAAGGAAGCCCGCCAAGCCGCACGTGGTTGTTCAGCAACGGCAGGTCTGCCTGAAGATTCCACCTCTTCACCTTTCACCATCGACACCGACTAAACTCACAACAGGCCACGGAGCTTTCCAACACGCCTGGAACCATTTCGAAATGCATATGCGCCTCACACATTCTTTTGCGCAAGCTCGGTCGCCAGGATGAATCGAGGCAACATTCCTGGCTTCTACTTCGATGAAGAGAAGAAAAAGTATTTCAAGATCACCGCCGACCATGCGGCACCCGTCGACGCCAAACACTCAAGGGCCAATGTGAAACGCGAGAAGCATGAAAAGCGCGCTCTCAAGAAACAGAGATTCGAGGAGCGAGTGATTCGCAAGCAGACCGTCAACCAGGCCAAGTCACTGACGAGTGGGCTGTTCAAGACGACACTGCAACGTGAACTTGGCCATCGGACCACTGGCTATCTCAGTGGTGTGCGTGATGAAGCTCTGATCAATGGACTGGAGCACACGCCACTCAATCCCCGGATCAAAGGCTTCAACTCGTATCCTGTCGTTCGAGATGCTCTATACGCCGCCGATCAGTCAGATATGCTCTTTGCGACTACACAAAACTCGGCTGCAACTTGCGTGTACTCGTACCATTGGCAAGACAATGTAAACGACCCCCAAGACTTGGCTGCAAAATAGTAAGTCGAACACGAGTGCTTTTCTCAAATCATTTCCTTCGCGAAAGCTGGATCTGTATCGATATCTCGTCAAGCTTGGCGCTCGCTTTCTTTCTTGCTTGTCCTGATCCGTACACAGTCCGTTGGCAGCCTTGTCCGGTAGGTTCGTGACCTTGCAGCGTTTCGATTCTACTCTGCTCTTCGTCAGCAATACCGACCACGCCATTCACTATTACCTTGGCCCCTCTCGTACATCGGAGCGCAACGAGAGTGCCCTCTTTCCTAAAGCTACATTACAGAATACTGTGGAAACAGTTCATGCCTGCGCTTTCGAGCCAGCGACGCGGAACATTGCGTTCGCAGGCACTGGTCTTCTCGTTGTCGATGGCCTAAACCCGGGTATGTGTCTGGACGGTGAAAGCATTTCGGAGCCTTTTATTAATCGTCTCCCGTGTAGGTTGGGTCGGCCGTTCCAACTTCGGAGATACAAAAGAGAGTTTTGCAGCAACTTGGCTTCAACCGAATGTTCTGGCCTACGGACTTGACACAGAAGTCGCCCGCGGCCCGCCTATGCACACAGTGTGTCTTTGGGATGTACGAGTCGGCAGCTCACCATCGCATGCGAACTCGTCAACCCGTTTGAAGCGCTATCACCGCATAACAGGACTAGAAACACCAGAAGGTACCGGTCAGTATTACGTTTGTTTATCCTCAGGCCAATCCAGCTCACTGGCCACAGATCATCAACTCCTTGTTACAACTAACAAAGACATCAATTTGTATGACCTGCGAATGCAGTCCACCGCAGGACCGCCACTCTTGTCCATTCCACATACTTCTGTTGGGTCGCAGCTCAACTTCGCCGTTCGTGGAGACCTCATCGCCGCAGTGGACGCTTTGTTCAGAGTCCAGGTCTACTCGCTTCGAACCAGTCGAGGTTTGAAGACATTACAGCGAAATCAGCCTACGACATCACGCCCTTCAGCTCTACATTCGCTTCGATGGCAAGAGAATAGCAGAGGCTCGCCATATCTGCAGGCATGTGCGGACAGCATCGTCCATCGATGGGGTTGGCAGGTCTAATGAATCAAATGCGTATCCGATGGACTCGAGAAGTGTACCACTTTAGGAAACATCAATGCAATGGAGAGCAGTGGGACAAATCCCGAAGTCACATTATATGTGTACAAGTCTATCTGCTGTTTCGTGTCTGGTCATCACGTTTCATTACTACTCTCCCAAGAGTCATTTTATCCCATGCCACACCTAACAGTATGCGTGTCCGGGCTTGAAGCTTCTTGGCTTGACACCAGTGTTGTGTCCATGTTCTCCACCCGCATACTTGGGGTGCTTCTCATCATATCTCTGGTAGCCCTTCTTGCCCTCGCACTTCTCCCAGTTGTCCTTCTTCTCCTTGTGGTGGCCGTCATAACCAGGCGCGGTGCCGTTGCCGCCTCTCTTCTCTGAAAGACCCAAGCACTCTGCCATCTTGAAGAAGACGTCGATGGAGTTGTAAACACCACCGAAGATCTCAGAACAAGGACCTTGAGCCCAGACTGTGACGTCGGTGAGGGAGTGGACACCTTGGTTGGCGGATTCGGGAAGGGTTCCGTTGACGACAAAGCCTCCTTCATCATTGTTGGGGTTGGCGAAGTAGTTTTCTGATGCGAAGCCCGTGATGTTCGAGGCTGGACTGCGTGGTCCGTCCTTGTGGACTTGGAATGTTTCGCGGTGGTCTGGGAATGCCCCGAAGCCTTGTGCAAGAGTGTAGCGTGGCTCCCAGTTGGATGGGAAGTTGGAGTCGCCATAGCGCAAGTCACCAGTGTTGATGTAACCCGAGAGACCAGAGCGTTCGTAGATGCCCACAGCGTTACGCTTCTCGCGGTCATCGGTCTTCTCGTTGAGGTACTTGGTGTCGACGTTTCCAAAGACATCGAAACCGTGTCCGTGATCAGCAGTAACGACGATAAGTGTATCTTTGTAGGCATCAATCTCCTTGAGGTGTTCGATGGAGTGCTTGATGGTATCATCAAGCTCGAGGAGCTCGCCGAGAGCACGGTCGTAGTCCAAAACGTGCATCATCTTATCTACCGAAGCGGCCTCAGACATGATGAACCAACCTTTGTCGCCGGCTCGGTTGTTGAGGATATCGATTGCCTTAATGGTCATCTCCTTCAAGCCAGGTTGATCGGCAGCGGTCTCGCCATTGCACAGAGGTGATTCGGTGTCGTTGAGGTTGTCAGTGTAGACGTTGCGGTCCAACCACTTAGCCATGTTAGACTGGGAGAAGATTCCGAGTGTCCTCTCCTCGCTGGAAGTAGCCTCAAGGCCAGTCTTGTTGTAGACAACGTTGTAGCCAGCCTCAGCGAAGACCTCGTAGTAGTCGAGATCTTGGTATGTTTCGCCACCATTCTCTGGGCTGCAGAAGTTCTCCGCACCTCCACCAAAAAGGACATCTGGTCCATTCCACTCGGTCCAGGTGTAGTTGACAATGCCGTTGACGAAAGAGTCAATGACAGCGCCATACTCGCCACGATCGCGAGTGTGAGCAGTCAAGGCAGCTGGAGTAGCATCGGCAATGAACGCAGTGGAGACAATTCCGACGTGACCGCCGACCAAGCGATGGAAGATCTCAGCAATCGATTCCACCTTGGGGTCATCGAAAGGATCTGGAGAGGTATCGCCGTAAACGCCGAGAGCGTTGACAACTGACTTGTGGCCAGTGTACAAAGCAGTTGCAGAGTTGGCAGAATCCGTGATGAATGTGTCAATGGAATGTGTCATCTGGTGTCCAATGGTTGGGAACTTGTCCAGCGCCAATGTGCTCTGATAGCGTCCGTTAATTGTCTTGTGTGCGATCAAGCGTGCAGCAGTGACCATGTTCGTGGTCATGCCGTCTCCGATGAAGAGGAGGATGTTCTTGGTCTTGCGGACCTGCTCGATGTCACGGACGAGCCAGTTGGCAGTGGTGTTTGTGCCATTATTGTATGTCAGAACCGCAGTGTATTCGCCAGGCTCGTAAAGAGCCACTCGACGCCACGCCTTCGACGCAACATTGACTGCGGAAGGAGTCTCAGCATCGAGAGCAAACAGATCCTCGTACCAGCTGAAATCCCACTTCTCAATTTCTGGCTCTTCAAGTTGGAAGTACTCGGTCACAGGCCTCGCCTCCCCACCATCTTTGCTGATGGTGAGCGTGAAGTCCTCGTCCGGAATGCCATTGGTAGCTTCTGAGCCGTTCACTGGAGCGTGGATCTCGACACGGATATCGAAGTATTGTCCTGCAAGGAAATCTTGCTGGTCTGGTGGAATCACACATCCCAGCGTAGGGCCTTACCAACAAAGGCAACAAGTCAGCACAGCCTCAATCGCCCAAGAAATCGTCCCAAAGCTTACATGTGCCAAACCGCTGGAACGTCTGGGCTCCAACGACCGATACCAGCCCAGCAGCTGCAGATAATCTAGTCAAGGACTTCATCATGGCCAATTGCAGTCGCCCGCGCTGTCAAAAGAGCTCAACCTTGATGGAAGGACCTCTGCAGCCGGACAGCTTTATATACAGCGGGACCTAAGCCCTCTGTACCTGCAGAAGCAAGCTCTCAGACAGCTTACTGCAATTTGCAGCTCGCTAATAACGCCGTGGAACCGGCGCTCCATCGTGGCACCCCGTAGCGAATCTAGCGATGGAAGGCGTGGGAAAGAAAATACACGCCGCCGACGACAATGAGGATGAACAAGCATGGTTCCCGGCCGTATAGTTCAGCGCTGCATAGCTTAAGCGCACCTCGTGCAGATGCAAGCCTTGTTAATGGCCAGGACGGTGATACGGCGCGGGCAAATGCTTGGACGACCTGCCTATTCAATGCGTGCCAAGAGACAAAGTCTTGGGTGCAGAAAAGCTAGGTATGTTGTCTGGCGGCATAAAGCGGTGGTAGCATCAGAGGTCAGCATAACGTGCATGAACCATGGTATTTGAGTGGTTCTTCGCGGGCCGTTCTGAGAGAAACGCAGCGCGGTTCTCACCGAACTCCTCTTTGCCAAGAAACGTGGTGGAATACCTCCGGCATGGATATGGCCTACCCCTCGCGTGTTCTGCGCGTGGGAATCGGCATTCCTTCTAGATCTGTGATCAATGACCGAGACCTCCACGGCACCCTAGGCCGATGCTATCACACAGGAACGCGAGGGACGCACGTGGGGACTGGTTTAACTGATTAAGTTTGTAGATTGTCATGTCTTCGTATCATCGTCTCGGTACACCAGCGCCGCGCTGTACTTCACTGGCAGCTTTCAGCGCCACCGCCCATTTTCCACAAATACGCCCAGAAATATGCTGCAGGCTATAAGACAACGATTAACTGCAGGTTAAAAAGCAAAACATGCAACGCCGGACAGCTCGATTCAGAAGCTGCCAAATCCATCGGACGGGACGATGTTGCGGATACCACGTCGCCATTGGCCATCATCTGGCCGCGGGTTATCGCCAGTAAACCAGTTCGAGCACATCCGTCTCCAGGCGTCTTCTTCTGTCCTTTGAAGTTCGATGAAGCGTAGACCAATGTCAAATTCTTCGTGGAAGTTCTCCGCTGGTGCTGCAGCATTAATGATTGGACTACCCATGCCACTGATATTTTGTCCAGCTGCTGGGGTGTTCTCGTCTTTGAGATCCTCGATGCCAGCAAACGCATCCTCCTCGTCCTCAACATCGGTGGCCGACGGCGAAAATTGCCCGGAGACATCGCGGCCGCCTTTGACCTTCAGCCACTTCATCTGCTGAGGGTCGTACACCATGCCGTTTTGGACCTGGATATTGAACCCACTGCCGGTGGCCACATGGGAGATCAGCGCTGGCCGTGAAGGCGAGGTGTTCGATCGTTGGTGGCCGCGCTCCACGCGCTCCATGTAGGATGAACGTGGCCGGAGTTGTGGGGTCGGCGTGTCCAATGGTGGGAGGTCAAATTCGCGCAGGGTGTTCTCATTGCCTTCCCAGCGAAGAGTTTGAGGATTGTATACCATGCCCTTCTCACCTGTTGACAATTAGCGGTTGTTGCAGCAGTCAAGGAAGAATGCGTAGAACTTACTCTTCGCCACGTGTGACCCGATGCCGGCGATGAGGCCTGGTCTGCGTGTGCTTTTCTGGCGCTGTGCATTGGGACTGGAAAAGGGACTCCTGGCCGCAACCTGGGCTTTCCAATTTGTGGTCAAAGGTTGAAGTGGGCCCTCACTCCGCGGCCTCGGCTGATTTGCCAGTCGCGTTTCCCGGGCAATCCTACTTGCGGCAGTGTCGCGCAGATAGCTCGGTGTTGCGGTAGGAGCATCATGGAAGCCTCTTGTTGGACTTGCGGGAGTCCTAGGTGGAGCGGGAGTCATTATTCTATCTGGGACGACCGTTATGGCGGAATTGCGTTTGCTGGCATCAGAAACTTCAGAGCGACTTTGCGTTCGTCGAAGAGTGCTCTGCTTGGGTGGGCCTCGGCCAACAGGCTGTCTGACATATTTGCTTTCTTTACTTGCTGAGGTTGGCAAGTCATCGAATATTTCGAGCTCGTTACCGTCACCAAAGTGCCGTTTCTTTATCGGCTTGGTCAAAGTGTGCTTAGCAGCAGCTTGCCTCACAAGAGCAGCAGGTGCTACATTCTCCCTTTGCCTGGAGGTCCGTGATGGCGTATCTGGAGCTATTTGGTTTGAGAGCCTCGAGCTGGGTCGTGGTGGCGGGGGCGATTGCGCGCCCTGTCTGCTGGGGTCGGATTCTCGACGTAGATGGTAGGGCATGGCACGATGTGCAGTAACATGAGAAGATTGCAGGTTTGATACACCTGCGGGTAGGAATGGCACTGATGGCTTGGAAAATGACCCGTGGCTCGACTGGTTGCGCAAAGCTGGCATCGATCTCTTCGAGCGGAGCAACTGCGCACTGGTAGTGGTAGGTCCTCTCCTATTCCGCAGCCCTTGGGAGTCGCCATTTTCAAATACTGGATCCAAACGTGATGTCTGTCGAGTGCCCGACACTGGTCGTGGGATATGTGATCTGGAGAATACAGGTTTGTTCGTCTGTTTGTCGTGGAAGTTCAGTGTGGTCGCAGGGCGCTGGGCTGATGGCGGCGGCCTGGTAGACTTCACCTGAACATTCCGATTCGTGGTACGTTTCCGCACGTTCAGCACCTCGCCGTCTCCCAGATCAAGGTCGTCGAGGAAGTCATCATGATCGTCAGGTTCCAGCTTTGACTTCTTGTGCGTCTTCATCGTTGGCTCTTGTTCGATAATAGCAGAGCTAGGCTGCGACCGGTCTGAGAGCTCTGCATCTGCAGCACGTCGCTTCTTTAGCATTTCCTGAAAGTCCATGGGTCCTTCGGGAATATCAAGTCCACCTAAGTCGTCGACCTCGCTGTCTGCGGTTGCAGAACCTAGACTAGGACTCATCACTGATGCAGAGCCGCTGCGGGCTCTCGTCTCACGTTTCCCTGCAAAGCGAATGCCCAAGCTTCCTTCAAGGTCTTCGTCGAAGTCATCGAAGCCTTCCTCGATCATGTCCGCCGAGTCCTCGGTCCTGGGCTTCAGTTGCAGCGGTCGGTCTGACATTTCGAGATCATTCTCCCAGTCATGCTCGATCTTCTGCTTCGACTTCTTCTTGCCCAGTCGTTTGATGGTGCCACCTAGAAGGGCGCTGGTGGGTACATTTTCGGGCAGGGGGATACCCGCCTGCTTCGCAGACTCAATGGCTTGGACGGTGCTCTGCTCGTCGTTCGGTGTGATGACCACGTTCCAGTCCTCATCGCCAGCCACCGACTCCGAGCGGGTGCTCATCCGCGAGGACATACTGAGAGGGCCAGTGCCGATGCTCGCGCTGCCAAACGCGTGGAACTGGCCCTCGAACTCATCGTCCTCCCATTGCTCGACCGCCATGATTGTGTGTCAGGAGGGCGGCGTGCCCGGTGTCGCGGTCGAGAGCGGCGCTACATGCGCGTGAGGGAAGCCGGGAGAGCGGAGGCGCGGACGGTGGGCTGGTAGAGTGGTTCATGCGGTTGGTGTCGCTGCCGGTGTGGGAGTACTTTGTACGTCGTCGGTCACCCATCGGCCAGAGGCTGGCAGCGGCCGCTAAAAGAGGGAAGGCGCCGTCCGCGCGTGTTCCGCGACCAAGGTGCGCGACCCTGACCACACACTGACCACACACTGACCACTGACCCTCACACTCGGCTGCCACACGATCAATCTCCCGGTTCGAGTGCACAGTTCTACAGTTGACCACGAAAGACGCGTCGCGATCGAAAATTCTGAAGTTGCATAGCAACGGCTTACGGCCAATATCGCACATGTAGATCAGGGCAGCTTCTGTCGCGTCTTCTTGCTAGCACGGCGGCGGATCCGCAGGCGGCAGGCAGGCGGCGACACCAGCACGAGCACTCCGCCAGCACCGAGCACCTTGCAGCAAAATTCTAAAACCGCCTGACTGTGCGCAGCTGTACACCGCTGACACTCATTTCTGCTTGCCTTCGTCGTCCGCGGAAGACAGTAGTCGCGTGCACCGCGTCGTTGCTAATCGCCGAACAATAGCCTTGACCATGGCACCTCCGCCAAAGCACGTCCTTCGCCTGCGTAGGACGGACAACAAGTCGGCGCACTTCCTCGTTCACGTCGCGCAGGAGGGCCGTAACGAGCTGGACCTCAAGCTCATTGGCACAGACAAGTCAGAGTTATATGTCGTCTCCCTGACTGCGGCCGACACGAAGTCCTACCAGGACCGCAATTTTAATGGATCCGAGGAAGACTTTCAGACCCTGCTCAAGTTCTCTTTCTTGCACTATCGATCAGACGCTATTTTGCCGGCCTCCCTGCAGGGCGTGGAGACTGTTGCCGCGATTAATGGCCCCACTGCCTCGATCACTATCCGCAAGAATGTCGACGGCATTACCCAACGACTCGGCACCATTCATTTGCAGGAGAACACGAGCCATACCGAGATTGATACCTTCGACTGGGTGGAGGCCGCGACTGCCGAAGCAGATGAGCTCCGTTCCCAGTTAGACGGATTGCAAATCTCCGTTGAGTCACAGAAGAATTCGATCGCTAAGCTGACCACGGAGCTGGATATGCTGGTTAGAGCTAAGAAGGCACACGAGGACGATCTCTTAAGCAAGTTCGCTGCTCTTCTGAACGCCAAGAAGCTAAAGATCCGAGATCAACAGAGGCTCCTGAATGGCGCTCAAATTGACCCTGTAGCTGCTACAGAGGTGAGCAATGCGAGGTTGTCCAGGACAACCAGGAAAGCTGGTGCCTCTCGCAGTGGCAAACGGAAAGCCAAGGCGACGCCCTCGCGCGCGCTTGATGGAGAGCAGGAGGAATCAGAGGAGGCTATTGCCGAGGAGGACCACACCATGAATGGTTCTGAGGAAGACACTTCGCGTCACGATCAAGTCACGCCGGAACCAGACCACGCAGACGCCGCAACAGAATCAGAAGATGAGGAAGTGCCCAAGCCAGCCGCTGCCGCGAGGAGATCACAGAATACTCAAGAGCGACGGGCAGAACGTTGGTGAAAAGAAGTCACCTACTGGAGCAACGAGTCTCCGGAAGCTGCCGTCGAGGGCAGCCAGAGACTCTACACCACCAGTAGCAGCGGACGTTGACGACGAAGACGAGGAAACGGATGACGAGTTACGATTAATGGTGAAAACGACATGAAGCGTGTCCGGCCTTTTTATATGCGTATGTTTTCTTCCACTTTGTGGTGTGCTTGTTCATCATGCACCAATGCGGCAATTGCTGCAGGGGTCGATCTGCGTAGTACCGCTTGTACAACAGCGGAAGAACCGAATGGACGGTACGTGTTACGGTGCTGCGAACATGTCTCGAGGGCAGTGATGTAGGCAGTAGTACTGTGAATTGACGCGCCGCATTATGCTCGCTGGCGCATGGAGCGAAGGAGTGAGTGACGCCGTCTTGTCAGCCTTACAGCTAAGCTCCAAGCCAGTGGTGGAGCGGAACGTCGGAGGCTAGAGTTTGAGAGTTGCGCGATTGCGGTTCGTCGTGCGAGTGACGAGCGATTCCTCTCCGTGTCATTGCTGTCATGCTCTCTCGTATTGTCGGCCACAGTACTCATCACCCACGCCTGAACAAGCCCGCATTATTGTCGCGCGCCCCCAGCGCCATTGTTGCCATTGTTGCCGCAACGCCCTGTCCGGCCCACGCGAGACCCTCGTTTCTTCCGCGAAACCTCACCACCACGACCGCGTCTGTCTTCCACTGGCTGCCGCCGCGCCGACCCACGTCCCTCGCGCAACCCACCGCGAGCTTCTGCTAGCTGCGGCCTCACTTCAGTCGCTTGCGACAACGTCACCTCGGCCACCACCAGTCGTCGCGCACCCATGCTGCGATTGCGATGATCGCCCGCTTGCGATAACATGCAAGACAAGCAAAAATGGATTCCCACCAGAGAGGAGCAAGCCGACCTCGAGGCCATCGATGCCGAGCTGCAGCGCATGCGCGAGCACATCACCACCGATCCCTATGTTATGACCATTCCGCAGGATGTTGAGCCGCGCTACCACCATCACTACGAGGCTCAGGCGAAGCAATGGCTGTACAGCACGCCCTTCAGCGAAGGCGAGCACGAGGCTACGCAGTACCTGACTTTCCACTACCACGAGCCAGGCAAGGGCATGTACATGTTGCACAACAGCCGGCCCATCGGTGAGCCCAGCGCAAATGGTCACCGGGACAAACCACGACCAGGAACTGGCGCGAACACACCAAGTGGCGGCGTGAAGAAGACGATCAGCTTCAGCGCATACAAGAAGGGGAAGCAGACCGGAGACACGGCAACGCCTGAGCGAGGCGCCGCAACGAGCGAGGATGCGCCGGCAAAACAGCCAGCAGTGAAAGGTCCCATTGAGCGAGTGAAGGCCGAGACGCAGGAAATGCTGGCAGCAGTGGCAGAAGAGACAGAGGACATCCAAAAGATGCAGAAAGAGAAGTCACCAGAACAGGGAGATCTGAAGCGTAAGAGGGACCAAAAAGATGAAGGACCGCAGCAACGTGAGAAGAAGTCAGAGGGCGAGTTGGCTCCCAGCAGTAAGAAGCAAAAGGTAGAGGTCCCGCCCCGAGCAATCTCGGGCTCACAGGACGCAAAGCCCTCAAAAGTACCGAAAGAGAGTAAGCTCGTCGACGGCGACAAGCACGACGCAGAGTCTGGTCTTCCGCCACGCCTTTCGCCAGGTATGCCACCGCGACTGTCTCCCGGCCTTCCGGCGAAATTGTCACCTCTGCACCCAACAGCTACACCTCCTGTGCCTGCGAACACACATGTTCAACAGGACACTGCCAAGATTCCAGAGAAGTTACCTTCAAGGCTTTCGCCATCGATACCAGAAAACATCGCCAAAGCACTCAAAGCCCGCGCCAATTCCTCAAAACCCGCAGCTTCAAGTACGATTCAAAAGGACAAAGACAACAAACTTACTCCACTGAAAAAGTCGGATGGAATATCCAAGCACAAATCTCCTGTACCACGCAATGGCCATCGTGCCAGATCCGGCAGTCCGTCGGCTCCATCTGAGGGTGATGCTAAAGCTGTGACGGTGGATGCTAGACCTCGTGACAAGAGCCCACCACCATCGCAGGACGAAGAGATTGTAGTTGCCAAAGTCTCCAAAACGAAGTCGGCTGAAAAGGTTGAGACTGCAGAGAAGCCGCGGCTGTTAGTTCGCCTCAAGTTTAGACGAGCGCGCAGAGATGACATTCTTCGAATATTGAAGATGCGCTCCAAACCAGACAAGAGTATGCTTGTCCCAACGACTTCCGCGGCAGAGCCCGCAACATTCGCGAAGCCATCTGACAAGCGGAGCGATGACCGCAAAGAGGACGCGGCAAAAGTGAAGGGAGTTGCGCAGAAGGTTGGACCTGGCAAGAAGAAGGAGAAGGCGTCGGTTGAAGAACCACCAGAGAAGCATGCCGAGAAGACAGTTCCCAAGCAGCCGGAAAAGCGGCCGGTCAAGGCATCAGAAAAGGCGGCTTCACCGAAACGAAAAGCGGAAGACGACAAGCAGGGCCCGGCTGCTAAGCGCAAGAAACTGGAGCCAAGCGATGCACGGAGGGAACCTTCAACGCCAGCACAGCGCGATGTGGAATCGCCAGCTGCTCCGAAATCAGGACAGCATAATACACCTGGAACACGTAAAGATATTCTATCGCAAGCAATGCGGCGGGAACAGTCACAGGACAGCAACGCCACGCACACTCCTCCAGCAACTTCCAGCACGCCAAGCGTCGCAGGCAACTTGCAGCCCAATGGCATCAGCAGGCCACCTTCCAGCCAGCCGAGCAGTAAGACGCCGAGGCAGAATGCTTTCGAGGTTGAGCAGAAGCGCTTGGAAGTTCTGGGCCGGGAGCTGAAGCACGCCGCAACTGCTCACCTGAACCATTCGCAGACCCCAGTGGACCAGAAACTGGCTGCCGTAAAGTCTGTGGAGTCCTTTCTCTGCTATATGTTGGCTTTCACATGTGCGGATGAAGCTGCTGCCGCAGCCGACCCCAGGCAGGTGCCACCGTATAGGCTGTGGCGCACTCTCAACGGTCTGTATGCTTTTGTCAAGCGCATCACTGACGCATATCTGCCTTTGAGTGGTTTGATCTGTTCATTGGGCGTGGTGTTCAACTCTCGCATTCTGGAAATCAGCACTGTCCTTGCGGATCCGCCTAGTCAGCACACATTCGTCGATGTGGCGCAGTTGCTGCAAAAAGCTGTCGCAGGAGCAGACGAGAAGCTTGACATCGATGCACTGCAGGATAGCTTCCCAAGGTGCTGGAAAGAGAGGGCGAAGAAGATGCCCGCGAATGATAAGCTAGATCCCACGAAGCTCGGTGGACAGTACAAGCTCCCTCTGGGACCCGCCACGACACCTGTGCGCGCAGCTCGAGCTGGGCATGCAATGTTACGAGAATGGATGGACCGAGAGAAGGTCGATTACAGCTTGAAGTTGAAGCTCTAAGGATGAGCTACGTTTGAATAGCGAAGTAATGGCGTTTAGGGAAATGGCTAGAAAGCGAAGTCCGACGCAGATCGGCAGAATACGGCATTGCGATTGAACGGACGAACACGGCGGAGGCTACATGTTTTGGTTTGTGAGCTCGATCTTTGCATCTTGAGCTGAATGACGATATACCCCCGATAGCAATTGTGAGCTACAGGACCTTTCTACGTCTTCATTAATGAGAGGGCATGAATATGAAATCATGTTTGGAAACTGCGTGCTCCTTTTTCTCCCCATCGATGCTAGACGCCCCTAGTGCTGTCATCGCGCCACTGACACCTTGATTTATGACAAGAATGAATTGCGAGACACTTCCCATTCGCTGTCGAGGAAACCCATCGCATGCACGCCTTCAAGTCCCTTGGCCAACATTCTTCGATCTGTCACCAGCCAATCTGGCTGTGCAGTTCCCGGTACCATCGGCACCAACCTCGCGGCAACCTCCAAACTGGCTTCATCGATACCCCAAACGACCAGTTCTAAGCGCTCATTCGGCATCGGCCGGAGGAATGTGGCAGCTAATCCGAAACCAGTATCATCTGTGTACTCTGCAGGCAAGTCAAAAGAATTTCGTATCGAGATACGCCCATTCTGTATTCTAATGGCATAGTCTGCAGAGTACCCAAGTGGAAGATCGTCGCCAATAACTACACTGATGATGTTTCCTGTCGCTTGAACCGCCGCATCATAGTCGGGCGTGATGGCAGTGTCGGCCGCGAAGTATTGACACAGATTTCGTGAGATCTGGAGTGCGATATGTCTCGCTTCCGACGAATGCTCGACTATTTGGAAGGCGCCTTGCGTGCGAAGAATCGAGTCCATTTGACCGAGCTGTCGGCCAAGTCGTGAGAGCGCAGTGGACGCTAGATTGTCAGACGATGCTTGTTCCATGCCCCATTCGCCCTTGCGTCTCAACACTGTCCAATTGGTGTCATTCCCGAGTGGTGGCAAGTCTAGACGCTGACTGTCCAGAATAAAGCCAAAGCAGTCGCTAAAGTGCGATGGTAGCTGGAGCATCCTGATGTTGGTCGTTCGCAGAGTGCAGCTTCCCGTGGCGGCGTTGTACAGCATTTCAATATGGCCCAGCTGCCCAGGAGTAGTAAGCTGCAATGCCTTCACACCAAACTTTGGACCAGTGTCGGCTGGTGAAGCTACCGTGAGCGTAAAGTTGCACAGTCCGCTGCGAGTGGTTTCAGGCTTGTATGACTTGAGCTGCTCCTGGTAGAATGCTCGTAATGGATCCGTAGTGAATACACCTTCCCAAAAGTGTGGATAGCCCGGCCACTCTATGTAAGTAGAATTTGCCCCCGTTTCCTGAATGTACTGATGCATGGATCTTGAATGATACGCTGGGACGTTGTCGTCTGCACCTCCGTGTTGTTGGAGAACTGGTATACCCTTTGCATTCGAAAGGAGCAGTTCGTGTCTGTAGCTATTCAACGAGGCTTGCACAATGGCTGTCCTGCTGGGATCTGCAATCTGCCAGAACGTGTAGGGCACATAGTTCTGTATCGATGAGTATCCGCTCAGTGGAGCGGCCGCGATGATGTTGTCTGGATGATGGAGAAGTGTGTACCAGGTGCCTTGCCCGCCATTGCTATGCCCTGCCACCAGCCACTTCTCGACGTCTACGCCGGGCCCCTCCCATTCATTGTGCTGGATCCAATTGATGATCATTTTTAGCGCAGCCTGAACATCTGGAAATCCCCAAGCATGCCAGTCATCGCCGCTCCATGGCGTGCCGCCAGTAGGTAGCAGCACCCAGGCCGCAAGATCTGGCAAAGGCTCCAAAGCGAGGCGAACTGAGTCCCATTCAGCTTCCACACCTGCACCGTGCAGGCCCAATAGCACAGGCAGCGAGTCGTTCTTCTGCACGGGTTCTATAGCTTTGGCGGATGGCGGTCGAAGAATTGCATATGACACGATTCCAGATGGATGAAGAAAGGTTACCTTGTGTGGTTCTCCTACACGTCGATGCACGACATCTGCAAGAACTGTCAACGACATGCCATACAGCCCGCCACGTCTAATCTTGAAGTCCAGTCTGATCTGCCAGTCCGTTCTAACGCAATCGACACGGAAAGCTATTGGTCGGGACTGTCCAGGTACAAGGCGAATTTCAGTTTCAGAGAGAATCTCTGCTAAGCAGGCGTTGTGTGTGGCTTCTACTGCATAGACACAGATGTCCACCTCGTCGTCATTGCGAAGCACGACCGATGCCCAGGGGCTGGCCAAGTGGGAGCCTTCAGTGAAGTCGAGCACGTCTGATATGAGGACTCCGTTTTGTGGTTCTAGCCTTGGATGCAGGCCTGCCCACGTTCCTGCGAGAGTGAGGGCGACCTGTAGAGAATGCCTTTCGACGCCGCCCATCGACCTGACATCGCGCACTAGTCGAATGTCAAGGCGGTGACGACCTGGCTCAAGTCGTAGTGTCGGGAGAGCTCTGCCATAGCTATAGAAGTCGCCACCAACATAGCGAATGTCGTCGAGCACAAACTCAAGGATCTGGGGCGTGTGCAGTGTCAGTAGCTTGACTGCTCCAGGCTGCACAACAATTTCGCCTCGGAGCCAGGCCTGCCATTGGTACGCAGTCCAGCCATACACGTTGCGTAGGCTCTCCCAATCAACACTGTTGAAGTCTACCAGGAGCACGACGCCAGCGTGTGCATTGTCTGGCTGTGTGAGGTTACCGGAAATGGCTTTCCAGCCTACAGTGCCATTCGCTGCCAGTGAGCTTGGGAATGTGGCATTCTCGTCATACTGTAGCGACCGAAATCCGCCATGGTGCTCGAGTGGATCAGCTCCCCACACGGCTTCTAATCCTCATTCAGTATCAGCCGTCATAACAAGATGGCATTTATCGCACCTCGCGTGCCAATCTGAAATGGGCCCAAGACAGACCAGTCTTCCGAGAACCGGTACTGGAGCGATTGGGCATTGGCAGCAGGGTCGTTCAAGGCTGCCTGCAGCGGGACTCCATAGCCCGCCAGCAGCGAGTACAGGCTACTGATGAGCAGCATGAGAACTTTGGCACGATGCGGAAGCCCCAGTGAGGACCGAGGCGCAGGTTGTCATTGGACGCGTGGTGGTGATGTGTCGATGAGGCGTCGTACCGAAGTCCGAGAGACAGCTGCCCTGCAGGAGGTACCAGACAACAGGTATCTCAAGGCTAAGCATGCAAGGATGCTCAAACTTCTTTTGATAGACTTTGCCGCATTGCTGTCACTGTCGTCTCGTCGTCGACATTCCTCTCGCGCGTACGAAGCGTACAGACTCCACTACATCCGCGACGAGATTGCGCGCCAATCAGGCCGATCGACGCGATAAGGACGCACCCGCTGGTTCCCTGTCCCAGCGGCCACCTCTCGTCTTTCCGCTGCACGCACGACACGCACGACACCACGATGGATTAATGATTCGCACATTCACCTGCGATAGCAATGGTCCCACATGCAACCGGAGGCTTCGAGCGCCGGCGCTCGTCCTCGGTGAAGCCAAGCCCTGTGAAGACGAAGTTTCCCGACTTTGTCCAGGAGCAGGCCACGTTCGAGGACGAGTTCGAAAATCCATCTCGGGGCCCGAGCCCAAAACCTCTTCCTAACGGCCTCCCCGCCGGACTACATTCTAGCGAGCGATGGCCTGCGAAGAAGGCCAACACGAACCTATGGAACGGCTGGGAACCACATGGCCAAGGGGCCACAGGGAAGGCACGGCATGGCAGGCAAAAGAGCTTGAGTGAAGCGATAAATGCAGTCAGGACGAGAGGGCGCGGCGCGAGTATCACGGACAACGCGCATGAGATTGCAGAATCGCTCAAGGCGCCCATCTCCTTTAAGCTCGTTGTAGGTGCAGACCCCCCAGACTGGAGCACACCACAAGGCTGACATGCACGACGCGTAGGGGCTATGCGTGTTCTGGTACATGACATCGATCGTTACGAACGCCTCATCAAAGGCCATCTTGACCTCATTGCCGATGCCCGTGACGCTGACCATTGCACAATTCGGCCTGGTCTCTTTTTGGTGTGTCTTTTCGGCATGGTTGGCTAAGCGTAACGCTTCTGTACGGAATGCCCTGCCTGTGCTCAAAACCGGAATCAGGAAACCGAGCAAGGAGATCATTATGGCGACGCTACCTCTCACGGCTTTCCAAATCGGTGGTCATATCCTGAATTCAGACGCGATGTCGCGGATACCGGTCTCGCTGGTGCATACGATCAAGGGATTGTCGCCTCTGATGACGGTCATGGCCTATCGAATATTCCTGAACGTGCGATACTCGATTCCTACATACCTATCGCTGATTCCTTTGACCCTTGGAGTTATCTTGGCGTGCTCAGCGAGTTTCCGAGCCAATTTTCTGGGACTGGTCTATGCGTTCGGCAGTGCAATCCTTTTCGTGACGCAGAACATCGTCTCCAAAAAGATCTTCACGGATTCTGCAAGAGCAGAAGCAGATGGCGTTCCCCTGGGTCGCCGGAAGCCGGACAAGCTGAACCTGCTCTGTTACTCGTCTTTGATGGCCCTCATCATTACATTCCCGATATGGGTGTGGTCGGAAGGCATCACTCTTCTAGGCGACTTCCTGTACGATGGATCGATCGACCTGACTGTGCGACCGAACTCTCTGGACCACGGCCGCTTGACAGTGGAATTCTTATTCAACGGTACTTTTCATTTTGGCCAAAGTCTCGTGGCCTTTGTTTTACTAGGCATGACCTCACCGGTCACTTACTCGGTAGCGAGCTTGATCAAGCGCGTTGCTGTCATCTTATTTGCAATCGTCTGGTTTGGAAATCCGATGAGCGGAACTCAAGGATTTGGCTTCTTCCTCACATTTCTCGGCCTGTACTTGTACGATCGTACATCGGATGCGGATAAGCAGGATCGCAAGGTGCGCGAGAAGGATGCAGCTGGCGATCATCTGTTGCCGTTGAGTGTCGGCGATGCGAAGAAGAATGATGCTGGGCCTGGGTTCACTGCGTCGCCTTTGGCAATGAGTAATGGCGGACATATCTTCGGCGGGATGAGCGGCTATGCGATAGGGAGTTCCGACGCTGGTAGTGGCCCAGGCAGGCCGAACAATGTCTCCTCGAATGCCAACGGCTCACCGGCATCTCTCGCTTTAGGGACCAAGGCGCAAGAGACTTGGGGTCCGGGCGACAGGGCAAGAGAGCACACGACCGACGGCAATTATCCGCCATAGAGCCCTCCAATCGAACTTATGATGCACTGTGAACTAGTACGACTTTCCCATATCACCGTCTTGTTGAGGTGTGTCCTTACATGCATGTGTCTCACCTCGTGACTGTTCCGTGTACGCCGTTGCCAAGCAATATCTCGCATATGTGTGCCTGCTAGGTGCATTCTCTTGGTGCTTTTGTGGCATGACCTGTTCCATTCGCATCACAAGTGAGTGGAGATTAGTCGGCATCACCGTGTCAAGTGGAAAATGAGTATTCAAGCAAAGCCATAGCTTCAGGGACTATACAAAAATTCTCCTTGGTATCACCTTGCTGCAAGCGCGTACACTTGCATCCCCAACCCCCAGGATTCTTCCTAGATCTGAACACATGCAGAGAGATCGATCTCAAGCTGCCATTTCCCCTTGCCACGTTCACCTGGGGTAACTGACCTCCATACCCAGCTTCAATGCCACTACATGGTAGACGTGCAAAGTCACATCCATACGAGGCTTCTCGATTGCTCCGTCTATGCCTTCTTGGCAATGCTACGGCGAGCCTTGATTGTCGCGTCGTAAAGGGCATCCTTGAAGGCAAACAAGAACGCAGCTGTGATGACAGACTGGGTGACCTTAGGTCCAATACCTAGCGTATAATGTCAGACACCACAGACATGGGAAGAAGACATGCATGACTTACCGCCATAGAGGCCACCAACACCCTCCTCCTTGTAGATCCTCTTCAAAGTGGCAGTCATGCCCTCCTTCTTAGCGTCGTTGCTAGCAACGTGTGCTCGCGACTTGACAGTAATATATGGGTATGTGATCGAGGTTGCGGCAAGCTTGCCCAGTGCACCGAGCAAGAAGCTATCAGTTGGCCCGACCTTCCGCCTCTTCTCGAGAGCTTGCTTCAGCTGCTCAAAGATGGTGTACTGCAAGATCGGGTTCATGACCAGCACTAAAGCTGGCAGCACACCTGCGAAGAGGCGCAGGAAGCCATCCTCACGGATGATCTTCATGAGGGTTGAGATAGTGCCAGGCTGCTTAGCCTTCTGTGGCTTCTCCCCCTCTTTCGTGGGAAGCGACTGGTTGGCTTCGTTCTCGCGTGCAGTCATGCGGGTGTTGATGACCCAGATGGGGTTTGTGATCATTACTGTCGCAGAGCCAGCGAGAGCACCGGCTGCCATAGACTCCAGAGTGCTCAGCTGCTTCTTGCCTGTGGACCTTTGGAAGAAGGCACGGGAGAACTCATACCCTGCCGTACATGTCAACCTTTGCAATCAAGCGCGTGGAATAGGCGCAACGCACAGTAGTAGTATACGAAGTTGGTGATCGTGATGCCGAACAATGCACTGTCCAGACCGGCATACAAGCCCACGACACCTTCGCGATCGATGATGCGCCTGGCGGCGTCCAGTGTTCCCGTGGAAGCCTTCTTCTTCTCGACTTGCGCTCGGGTCGATAGGGTGATCAAGGGATATCTGCATTGCTCAGTTGTCTATTTCCTAGCTATTGCGGCCGCATTGCGCCTGGGACTAACGTCAAAGCCATGGACAAGAGGCCACCTCCCGCTCCTGCCAGAGCGTGCGCGACATTGTCGCTCTGCTGCTCGGCCGTCGTCTGCTGCGCTGCACTTTCCTGCGACCTTGTCTTAGCCGACATTCTTTCGTTGCTTCTGCAGAGGGCGAAGATTGCTGGAGCTCACTTTCTGCGACATGTTGGCGGGCGGAGGTCTTGATGAAGGTAGTACGGCGTCCCGAGTGTCGGCGACGACGGTGGAGGAGCTGCGCAAGGATTAGAGGAAGTTGGAGAATGAACCTGGCGAAGGCACGCCGGGTTCATCAAGTCACGGGCAGCTTTGCCTGTGAAATGCGTTCATACCGAGGCTCTGCTGTCACGACTTCCAGTCGATGTCATTCCTTCCCCGGCTTTTCCCTAACGTGGAATTTCCATCATTGTGCTCATATCGGCCTCCGTGGCAGCGACACGTCTCCGGCGCGTCTTCCAAGACACGAAACTGTAACGCTATTCAGCACTTTGTTCAGACCGCTCCTCACACCTCAGCCAAACACTGCAAACATGGAAGATACCGTGGAAGATCAGCTCGATTCGCAAGATGTGCTCCAAGAAACACCCCCGGCAGATGTCTTCATTGCCCCTTCCATACACCGCGACCTAGTCCTGGCTGGAGACAGTTATACACATCACTCTGCCATTCCAAGAACAGTTCGCGATGACATGACCACGGAGTGTGTCTTGGGCGTGGATGAGGCCGGTAGAGGACCAGTTCTCGGTACATCTTACGCCAGCTCGTTTGCACGTCACTGCTAACATCTTCCTCAGGCCCCATGGTATACGCCTTGTACTACTTACCTCTATCAATGCACAGATCACTGCTAGCAGACAAGTACAAATTCGATGACTCCAAAGTGTTGACACCAGCTTTCCGCTCTGAGCTCATGGAAAAGATCTGCACTCCTGAGACTGATCTCTACGAACACGGAGGCTGGGCTGTGAGATCTATGTCGGCCAAGGACATATCCTCCGCTATGATGCGACCGAACGGGATGTATAACCTCAATAATCAAGCAATGGACGCTACCATAAACCTGATCCAGGAGGTACTTGATTCTGGAGTCAATATTCGCGAGATCTACATCGATACGATTGGAAAGCCGGAGATTTATCAGAAGAAACTCGAGAAGATATTCCCAGCACAGAGCATTACGGTGGCCAAGAAGGCTGATAGTCTCTATCCCTGCGTTTCTGCAGCGTCTGTCTGCGCCAAAGTCACGAGAGACGCTGCACTAGATGTGCTCTATACCGCCTACACAGATGGCGACGACTCCGGAGAAGTTGCTTGGGGATCAGGGTATCCCAGCGATGCCCGTTGCGCCGGCTGGCTCAAGTCTAACATGGATCCGGTATTCGGTTGGGGCAACGAATGTCGATTCAGCTGGTCTACAGTGAAAGATATGCTGGAGGCGAAAGGAGCTCCTTGTCGAGCCGACTGGCCAGATGCTGATGAAGACACGGACAATATGAAACTGACCGGGTTCCTGATGGGCGCTGGCGATGATAAGGAGGACGAACTTGGCGCATGGTATGGCCGTAAAGTGACTGAGGCCGTGTTCTGAGGCAGCATTTCTGGTGGCTTAGCCCTTGTCTGAGTGGACGACGTGCCACACCAGCCTTCATTGACGCGTGATGGCTGAGCTCGCTCTATTCTCTCATGCTAAGCTCCAGGAATTCCGTGCAAGCAGAGACGAAGAGAAGGAGCTTTGATGAGCGGTATGAGATTGCTCTTGACTCAGCAAAGTTGCAGCCTATGGCGCATTCGGAGAGTACTTGCGAACGCATGCTGAAGACAGCAGGAATACTTTTTCCATTTGGGGGTTCGAGGGTTCATCGCTGGCCTTGAGCGTGCGAGTCTGGCACTGAGAAGGACAGCACATCTGGATTCCTCTGAGTCACCACCACGAACTTCCCGCCTGAGTCTTGTGGATGCTTGCTGTGTCAGAAGACTTGAAGCATCATGTGCTCATTATTCAATGCTGCATACTATGATAGCGTTGGGCGTGGGCTAGAGGGCTTGGAGCCGATGTGTCGCCTCGCAAGAAATGAGGCTGCGTTCGGCGTGGCCCATTTACCAGATCCCCACTACTTGCGTAGAAGAGTGATGTAGAAGAATGTTACTTGGTAGCATAGCCGACCTCGGGGCAGTATGGAATTCAGCCACCATATGTGCTACGCTTCTGGATGCCATGATCATGATCAGATCCGCTCTTCACAAGCGGCCACACATCGGATGTACCTTATTCCCTATACCTGCAGCACATCTCACATGCTTGCTCCTGGCCAACTGACCTTACTCCACAATGATCATCCTCGACAGCAGCAGCTTGACCAGGCTCACCGCTGTCAAAGGTCTTACTCGTTACCAGCGACGTCTTGTTGCATTTGCCACAACAAAAGTCCTTTGAGCCGACGCCAGCCATATTATAGTTCTCACGCTCTGAATAATACAAACACTCATACACCTGCCCGCCTCACCATCACAACAAGCTTGCTTGCTTGCAAGCGCCTGAGTGGGGACCTCTCTCCTGGTGCTCGAGCTACAGCCTACGAGAGATCTCCCACCAAAATAGTAAGAGAAAAGAGCTCCAGGCTGACCGCGTCAAATCCCTCTTGGCACGCTCAACATCCGCAAGCTCACCACAAGATTTCCGGAAGGTGACCTTGTGTGGACTACAGTATGTACATCATTATGAAAGCGGATCCGCTGATGAGGCGTACAACTCGTCAGCTCCAGTCTCTCCAACGAAACGAAGCGGAATTTGCCGCCACTAACTACCTTCGCATACTCAACACCCGCAAGAAATAAAAGGACAAACTACTAGTCCATTAAAGTGGTGATGTTGCATCCGTGCCGAGACCACTCAAAAGTTGGAACTCTTCCACCTGCCCTTAGAAGACAACCACAGTACGACTTTGCGGAAGTTCGATCCTATATCTGTCTAGTTCGAGGAGCACTGGCCAGGAAGCTTGTCTCTTGGCTTTCGCGCGTGGCGGTTAATTGTCTGTCCAATCGGAGGGGGTTCTGCAGACACCAATGACAGTTGCGCTTATTGACGGGGCAAATCCTGCCGCCGCTGGCACTTTTTTGGCTCTGGCTTTTGGCTCTGACATGGTGGCTAGTTAGTCCGTCGGTGAAGAATGCATGCAGACAATGTGATCAAGTTTCGAAGGTCTAGATTTGCTACCCATGTCGATTGAAGAGAAAGATGGTATACGATAGTTAGTGGTGGTAACATTCGATTTCAGTAGAAACATATTCTATTACAGCGTGTGTTTGATTCATAGAAGCTAAATCATTCTTTGCTCCGTAGTAATTGATATAAATAATATACAATCTTCAAAGGCAAGTTGTCGCCTTGTTCATCATTTGCTCCCCGTTCATAAACGCCAGTGTTGGACAAAATTTGATCTATTGTGCATACTCGCCGTGGGGTATCACGCAGACCGCTTCAAAACGCTAAAATGCAGAAAGAATTGTTGCAAGCAAAGCTGTTGCTGCAGTAAAGAATTGAAACGCTTGAACGCATCATGTAGCCTTCCCAGTAATTCAAGGGGTAGTAATCAAATGAGGCCGTGAACTCCTCTTCCAGTTTCGTGTCGCGTGACGGAGCCGTGGTCGCTGAAGGTTGGTTCAGTACTCAAAAGGTACTCCATACCATGCCTCCCTCCGAACGAGCCATGCTGCCGATGCGAACATCGTCAGCCTGACGCATCTGGCCTGGGATGGGCATGGCAGTGCCTTGCGAGCTGTTTGTGGACTCCGAAATGGAACTCGCGCGGGAGTGGTATAGTTTTCTGACGATCTTGTATTCGTCATAGCAAGGATCGCATGCCTTGCTGAGGTGGCCTTCAGGATGAATGCGTGCATTCTGGTCGAGAGGGATCACCGATCGAACGTGGTTGTAGCACACGACATTGCCGCACCGTCGACAGTGATGTCTGCGAAAGATCCAGCCAAAGGTCTCCTTGCAGACAGAACAGCTCTTTGCAGACTCGTCAGGCTTCCAGTGTGCTGTCGTTGGCGTGCCTGTGACTGGTCCCATCTCTTCCAATGAAATGGTTTCGCTCGCAGCTCGGCTCAACCCTCGTCGCAAAGATTCATGATCGCTGTCGCTCGGGCCCAGTTGGAAGCGTGCGAAATCTGTCGCAGCCGGTGAATCGAGCTTGCCCGCATCGAAGCTGCTCTCGTTGCTCGCTGGTGGGGTGTCGGGCGCACGTGGCCGCCCGGGGATGTCGGTGGGTCGCGCAATCTTCTCGTTCGGGCGCAGTGCAGCTGGCACGTACAGCGGTTGACGGGGCTGACGCAGCTGGCGCACGTTCGCGTGATAGTTCGTAGGCGAGATGTTTTGTGAGGGTGGTGTCGTGGCTTGTCGACCACCAAAGGTGAACGCCTCGGGCGGCGATGGTCCGGCTGAGGGATTCATGTAATACTTGGAGTTGTTCGGTTGGGCAGTGATCGAAGTTGTTGCCATCATGGTGCGGTTCTAGACAGGCAGGCTGACAGCAGCACAATCGGCATCTGAATAGTGTCGAGTTGTTCGGGTGTTGGGGCAAGAGTTGCGGCAGCAAGAATCGGCGACCGAAGTGAAGACAATGGCCAGATCAACAATGGCAGGCAAGCTTGGGTGCTGCGCCAATATAGGCCGACCGAGCCCCGGGGATTTTGGTATCGAAGCGGTCTGGAGATAGCCTGAGGGTGACGGCGGAGGTGCAGCAAGGAACCAGATCTAGGTGTAGATCAGTTCCCAGGGACCAGGCGGCCGACGGGCGTGAGGGATACAGATAGGGAGTTTCGGGGAGTCTTCCTGGCCAGTGCCAACGTCTTGGTTATCAGCAAAGGAATGACGGGCAGACGGGAGTCGCATGGGAAGACGGCGGTGGGCGAGAGTGCAGATGGTATATCAGAGTACAGTCCAGTCCAGTAGCCCCGAAACCCTGCCAAAGCCAACGGTCCACGGCACCAAGCTTTGGCACACGGCCACGGCGGGCCCAACGCGATTACCTACAACAGGCAGGCTCTCGCGTGTGGCCACTCTGCGCCACTGCGACGCTCGAATGCTACCGCCAACCATTCGCCCGTGCAAATGGCCGAGCACTCGGCGCTGCTCTTTGCGCGTGATGCCTCTCCGCCCACCGCCACCTTCAGCACAGCAACGACGAGCAGCGCGCGGAGCTGTCACGGGCAGACTGTGGGAGCAGTGCTCGCCTCGCTGTGATACTTCGGCTGCTTTGGTGGGAGATTGACGCATTGCTGCACAACCTTGTTCCTTCCATTTTTTTGCCCCGCGCTGATTGGACATATCTGTCGTCCTTATCTTTGCTGCTCCCACAACGGCCTAGCGCGGGCGGGCGCGATATGCGGTAACCAGGATCATCACGTACCGACGCAAGCAGGGTTCGCTCGAGACTTGCTGAAACGAGAGACGTATTCCCCAGCGGCGACCTGCCATCGATAAAGCTAGCGTCCGGCGATTCGCTCGTCCGATGTGTCTCTGATCTCCACGGCGCAACGATGCCGCCACACGTGAAGCAGCATTGGAGTTGTTTGTCGAACGTGTAGAGTCCTCGTTTTGAACATGTCGCAAAGTTCGTGGTTGTCAGCCTCGATGCGCGCACATGCTGGTCGTATACGTCTTACAGGGTCCCTCTCACACGCCGAGTCGCCGACGAAGATGGAGTCGGCCGTCCTGCCGAGGCATCCCCCCAGCAGCAGCCTGGACTTGTATAATAAACGTCGTAGTCACATCGCCCCAGTTGCGGCCGGAAGAGGGCTATACATATTCATCAATCTGTTGTACTGCACATTCGCTACTGCCATCGCTACCGGACGAGTTGTTGGAGGCCGTAGAACGAAGCTGTACCCGGGCTGACACGGCATCGCGCGCCGCTGCGAATCTGTGATCTTTGATCACTGATCGGGATTCTGATACGACTGCCACCCCTCCAGCACCTCACCTCTTGGAAATCCGAGACCGGGCAATACGGGCCGACCACTGCCTGCCTGTCTGCGTGACTTTAGGCTTCGGAAGATAAGAACATGTCCGCAGAAGACACAACATACAATGTGGCCGACACCCCTCTGCCGCCAGCGCCCAAAGAAGACCCCTTGAGCTCCGAGCAATGGAGGATTTTGTCTGCCGTCGCGGACACAGTAGTGCCGGCACTCACCCGCGGTCTAAAGGGCACCGACCGTCTGCTACAGCATCCGCTGCGCGAGGAAATATACGATGCTGCCGGCAAACGCATCAGAGCTCTCGCAAAATTTAACGACGGCGATGAGACGGCGGAGCGCTACCTCAGCGAGAGCGCTGCCGCTCATCCGCTGTTCAAGGACATGATCACCCGAATGGTTGCATGCAATATGAGCGATACAGCCAAGAATGGGCTATTATTCATTCTTACCGCCCTGAAGTAAGGATTTCTCCACTCTTAGTTTCGCTTCGTGGTGATGAACGTCGCATTACCCGTTTCGGCCACTATGGCCGCGGTCGGGAGGCTCCTTCTGCACAAGCAAAGAACGACGAGGCTCATCCGATCGAAGTCCGATGTTCTGCCTCCCCCAATAACGGCGCTTCTTTTTATTGAATAGACGTCAGCTGACGCAAACTTCTCTTCTCTAGTACGCGAGCCGGTGCATTGCTGCTCACGGGCCACACGACGCCTTTCTACGGCCTACCAGTCCGCGATCGCGAGAAGGTCATCCTCGGATGGGGTCAGTCTCGTATACCACTGCTACGCGGCTTGAGCAGATCATTCACTGCGCTGTTTCGTGTCATATGGTTGAGAACATCTCCGACACTTGAAGCAGTACTGGGCTACCCGAGGGCTCCTGTGTATGCGCAAGCCGCACCGATTGGATATGGTTTCCATTTCCTCCAGATTCCCCCAAGCACTTCAGCTGAAGCCGAAGTGATCGAGACAGATGTGCTCATTGTAGGCAGTGGTTGCGGAGGCGCGGTCGCAGCAAAGACCTTGGCCGAAGCGGGCCAAAAGGTGCTTGTTGTCGAGAAGCAGTACTACTGGACTCCTGAACACTTCCCCATGGGTGAACGTGAAGCCGGTCAACACTTGTTCGGCAATGGAGGCGTAATCCTTTCCGACGACTCCAGTATTAGTGTTGTAACAGGGACAGCCTGGGGAGGCGGAGGCACAGTCAACTGGAGCGCTTCACTGCAACCTCAGGGGTTCGTGCGAAGAGAGTGGGCTCAAAAGTTCGGCCTCACTCACTTCACAGGCTCTGCTTTCCAGGCGGATCTGGACGCCGTGTGCGATCGTATGGGCGTGAGCACAAATAACATCACTCACAACAAGGGCAATCTGGCACTGCTAGAAGGCGCCAGGAAACTCGGATGGAGCGCCAAAGCTGTAGCACAGAACACCGGAGGCGAAGTCCATCACGACGGATTCTGCACAAGAGGATGTCGTACTTGCGGCAAGAAAGGGCCAACTGTGACCTTTTTACCTGATGCTGCCGATGCCGGTGCTACCTTCTTGGAAGGCTTTGAGGTGAGTCAGATTCTATTTGATGAGAAAGACGCAACTCTGGCTACGGGCGTCAAAGGTATCTGGACCTCGCGCGATGGCATGGGCGGCCTTGCAGGCGAAGACCGAACACGTCGCGAAGTGATCATCAAGGCCAAACGCACAATCATCTCCGGCGGATCAGTGTACACGCCTATCCTGCTGCAGAAGTCCGGTCTGAGCAACAAGCACATCGGCCGGCATCTCCATTTACACCCAGTAAACATGGTCGCCGCGGTCTGGGACGAAGACGTCCGCCCCTGGGAAGGACCCATTCTCTCAACCGTCGTCAACGAATTCGAGAACATCGACGGAGACGGCTACGGTGCCAAACTCGAATGCACAACCATGCTGCCCAGCTCCTTCCTCCCTCTCTTCGAATGGCAAGGAGGTCTCGACTTCAAAGAATTCACCGTCAAAATGCGACGCATGACAGGCTACATATCTCTCGCCCGTGATCGCTACGGTGGAAGAATCTATCCCGACGCCAAAGACGGAAGATGTCATATCCAATATACTCCCAACGCATACGATCAAAAACACATCTTGGAAGGCGTCGTCCGTCTCGCCGAAATTTTGTACGTGGAAGGCGCAAGAGAAATCTACGCCGCCGTACCAAATATTGGACCTTTCGTGCGTCCATCAGCAGATGCAGATTCTAAAGTCTCTATGCACGCCAACGCGAGTCCTTCGGTCACGGATCCTGCTTTCGCTGCTTGGATTGCCAAAGTTCGATCGAATGGTTTTCCTTCACCTGGAACAGGCTTCTTCTCTGCTCATCAAATGGGTTCGTGTAGGATGGGCACTTCACCGAAGAATAGTGTCGTCGATTACAGAGGACGGGTATGGGGTACGCAGAATTTGTACATTGCAGATGCTTCGGTGTTCCCGTCTGCAAGTGGTGTCAACCCGATGATCACGAATATGGGAATTGCGAGAGGTATTGCCAGGGGTATCGCCGAAGAGGCTGATCGGGAGAATGTTGACCGTTTCAACGCTGTTAACACTGGAGTGAAAGCCAGGTTGTAGGGAACGAGATGGATCTGCAAATTCTGGGAACAGAAGCAGGCTAATGTAGTTTCTTTCGGACAATGTTGTACAAATAGACTCCATAGAGCCCGTACACATATATATCATTATGATAATACACCTCCCCTCCGCCTCGCATATTCTTGTTCAGCTCTCAACAAAGGACTACCAACAGGGCGATCCTTCCTGAAATCATCCCTATTGACATAGCCCTCATCCTGCAAGATTCCAGTCGAGTGAATAAAATCCCAGAATTCCGTCAAACCAGTCTTCGAAATTCTTCCCACTTGATCTCTCATCACGAGTCTCGACTCGTCAACCAGTGTTCTGAGTTTACTCCACATTTGTCGATCAGCATAAACGCGAGCGACACTCTCTCGCGCTTTCCAGCCTGGTTTCTTGCCCGAAGCTCGACATGCGCGCATGAACTCTTCCATGGGACCAACACCAAGCAAGTGATGGTTACGAGCATAGCCTTCAATCATTCGGTCGAAGAATACCACGTCAATGTTGGCCATAAAGCCTTGGCCCTGATCTTTCACTTGACGCCATAGGTTCTCGATCGCAGAGAAGTCGGGTTGTGGTTGACGAGCGAAGTAATAAGTCATCAGGATCGTGTAGATGTGTGCTGTGGGTTTGTGGCCATTCGAAGTCATGTGAGCGAAGACTGCGGCTGCGGCGGTGTCGTTGCCATAGTGTTTCAGCAGGCGGTCAATGATCATCGCGTAGCCCATGGAGTTGATGCCTGGTAAGCCGCTGTCTTTGTCCGCAAGCGCATCTATAAACCCGATGATCTTGGCTTCTTGAGCGTCTTTGGAAAGGTTATCAAGGAATCCCTCTTCGAACAAGGAAGTCAGGAGTACTGTCCACGTGGTGGTGTCTGCTTGAATGCCCCGTTGTTGCATCTGACGGAGCACAGCAAGAGCGTCGTCGGCGCGCTTTCCCTGCATGGAGATACTGATGAGGGTGTTAAAGGTAGCGAGATCGGGCTCGATGCCAAAGGATCGTCCCCATGTGAAGACTTTTGGCACTTCCTCTGGCCTGACTGCAGCCAGTGCCGCCATCGCAGCGTTCATGATTTCCAGATTCGGTCGAGGCACGCCATCAACAGGTCCTGGGAACTTGCTCAGCAGCTCAGTAAGCAGGTTTTTGCTTCCAGCAAGCTGTTTTTGGAGGACTGGATCGGATGCTGCTTTAGCCTTGGCCGCGGCGAACCATTCCCTGCCCATTTCGCTCAATGCCTGCATGCCCACCTTCACGTTCCTGAGCTTTAGCAGTGCAAAGATACGTATGGACCAGGTATACTCGTCAGGTTGTAAGCCGGCCTGGCGCATTCTGTGGAAGAAGGCCTCCATCCCTTGTACGTCTCGCGCATTTTGCGCACCTCGCATCATGGCAGTGTATGTCTTCGTAGTGGGCTTGATGCCAAGCCGAAGCATGTGATGCCAGATCTCTACGGCTGTCTTGGTATCTCGCAAGGAGAGAGACGCCAGCAGCATATGCTCGTACAAGTCTAAGGGCAATGGCTCGCTGTCCTTGTGCTCCTCCGAATATCTATAGACCTCATTCACGATCCTGGGAATATTTGCCACATTCTGGTTCTGCATTGCGCGCACAAGCCTGTCCATTTGACGATATGCGAACTGCTCGGCTTTTGATCTAGCAGGCACAGCTGTGTGGCCATTGTCCAGAGCGACCGCGCCGCCAGTGGAGGGATCATGGCTACTAGCAGGAGTGGACAGCTCAGAATCGAGCACATGAGCTGGCTCCTGGGTCACTGCAGTGTCTCGAGCCTCTCTATTCTCCAGTGCTGCCGATAATGACGCTGTGCTGCAACCTACGCGTTCGAGCATGTCTTTGATGTGGTCGCTAATCTCCACATCCTCTTTCGAAATTAGCGCTCTCTCCAACAACGACGGCACGCGAGGAGGGCCTGCCATCTGCAGAATGGCTTTGAGTAACTTTGCCAGCGCGGCATACGGGGCGCGTGTTGCTAGAGATACAGTAGTACCGTCGGTGGACTTGTGTTCCGTGCCCCTGAGCAAGTCCAAAGTCACCAGAGCAGCACTCGCAAAGTCCGAGCGCGAAGGGTCGTGGTTTTTGGCAGCATTCCACGATGGTCGTGCCTCTGGGAGCAGAACGTATAGCATATTCTCGAATGCGGTATCGGACGCCCGATCCTGCCAGGAGCTGAAGACAGTGGCAGATGGAAGAAAAGTCCAGTCATCCGTGGCATAGGCCACAGAAGCGATGGCTTGCAGCTTTCCCTCGGTGAAGACGTCGCCAAACGACTTGCGGGTCAAGTGTCCACCAATGCACAATCGCCAGATACCCATGAGCTCATCTATGCCTCTACGAAGTCCCTGCTCGTGTTGCTCGGCACCTTTCGCACGGAGATGCAACAATCCCCTTGCTATCTGCCAGATCAGGGGCCGGTAGTACAGGGCCTTCGTCACGTAGGCATTGTGGAGCAGCAGCATCATTTGATATGGCGTCGGGCCTGGCGGGGCTGGATTCGGTGTGTGTAAGCTTTGCAGCCATTGTTCAGTGGCTCGATGCAGCAGTACGGCGAAGGTGCGCGATACATTGGTGATGTTCAACCAGGCTCCTCGCATACGCGGCACTTTGTTGCGGTACACCTGATCCAGGCGCTGCAGAGCATTCCATGTCGCCAGCAAGTCGGGGCCCTTAGAGCAGCGAAGCAGTTCGTCCACGAGCACTTGAGTCTCGGGCGGCAATGGGCGAGCCTCTGTTACGACTGCAGAAGAGACGGGTCGTCGTATGCTTCGTTGTCCTCTCTCCGCTGGCTGCTGGAGCTGATTGAGGAGCTGCTCTGGCCGCAGCTCCCTCCGCGAGTATCGTCCCGAGCCTGATGGGACATCGCGGCGTTGCGTGCGCTCTTCTGCCCGGCCAAACGTACTTTGTGATAGCGCTCGCAGCGCCGTCGATCGGAGGCGACCGCTCTGCGCAGAAACGGCGAGGCGACAGGTGCTGCAGACGTAGGGGATGGACATGTCGTCCGCAGCAACAGAGCTCCTTCGCGCGCAGCTCGACTTTCCACCAGCGGACTCCCGAGCTCGCCGCCGGACCCAATTCCCCAATGGCCGACCCGCATCTTTCACGTGTCAGACGCCGATCCCGCGCACGCGTCACTTTCCCGTCTGGTTGCTTGCCAAAATGTTCGTCATTGCCATTGCGTTTGCCTGCGCTGCGCAGGAACGTAGAGCTCGCTGCCCTTGAGCTGCGTGTCGCCTCATACCACCATGACCACTCTGCAGCCTCGCGCGCCGTACAGCGAAGCAGACCTCGCAAAGCTGTACCCGGCCAATCTGCAGCTGCAACAAGTCCAGATTCTCCTCCGCCATGGTGAACGCACACCCGTCTCAGCTCGCTTCCAGAACGCAGGTCTGCATGCAACTTGGCCATACTGTCGCACCGCCAACCAATTGGCGACAACTATTCTGGCCGCCGATGGCTCGTGGGATACTCTGCAATGGAAGCAAAGATTGGAGACGTTTGGCTCGGCGGACACGCCCAAGCTAGCGGCAGGTCCAAAGGGAGAGATCGATGCGGTGTGTCAACTGGGACAGCTCACAGACAGAGGCAGAGAGACGACACTCGCACTGGGTCAGCGGATACGAACGCTCTATGTGAATCAACTCGGCTTCCTGCCGAGCTTCTTGGACGAACAGAACAAGTCAAAGATCAGTCTGCGAGCGACGCCGATACCAAGAGCATTGGAAAGCGTGCAACAGGCTTTCGTTGGCCTCTATCCTCCAGCCTCTCGCTCTCCTGGTCTGCTTCCTCTGCCCATCGTGCGACGAGCAATCCAGGATGAGACTCTCTTCCCCAACGAAAGCGGGTGCAAGCGGTTTGCAGAACTCGCACACCAGTTTGCAGACCGTGCAGCCAAGCTGTGGAATGATACAGAAGAGATGGATTATACCAACAAGAAGATCGGGAAATGGATGCCCGAAGAGAGCCCCAAAGTGCAAGTGGATTCCCATCCTCGTCTTTCAGGTGTCATGGACTCCATCAATGCCACTTTGGCGCATGGTCCAAACACGAGGCTGCCTGCTGAGTTTTATGACGACAAAGTGCGCTCTCACGTCGATCGAATTTGCGTGGAAGAATGGTTTGCCGGGTACCAGGAGAGTACAGAGTACAGGAAGCTAGGCATTGGCGGCCTTATCGGAGATCTCACCCAACGCATGGTCGAACACACTATAGGCACACCTAAGGAGGGTCAGGACGAGCCGCTCAACTTCAGCATGGCAGGCTGCCACGATACCACCATTGCCTCTGCTCTAGCTGCCCTTGGGGGCTTCGACCACCGGAACGATAAGTGGCCCAACTTCACATCAAATATCGCGTTTGAGTTGTTCAAGTCCAGAGATGCTCCTGCGACCCCTACAGGGCGAAGTAGCTCATCCTGGCTATCGTCACTCTTCTCATCGAAGTCCTCAGAGTCTGCCACGCGAGAACCGTTGCAAACGATGCCTCAAGCGACCAAACAGAAGCTCGAGGGCCATTATGTTCGTCTACGCTACAACGATAAGCCCATTGCTCTTCCATTCTGCAAAGCGCCAGGGAGACATTTGGAGGGAGATGAGACGTTTTGCACTCTGACTGCGTTCAAAGAAGCAGCAGATCTTGTCACGCCGAAGGATTGGAAGACCGAATGCAAGAGCAACCTTGGTACTACCGCTTTCCCGTCACAAATCGAGCCGCCGCCAGGAGTGTCGTCACAACAGAATCTATGAGGATCTCGTCGACAGATGATGTAGCAGTATGTGCTGAAGCATAGCAGAGCAAAAACAGACGCATGAATAGAGGATAAAGGCAGCATAAACAGCATAAACAGCATAGATGAAGAGTAGAAAGTCCGGCAGTGTTCCCCTACGGCCGACTTCTGAGACGCCGGAACTTGCAAGCTGCCTTCAATCACCAGATAGTCTTCCAGAGAAGGCATGCAACGGATGTCCTGGTCACTCATTCGCCGTGTCAATTTCGCCATTCAATGGATCAATGTCTCTCTGCGACATTGTTCATATTCGGGGTTAGGCATTGCCTAATTCAACACATCCCTACAAGCAATAATTGATGAGCCGCAGTCCAGATTCCAGACCTCGCTCGGGAGGAAGAGCCCTCGATTGCCCAGTCTCGTACTGCGAATTGTCGGACATTATGTGATGACTTATATGCCATGCTCTCGATCTCTCGCGTATTTTGCTATCGTGAGGTTTGAGCGAATCAAGCTTAGCAGATGAGTGGTGAGTTAGGATCCAGATCCGTGTCTCGCATCCCCCTTTCCGTCTCGCGGCGTTGAACGCGGTCAGCTTGGTAGGAAGTGTCTAGCGTACGAAGTGGTGTTACTAGGCAGCGAGCACCGCAGTTAATGAGGACGCCAACAGTAAGACAATATCTGGGCGGTGAAACTAGCAGTTTGCCAAGTAATTATCAATCAGTAAGCGATCCAGGACAGAAGTGCAGGGATAAGGCTTCCGAGGAGTTTCTGTGGACGGCTCGAATGTCGAACATTGGGAATGGTTCGGCTGCATGGCCGGTAAGTGATGTTGTGCATTTCGCATGGATCGAGCAGAAGTTAATCTCGTATTTTCTCCGAGTGAGGGAGCGAAATGTCGTCAATGTCAGCGCGTGTGAATGGTGGAATTTCGTATAACGAATGACCGAATCACAGCGAGGAGGGAAGAAGGCTGTGCTTGTGATCCTGGTCTAGGTATCCTTACATTCGGCACGAAGTGGATTAGGGCCTTCGAAACAGTTGCGAGAGTTCCGAAATGGGATGCACATCCGGTCTCGGTTCGAGGAATCTGGACATTCGATTCCAAAACTCTATTGACTTCAACAGATCGAACCTTGAAGTGTCGTTCCTGCCGCGTGGTCACGAATGTCAATGATGCTGATGAAGTGAAGTCGTCGTATGCTCTTGCCTTTACGGCCGCCACACCGCGCGTTCTTGCTAGAAATGGGCGGCCGTTGTGGTTGGCTTGCGCGAAGGATGCAAGGGCCCGCGACCAAGCACTTTGTTCGCCGTTGCCATGCGAGTCTTGGCCGACATATTGCACAATTCTTCGATGAGTCTCGGTGATTGTCATCAACTAATTCCCTCAAACGCTCTCGACCTGGGCGAGCACGCCTTGTTATTATTGGAATGCGTACACCGCGAGATTGGCCCATGGTGTGAAAACTCCGCCGTCGACGATGCAATGTCGCTGGCCGCCGGGAGTCGGCAGATGGCTAAACGAACCATTAGTGCAGGAGCAGAGCGGCGTGGCAGTAGCGGAGGCGGCGTGGAAGGATGCACTCGCAGGCCAGGCGCACGATTTCCGCCCTGTTCCTTGGTCGTCACACAGCACCTCGTGTCTCGTGCACCGCATGCGCAGAGTCCGGCCACGCACAACGAGCACAAACAGCGCCAGCAACGCGCGCATCCGCACGAAATGGGCGAATTGCGCGGTCACGCGATTTGACTTTGCGTGCACGACGGATCGCTGAAACGACACGATGGCTCTGCGAACAGCACACCGTCTGCCAACTGCGCAACACGTCGCCGCCCGCTCGAAGGTTCACCAAAATGCGTCATCCGCCCCCCGTCGGACCAGCATACAGCCAACGGGGCCACGCCGTCGAAGGCCCCAAAAACAACTCCCGCGTGGACTTCCAGAGGCGGTCTAGTCAGGTACCAGACGCAACGCGGCTACACAGGCCAATCGGCTGCGCCGTGCGCATACAATCACGATTCGGGCAGATCTCCATCACCTGCTTGCACGAACCAGATGCGAAAGACATTGCACCGTTGTGATGAGACCATTCCACTGCCTTCGTCGCAGCCTCTGTCGCGCGGTGTCTAGAGGGCGCTCTCGCACCACCGCCGCGCTGGTCGGCACATTGCGACGCGAGTTACGACAGCGGCGTCGCCCGTCAGCCCTCCCCTGAGAGGCGCACACCGTCAGTTCCGGCGTGAATCAAGCCTTGGTCCGCGCATGAGCCCCTAGTCAGCAATCTATGGATACGATAGGCCGGTCTGCACAACTTGCGCGAATGGGCCGGCAGAGATTGCCTGCCAACTCAGGCCCCCACTGGATATCCATGCGGATCGCAATTTATGATTTCTGGGCCACTCACACCTGCCGGGACAAGCTTCGTGTGGATCTGCTACACACGCAGGATGCTGTTTCGGGCGTCGAACGGTTGCTGGTTACTGAGGCCGTCGCTACGCCTAGCGGAACGCCAGTCCACCCTGTCAGACTTCATATGCTCACCTTCCCCAGCGTCCTATTCAACTCCTTCATCTGCCTTCTGACAGCTTTCTTTTGGAGATTCGTTCGTCGCCTTTTTGCTTTCGAGCAGCTTACACTCTTTCATTGCAGTCACTCACTAACGATCACTCCGTGGTCACTTACATTCTTTTCTTAATTTTTAACAATACGAGTGCTTCAAAATGATGAAGAACATCGCCCTTATGGGCCTTGCCTCCGTGGCAATGGCCGCCGCTCCACCATCGTACGGTGCTGAGCCGGTGAACCCTCCACCTGCCTATGGCGTTCCAAGCAGCAGCTCGACTGCGACCACACCGAACTCGCCGGTCGCTCCAAGCAGCAGCCACCCTGCTCCTCCGCCATATGGAGTTCCAAGCAGCTCGACCGCGACCACACCAAATTCGCCCGTCAAGCCAAGCAGCAGCAGCCACCCTGCTCCTCCACCATACTTGGTCCAGAGCAGCAGCACTGCTACCACACCAAACTCTCCAGTCAAGCCAACTACCAGCAGCATTCCTGCTCCTCCACCATATGGCGACAAGAGCTCTTCTTCTTCCACTGCTACCACTCCAAGCTCGCCAAACCAGCCTACCGACACTACTGTAAGTAAAGTGATAGGTGGAAGCCCTGGTCCAGCCATCACATGTGAGAAAGTGACTATTGCTTACACCTATTGATTAGTGCACTGAGGAGCTTACTACCCTCGTGTCCTCGTCGACCCACCCAGGCTACCCAGTCACCACGAGCGTCAGCAAGCCAGTCTCGTCCGGTACCACACCAAACGGTCCATACCCACCAAAGAGCACCGAGACCAAGCCTGTCTCCTCCGGCACCACACCGAACAGCCCATACCCACCAAAGAGCAGTGAGACGAAGCCAGCGACTTACCCAGTTTCGTCGGGCACCACTCCAAGCTCTCCACAACCACCAAAGAGCACTGAGACCGATTGCGAGGAGAGCACCACCCCAGGCAAGCCAACTCAGCCAGCAACTTACGCTGTGCCACCTCCGGAGTCCAAGTCTACCGGCACAACTCCTGGCAGCCCTGAGAACCCGAAGACTTACCCAGCTCCTCCTCCATATGGTGGCAAGTCCTCCACTGTTTCCGTGCCAAGCAAGCCAGAGACCACTGCTCCAGCCCAACCACCAAAGGAGCACACTACCATCACGAGCAAGATCTACACAACCAAGACTCTCTATCAAACTACCGTGATCACCCTCAGCAACACTGTTATCACCAAGACTTTTGCTCAGTCGACCACCGTCGTGCCACAGCCTCCAGCTGGCACTTCGCCATCCAGCCCAAACCAGCCCCCAACTTATGGCAAGCCTCCGGCTGGCGAGCAGCCAAAGCCATCGAGCCCATCATCTCCTGAGCAGCCTGGCACTCTCCCACCATCTGGACCAAAGACCCACACCGAGACCAAGACCGTTTTTGTCACTCTGCCCTGCGACCAGTGCGTGCAGACCAAGACTCTCGTCCCAGTCCCACCTCCAGCTGCCACCACACCAACTACCCCAGGCTCTCCAGGCCAGTACCCTCCTGCCGGCGAGCAGCCAAAGCCTTCTACTCCGTCTTCGCCAAACTCTCCTCCTAGCTACGGTCAGCCTCCGGCCGGCGAGCAGCCAAAGCCATCCACACCGTCTTCGCCAAACTCTCCTCCTAGCTATGGCCAGCCTCCGGCCGGCGAGCAGCCAAAGCCATCCACACCGTCTTCTCCAAACTCGCCTCCAAGCTACGGTCAACCTCCTGCCGGCGAGCAGCCATCGAGCCCATCGGGCCCTCAGCCAACCTCCGCTTGCCCTGCTCCAGGTTCGACCGACAGCCAGGGAAGGTACTCTTGCAACCCAGCTCACGCATACCCAACGGGCCAGACTTGCAAGATGACTGATGGATGCTACTACCTTGAGTACCCAAAGAACACTCCTCCAACCTACTCTCCTCCTCAGCCATCCACTCCTAGCAGCCCAGAGCAGCCTGGTAACAACCCACCTTCTTATGGCCAGCCACCAAAATACGCGGGCGGAAACGGCACTACCCCTTACGGCCCAACTGGCACTGGCTCTGTTACTAAGCCATCTACCCCTATCGCCTACACTGGCTCAGCCTCTGCTGCTAAGCCAGTCATCGGTTTGATGGCCGGTATTGCTGCCCTTGTCGCTTTCGCATAAGCGCATGATTCTATGAACGCTTAGAACGACGGGTCATTTGCTGTACATCTTCAAGCGAAGCGAATGTCAACTATCACCGATGGGAACTATTCTAGGACCTAATAGAAGAATCCTCCATAATGCATGTTGCGATCGAACAAATGCAGTGGAGAGAGCTATATGGAAATCGGCAATTTTTACTTTTAACGACATGACGGGTCTCTGTTGGTTCACGTTCAGCTGCGAGTTGTCTTTTCCTGCGCTCGTCGGCGGTCATGGACTGACTGCAATCTCTTTGGATAGTTGTTGCTCTTTGAAATTATCTTTCATGTTCATAATTTTCACTATAGATCTCACGCTGTCCGCGCTTCTGCATATGGAGTGATATTTTGACTGACTTGCTCGCCTACTTCCAACTTTCCATTTGGTCCCAGCAATGGCTGATCACGTCACTTATCAGCTGGTCTTAGTCGGCACGATGAAAAGTGGACTTGAATGAAATTGCGTGTTTCACAGTACGGCACATGCTTGCTGGGCTTTTCTCGGCTTCCGATCGGTCCCATTTTCGTCACATTTCTTGTTCCGTGATGACAGCGTTAGCCTGCGAATCATTGAAACAGGTGTGATTTTGAACTGCCGTGTAGCTGATGTCAGATCATTCGAATAGTTCTTGATGAGAATGAATTTCAGATGCCGTTCATAGTTCTTTGAGCCCCGCGACGAATCGCCAATTCAGTGAACAAATTGCAAGTTCATGATCAGTCGTAGGTTCATCAGATCTAACTACACGTTACCGCAAAATGCCTACTCATCGATGTCTGTGAAGACGATCCTTCTGTTTGGTTCATCTCGGTTCGTTCTTATGCATGTTTCGTCAAAGTCATACTGTTCCCATCCCAAGGCCTTTCCTTCCCGCGCTGATGATTGCATTGAGGCATTTTCCAACAGCCTCTAGATCACCTAATAATGTTACATGTCCTCGTTCCGAACTCACGATTCCTCCGCGTGCGACGCGATAGCCTTTGGGAGCCATGGCGGCTTTGGCTAGAACGACTCCGTCTCCGCTGGCGAATGCGAGCTCGTCATATGAGTCGGCGTGTCTGATGCCTTCTCTTCCGTCGATTTTGGCGCCTACTACGGTTGGTGTGCTTCTGCCGTAGATGACGGCAATTGGTGGATATGCATTGGTCTTGTCGTGTTCGGGGTTGTATGCAAGCTCTTCTTTGAATTTCTTCACGCTTGCCAATGTTCTTGTAAGGTAAGCAATTGCTTTCTCACGTGGTATTGTGACTGCCGTCCGCACGGAAGGCACATCTGTTGTGTTAGAGGCCCCGCCTTTGTCGATGTTTCCATTCGCCATCGCCACATCGCTGCTCTGTCCACCATTTTCCATCGTGTCTGGTACTTCTGCGCCTCCCACGCTAGTGATTTTCGCCAAATCGGCAGAACTCTTGCTGCTCTTCCGCCCAGGCATAGGAAAATTTGGGAGCGCACTCGCGACCGAGCTCATGTAACCAGCAATGCCTGTGGGCTTTGGCGTTTGTGATAGAGGTGGCAGAGGTCGGCCAACGCATGGCGAGAGACGGCCGTCGATCCAGGTCTGGGGATCGAAGAAGTCTACTGGGTACTCCTCTTTTGTGTTCTTGTCAACGAAACATCTCCCATCGAGTGGAAGCAACGCGAAGCTGGTACGGATCGTAAAGTTGACTTGTGCTGTTAATACGCGATCGCTCAACAGCACTTCATCACCATTTCTGAGAGGCCCAAGAATGTTGACGCAAGTTTGGGGTACGCCAGCGTACACAACTCCGCGGAACAGCTCTGGACGCTGATTCACAGCATGTCTCGTGATGAGCCCTCCGAGCGAGTGTGCGATAACCGTAGCTCCCCTGGCTTCCTTCGGTACACCAGGCTGATTACACGGCAGTCCCTCGAGAGACTTGATAAGTTGCCTGGATAGATAAGCAGGATGTAGCCGCCAATCATACCCGTAGTCGTGCACTCTCAGCAGACCCCTGCGAGCGTTCTCGCATGCTCGGAGACGTTTGAACAATCGCCTCGAAATGTCAACAGGTCCGATGTGAGTCAGCATGCCACCTGGGATGACTTTCTCTGTAGCTTTCTCATCTGCGTCTTCCTCTAACCCCACCTCTAAGTCCACCTTACGAAGGTTAAGACCAACTTTTATCGGTACCCATAGCTGTCGATGTGGTGGCTCGGCAGATCGCAGTATGCTACCTCTATACCCGCCGAGAACTACCACATCACCGTCAAGTTGCTCGAGGGCACGATGGAAGTGGGGATGGCTTGTGGCTTTGTCGACTCCAGCATCAGCGATTGCAGCCCGGGCAGAAGTATATGGTTGTCGAGTTATGGGGTCTACCGGCCTTGATTTGGACTGGTAATGCTGACTGTAGCTATATCGCTGACTAGACTTCGATGTCGCCGAGTCTGACCTTTCCCGAGTGAAGAAGTCAGGTGTCAGATTGGAGACGTTGATCGAGGATATGGACGATATTGATGGCATGCTGATTCTGGAATCTGCCAAACTGTCTTTGATCGCTTTGAGTCGACTATTGACCTGCTCAGACACATGCTCGAAGCGACTATCATCGCCAAGACTGGAGGCTGTGGACAATGTTCTCTGTGTTACGAGTGAGGTATCTGAAGTGCTTCTGCGCAATATTTCAGGGGGTCTCGTAGGCGTATGCTTCAACTGCAGATTGCTTGGTAAATCTCCCAATTGGTTTCGATCGTCGTCGGCGCCCGCTTCCGGCACATGTGCGCGACTTGATGCGGGGCGTCGCCCAGTTGGAGTTCGACTCCGCGACTCTGGTATGTCTGGTGTGCTAGAACGAGTCCATGCACCTAGCGTAGACCGTCGTTTAGAAGCAGGAGAACTCGACCTCTCGGTTTTATCGCCTTCCTGCGAGAAAATCGATGCAATGGAGCCTTTCTTCGAGAATGTCGGCAGGCCAGCGAATAGCGACTTTGACCCGCTCTCGGGGCCTGATGAAGCTCTACGCCTGACAAACGAGAATCCATCGCGGAGGATCGACTTTGTTAGACTAGGTCTCTCTTTCTCTGGCTGCGTAAAGCCAGCCCTCCAGGGAGAGGGCGGTGCAAATGCTGGCCCATCATTCAAACCTGGAGGTGTCTGGCCATACTTGCCATCCGAAGGATCTACTTCGTCCGGCGACTCAGCAATAGGTGGCGTGTCGTTGTCAAAGGCACCATCGAAATAGCCGCCGGTTTGCAGGGCCGCAGCTTTAACAGCGGCCGGCGTTGTAGGCGATATCAGTCGCGACTGTTCCCGTCCGATGCTGACACCGATCGCACCCCGGACATCATTCTCAGGCTCTGGATCGTGACCAGGAGACTCGTCCTCGGAAGAGGTTGCGTTGTTGTCAGCAAGGAGAGTGTTGTATTGGATGCTCTCCAGCGCTCGAGATCGTCGCGCGGGCTGCTGGATTTGCTGGACTGCACTCATGTTGAATCCACGTCCAAAGAGCCTTCATAGAAACACAGTTCGAGTTTCGGGATCACAAGAACTTCCAAGCAGTCCAAGTTATTTCTTGTTGGACGTGCCGATCCTCAAATCGGGAGCGGCGCAAGGATTCGGGCGAGGCTGTGCCATGGAAGATGCATCTCTGCGCGGTCGAAGCAGATCCTTCTCGTCATTCCTTCGGCAGCAGGATGCAGCAGCAGGAGCGGAGGAAGTAAAGTGGTGGACGGTTGGGTGGATGGCCGCTAGAACTAATCATGTCATCACTGCTTGCATAAAATTCCCGGACGTAGAATCTAGCCTGCACACTGGGTCTGCCGGACACCCGTGGCCCTGTTTGGGCCAGGATCCGCGGAAGTCGCGATTGGAGCGGACAGATCGTCCGTTGCCTGCCCCGTGTCAGCACTTCTGCAGACGGTCAAGGCGAGACCGTTCCCAAACTCGGCGATTGTAGAAGGCGCCGTGGTGTCATAGTCATCAGACAGTCTGGACATTTGATGCTTTCGATGCTGGCACGAGCCCAGCAACCAGCTCCACACATGCATGAACGAATACGCTCGTACCTGCCATCGGCTCCGAAATTTCGCAAATACGCAAATACGCAGGCGTGCGCACGGTGTGCTATCTCTGAACAGCAAGCTAAAGACAGCTACGGCCTCCGCCCACGCGAGCGGCATATTCAAAGTCCGGATGCCGAATCCGTCACAGGCAGCGCAGCTGAGGTTATCGGTGCAATCGGTCTCACAGTGTCATAGGCTCAGGGCTCTCGCGACAACATCACAGGTGTCAAGTGTTAAGGTGTCAATTACCTAACTACATAGGACTTTGCTGAGCTGCCCGTGATGCTCTCACATCGACCAAGGCCTTTTGCGGTCTCCAACTCTGGGTCACGCAGTCTCGAAGCCTATTTCTGGGTGAAAAAGCCAGACTGTGCCTCGAAATTGACCCGTTCATGATCAATCGATGCCTGTGATCGCTGTTGTGCTTGAGCCTGTGCAGAGAGATGAAGACAGGAGGCGCGGTGGACAGCCTCGCAGCATCTCGACCTCTCAGCTCCGAGTGTCCAAACAGCTTCGCGCGTATGTGTCCATTTCTCCAGCCAATACAAAATCCTGCACTATTGACGTGTCCTGCCCCAGGCGCTATGCTGCTGCCATTGGCCCCCTCTTCTACCACGCCCTGCCAACCAAGCCTGTGCAGCTGGAAGAGAGGACGAGTCAAGGCGTTCAGACTTGCAATATCTGTTCTTATGTGGCGCTGTCTGTCGAGCTCCTGAGAGTGTGTTGCATAGCAATGTACACGTCCTGTAGAGACGCTCGCCTGGAGCCAGGCACTGAAGACTAGTCGTGCGGTAGATAAGGATTCAGCCCAGGATCCGCGGACCGCTTGCAGGCCTCGTAGAACCGTGAAATGAGTTGCTGCTCGTGCAACCTGCTGCGTGGTGTCTTTATCGGCGCATGATGATTGATGCTGACGCGTATGAGACCTGCTCGCAGCAGTTCAGACGAAACCAAAAACAAAGCAAGCAAGAAGCCGCATCGACATGCCCTTCTTGGCGAATCTTGGCCGATGCTTAGCTGCTCCGCATTTCGCACTGTCATAAAAACGTGCACCAGCGATACTTGATAGGCAACGCTTCCTCCTTACTCCTCACTCCGGCAATCATATCTGCACGCCATGTGCAGCCATTGGAGGGCAAGCACGCTTGTTCCTACTGATTTGGGACCAGCGTGATAGCTCCTCTCAGGTACGACCGGCTGAGCCCACGGCAAGATCGCCACGTGCGAGTACTCTCAAATGGCGCCAGCATCTGGTCTCCTCCATCATGCCATGACCTGGTATATGCCCTGAGAGCAACAAGTTCATCAAATACCCAATATTCGAAGGATACCTCAGTCTCTACAGCAATCGAAATGGTCACGCGACAGAAGAGTGTCATTACGGACGACGCGCACCTTGCGGCGCTGGGTGTAAAGCAAGAGCTAAAGAGGAACTTCTCTCCACTCTCTATGCTTGGGTTGGCCTTCGCGTAAGTGAAAGAATCTTGGTCGCCTGCATGGCGGGCGATGTCCTGTTCTGCCGGAACAATGTAAAGCTCGTGTGAAAAATACATGCTTACAGGTCCTCGAAGAATCCTAAACTCATGGACTGCCTTATCTACATCAATGTCGCTGGCACTGCCATCCGGAGGACCGACCAGTGTAATTTGGGGTCTGGTCACAGCTGGATTCTTCAACCTCTGCTTGGCGGCATCACTCGCAGAGTTTCTCAGCGCGTATCCAACTGCAGGAGGACAGTACCACTGTAAGCAGCACTTCTTGAGAAGCCAGCAGTGTGATGAACAAAGGCTGACTTGACCTTTCTGCAGGGGTACACATCATCTCCTGGCATCAATGGAAGCCGCTTCTCTCCTGGATCACTGGTTGGATCAACGTCTTTGGCTGGATGGCTCTGACGGCAACGGGCGGTCTCCTCGGAAGTCAGATCATCATCGGCATCATCGCAATCTACGATACGACCTACGAAGCACAGAGATGGCATCAATTCCTTATCTACATGGGCTACACGATCGTCGCCACACTATTGAATGCGTTTGGTAATTCGCTTCTTCCCCTCATCAATAAGGCCGCCATTATGTGGAGCATCACCGGATTTGTTGTGATTTGCATCACAGTTTTGGCGTGTGCCTCGCCAGACTACAACTCTGGAGATCTTGTGTACCGAACATTCTTGAACGAGACCGGATGGCCAGATGGAATCGCTTGGATGCTCGGTCTCCTACAAGGCACTCTCGGTCTGACTGGCTACGATGCCACTGCGCACATGGTCGAAGAGATTCCCAACGCAGTTGTCGAGGCTGTAAGCAATCGGCCTTGGCCACAATTTAGTGGTATCTGCTAACATGCGAGGCAGCCTAAAATTCTGATCTATTGCGTGGCAATCGGGACATTCACCGGCTTTGTATTCCTCTCCTGCTTGCTCTTTGTGGCGGGAGATCTCACGGATGTCATTTCTTCACCAGCCGGACCACTCAATCAGATTCTCTACAACGCTACAGGCAGTCGAGCAGGCATGGTCTGTCTGCTGATGTTTCCGCTGATATGTTTGCTTTTCGCCACGACTGCGATCATGACAACCTCGTCAAGAATGACATATGGTGAGTTCTGTAACACTGCCGATTCATGATTCATGCTGACATCCGCAGCTTTCGCTCGCGATGGCGGCCTGCCTTTTTCACGGTACTTGGCCCGCGTCCACAAGAGGCTCGACGTGCCATTGGAAGCACTTGGTCTTACAACAGCGGTTGTCACGATATTCGGTCTGATCTTCTTGGGCTCAACAAGCGCGTTCAATGCAATTGTCAGTGCGTCTGTTGTTGCACTGGGGGTGTCGTACGGCATACCCATCACGATCAATTGCCTACGAGGCCGAAAGCAACTTCCCCCAACCCGAACGTTTGTTCTACCAGAATGGCTCGGCTGGACAGTCAATCTTATGGTATGTGAATCTCAGGCCTACCCACGAGGAAAAGCTGACGCCAGCAGGGAATTGCATTTGTCCTCGTCACCACCGTTCTGTTCGTCTTCCCACCCGAGCTTCCAGTGACTGGCAGCAACATGAACTACTGCATTGTCGCGTTCGCTGTAGTCTTCATCATCAGCGTCGTTCAGTGGTTCGTGGACGGCGCGAAGAACTATTCCGGACCGAAGCCAGATCTTACTCTGGTCGCGATGGACACGTCAGATTCGATTCCTGAGCACGACGCACTTGGCTCCTCAGCACTCAAAGACAAAAGACTGAGCGTCTGAAGCAGAGGTACGTACTTCTCCTGTCTACTTCCCCATCACGCTGTTATGATTATACACCAAGGGTTTACTCGAATCATGATGAGAGTTTACAATTTACAATTACAATTGTTCCTAATGACACAGCACAAAACTACCCTCTTGCGTTCTACTTGCATTTCTGCGATGATTTGGACATGTGCTGACAGTTCGCGTTACAGGTGGCCCTCATAGTTAGCAAGACAGAAAATGTGAAATAGCCTGTGCAAGAATGGATTATACGCCTTGACTTCATTTTGAAACTCTGTTCCACTGTTCTGTAGCACGGTGTTTGCTTGTCTACCAGACTCTAATTTTGTTTCTCGAGGCTCTGCTGGAGTCCTTCGTTGTCGTTACATCGGCAACTGCTACTCCCTCCAACAACGGATACCTGACAACCGACGCGGGGTTGGCTAGAACCTCAGTGAAGCATGAACATAGGCTCCGCCATTCCGATGTGCTCTTTTGCCAGCGCACATGGTCCGAACGACATTTCCAGATGTCAGACTGATTCGGATGTCCTACATAGTCTGATCGGCGGTCGTAGCTATCCTCTTGCCAATACGACAGCGGAATTGAGATCCATAGTTGCCAGCAATACCCACAACGACCTTGAATCCTACCGAATGCGAACTGACCCGGTCAAGGATCATATCGATCAGCTCTTGGGGTAGATCTTGACCAGCCACTTTGAGCACTATCATGCGGCTGTACTGCACCTCGTGCACGGAGCGCAGAGCCACGCCAGCAGAGGGTAGCAGAATCTGGTTTGGCCCATCAAAAGTGCTTTTGTCGGTGGGCGCAGCCAAGTGACCGGAAAACATGCTGAAGATGCGGAGGGAACGAAGCATGACGGACGACCAATCGAAGGTGTCGACCTGACTCGCTTTGAACTTCAGGTTCCAGTGTCGACAGATGATCTGGGTGAGTGTCCGGTCGGCGCTCTTGATGTAGCGTCCTGCCCGACCACTATCGCGGTTGAGCTGACGCCAAATTTTCTGGGTATCTTGTTCCTTGGCCCAGAGTTGGGCGAGCTTCTCAAGTGCCGCAAACAGCATCTCGACAGCAGAGATGGTTTCGCTAGGAAAAGCGGCAAGAATCTTGATGGCCTCGAAGACATGAAGGCCGCATCCGTTCCATTCAGTCAAGATATCGCTTGTCAAGCGTCGGGCCTCTTGCACATCGCTGGTTTCTCTGAGGCGTCGAAGACGAGCGCGACGTTGCGACTTCGGGAGTTTCTTGGTCGAAGTAGCGATTTGCACGATTGCACTTGATGTATCGCTTTGATCCTGCGTTGCGATGGCTGTGTCGGGATGTGCTGGAACGCCCAATACAGCGTTGACCTTGCCACGGTGGGCGAACTGACGCTCGAAAACCTTCAATGTCGCAAGCAAGACAGGCCTGGTGTTGTTGACGAGCTTCTCGGTGCCTGGGTCGACTTGAAAAGCAGATCAGCGGCGGTTACTGTAATGGGCGAGCTGGGTACTCACTAGGGGGATCATACACGACCGTTGCGGCCATGATGCTGCAGAATAGTGGCCGTCCGATAGACGAAGCGAAGGATGTCGATGACAAGGTGAAGTGAGAATGATACCGGACGTTAGTCACGTTCGGCTCACGTCCCTGCGTTGACCGTTGGAGAGGCAGGTGCAATTGAAGACAGCTGCACCTGCTCGTCTATCGTGTTTGCATCAACGCGACGTCTCTCGGGACATAATGTATATAGATGATACCGCGCGATCGATGCATGCCTAACTAATCGCCGGCCATGGCCAGAACATAGATTCCAAGTTCTCAGCGATCTCTGGCGAAGAGCAGGACATTGGCAATGGCAAGTGCGATCAAGAGAAACCCGGGTCGTTGAAATGTGGACGCGGCATCGCGCGCGGCTGCATTGTCATCAAAGCAAGCATGTGCGCTGAAACTGCGGATGGCACTCTCATCATCAATGCTATGTTGATAGATGCTCGTGAAGCATGATGTGAAGCGCGAGACGCGTGGTGACATGTGAAGGGTGGGTCCCTGGCGAAAGCTTAAGGTCGGCAAAATGCCATAGGTGGCATGTGTGGCCATCGAGGACGAGCGTCAGTCTTTTGGACACGTCGAGCACAAAACGCCCCTCACAGCCCTTCTTTCAAGTCGCCGAAGAAACGTCGTCTTCGAACACGCCATCGCTCCGATGCTCTTTTAAATCCCTCTAGCCCGTTGTCACCGACACTTCGTTCTGGACTGGACCTACTCTCCGGAGCACCCATCCACCCACACAAAACTACAGCCATGTTACCATCAGGACGGCGGCGCGCAGGCGCGCTTTCGCCTTTAACGACCTGTCTTGCGTTGCTCCTTCTCTTCACAACCACAGCCAGTGCTGCAGTGTTGGGCATCGATTTCGGCACATTGAACATCAAGGCCGCATTGGTGAAGCCTGGCATTCCGCTTGACATAGTCTTGACGAAAGACTCAAAACGGAAAGAGACGGCGGCATTGGCCTTCAAACCAACACGCGATGAGAAGAACAACATTATCGTCAAAGAGGGTAGCTTCCCTGAACGAGCGTACGGTGGTGATGCTTTGGCTCTACAAGGACGAATGCCTGGCGAGGTCTTCCCAAATTTGAAACAGCTCCTGGGACTTTCTGGCGAAAGAGCAGCAGAAACAGTGGCAACATACAAGCAGCGTTACCCTGCTGTTCAGGCGGAGCATGTGGAATCACTCGGCACCACGGTTTTCAAGAGTGCGGCATTTCCTAGCGAACATCTGCCATACAGCGTGGAGGAATTGGTGGGCATGGAACTGGCAAATATCAAGCGCAATGCAGAGGACATGGCTGGCAAAGGAAGCTCTGTGAACGATGCGGTAATAACAATTCCAAACTTCTACACAGCAGACGAAAAACGAGCCATCGTGCACGCTGCCTACTTTGCCGGCTTCAACGTCCTCGGCCTCATCTCAGATGGCTTGGCTGTTGGTCTCGACTACGCGAAGACGCGAACCTTTCCAGACATATCGAAGGGCGAATCCCCAGAATATCATCTCGTTTATGATATGGGCGCTGGTTCTACGACAGCTAGCGTCCTACGCTTCCAGAGCAAGAATGTCAAGGATGTGGGCAAGTTCAACAAAACGGTTCAAGAGGTCACAGTGCAAGGAGTTGGCTGGGACCGGACACTCGGCGGCGATGCTCTCAACCATGTGATACTCGACGAGTTCGTGGCGAAGCTCTTGGCCAAGTCGGAGGTGCAGAGCCGGGGCACAACGGAGGCTGAGATCAGATCAAATGGTCGCGTCATGGCGCGCTTCTGGAAGGAGGCCGAGAGGGTTCGACAGGTACTCAGTGCGAACTCGGACACGTCTGCAGGATTTGAAGAGATTCTTCCCGATATCGACCTTCGTGTGAAGCTTACGCGCGCGGAGTTTGAGAAGCTCGCAGCTGATCACGCAAGTCGAGTGGCCACGCCTCTGGAAGATGCCCTGGCGATGGCGAAGTTGACTTCCAAGGACCTCAATTCAGTCATCCTTCATGGAGGTGCCATTCGCACTCCTTTTGTTCAGAGCAGACTTGAAGCCGTGATCGATGACAAGGCAAAGCTGAGGAGCAACGTCAATCCTGATGAATCTGCAGTTTTTGGTGCCGCCTTCAAAGCGGCCGGTCTCTCACCAAGCTTCAAGGTCAAGGAAATTCGCGACTCTGAAGCCGCTGGATACGCAACGAGCCTAGTCTACCAAGACGGCGGGAAGGAGAGGAAGCAAGGGTTGTTCCTTCCAAATTCTCCAGCAGGCTCTGGTGCTACAGTCAAACAGGTCACCTTCAAGGACCGCGAAAACTTCTCCTTCGGCTTCACCCAAAAGGTCGACGGAATCGACCGCCCAATCCTCGATGTCAAGGTGGAGAATCTTACGGCCTCTGTCGATCAAATGAAGTCAAAGTTCGGTTGCGAGAAGGATGAGATGATTGTGAGATTCAGCTCCAGGCTCAATCCCAACTTCGGCCTTCCAGACGTCCTCAGTGGAAGCGTGGGCTGTGCGGTGAACGAAACAGCAAAGTCCGGCAGTGTTGGCGATTCAGTGAAAGGTTGGCTTGGTCTAGGCAAGAAGAAAGACCAAGAGCCTCTGAAAGAAGAAGAGGACGACACGCCAGTCGAAGATGTCACCGCCGCCAGCTCTGCATCAAGCTCTTCGACCTCATCTAGCTCATCCTCTTCATCTTCTGCATCTGAGTCCCCTACGCCGAAGATCGAGATTGTCCTGCTGAAGTTCTCCACTGCTCCGCTCGGCAACCCACAGCCCGATGGAGCTCAACTGCAGCGTCTGGGGGAAAGGCTGAAGGACTTCGACGCTTCGGACAGAGCCCGTACTGCTCGCGATGAGGCTCAAAATGTGCTAGAAAGCTTTACCTATTCTGTGCGCGACTTCTTGGAGAATGCCGATTACACTGCCGTCAGCACAAAAGAGCAACGCAGTCAGATCAGCAAGCTCTTGGAATCTACGAAAGAATGGATGGAGACTGGCGAACCTGGAAAGGCGACCACAGAAGTTCTAAAGGAGAAATACAAGGCGCTGAAGGACCTCGTGGACCCCATCAAAATACGCAAGACCGAGACCTCCCAGCGTGCAACTTTAGTCCCAGCGCTTCAGAAGAGCCTGGAAAAGGCCAAGAAATCGATCGCGAAGTACCAGGACAAGATCGAGAAGGCCAAGGCCTCCCTCAGCGCCTCCAGCACGAGTACTTCGACTGCAGCGCCTGCTTCGTCTAGCGATGCGGATGACTTGGAGGAGCCAGATGCCGCGACCACGCCCGAACCCGAACCAAGCAAGGAGCCTTCACCTCTACTGAGCCTTGACTTGACGAGCATCACCGAGAAGTACGACGAGATCTCTGAATGGCTGACTGAGAAGCTGGCCGAGCAGGGTAAACTCAAGCCTTTCGAGGATCCTGTGCTTCTCGTCAAGGACATTGAGAAACGCTCGACTGAGATCACAAACGCCGTGGAAGATCTTGTTCGCAGGGCTTCTGTCAAGCCAACTGTCAAGAAGCCACCAAAACCAAAAGCTTCACCAAAGCCGAAGCCTAGCAAAAAGGCTAAAGGCGACGATGCTGAGCCTGAAGAGCCTGCTCCGGCAGATACACCGAAGGCCGAGGACGGCAAGCCGGTGACAGGAGGTGAAAGCATTGAGGACATGATGGACTGGTTGAACAAGGCCAAGCAGAAAGATGAGGTTCCGCCTCGTGATGAGCTGTAATTGGGTGCATATAGCCTGTAGACATGAATAGATGCATTAAGAATTCCTATGAAGCAAAAGTTTGAGATGCACATGTTCGAAACAAGACATAGGGAACAAGGTATAATGACTGCGCAAAAGACGTGTGCGCAAAGCGAACAACATGCAACAAAAAAAAAGGTTTGATCTTCGATGCAAAAGGAGACAAAAAAAAAGAAAGGCTTGCTGGTGACTTTTCGTCACCTAACATGTTGAGACATCTCGGTCATGGTAAACCACAACCAGTGCGTGTTTTGGAAATGCTCGCACTGCAGATTGATTAGTCAAGTTCGCGGCTTGAGCGCAAATTGATTAGCTTACCTGAGAATCGAACTCAGATTTTAGGATGCCTTCGTAGAAGAGCCTGCTCTGGTGAACAGGTCATACTCTGAGAGTATGAGACCTACGTCCTAACCGTTAGACGATGCAAGCGCTGAAATCCCGAGGGTGTGGCCCTCGAGATCGCCTTGTTGATTGGCTAGAGCAAAGATAATGTTGTATATGAAGGCCACATTTAGGGTGAAGTGAAATTTCAGTCAAAGTGGGGCTTGGTGGGGCTCATCGGCTGCAGCTACTTCTCTAGCAAGACTCTCCTTCCTTTACAGATACGATAATGGCATGAGAGTAGAGAAAGATGGAGAAGCACAGTGATTAGGATCATGAACTGGTATGGATTGAAAGCAGTGATCCCGTCAAATACAGACTGAGCCACAGCATGACACAGGCCTGCAGCGAATCGCCATCGGACACACCATTGATAATGTATAATAACAGCCTGGCGATAGAGCCACATCCAGATCTATATGGCATTTTCACTCATATCTTTACATCAGCGTCAATATTATACTTATTATGCTCGCACGTCACGAGCGCAGTACCATCCTTTTCCCTCTTGAGCACCGCTTTCACCAGAGCTATACGCTTGCCAACATGTACAGTCTGCATCAACAATCCCGTCAACATTGTCATCTATTCAGGACTTGATGAATCGCACTTACCTCACACTCCATCAACAGCATCTCACCTTTCACAGCAGGCCTCAAATAACTGAACGTAATTGCTCTGCACAGACCCAGATTCGGCCAAAAGTCCGGCTTTGAGATAGGCCACAGTGCCCAAGTCGTTGCACACTCAAACATGGCCATGCTCGCCCCTGCGTGTAATGTTCCCATTGGATTGAGGAATTCAGGCTGCGCTCGAAATCGAAAAGTGGCTCTGCAGGTCTTGTCCGAAAGTATCTCTACGTCGGCAATTTCGACAATCTCGAGCCATGGGAGGAGGAAGTGTTTGCCATCTTTATCGTACTATGTATTTGTGTCGGTATGATGCAAAAGTTGAATTGGTTGAGATTGTCGGAGTGGTGCGTTGGTACCTTTGTTAAGTGCTCGGGCGCGAGCAGGGCTTTCGTCATACGCGTTTTGAGGTCTTCGTTCGGAATCTGTGCCATGCTGTTGGTGATAGTCGAAATTGCTAAACTATTCTCGTTCACAATGTGTAATGTACGTGTGAGTTGAATGAAGTATGTGGTGAACCCTGTTGATCACTGGGCTTTGAGTAGAGCCGAGGTACAGGTGAGTGTCCATTCCTTGACAGTATGGATGCTTTACCTCCGTAACACAAGGCTGCATGTCTGGCTATGGTGAAACTCACAATGCCAGCAATCTGATATGCTTCTTGATCTGGCACGGCCAATTGATGATGTCGATCTGAACAGCGCGATAATTGAGCTTGAATTCGTACTCGGAATTTGGGCCTAAGTAGCGTATGGTGTGAATGTGCTGCCTTCAAGCTCGAAGAATATTCGCCCTTGTGTCCTCAGTGGCTCGGGATCGGACAATGCTCGCTGTCTGGGAGCATGATCATCAAAGCTTCGCTGTCGATTTCGCATGCGTATTGTCCCATCCTTCCAGCGTCACATTCAGTGTCGAATCGAGTCTCGCTTGCGACGATCTGTACAGCCTGGGTAAATCAACCTCGTCTGCTCTCTTGTCCTCCAATACCATGGATGCCACGGCCTTCGCAGAGAGAAATATCTGTGGCATCCCGTGTCCAGAGAAACCAGCACAAATGTATTGACCCTTTTTGCCAGGTACCTCTCCCACATGAGGAAACCCATTGCTACTGTAACCCATGATGCCCGACCAACATGCATCAGTATATGCCCCACTGTCTTCCCAGCCGCGGAAGTGGCGTTGCATATAGCCATCAAAGTAGTGTTTGGCAGATTCGATGAGTTTTGAGTCGTCGTAATTGTCGTACCAGGAGTCAAGCTGTTTGAAATAGTCCCTCCTGCCGCCGCCCACAATGATACTCCCATCGCTGCGAGGAATAAGATAATCGTACTCCCCAGGCGCGAGTCTCATGATGTAGCTATTCGTCAGAAGCGGAGCGTCGGGTTTAGTAGACACAATACGACTGCAGATCCCTCGTACACCGATAATCTTTCCCTTGTACTCTGGAAGTAGCGAAGAGGTATAAGCATTGCTCGCGTAGATGACCTTCGCGGCCTGCATCGTGCCTCGTTCGGTCTCGACCGCCCAGCGCCCGGAGCCTCCAGCAGGTTTTACAGACTTGACCGGAGTGTGGGTTTGCAGATTGACGCCTTTGCCAACAGCTTTCTGCAGTAGATGCAGAACCAACTTGTATGGCCAGACATGTGCTGCCGTATAGGTGAAGCATGCCTTTGCTCCTTTGATGCCAGAAATCTGATGAAAATGGTCAGTTCGCACAATCAGCCAAGAGGATAAACCCGTCACCTACACCCTGCGCCGTGCGTGGACCACTGTAGTGGACTTCACTTGCTGTCGATATATTTGCATCGTGAAGCGCATCCAAGCCTTGTTTGAGTTCCCTGTGAGCAGACTCGTACATGCAGACATCTGTCGCTCTTGTTACAACGAAATCGCAGTCAATTGCTTCCTTCTCAACCAGCTTTTGAATCTCTTTCACTTGTCTCGCTTCGAAAGAAGCGACTTCCTCAGCCGCCTCACGCCCATGTGTCTTGAGAGCCCCAGCTGCTCTATAGTAAGGGTCTGGCTTGAGGTGTCCACCGTTGCGGCCAGTGGCACCAGAGCAAGCCTGTCTAGCTTCCAACAACACGATAGACACGGGCTTTTGCGACGTTTCGCTCTTCTCCAATAAATGGTAAGCCAGGCTTGCGCCAGCATATCCGGCGCCAATAATCACAATGTCAGCCTCGGCGGGCAACCGCTCTGTTGTCCTGTGGTCGTCCAAGGCGTGTAAATCAGACCTCCAGAAGGACTGGGTTGCATTAGGGACGGGCACTGCCATTCTGCAGTTTGTGTTTATCCTATCACTTCTTCTTCCAGATGTTCCAATGCGGCGCAGTCGAAATCAAGTCCAAGCATATAGCAAGAATGCAGTGGCGGAGATGCATAGCAGCAGTGGCAGCGCTTGTTGGTGGGCTGCATGGCCCATCGGGCCGGTGTCCCATCCCGGCCTATCGGGCGACACAATATCCACCTAGCTTATCATTGCTCAATCGAGCAGTGCCCTTCTAGTTCGACGAAGGAACGAAGTTATCAAGGCCCAGATTGAAGTGCAATGGAGCCCCGTCTCTGCGGGCAAATGACCCTCTGCCTGCAAGTGCTAAAGATCTTGGCCTTCCAGCGAGATCAATGAGCTATGCCAAGAAGTTGGGACGAGTTATGGCGGCGCCGTTGGTGGTTGCATATCAGCAATACTGAAAGCCTCATCGAAGTGATGCATGCCAAGTTCCCCAAAATCGATAGGGGTGTCGTCGAAAAGTGAAGCGTCGAAAGGATTCCAGTCCAAGTCTCCAAAAGTGTCGTACATATCGACAGCAGCTGCCATGTGCGTGGGCAGAGGATCGAATAGTCCTTCTGTTGGCTCTGGTGTCTCCCCTTGAAAATGTGACGCCCACTTCTTAAAGTTGTTGAGTGTCTCAGTCACCTCCTGAGAGGCGCTCTGCCCTCTCCGTGTATGCAAATGACGAATAGCGGTTTCGAGGGATGCCATCAAGGATGCTTCTGAACGCGTGGAGGCGTTGGCAGTCGACATGTATCGAATTAGATGCATACCGTTCTCCAGAACGCCTAGCACATGTTCCGATGATTCGTGTAAGCACTGTGCAAGAAGCACTAGCACGGCCGCTCGGCATGAACTAAATTCAGTCCAACTCGCCTTTGCCAGCCCAATTGTTCCATGCATGTGCTGTTCGATTGTGATTATTTGCTCGGCGGATCGAACCGCATCGTCAGCCAATTCAGTCCATCGCTGATTGACTTCCGCTTGCCCACTGCGCTCGGGAGTTTTCGTGTTGGTCTTCGCCTTGTTCAACAGGAATGGGCGGCCCACAAATACCAAATTCATGTGCTTGGACAAATGCAGGTGTAAGACGGCTCGAGTTGTTGCAGATTCGAAATCTGGTATTTGAGCTGTGTTCCACCACTCCAGGAATTGTCCTTTCACATGTAGTAGTCGCTCAAAGTATGTATGTCGTAGGCGTGTACTTTTCCTCAGCATGAAAACCAAAAAAGACATATCTCCTAACCAATCTGTTATCTTCGTCATGCTGCTTTCGAATTGTCTGTTCCCGGTAGCTGGCTTCCCTGGTTGCATGACGTCTGCAGGGTGATCCGCGTCAATCTCACTCGAGGAGATGGATGATGGCCGGCCATGAAGAATGCTCACACGCTTTTCCAATCGGTATGTGCTCCACCATAGGCGATTTCTCAGATCCAAAGTGTGTTCGTCAAATTCATTTCCGAGGTATTTGCGGTGCATACCATTCTGTATCGCCATTCTCAACGCAAGTCCGAGGTATGTGTAGGATACACCATGCGCGTCCATGGGCAAGGCGAAGTGAGCCAAGCACAAAAACGCCTGTACGCTGTCTACGCTCGCTATCGCCACAACATCAGGAATAAGATCCGCGGCCATTTGGTAGAAGGAGATTCCAACTGCATCTGCAACAGTCTCGATGCCGTTCTCACTCTGCCCGCTTACAGCTTGAGGCATGTGCGCGAATTGCGTTCCGACTGCCAATACACTTAGCGTACTGCAGAGCCAACATGCGTCGTCCGCGTTGAGAACGATGTTCTGCTGATAGAGCGTGTCGAGCTTCTCGCGGATCCAGCCCTCATCCGCGAAGAATGTATTCGTCTGCGCAAAACGAAAGTAGACCGAACTAAGGAACAGTGCAACTTCCTTTGGAGGCAGACTGTCGAGAACGGTCTTCATTCGTGAGTCCCGGGATTTGAGATGGTGTGCTCTCCAGTAGTCGAGTACTTGGAATTGGTCTTCGGTTTTGCGACCATTCGCGACCTGTAATTGCTGCTCCACATACGATTTCAATCTCATGGAAAAACTCCAGTGAGAGAACTCTCCGGAGTAGTGCGTTGTGTTCGGCGACACATTCTGTACCGTGAATCGCTCTTCATCCAATGCCGGCGCTTCGGGATCGTCTGATGGCTGTCCAGCAGTGTAAGCGCTATTCTCGGATTCTAGTCTGGCCACGATCTTGCTCAAAGCATCGTCTGTGAGCGAGTTATCACCCAAGAAGTGGCGAGCGACATATTCCAGGTGCTGAACACGACGGGCCGAAACCTCTAAGCCCTCACCTTCAGTCTTCTGGCTGGGAGCCGTAGTGCTCTGTGTCACGGACGCAGGTTCGCAGACGCGGTGATACTTTTGGCATCGGTCGCAAGGGATCTTTCCATTACACTTTTCTTTTAATCTTCGACATGAGCCACACGCTACAGCTGCTCGCTGTCGTTGCTGTTCAGGAACCTTGGGCCGCTTTCGCTTCCTGGACGGCTTCGCACCGTTCGGAGGCTCCATGACCGGAACGTCACTGTCGACATGGCCCATCCGCGCGCAGAGAGGGCGTGCACGATACAAGAACGAGTGTTGTTGTTTGGGAGTCGGCCGGGCGAGACCTGTAAAGTAGCACGGGCCAAGCATGGCTTGGCGAGACGAGCCGAAGCTCAATCTGATTCATCCAGGCGTGACTGCCGAGCGACAGTTATCAACAGTTTCTGTTTCGGCTCTACATACAACATGATTGAACTTATCCAACCTGCGTGCTGGTGTCGTAGAGGTGCCTGTGGCCGTAAGACAATGATCCGGTAGCAAGTTGTATCAGTGGACAACATGTCCCAACCCTTCGCTCTACCCAATTCCACACCAGGACACGGAACGATACATCTAGCCTTGTTGGCTCCCGACACACCAAAACTGCGTACAGTCAACTACCAGTACCCTCTGAAGCTGGTCGCTCCTCTACCAGTCAGGACCGACAACGAAGCTGCCACCCTGGTCCATACAGTCTACTTGCTCACTTATGGAGGTGGACTTGTGGCCGGCGATGCTATCGACCTCGGCGTCACTCTGGAGGCTCGTACTCGCCTCACACTCCTCACGCAGGGCAGCACCAAGCTGTTCAAATCACCAAGCCAAGACGTGGTCAGCCGGCAAGCTATGACTGTCACTCTCGCGCCGGGATCAGCCCTGTGCTACCTGCCAGATCCGGTTCAGCCATTTAGAAACAGCAGCTTCGAGCAGCTGCAGAAGTACAACATTATCGTAACTGAGTCTACCGGAAATTCTTCATGCGACGGTAATAAAGGCAGCCTATGCGTCCTGGACTGGGTTTCCAACGGTCGGCCTGCGAACGGCGAAGACTGGTCCTTTTTCCGCTATGGTAGCCGTAACGAAGTACACATCAGTCAACCCAATGGCGTGCACAAGCTGTTGCTACGGGACAATATGGTCCTCAATTCTCAGCATATCAGTGGTAGTATGGCTCACAGGATGGACGGCCTAGCCGTGTATGGAACGCTGATACTGTATGGTGACATGTTCGCTGCTTTGAGCACATTCTTCCTTAGGGAGTTCAAGGCTTTGCCTAGGATTGGCAATCGAAAGTGGGATAGTGGCAGCGATGACGAGGAAAGGTTGATGGATCCTGCGCTTGTGAAGAGACTCAGAAGACAACAGATGGAGGCGAACAGCAAAGTATTGTGGTCTGCTGCTTCCGTCCGTGGTAGCGTCGTGGTGAAATTTGGGGCGCCCACTGTCGAAGCTGGTCGACGCTGGCTATGGACTATGCTGAGCGACGAGGGCAGCGTTGTGGAACAATTTGGGGAGCGAGCACTACTGTGCTTACGATAGGGACCGGGATCGCGCGTCGATCTTGTCATTGAGCTGTTCGCATGCTAAGTTCATGAACGGATTTCCGCCCAAACATACATACATTGCCTTTCGTACATCTTGAAGGACTTTGTATCGCTCCTCGCAATCAGCATGGCATGATAGCCGAAATGGATCCCGGTAATCGCGAATTTGACTCGCGTGATCCATTGTTATCAATATAGTTTGTGCATGTGGGCAGGCATTGAGAGCCTTGGCGTCATTTGTCGCGTCGATGGTTGTTGTGGAGTGACCCTTTGACGCGTGACGCTGACTTTCACACAAGCTCGTTTGCGCCAATCTCGCGCGCGGGACCGACCACCTTTACAAACCGCCCACTCACTCTGCGCGTCACAGGTGCTCGCATCGCAAGCAGTCTTCGCGTGACGTGACGCGAAGCGAAATGTCGCAGCCTTGATACTGCACTACTCGTAACCCGACAGTCGCCGGCACAGTACAAGTCGCACAACGCGACTGCGAAGAAGCAGCCCGATCGCAAAAGCCGCACGCGTCGCGCGAACGCAGACAGAATCTAGACGATGTCGGCCTCGGTGTCACCGGCGCCAGATGCGGGCGATGCTCCCACGAGACGCGCCTCTGGACGCGTGAGAAAACAACCTGACCACTTCACGGTCCCGTCCTCTGCAGCAGCCAAACGCAAACGCGACCAAACCGGTGGAGCCGATGCCAACGATGAAGATGAGGAAATGCTGGACGCTGAAGACGAAGATGACGAGGATGATGATCCAGAGGATGAGCCTGACGAGGAGGAAATGCGCGAAAGAGCCAAAAAGTCGCGCAAAGCGAAGAAGCCAGCAGCAGCGAAGAAACCGCCACAGAAGAAGGCTAAGACTCAGACCAATGGCCTTTCGCTCCCCATACGGAGCACAACACGAGCACCTGCTAGGAAGCGCGCACCAAAGAAGCCGCAGGCGATCGATAACGCAGACGCAGAAGCAGCTGGCGGGATATTTGCCGAGCTCTTTGCACGGGACAAGAGCGTAGATGAAGTTGTCGCAGACTGGCTGGCTGCTTTCAAAGATAATGAGGCTTTGGCCTTGACGGACTTGATCAATTTCCTGCTCAAATCGGCGGGATGCAACATAAAAGTCAACGTGCACGACATCGAGGACCCCGATGGAGCTACTGAGAAGCTACGTGACTTGCAAACAGAGCATCAGGCCACGAATCCCACCGATTACCCATTGATCGGAAAGGGCAAGAGCGGCGTAGCATTTCGTCAAAACATCACGCTGTTCATGCAACAGTTGATCAAATCCATATCCGCTGCGGGGATTTTGATCGCCAATCCGGACCTACTGGAAAACATCAGCGTGTGGTTCTCGACCATGTCATCTGCGTCCGATCGGTCGTTCAGACACACAGCGACCGTCTTTTCGTTAAGCGTAATCACAGCCATGTGTGACATCGCGAAGGAGCTGGCCAAACAGGCGCCGACGTTCCAGAGGCAAGTTGCTGCAGAGCAAAAGAAATCCAGAGTCAACAAAGCGCGGGTGAAGGAGTTCGAAGAAAAGGCCAAGCAAGCCACACTCGACCTGGAGTACATGGAGGCATTGCTGAAGGACTGGTTCGATGCCATATTCATTCATCGTTATCGTGATGTAGACCCAATGATTCGCCGGGAGTGTATTGAAGCAATCGGAGATTGGATCATGGCCCGCCCGGAACACTTCTTTGACGGACATCATCTCCGATACCTGGGCTGGGTCCTCAGTGATTCGCACGCCTCGTGCAGGCACGAAGTCGTCGATCAACTCAAGCGCTTCTATCAAGACACCAATAAACTCGGCGGGCTCAGGACATTTACGGAAAAGTTCCGCCAAAGACTGGTAGAAGTGGGCACTTCTGATGCTGACTTAAACGTGCGAATTTCTGGGATCGAGCTCCTGGGTATGCTGCGGGAGAACGACCTGCTCGAACCAGACGATATCGATGCCATAGGCCGGCTCATCTTTCACGATGAGGCAAAGGTGCGCAAGGCAGTCGCAGGCTTTTTCTCGGAAAATGTCAATGACCTTTTCAATGCTAAAGCGGATGACATTGGTGGCATTGAGAGCCTCAAGGAAAACTTGCCAGAAGTCAGCGAGGAGAATTTCGAGGCCCCGCGGCTGGAGTGGCTGAAGCTCAAGTCTTTAGCAGAGATGCTACAATCTTATGACAACGAGGATCCAGGATCCAGTCAATTCGAGCGGAGCGGCACAGATGGCAGTCTCATGATCAACGTTGCAGGCACCGATTCTCGATTCACTCTGGCCACCAATGCGCTCTATGACAAGATCAACGAGCTGCAGAATTGGCAGGCCCTAGCAGGTTATCTGCTATTCGACCACTCCCTTTCACGGTCTAACGGTGCCGCTGACGATGCCTTATCCCATTTGAAGCATGAGTGCACGTTAAGCGAGAAGGAGGAGCTCATCCTGCTGGAAGTCCTCAATGCCTCAGTGAAACGTACGCTTGGCGATTTGGCGGAGCAGCACAACCATCACACGAAAGGCAAGCTCACAAAGAAGCAAAAGGAAGAGCTGCAGGATGAGCTTGAAGAGGCCGTGCGGCACTTGACAGATATTCTGCCCAGACTTTTGAAGAAGTTCGGCGATGCTCCAGGCACTGCAGCTGCTGTTCTCCGCTTGGAAGGTGTCTTCGCGATTCCTGCTCTGCAAAGCTTGCGGGCCGATCCCACGATCAATGGTGCCCTGCTCGATGATCTTCGAAAGCAGTTCATGTCACACGGCACGGACGAAGTGCTTGGTCCAGCGACAAGTGCCATACTGCACGCCAAATCCTACGGAGACCTCGACGACACCGCGGTGGAGAAATTGTCCGGCCTGTGGGAGGATGTGGTCAGCAATCTTGCAGAGCTGCTGAATGTCGACACACTGACTGTCCGTGGGGCTTCACCACGAGAAGAATTGGTGGCACTCAGCAACAATCTGCTTCGGATTGTGCATCTTGCCACCATTTCGAACCCTATATCACATCTTGAGGATGGCAATCTCGCAGGCAGCAACACCGATCCGGACAAGGCATATAACGGTGCGATCGACTTCATCGTCGATTTGCTACAACGCGCTGTGCACTCCACCGGGCCAGCTCCTGATCCTGAAGAGGCAGCACTCGAGGACAGCATCGCTGCGAGAGCTGCAGAGGCAGCCTTGTTCTATTTTCGATGGAAGCTGTCCGCATTGGCGACAGCCGTCAGGACAGGTGTAGGCTCAGAACTGGATGATCTGGAGCCGTTATGCCTTCGACGAGACACATACGTGACAAATACCATGATGGTACTTGATGGAAGGAAAGCGACAGAACAGGTCTGCTTCTCGATGACTGGCTGTTTACTAGACTTGCACACGTCTGGGGCTGTGTTACGCACGGTGAAGGCGAAACCCGGCATCAGTGAAGACTATACCGTGTTGATTATGGACTTGGACTCTGAACATGAGAAGGCGGTACTGAAGACCTTCGCTGCGCTTGAGAAGGACTTCGCCAAATTGAGCCGCAAGAAACTGGACGACCACTCAAACGAGGACGAAGAGATGGACGTTGATGCAGACCCTGTCGATGACGATCCACTATCTGAATCCGAAGACGAGGATGAGGACCACCAGCTTCAAACATCTCAACAAGCTCGGGATGCCAAGCTCGCGAAGCCTCTCATCGCCGAACAGAAGCTATGCATCCTGACAGGCAAGATTGTACAAGCTGAGGCTGCTGGCGTCCTGGCGGACAAAGCGACACGAAAGCGCGTGGAGCGCAACAAGACCAGACTTGGGCCAAACTTCAAGGAAGTGGTAGCATATTTCGAGAAGCCCAATTTGGAGAAGAAGGCCGGGAAGAGCAGAGCGAAGCCTAAAGCGAAAGCTGCTCCAAACGGGATCGGGAGGAAACCCAAAGCTGATCCAAAGAGTAATGCCATCGTGGCTGAGGACGAAATGGAAGACGAGATTGAGGATGAGGACGAGGTCGATGTCGAGCCACAGGCACTTGAAGAGGATGATCGCGAGACTGCCAATGGTGCCCCAGCAGACGAGGAGAGCGTGGTCGGCGACTGAACAATTCCCGACCTTCTATGATGAGCTCAAATGTCTCGATCCAAAATGCTACAGGCGCTCCAGGTCACGTCCTTCCACAGCGCACTAAAATCGCCAAGCTTGCAAGGATGATAGGGACGGATGAGTTGAAGTGTTCGATGGACTCTCTTCCAGCCTGTAGGCAGGAACGCTCACGTTGCACAAGTGCGCGGCGTGGAGGCCGATCACATCATGGCCCGTCATGTGCGCACTGCAGGCTGCGAGGTAGCGAAGGCTTTGTACAGAACGCCGCAGGGAAGACGGCGCGAGGCACTCGCCCAGGCGATATTACTCTTATCAATTGATGATTGTTTTCAATTCAATGCTTGTAAGCCGCAAGCTGCGTAGTAATGCTAAAAGGGGTATCTCCGCTGATTCCTGACACGTCAATGTCCGTCCCACATTTCTACCAGAACCCATGTACACGCGCTTTCCAATTCTCCACTGCCATCCCCTTCAAATCATCGCCATTCAACATATCAACGCCCTCGCGCATCAGCGTCTCCCAGACCGAGTTGCGCAGGCTTACAGGCCAGTTCGGCGTGTCCCAGTAACGGACATATAGTCCTCTTCGCTTTGCTCCTCTGATCTGTCCTCGAATCTTGTTGAGCTGGGACGCGGACAATTGACCTCCCCAAACAAAGCCTATAGATCTCGCGAACGAAACACTTGCGTACCAGGAGTTGGTAGAATTGAAGTCGTCCGCAGAAGTCACAATGCCAGTTCCAACATTTCCTTGGCCACCTTCAACAAAGCCTGTCTTGCTTTCATCAATTTCTAAGCTGTCGGTATCACGCTCTCGCTCAGGCTCCCACATTCGATCGAGAGGGGCATCGAAGAAGATTTCGCGGCGTTCGGTGTCGCCAACGACCATGTCGAAGGGAGTATTTCCAGTTCCGACCACTGTTACAGCGCGTTTGTGAAATTGCTTTCCATCGTGGTACGAGAGATAGTCCTTCTCACGCAGCGCGGACAACTGCCTTTGTACGTGGGGATATGTCTCACGCCCTTCGGTTTTGAAGTCGACGAGCAGAGTGAGACTCTGATCAGGATCGGCATCGAATACTCCATGTCCGGTAGTATTGCCGAAAGCGTTGTGCGGATTCATCGTGTCGAGCATCTCAACGATCGGGTTGATGTATAAGTTTCGAAATGTTCGATTCTTGGTCAGAGCGGCAGTATTATGACCAACATATAACTCTTCGTCGAAATGCCAGACATCAGCTTCGACGCCAGTGCAACCCCAATGTAGTGCATCGTAGAGTGGGATTTTTCGCCAATAGTCATTGTGTGAGTGACATCGGATGGGAAGCACGTCTCTTGTCGCGTCCGTAGGGTAGTTGGCAAGGCCATCGCCAGGTTTTCCAGCAAGACCCCATTCGGGAAGAAAGATCTCGTCGGTTTCGAGATTCCAGAAAAGGCGCGCGCGGCCTACAATAGCTTGTAGTATGTGAAGAACGCCACTGTAATAGGTGAGTAGGTTTGCAAGCATCGTCATCGCATAGGTCAGCTTACAAGAACATCAATACTGCGACCGAGACCATAACACAAGTCCTTCTGATCGAGCCTGCCAGCGAGCGACGACGTCTGCGTCCTTCCCTCACTGGGCTCGACTTGAGCTTTCCCTCATCCAAGGCATCATTTCGCGGGCCAAGATGATCCTGGTCGTGGTCTCTGCTTCGTCGTCGTTGACGCGAAGTCATGCCCAAGAAAGAAAGAACATGGCCGACAGTGGATCGCCGTTGCGAGCGCTCCGGGAAGTAGTGTTCTGACGACGCCTCATCATCATCATCGAAGTCTCGGTAGTAGACGGGTAAGATGGGTGAAGATGTCAAGCTTTGACTTTCGTCCATGTCCTTGTCCTTGGCGCTGCCGTTACCCAACGCCATTGCGCCTGGCATTTGCTTGCTGGAGCCAATTTTCGATCCCACAATCTGGTTGTCCTGGTTGGAGACGCTGGTCTGAGGTAGTGATCGGTGACTCGGGCGAATTGTTCAAGTGCGATGCTGTTGACGTTCAGGGACTGCCGACCGACTTTACTTTGCTACTGCAAACGAAAATGCTCATGCGCCATTCAATGCGCCTGGAAGCGGAGTGCGGTTATGCTCATAAAATTGTTGAACTGTGAAGGCTGAGGGCTGCTATGGAGGTACGAAGGGAGGTACTGTTCGCAGACACGCAGGCGGCGGGAGCGCTGCATAAGAAGGAGATCGCTCGTCCATCAGTACACCGCACAGGCACATGCCGCCAGATCAAACGATGGAAGCATGTGAGCATACCATAGAGCGCAAAAGAGCCAGCAGGGACATGGCGAACGAAGCACGCTTTCCGCGGCGAGACCTGATTGGCGGCAATGCGAAGAGCGCGTGCGCCACACGTAAAGTCCCGGCCATCGGCCCCAGGGTCTTCAATCTTTGGTCTCTTTTGCCGAAGCTTCTATACGACCAGACTCGCGGCCTGGCGTTGCGGCACGCTGCTGATTGGGAGTGGTAGAGCTAACAACACCAATGGCATGAGTGAAGATGTCTACAATACGAGACCAGAGCTTACGTGGCACACGAGCTCCTACCAGAACAAGGTTAAGTCAGACAAAGTTCGAAAGTCAACCACCTTCGAGTTTAATGGCTCGAGGCTGAGCGTGATGAACCCATCTCGTATGTGCCCTGGAGTGCAAACGGCAGATATGACAAGATCGAACAAGCACGTCAAGGTGCAACAGGCAGCAGCTTCTAAACGACCACGATTAGTGAACGTTTCTTCAGCCATGCTCGAAACGGCGGCCCTGGGAGAGTCTCGAAATGGCGGCCCTAGGAGATTCTCGAAAGGAACACACTGTCATGCTTCGAGTAGGCGGCGTCAAGCTCGATTGCTACTTCTGGACCACCTCGTGCCCTGCACGACGTGCTGCAAGGCCGCGACATTGCTGCTGCTGCTGTGCTGTGCGGTCAAATAATCGCCAAAGCGCATCCTTACCCCCGAAGATACGGAAGACTCGCAGCTGCCTGGCTGGGGCTTGGACAAGCGTTGCAGAAACCTCTCTGAAACGCGACCACCTTTCACCGGTGAGTTTGGATCACAGCCAAGGCCTAAGCCAGCACAATGGTGGAACAACGTTGATGAAGTGGATCGTGGGCAGGCCGAGCTCAATGGCTTGTGGTGTGCAGAATGCGTCCAGGGACTGACAACGCGACCTATCATCGCGTGCTGTTTCTTGCGGTGCCCCTGTCTGTGTTTGTGATTCTTTTCGTGCTGTAAAAGTGAGAATCGCAATGGGAAACCCGTGGAAACGAGATTGAGGTAGCCCGAGGGGCGATGGAGCACCCAACATGTCTGCCTGGGCTCCATGATACCATTCGTATTGGAGCTCACCATTTCTTCCCCTTGGTCTTGTCAAGCACTTCCACCCATCGCTTGTCAACGCCTCTGCGCTCAAGTGCTTTGACTACTGCATCCTTCTGTGGTCCCTGCACCATGACCTCAAGGACTTCCTTCTCGTTCTTCTTTGCGGCGCCAGCGAGAGGTTCAACACTTGTGCTGCCAGCACACGTCTTTCTCAGCTCATCCGCCAAAGGTCTTGGGTTGACGTGGTAGACCTCGAGGCCAGAGACCTTTGTCACGGTCTTGTTGCCACTTCTTGTCTCCAATGTAATGTGTATTTTTGGCGCTGCACCGCTCTTTGCTTTCACACTGGCCGGATCCACCCCTTGGCGGACGATGGTGTGCTGCTGCGCCATCCCGTGCAACACGCGATCGATGAGTGCATCTCGCGGTACGGTGCCCTTGGCTAGCACTTCCTTGTCAAGTGAGCCAGAGCCATCGAAGACGGCGTTGGCCAGGACTGGATTGAGTTTGACCAACCGCTTGTTTGTCTCGGATATGAGGTTCTCCTTTTCGAGATATGCCGTGACAAGCTCACGCACTTCCGGCGGCGTGTACTGTTGCTTCGTACTGGACACTGCATCAAAAATAGGCTGCAGCTTGGCAGCCGGTTTGTAGGAAGAGATTACTTGCAGCTTCTGCCCGATGGAATCATCGCCGACATCGGTTTTTGCTGTCCCTGCTTCTCCTCGGCCAAGTGATGTACCGCTCGCATTCTCCTTCTTTGGCAGTCGGTATGGCTTGAAGTTGACAACAGCCGCATCATCGAAATCAACGTCGATTATTGTCGTCTCATTGCCATCTTTGTCCTTCGATTTCACGATCTTAGCTTTGTCCAAGCTCTTGACAAACTTCTTGATATTCTTCCAAGATGTCTTCTTGATCTGTAGCTGCTGCGCCTCCTCTGGTGTGTACGCCGGTAGAAACGGCTGGACCAAGGTTGACATGATCACAGTCTGCGTTAGCGGGAAGTCGAGGCCGTAATTTTTGGCGTTAGGATTGGAGCTCTTGTAGTGGTTGATACCAAAGAGAAAAGCGTTCCGAAAGGCTTCGTCGATTTCCTTTTGCGACAATTCTTTGGCTTTTACATTCTCGCTGGATTCCTCGCTGTCCGCAGGCACATCGACGGCCCTGGTGTTGGCGCTGCCGTTGGTTGCAGAGTCCCCAAGTGCCACCCCACCTGCTTCATATTGGTCCTCCAGGTCAAGGTCTGCTACTTGTTCCAATAGTCCTCGATTCTGTAAGATTTTGGTCCGTCCCTCGACCTCTTCTGGAGGCTGTTGGCCTGGCTTCCCCAAGTGGCCCCACGACCACAATTCATCTCCGAGAAAGTGCATATTTTCCACTGCTTTTCCTTTCTCGCCTCTTACCTTCTGTAGATCACAGACATCAATGACGCACACTCCTACTGCTACAGGGATGGAGGGCCGTTCAAGCGCTGCTATGGCCACCACGGCACCCTTTCTAGCTCGAGGAGGAAAAGGCGGCCCGCCGAACAGGCCAGGAATCATCAGATCTGCACCACCTTGCAGTTTCTTGATAACGATGTCTGGTGTGTGCAGCAAAGGCACGAGGTCGGGATGACGCCAAAGTGTGTAGACTGAGGGTATCATTTGTCCTTCAACCTGAAACCACAGTATTCTCGACTCTTCTCCATCCTGGCTACCGACGTATAGAGTGCCTGAGGCTTGCTGCGCTTCCGGCCGCTTGAACGTCGTCGACTGTGTGTTCTCGGGGAGAAGAGAGTTCCGTAGAGCACTGTGAGCAGCGGTTGCCTCTGCCTTCTGTTCAGGAGTTTCGTCGTCGACGGCTTTACTGTCCAGGTCGAAGTCCTTGATGATCTGGTCGGCGAGCTTGCGTCGATCAGATGATCGCATAGGAGCCTGTGGCTTGATGATGGGCTTCTTCTTGAACATGACGACGGTAGGGACTGGAGAATGCAATCGAGTGTACGCGCGATGGACGCGAAGTTCGCGAATCTGGAGGGCGAAGCTCGGGATCCTAGCACTGCGATGACGAGGTGGAGGGGTCGTGCCTGTCTGCACGTGGAGGGCCGCGTGCATTCCGCGCGCAATCCAGGAGTTCAGGCATCACCTCTCGGTGCGCCTGCAGCCCACCTCACCTCACCTCGCCTTTGTAATATGTCGACTGAACAGTCGCCTCGGCGTTCACTGACGACGCTCCATCGATTTGTGAGCCCAGCCCAGCTGTGAGAAGTGCATGATCAGACCACAGGCTTGAACGATCGAACCGATGGTCTTGGCAAGTCGCCCCGCCATCCAACTTGTGCAAGCACAATCACAAATCGTGCGCGGCGCCCAGTTTTGTGGCTGTGGTTCGCTGGGCAATCTGCGGACATGTAGGCGGGTAGGGCATGGTATGCGATGCCCGGGCGTGCTGTTGTCTTGGATTTTATCAGCACCTGCCGCACACGTTCGTTTGCTCTACCTGACAGGCACGACGCTGGCTCCCCAAGATCAGAATACTTCACCATGTCCTCACGCTGCTCTCAATCTTCTTCTACGTACACTGGCTTATCGACTAAACAAGAACATCACCTCGACTCCGTAGCATCACATCATTCGAACAAAGACACAATGTCTTCACATGCATTCGCCATCGTTGAACTCCTGGAGAGTGTCCTGATGCACCTCGAAATGAAAGATCTTCTTCGCATTCAGCGCGTCTCGCAGCAATGGCGCACAGTAATCACGACCTCACCAAATTTGCTCAGGAGAATGTTCCTAGGATTCGTTCCTAAAACGGGCAAGCTCTCCCACTCTGTATGCGACAATAACTCCAAGCCGGAATCTGCTTGTCACGCTCCAACTACGGCGAAAGGTGTTCCGGGGCGCCATTTGCTGAATACCACATCGGACGTGCGACCAGCCTTCGACCAACCGCCCCAGCATATCCAGTTCAATCCGGTCTTCCCTTCGGACGGGAGAATCGTGAGACTGCGAACTGCTCAATTTCGCGCGAAGCTGGATTGCAGAGAGTCGTGGTTAGACATGTTCTTCACCCAAGCTCCGTGCACGGAAATGCAAGTTGGTTTATATTTCATTCGCAAGCGCGAGTGGATGTCACGTTTCGGTTTGATTCGGAGATCCGACGAGCCGGTCGTTCTGACAATGACGGTAAGGCGAGATACAGGCGTGCGAGCCAGAGACATTCTGGAGTCGTTGCGAAGTGCTTGCAGCGAGGACGTGCAGCGGTGGCAGAGAATTGATATCTGTGCACCAGGGGCGGCCAATGCTTGATACCCCCTCCCGAAGTGAGGCGAGCAGAAGGCCTTCCCAGGTTATCGTCATGACGGGCGTGCTGCGCTGTTCATGTACATAAGGCGAACTAGATGCATAAATCAGTTGTCAGTACAGTGCAAAATATGCATTGCTCATATCGTCAGTTGACATCCGAGGTGACTCGCACTTTCAGGACTGCCCTCGATACCGTGAGCCGTATCCATGTCGTGTCTCGAACCACAAGCAACTCGATGTGTGAAGGAAACTCCTTAGAATACAGTGTCCGTGCTCTTATTTACATCTATTCCGCTCGAGACCCGCAAACGCTGCATCGTGATCGCACCACATCTAGAATGGGTTATCTTCTGGTGCGACTTCAGTGTGGTAGAAGCTGGCAATGAACGGAATCTTCTCCAAAATGTCCTGCTTCACCTTGGGCACAGCGTCGAAAAACATGATCGCAAATGTTCCAGCAGCAACGCCGAAGCCAGCTGCCAGTGTGCCACTGCATCGCGTGTCAGAGCTGTCGAATTGTGGTTGAGAAGGGTATGTCGCGAACGTACTAGTAGTAGCCCTTGCCTGCATCCACGCCAAAGACGTGTGGCTTGATCTTGTATCTGCGCAATTTGTCAGCCTTGCCAATTCCTACGTTGTCGCTCGTGCGGTGCCATACTGAGGGCCGTAGGGACTCTTGTAGGTGTCAACCTTGACAGGTTTCCGCCAGACGTGTGTGCCGGGAGCGCCGCTCTTCCATAGTCCAGCACCGCCCTGGAGGGTCGGGCTCGTGTTCTGCATGCCATTCAGCCATAGTCCGTGTGCTCTAGCTCTTGCATCCTACCAATAGTCTCAGCGCGGGTCGCATGGTGTGTGTGGTGCGAGGGTGGTGATGTCGGTGGTCGTCGGGAGAAAGTCGAGAGCTGGTGAAGTCAATGTTTCGTTTGGCCGTGACGAGCCAATCGTCGCAGCCAGCGCGGTCATTCTCAACCGCACGGCAGAATCCGACACCGACCGACAATTGCTCAATTGACAGCCGCATTTCTGGCCACCCGCACTCGCCCACGCCTCCTCTGTTCGTACGCTCGCGATGACGACGTAACTTAGCAGCTTCAGCCCGTCAGCACCATGTTGCAGGGCGAGCAGAGCGCGCGACGATTCAGGAGTGGATATGTCGTCGAGCTCCAAGGTTACCGGTACGCAGCCCATTAGTCCGCCCTGTGTTACAATGCACATGCACAGGACCGCGCAAAAGAGATCAACAGCCACTGAGTCCGCCCTGCAGTCGAGTATCATGACGAGTCTGGAGTCTTTCCCCTAGTATCGCGCGACATAGCCGCCAGGCTTCCGCTGCGAAACCTCAACTGGCAGTCACCGCCTCGCCCACTCCGCCAGATCAAGTCCTTGCACTTGGATTTCGTGCCCGATAAACAGACTCAGGCTGCTCTACGGCCCTCGTCACGCAGAGATGATGCTATCGCGCCTCAGCGAAGTCTCGACATTGCCACGGGAGGCGGCCAAACGGGCAAGGAGCGAAGGCACCAAATCCCAGGCTTCCGGACAAGTCCATACCTCAAACTCTATGTGTTGAGATGCGATGATAGTGAAGCCTACAAAGAGTTCGAGCGCAAAAGGATACGCGAGTGGGTGAAGGAGGTCGCGCAGCCAGAGGGCAAGCAGGACCACGATGCTCACGAATGGTTGATCTTGCACGTTGTTGTGCCCGACACTGTAGCGGCCAGCGAGCCACGATGGCGGGAGAGTAGCAGAGACCCGGACGACCTCAAGGAGAGGAAAAGCGGCAACAAGCTCATTGGCAAGGGCACGCGGACTGTATTTGACCGAGTGCGTGCTGATTTCAACGATACGGGCAAGTCTGGCATCGACCGCGTGGCTCAAATCCGCATCGTAAAGAAGGAGGCACCGGCGGACTTGCTTCCCACCCCAGCTGTTGCGCAAACATACGATGAGACTCCACAGGAGCGAGAGAACGCTTGGAGCGACCTCATTTCGAAGCTCAAGTCGCTCATTCTCGGTCCCTTTGACAGGCGAGTCCGACAGTATGAAGCTGATATTGCGGAGCAGGAGGCGCGAAGGTCACTCCCTGGCTGGAATTTCTGTACCTTCTTCATCCATAAGGAGGGCTTAGCCATGGCACTGGAAAGCATAGGCTTAGTAGAAGACGCTTTGGCAATCTACGATGAACTTTCGATCGGGCTTGAGATCGTTCTCCGCGAATTGGCAACTGGCGTGGCTCGGGGAACAGCAACAAGCTTTGCAGATCATACGCATGATATTAGGCGGAGAGTGAAAGGGCCATCGAACGCCGACCGCAATGGGGATTCCAACGAGGCTGCAAACAGCAAACACGACACAGAGCTTCTTTTCAGCAAAGACTATCGAGATGGTATCCTTCGGAGCAGCATATCTGTGTTCGACTTCATGTGCTACATTTTTCACCGACAAAAGGCTCTGATACTGCGTCTTGCGAATGCACAGTCCGCACGCCTGGAGCAAGATGCGAAAGAGGGCGGCGAAGATCTGGTCCTAACTGCAGAAGTATGTTGGCGAGCTTCAAGCTTCGTTCACATGGCAGCACGAGCGCTCAGACAGGACCAGGCTCGCAGTGCCGCATCGTCCCTGGAAACAGAGTATCTGGTCTGCTCGTGGACTTGGGCAGTAGCATCTCAGGTCCTTGCTGAGACTGCGGTGCCAGCACTGATAGATGTCATTGATAGAGGGTTACGCCGAACCTCTAATGGCAGCATACGCAGGCCAGCAACGAGCACTGGTGTTGGCGCGAACACACACCCACAGCGGACGTCCAGTTTGCCTGATTCTGAAGCCGCGATCGAATTGACACGTCCACAAAGCAGAAAACAAGGCTCTAAACCCTTTCGACCAGCGACGAGCACTGGCGTCGGTTCAATAGGGCACGTCGGTCTGCCAGGCCAAGCGGACTTGGCAACGTATCGGGCAGAATTAATCATGATGCAACGACGGGTACTGGTGCAGCTTGCTCGCACATTCGGTTGGTGTGCCGGTTCATCACTTGTCAGCCCTTCACGTGATTCGCCCCTTGAGCAGCAAGGCGCCAATGCCACGAAGACTACAGAAGACGAAGACTCGGGAAGCCTACCCCTGGACATCCTGAGTCCATCCCTGAAGGCAACAGTGGGCAACGAGCGAGACTTTGAGCGAATGTACGAGCGGCTGACCGATCTGGCCATCAAGCATTTTGGTGCAGCTACACAGCACAAGTCAGTGGAAAAATTGTTGGGCGATCTGGCGATGTTGAAGTGCCAGCAGAACGATTGGCTGAGCGCCACGACATACCTCGAGCGTGTTGCTCCGCAAGAGGAACACGTCGGATGGGACAGACTAGGCCTGGAGAGACTTCGTACCTATGCTTATTGCCTGAAGCAGCTGGGTAGGAAGCAAGACTTTGTTCGTGCGACGCTAGCACTGCTGAGCAAAGTTATCCGGCGCCGAAGGACGAGCAAAGCGCTCAATTTCTCAGGTAATAGCATCGCTACTAACACGAGCGATTCCGGTATCAATGGCAGCTTCCAGGAAGCGATTGAAGTGGCGGGTGATCTTGACGCTGAAGACATTCACCCACTCAAGGACTTCTTCGGCAACGTCGAAATACATCGCGTTGTAGACCATGATGCGGAGACTGATGCATTGACGCTGTCTCTCAACGTCACCCACTACCTTGACGAGGTAGTGACTTTCGATGCAGTGAGCGTGCGCCTGGTTAACGTAGACGATTCGACGCAAGAAGTATGGCTCGAAAACGCCCAATCGACTGCACTGCAGCCGGGAACGAACACTATACAGCTCTTGTCAAGGACCATAGCGTATGGCCCGTACCTCATCGACACAGTTGAATTGAGGATCAAGCAGCTGCGATTCGTAGAGCACTTGCGTGCGACACCGGAGCCGACACCCTTGGGCATCACTGTGGTCGACCCTACCACAACTATCAGAGATTCTACTAAACCACCTGCTTTCGTTTTCTTGTATCCCCGGGCACAGGCATTCTGCGCAACCGTCAAGAGGGCTCGCCATACTCATATCGACAAGCCGCGGCATCTCGAGGTCGCTTTGCATGCTGGGCACAATTCGGTCACAAATGTTAATATCAGACTAAAGCCGGCAACAGCAGGGCTACGCCTTCACCTTGCAGACGCAATTCTTCGCAATATTAAACTGGACAATACTGCAGCCGTTAAAGCCGGACACCTCACCCTCGGAGAAATGGCCGCCGATAGTGATGCTGAGGTACAAGTGCCATACACTACCGAACAACCCACCAAGGAAGTGATGTTCCGGATGGAGCTTCATTACACCACTCCACGAGGCACCTTTACGCTGAACCTCCCGATCAAGTTGGCCAATGAGCTGCCTCTCGATGTAGACGTACACGATGTGTTCCAGCTCGATCGATTGTACTCGAGCTTTACCGTGCGCACCACCTCACAAACACCACTGACCATACTTGGCGCGGAGCTGGATGACTCTCCATTATTCGCCGTGGAAGCGCCGCCTTCATTGCCCCTACCTCTGACTGCATTTGAGGCACAGCCCGTGAAACTGCTCTACAAGATCACACGGAAGCACAACTCAGAACAAAAGGTTCTCAAACGCGACGCCGCCCTTGCGTTCAAGGTCCGGTATGAAGCGATCGATGAACTTTTTTTGTCTCATCTGGAAGAGCTCTTCACTGCAGACATACGGCAGAGCGATTTCAGCCAATATCGACGCCTGCTAGTTCCATTGCTGCTCGATCGTGCCCGTCATAGCACCATTGCCTCAGATCTCGAGGCATCGGCCCTCCTCCGCGAGACCCGTGTGATCGATTTCGAGACTGTCGGGTGGACCGAACTGATTGCCACTCTGCCTGCGGAGCAAAGAGCACCATTGGACGGTTGGCTCCGCACATGGCACAACGATCACAAGGTCCTCGCGCTTGACCGCACAAATATGGCAGAGTCGCAGTGTATTACCATCTCTGTCGATGTGCCAAACGTCGACATGGTGTTCAGTACTGCTCTGGAACTTCCGAGCATGACAGGGCAAATATCGGACCCTAAAGTTCTCACTCTTGGAGAGGCCATTACGGCCAAAGTGCTGGTGAGCCACACCTCGTGTTGGAGTGCCAGAGAGGTGTTCCCCCACGTTCCCACGTTCAGGATACATGGCGAAGATGAGCGGAAGACCTTCGTAGTGCACATCGAGAGTGAGGACGACACTTGGCTCATTGGCGGGCAGAAACGACGACATTTTGTGCCAGAGGCAGATGCGCCGTGCACCTTCGACATTGTGCTGATTCCACTACGCGTGGGCCAACAGCCACTGCCAATGATAGACGTGCACCAAGAAGAGTTCAAGCACGAGAGTGATGAGCCTGGGGAGCGGCCAACATCAACGACCTGCGAAACGCACTACGAGAGCACTGGTGAACAGGTCCACGTCGTCAGACACGTACAGAATACCACTGTGCACATTCCCGATACCACGTCGTCAGCCCTCGTGCTACCGTCAAGCAGTAGACCGGGAGCCAGCGGAACGAGTTGAGCTGAGCGATCGAAATGTCTGATATGAGCCTTATACGATAGAGACGCTGCTTGAAAAGGATAGACAGGACCCTGCAAGATACCCCTTGTATTATTGATGAACTAATGTTGAAGCGTTGTCTTGTCAGTGCAATGAGATCGAGCGCTTTGAGAACGCGTTGGTGATGCGCTACCCCCGTGTTCCTCCTCCGCACCATACTTGAACTCGGAGGCCGGCTGATGAGCTAAAGCCCGCCAAACAAATATGTCGCTCTGGAGGTGACCTATTTCGCAATAGAACAATAACTTAGTCTCCCAAAGTGCCGCGTCTGCCGTTCGAGCGAGCCTTTCGCAGAACGTGCGATCGCCTCGCAATAGTGTGTGCCGGCAGTCGCGATATACTGCCATTCTTGCGAATTATAAGCACCAAACCTAACCCGCACTTCGATTGTTCTTGCGTCTGCAATCGGCAAGCTAATGAGCAACTTTGTCCCCTTCCATTGGATCTGGCCCAGGATGTAGCCTCTGACAAGTTCTCTTTCAGTCTAGCACGAGCACTGAAGCAGCTGTGATTAGCGAGCACGCCATAGCTATCCCGTCCTGCAGATCCCTGGAGTGAGGTCTCAAGCTGCGGGGACCTCTCTGCAGGCGGGGCCACTGGATTAATTGACCCTGCACACAAACAAATCAACAAAACTTTCTCACTCCGTCTTTCTCTGTTCGCTCCTACATTGGAGAGAAAAAGGTCGACTTGTGCGCTTTTCTGTTGTATGCCAAAGGCGAAATCACGACTTACATTATTCACGGAACAGTTATCGAAGATGGCTGGACAAGAGCAGCAACCGCGATTCGAGACCTTGCAATTGCATGCAGGTACGCGAGATCTTTTGATTTCGAGGTGTTGGAATACTTTTTGAGGCCAGAACTGACTGAAGTCATGAAAAGGTCAAGAGCCTGATCCAACTACCAAGTCGCGAGCAGTTCCCATCTACGCCACCACATCGTATGTCTTCAATGATTCCGCTCACGGCGCAAGGCTGTTCGGCCTTAAGGAATTCGGCAACATCTACTCCCGTATCATGAACCCGACTGTGGATGTCTTGGAGAAACGCATCGCAGCCCTCGAAGGTGGTGTTGCAGCCCTCGCCACTGCCTCTGGCCAAGCTGCTCAGTTCATGACCATTGCTGCTCTCGCACACGCTGGCGACAACATCATTTCGACCTCAAACCTCTACGGTGGCACATACAACCAGTTTAAAGTGTTCTTCCCACGTCTTGGAATTACAACCAAGTGGGTCAATGGCGACAAGCCGGAAGACTTCAAGGGCTTGATCGACGACAAGACCAAGGCGATCTACCTCGAGACCATTGGTAACCCGAGATACAATGTGCCAGATTTCGAAGCTATTGTGAAGATTGCGCACGAAGCTGGCATTCCAGTCGTGGTGGACAACACTTTTGGAGCTGGAGGTTTCTTCGCCCGCCCAATTGATCATGGTGCGGATATTGTCGTACACAGTGCAACCAAGTGGATTGGTGGCCACGGCACAACTATTGGAGGTCTTGTCGTTGATGCCGGAAAGTTCGACTGGGGTGCTCCAGCTGCTCGCAAGCGCTTCCCACAAATGAGCGAGCCATCCGATGGCTACCACGGCCTCAAGTTCTGGGACACCTTCGGACCCATCACCTTCATCATCCGCCTGCGAGTTGAAATTCTCCGTGATCTTGGAGCTGCGCTGAACCCGTTCGCCGCACAGCAATTGATTCTCGGTCTTGAGACTCTCAGTCTGCGTTGCGAACGCCATGCATCGAATGCACAGAAACTCGCAACATGGCTCGAGAACAACCCCAACGTCGCGTGGGTCAGCTATCCAGGTCTTGAGAGCCACCCAAGCCACCAATTGGCGAGAAAGTATCTTCCACGCGGCTTTGGAGGTGTCCTGTCTTTCGGTGTGACCGGTGGAGGCGCTGCTGGTAGTCAGGTGGTCGATGGTTTCAAGCTCATTTCCAATCTTGCCAATGTTGGTGATTCGAAGACTCTCGCAATTCACCCATGGACCACAACCCACGAGCAACTCAGCGACGAGGAGAAAATCAACAGTGGTGTCACTGAGGTAAGTTTTGGAGTCCTTCTTATATTCAGTTATTTTGCTAACCTTTGTTGTAGGATCTCATCCGTATTTCCGTTGGTACCGAGCACATTGACGACATCATCGCGGATTTCGAGCAGTCGTTTGCACAGGCAGCTACGAAGCCTGGGCAGGGCCAAGACAATAGTGGCGTTACAGGTAACCCCAACGCGCCAGGCGGAAAGCCAGTCGTCTAGGTCTACAAGATGTAATGAGCGAGTTCGTGAAAGAACTAGGTCTGGAAGAAGAGTTGTATATACCCGGTATGAAGGTCCAAAAGAGGTCATGTTCAAATACGCCTTCCCACTCGAGTCTTGATATTGCCGAGGCGATGAGTTCGTGTGCTGGGCGCACATCTCATCAGACTTTGTTGGCGTTGAAGACGTGTATGCCCCAAGCGCATTCCGCGGTCTCGACAGTCGTGGCTCGCATGACATGAACAACTGTGACCTTCGTGTTGCATCACTAAACCGCCAGCAGTGGCACAGTGAGCCTAGTCAAGGAATTGTTTTGGAACACGTGTGTGGCACGCATCCTCTTTGTTTCCAAGAGATTGGCTCTCGCGTGCTTAGACAATAGAACAAAGGATACCATGTGGTGGCTCACCCCAGATCACGCTTCTCCTCCCCTCCGAGGTGGAAGCAGCCGAGAGCATGTGGTGGCAGAGTGAAGGTTTCGGTCTGGTCCGGGTCCGGTTCATGCTACTCCTCGTCATGAGGCATGTGAAAGTGCTGCGCCGGGATTGTGTGCTTAGGGCCTTTCTCGGAATCTGCTCCTTGCAAGACCAACAGTCAGCGACAATATATTGAACAACACAACCAGGCTCTATTTTGGATAATGCAACAAAGGGGCGCTCTGAATGTCGGAGCGGCGTGGGCTGCGACGGAGATCGACCCTGAACAAGATGCGCCAAGTCGAGTTGTGGTCTCGGAGCTCGTCAGCTGGCGATGATGCCTCGGCCAAATCGCGAAGCTCGCAGTCGGCCACTGATCCCAGCACAGAATTACATTATTCTGCGCAGGTCAAGTGGCTCAATAATCTTCCTCTTCTCCTGCCTCTCTGTCTCTGTGCTCTGTTACTCTTCTGTTTCTTGTGTACATCCTTCACTTGTGTGGTCATAGCACCGCAGCGTCCTCGCCGTCCTCCGCCTGTCTGCAACATGTCAGTGAAGCTTCGATCCGGAGGACCACGGCATCCTTGTGAACTGACGAAATGATAGCGTGTAACAACAGAGGCGAATCTGCTACACCATCTCCGCATCTTGTGCGACAGCTGCATCTACCCGCAGAAACGCATTCGAGAAATTCGCAGACATGGCCAGCCAAATAGCAATCGATAAGGCCGCCGAGCTCGTGCAACCTCCTCCAGTGGGCGCTCCATACTCCGTTGCCGTCCCTAATAGCAAGCTCGAGGGTCGTAGTGCAGTGTACCGACACTGGAGGCAAAAGGATGGCGTTCTCCACTCCCTCGATCCCGAAATCACCACAGCACACGAGTTCTTCGAACAGTCGGCGAAGAAGGTGCCCAACAACCGATGCCTTGGACACCGACCATACGATCCAAAGAAGCAGGCCTGGGGTCCATACGTGTGGCAGACATATGCGCAAGTCCAAGAGCGGAGAAAGAACTTCGGAATCGGTCTTGTAGCGCTGCACGAGAAGGTTGGCATCAATGGTAGGCAATATGGTGTTGGATTGTGGTGCCAGAACAGGCCAGAGTGGCAGATTGTCGATCTTGCTTGCATGTCGCAGTCGCTCTTCAGCGTCTCGCTCTACGACACTCTGGGACCAGACGCGACTGAGTTCATCATCAACCACGCCCAGCTGACTTCAGTCTGCTCTTCCATCTCGCACATTCCGACTCTGCTGAAGCTCGCCCCAAGGTGTCCTTCGTTGAAGCTGGTGATCTCGCTTGATCCATTGGCAAGTGAGGGAGAGTTGCCTGGTACATCGAAGAAGGACATCTTGAACTCTCTTGCCGCTCAGCATGGTGTTCAGATCCACGAGATTTCGGATGTCGAAGCCATTGGCCAGAAATCTCCACGACCGTTCCACCCACCACGCCCAGACGACACCGTGACGATCAACTACACTTCCGGCACGACTGGCAACCCCAAGGGTGTCATTCTCACACACAAGAACGCCGTGGCTGCCGCATCAGCTTCCCTTTGCATTAGCAGATCGCAAGCGAACGACACAATATGCTCATACTTGCCATTGGCGCATATTTTCCAGAGAGTGACTGAGCACTCGTCCCTTTGGGCCGGTGTTGGAATCGGATACTTCCACGGCAACATCCTCGAACTTGTCGATGACTTTAAGCTCCTGCGCCCAACCGCGTTCGTCTCCGTGCCGAGACTGTACAACCGATTTGGTGGTGCCATCAAGGCTGCTACAGTGGAAGCTCCTGGATTCCGTGGATCGATGTCCCGATACATTGTCGACAAGAAGCTGAACAACATCAAGCAGCCAGCTGGAAAGGCCACCAACAGACACTTCTTGTACGATCGCATCTGGGCCAAGAAGGTCTCCGCAGCTCTTGGACTCGATCGCGCTTCGACAATGGTTTCTGGTGCTTCACCCATTGACCCAAGCTTGCAGCAATTCTTGCGAGTCGTGTTTGCCAACAACTTCTATCAGGGTTATGGTTTGACCGAGACTTACGCAATTGCGCTTGCGCAGTTGGAGGGCGACTTGAGCGCTGGCAACTGCGGCGCTGTCGCCACTGCCAGCGAGCTCTGCTTGCTCGATGTGCCAGACATGGAATACCTCTCGACCGACAAGCCAAACCCACGTGGTGAGCTGCTGATCCGCGGCCCAACTGTCTTCAAGCAATACTTCAAGAACGAAGAAGAGACCGCCAAGGCCTTCACAGAAGACGGCTGGTTCAAGACCGGAGACATCTGCGAAATCGACGAAATGGGCCGCTTCAAAATCATCGACCGAAGAAAGAACGTCCTCAAGCTCCAGCAGGGAGAATACATCTCACCAGAACGTATCGAGAACGTATACCTCGGCAATCTTCCATTCCTGGCTCAAGGATACGTGCACGGCGACAGCAGCCAGTCCAATCTCGTCGCCATCTTTGGCATCCAGCCCGATCTCTTCTCCGTGTGGGTTGAGAAGGTGCTCGGAAAGAAGATTGCTCCAACTGATCTTCCAGCACTTGAGGCTGCTGCTTCGGAGAAAAAGGTCCAGAAGGCCGCCCTGCGCGAACTTTCCAAGGTCGGGAAGAAGGCCAAGTTCAACAGCTATGAGAATGTTAGGGGCGTACGACTGATGCTCGAACCTTTCACTATTGAGAACGAACTTCTCACACCGACGTAAGTTGCCCTTTCCACGTTGCAGAAAGACACAAACCTGAGCATGTGCTAATATTTCTTCTCCTGCAGATTGAAGTTGAAACGACCACAAACGGCCAAGAAATACAGACAACTCATCGATGAAATGTACGCCGAGGTGGAAGCAGAATCGACACCGAAGTCGAAATTGTAAACTGTTTCTTATATGTATATGTCCAAATCGGAAAGCGGAACTGCAGATTGTGAACATACTATTGCACAGAAGAACACTGCCAGTAGAATTCCACCAAGGAGGTGGACGCGTAGTCATAGAATTCTAGCAAACGTTCTGAAACCAATCAACCTCAACCTACCAGTGTCCCTGCGTTACGTGCCAGTCCGGGTGTAACGTGCATCTGAGCCGAAATTCTACTGCATGTGCAATGCGCGCACCCTTTGTGGTTCAGCATGGGGATATTAGTCGAGGCTTCGTAAATATGTGAGTTCAATTCGTACCGCTGAACGCTAGACTATCTCGACAGTAAACATATGGTGACCTTGTTCAAGGTCATTCTGCAGAGTTGCGGGTGAGGCAACTCTTGCGAACCAAGTCTCGATTGTTGGCTCGCCCGTCTGTGCTCTGCGTCACGCACGATCTCATGTACAGAACGAGCTGCGCCTTCGAGTCCGCAAACACGACTGCCACTGGCTTGCAAGCTCTGGGTATACGACTGTTGAGAGACAGTGAGCTGGCCGTTCGAAGGGCGCGAAACTTGATGCAAGCCTAGAGGTTACTTTGAGTGGCATCGATGTGGGAACATCTCTTCGGACATTCCCATCTGGCGTGTCCGTGTGCATGAAGTAAGCCGTCATCATCTCAGGACTGATCCATGGCATCGCCATTTGAAGCTGCTGTCCTCTTCTTCGTCTTGACCCATTCCACAAACTCGTCGATGACACTAGGCCAACTGCTCTCCTCGCTCCAAAAGCTCAGCGTGTCGTCCTTCAATGTCTGCTGTGCAAAGTTGAGTGTCTGCTTCCATAGATCCTTGTTGACTGCCTTCTTGACCTTCTTCTCGTTGTACTCCAGCCACCAATCTAACCATGGCGTGTTCGGTGTTCTCCACTCCAACGATGGTGCTCTGAACAGAAGCTCCCACATTGCGGCGGCCATTTCTGGAAGCAGTGCCTTCTGTCGTTCTTGGAGGTTCAAGACGAATGTGTGGTTGTAGACGTTCTTGAACAGCTCAGCATCGGTCGGAAGAGCTGATCGTCGTTGCAGCACCACATTTCGCATCTTCGCGACCGAGTCTGCGCCTGTGTCCGTCCAACCATCAACCCATCCCTCTCGCGTGATGCTACCAAGCGAGGGCGACTGTATCAGCTCGAACAGTACGAGAGCGCCAACGTCTTCCAGGCTGACTTGCATGTCTTCGCACAGCTTGAAGGCGCCGTCCATTCCGATCTCGTCCGGGGAGTCGGTCGGCGCTAGGTCGCGATACTCGTTGAAGAGTCTGTTGAGCGCATCGTGGATCGGGTTGGCTCGGCCGCCGGTAGGGTTGTTGAAGAAGCTGTTGAAGAAGTTCATGTTAGCCGATTGCTGGACAACACTGAGCTGTTCACACAAAGGTCGTGTGAGCCAGTGGGCATGTTGCGGCCACGGGAAGCCCCGCGCGAGCAGTTTTGAGTCACTCACGCGTTGACGGCCGCGCCCACACTCCAATTTGCCTGCTTCAAGACTTTGGTCGCTGTCGTTCTGTCGGCTTGTGTGATGCTGGTGAACTCATTGAGCGCGGACTTCTGTGCCGTTGTGTAGACTGGAGGCATGACGTTAGAGGATGGCTTTTCTCAGGCGTCGCGGTCGGAGTAAGCGCATGCGGCAGCACTTGACAGAATGAGAAGGAGAAGGACCAGGAGGTGCCAGTGGGAGAGTCGGTGTTGCAGGTGGTGATTTTGCGCGAAAGATCAACAACGATGGTCGAGTAGTTCTGCCAGGCAGAGCCGCGCAGATGACATAAGGTGCAAGGTGGGGGTGGATTCGGCGGCGCGGCGCTAGTGCCGTCGGCTCGGCGATGCCAATGGCGACGGCAACGCGTGAAGTTTGAAGGACGAACTCTTGAAAGGCTACTCACCTGCTTGACTGACCACCTTGACAGCCTTTCTGCCCTTCTTCTTTGGCGTCACGTGGAGGTCTTGCATGTCTTCGGCGATGTGGTCGGCCTTGCGCTTTCCCATGGTATCGTTTGGAGCTTCTGTGGTTGGCCTGCAAGTCGCGTAATTGGGCCAAAAGTGACGGAGCTCGCTGCGTGTTGCGAACAAGATCGATTCCCGAACAAGAGGCGTCGTGGTCGCCTATGACAAGTGCGGTGTAATGGACGTGGTTGTTGGGGGACGCGAGAGAATTACGTCGAGCAGCAGGTAGGTGCCAATGTCAAAGTGAAGGAGCGCTGCGAACGTTCAGGCATCCGTCGGTGCCTACCAGTGCACTGCAGTGAATGTGCCGCTGTCACGACTAGCTTTACAATGCGCACAGGGGCACGTCACATGCTTCTCTACGCAGCATAGAGGACGGACCAACATCACGCGCTTCTGTGGGCTGTGTAGTGAGAGTATCAGAAAACTCCTGAGCACATAACAGCAATTGCTTTCCGGGTATCTCCAAAATGCCCACCCACACGCTATGCTACTGAAACGATCGCTAATATGGATCCAAATCTTACAACGTGAGTGCCTCGCCGTCCACGTACTTGAGGTCAACGGTCCAGGCCTCCCCGAAGACGACTTGATCATCACGCTTCAATCCTATGTTTATGCCGATGTCCGCCAAGTGAACATTCCATTGTTCTCCATTCTCCATCGCCTTGAGCAATCCAGACATGGGCAGACCTAGCGCAAGAACGCGATCGGGACGCACAGCTAGCGGCTCTCCTTCCACAATTGTGGACACGCCATCGACACCAGATGTCCCGCTCGGACAACCCACGCTCAAGACAGGCGCTCTGCTGCGATTCGCCCATTCCACCATCTCCCTTGTCTCTTGCTGTATGCGGGCACTAAACTCAGCATTTGGGTCTTCCAAACTCTCATACGTTGCACCGGCGAGAAGAGCATCGATGATGACCACAGGCGGGCCAGTCAGATTCTTAATGGCACGTTGACACTTGTGCCATGCTCCGCGCTTCACTTTGGCGCCGGCCAAGGCCAGTTTACGAAGGACGTCTCGTTGCGCGCGTACTGGTGGATGTTCTGTTGCCGCAGACTCAAACGCTGCCTCAACGGCAATAACCTTTAGATTGCGTCCGAGGAGGTGACGTGCCGCTGCCAGCGCCTTCGCCCCAATGTCGTGGTTACCAGCCAAGATTACTACTGTTGAGTCTGTTGGGCTGAACGATGATATGCTGGCTGTCATGCTACCGCGCACGGTGTTCGTCCTGGACGGCCGTCGCGGGCCGCTGTGAAGGTCTGAGAGAGACAACGCTGCTTCAGCGATGCTCCTGGCGGCGTTCTCTGATATGACTTCGTGGCTTAGACGATATGTCGAGACGGTAGCAAGTTCCAAGTTGTCCAATGCCACTGGAAGAAGTGTCGGGCACATCGAGTGTGATGGTGTGGCGAAATGAGGCTCAATGGATCTGGGAGGTTCCTGCAAAGAAAGCTTTGTCATGGAGATGGATGAGAGCGGCGAGTTTGCTCGATCTGGTCGTGGCGAAGAGGTTGCCAGTGAAGCGGCCTGTTTACTTTTGTGCACGAGCGAGGCTGCAGACCTATCGCGGATGCGGTCTGAGCTGACTGACGCCGCAAGTGGATGAGGCCGTGCTTGAGTGTCAATCTGTGAGCTGTTCTGCCTGCTGGGCTTGCCTTTCGGGAGGACTGTCCGTGATACCGAATGTTTGGACGATGATCTGCCGTTGGCTAGGCCAGACCCAAGCTCCGTATCAGCATCACTGGAGCTATCGAGCTCGGCGCTGTTGTATTTAGTTTCTGGCTTCGTGGGCAGAACGTTTTCAGTTGGATGCAAGTTCTTGCCTCCATGTGTGCCTGGTCGCGCCTTGTTATGGCTGACCAATCGATCTCCCTCGCGAGTAGTATCGACGTCTCGGATCTGCTCGAAAACGTGCTTCTTGTCGAATTTCTTTAGCTCTGTTTCGAAATCGAAGTCGCCCATTTCCTGAATATCTGTGGTGTCTCCTTGTGCAAACTCTTCTTGCTGATCCATCTTTTGTCTGCGTCGACTCTTCTTGGTGTTCGCTTGATCCGATGGTAGCACAGACGACGAGGATGGCCTCAGAAGAGGTGTGTTGCGCCAGCCTTTGCCTCTCTTCACCTGCCCGTCCATGTCGTTGCCATTCCTAGAGACTTCGGCATTCATCACTGGCGGGTGATCCACAAATTGCGGCGCTTCTGGTACTTGCTTCTTCGGCTTCTGCCCTTTCTTCAATTTTCTCTTAGCGCTGTTGTCTTGTGCCTGGTCCTGCGCGCTCTGCCCAAATGTCGTCTCCATGGTCGGCTTCGTAGCGACCGGTACAGGAGGTCGTGATTGTATGGAAGCAGGTTGTTTGGCCGCAGCTAGCTTTTGCACAACATTCGCTTTCCCAACATCTCCGATAAATGGCGAGCTGGGGCTGGGTAGATTGGCAGCAGCTTTGGAGAGCATTGCTTTGATCGGCGTGTCCATTTCTGCTGGCCGAGACGTCCTCCTCTTTTGCACTGGTGATGAGGTGTCGTAGCTGAGGATTGCCGGATCCACAAAAGCAGGTGCTTGCCGTAGAGGTGAGGCGGTTGGCGGTATCTGCTGGGCAGGCGAGGAGACATGGCGAGCGGGCAGTTCGGCGATTCGGTTAACGTGAGGGGAGGGTGCAGGAGGCTGCTGGTGCATCGAGGGAGCGGCGGCATGGCCGTTTGGCTGCGGCTGCGGATATGCGAAGGGTGGAGGCGGGTGGTGTGCGTGAGCGTGAGCGTGCTGTGGTTGTATGGTGGAAGGGTCGACGACCTGGAGGTCCGCGATGATATCAGGTTGCACCGTGAAGTGCTCCAGTCGAGTATTTGATGCAGCAAAGAGAACTATGCAGGTCAGCGACTTCTCGAGTAGGCTACGGGAGACTCACCATTCGTCAAAGTAAGGTGGGAATTTGGGACGAGGTCCTTCACAAGCCCATACAAAATGTTGTCGTGAGGCTGTTTCAGCTGAAGGCAGACTGTCAAGCCCACAACCGAGTCCATGATGTGTAGGCTGTGGCAGTGATTAGCAATGGGACAATGCAATGGTGAAGCTGCAGGGGTGGAGAGAAGACAGCGGCGAGACAGAAACCACGCGAGCACGCGCTTTTCTTGGCAATGAAGTGAATAATAAACTTTGTATGGAGCTCATCCTTGCTGGTTCGCCGGTTTGATATCTCGAAACTTGACCGGCCTGTGCTACCCAACAACACGTGCACAGCCCAACATGACTCTCCCGTGGGCTTTCGATTCTCCCAAATCTTCTCTGGCCGGGAACATCAGTAGTCATTTACACGGCTAAAAACTGCTCCCCGCAAAGCTGAGTACGTGTTGCGTGCCTGCGGAACGGCCAGGACATCACGTCATTGCCCGTTCCGAAGCTCCATACATGGTAGACCTGCATCTGTGCCGAGCTGGCGTGATTTCCGAACTGATTCAAAAGCACCTCACTACAAGAGAATCACTTCTCAAGGTCTAATCAATTAGGGATAACTAGTCGTCTCTCGAACGCTCGAAATCATGTCTGCAGCCAACAAGATTGAAAAGATCTTTGTACGATTACAGCAGCTATGCTGAACAAATGACGCTAATCCATGGACAGAATGTCAATGGCCTCGTGGCAGTCATCACTGGCGGCGGCTCCGGACTTGGCTTATACGCAGCCCGAGCTCTAGACGCGAATGGAGCGAAAGCAGTATATATCATTGGCCGCCGCGAAGAGACACTGAAGGAAGCAGCAAAGACCGCCGAAAACGGAACTATCAAGCCTATCGTCGGCGATGTCTCAGATAAACAGTCGTTAAAGAAGATCGTCCAGCAGATTCAGCAGGAACAGGGCTACATTAACATACTATTCGCCAATGCAGGAGTGTCTGGACCTGGTCATGCTAAGGCCATTGCAGGCAAGAAGACAGTCAAAGAGTGGGCGGATGCCCTTTTCGAACCCGAGATGGCCGACTTCACCCAAGCTGCGCACATTAACAACACCAGCGTGTTCTATACAGCCGTGGCCTTCTTGGAACTGCTAGATGCCGGCAACAAGCAGAGGAATGTTCCGCAGGACTCCCAAATCATTGTCACTTCTTCAGTCGCTGGCTTCAGTCGTTATCTGGCAAGCAGCTTTTCCTATTCAACGAGCAAGGCGGCAGTGACTCATCTAGTGAAGATGCTGTCGACTGCTTTCTCACAGCAAGGTTTCCACATTAGGGTCAACAGTATTCAGCCTGGTCTGTACCCATCGGAAATGACTGCTGCCCATACCGACAGACTCGCTCAACACAACGGCGTTCCCGGACATGAAGATGCATACGCAGGCGCACGAGTTATGGACCCTAAGAGTTCTCCAGCAGAGCGAACTGGCTCAGAGGAGGATTTCGCCGGAACCATATTGTACATGTGTAGCAGAGCCGGCGGCTACCTGAATGGTGAAACGCTTGTGACAGTAAGTTAACCAGTAATCGTGTCAGTTAGCAATGTCATACTGACTCTTGTGCAGGACGGCGGTCGTTTAAGTCAGCTGCCAGGAGTGTATTAAAGCCAGCTGCCAGGATGGTATTGGAGGCACGAGACCTTAGTCAGGCTTGAATATGGGGAATGGACTCAGAACTAAGCTGTCTTTGCATTGGCATAAAGTTACTTAGAGATGGGCGGAGGAACACTGTATGTTTGCGAGCGTAGAACAGAGCTTGATTCTTGTACTATGTCAATCATACATAATCAGTGATCAGCTGCATTCATATTCAAACGCGCAGCCATTTGAAGAAGAGATTGGGGCCGCCGTTTATCGGGCTCGCACACCATTTCACAAGAGGCGCAACCACTTGTTGACCGGATCCTCGTTGCCATCACGGCACTTCTTGGCGTCAAAGTCGCTGCTTGTTGCCTGTGGCAGTGTCGTGATAAGCCGAAGAGTCAGCAGTGAGCCGTCGTCATGCTTTGCAATAGTCTTCTCCAGTTCTTCTTCAGCAAGGCTCGGAAAAGTGAGTTCGCCAGGCTTATATAACTCAACCTTCGTTACTGAAAATTCCGGCGTTCCGATGTGTTGCTCGCTGTAGAGCTCATTGACCTTTTTGCTGATTCCAGCAAAGGTATGATCGAAGCTACCCGCGCTGACCTTCCAGGTCCAAGCAGTGGACGCGATGTTGAGCTTGATCAGGGGACGGCCCTCAGAATCTTGCTCTGGCGTAGTAACAATATCCTCCAAAACCATCCAGTTCTTCACATCGTATCCTTCCTCTGTAAAATGATCAGCGACAAAACCCAGTAAGACGAGCAGAAGTCACACTACTTACTGGTCAACCAAGCTTGCACGTGCTCTCTGAGCTTGTAGCCGGCATGTTCTTTTGTCCACTTCTTTCTGTCAGCTGCCTTCTTCGGAGGCATCATTGCCATAGTACGACCCTCTCTAGTCTCCATCGCGATGTTAGACAGGATGTCTCGAGCCGCGAGGATCTGTTTCTCGTTTGTGTTGTACACCGGGTAGATACGTGGCTCGCTGCGGCGTTCTGGCTCTTCGCCGTCTCCTGGACACAACTGCAAAATCTTCCACGTAGCCAGTGAATCGACAACGGAGCTTGCCACTTTATGCCTGAGCATTCCCAGTACTTGACCATCCTGGAACTCTCTTTCAGAGTTGGTCAAGTTCTCCACGATGCGTCTGGCACTAGTGAGTCGATTGCCGCTGCGATTGCCTTGCATGCGCAGGGCAAGGAAAGCCTTGATCTCCGGCTCCTCGTGCATCCACTTGTCGCGCAACGTTTTGTAAGCCAGGCCAGCGTCAGGTAGCTTATGGGCTGATGGAGCAGCAGCTGGGGATTCAAGCTGTAGGATGGCGGCGCAATCGCTCATGCCGGGTCTCTCAGGCGAACGCATGCCGACCAACTTATAGCTATCAGACTTCACATCCTTCCATGAGTCCCATCCCAATGGCTTAGATCCGGTGTATGCCGCCATGTGATATCGAATCCAGAGGGGCACGCCGAGGTGACTTTTCGCAAGGGGACGAAAAGCGACTCGTTCAGAATATTGGATAGCAACGTGGCACGGGGTTGTTTGTAGCTCGATAATGACGACCCCTGAGGGTGTCGGTGTTGACTTTCTCTCGCTCCGCGATGTTTGAAGCTCAGTGGTCAGAAGGAGTAGTATCGCCGACTTGGTGGTGCGGTGAAATGCGTGAAAGTCGAAATTGGTGTGCGTGTGTGTTTGTGTGTGGCGTAATTCAGACTCGAAGCTGTCGGCCTACCTACCGACCAGCAATCAAGCCCAAGGCAACAGTGTCTTAATCAACTTCTCCGCTTCAGCGCAAAAGCGCGGACAAGCCAAGCGCTGAGCTAATCACTTCCATCAACTCATCGTACCCGAAACATTGCGGTTACTCGCTGCCCACCAATCCGAAGTCGACGCCGGACCTTTAGGAACTCACGCGACACCGCTGCACCAAAAAGTGCAACAAACTCCAGAAAGGGTCCGCACGCAGAGACATCGGCAACTACATCTCTTGCTACCACCAACAGCACCATTGAACATGTTGTCATCACCGTCAGCTGACAAGAACGTCGCCACGGACGGATCAAATTTCGAGAATCCGCTCCCTGCGAATGTCGTGTCGGCACCACCGCAAGGTCCAGCTAGGCCTTTCAATCCGAGGAAGCGCAAGCGCAAGCGCAAGACCCAATCCATGACAGGTAAGGAGTTCGAGGAACATCTGCAGCACACAGCTGACTTCGTCAAGACCGCTTCAAAGAGTCCTGGAGGAAATTATTTTTTGTACATCAGCAACTCTCGTGGACACCAGTCGAAGATGAAGCTATCGAGCTTGGAGCGCGCTTGGGTGACATGAATGAAGTACAGGCAATCGAAGCGGTGCTACAAATCGTTCAAAAACTCGAAGGGTATCTTGTGAAGTTCACCGAGATCGCACAGTCTCTGGAGGGGACTGCGAAGCAGCTCGCTACCGAGACCGAAGTGCACCGCAAGCTTGTGGATGCCGCTGCAAACATGCGTGAGATACACGAGCAATGTCGAGAAATCATCGACACGCAGAGCGCTCAATGGCAGAACTTGAAGGAGGAATGTGGGCGGAGCTCAAAGAGGTGAGGTGGTTGAGTGCAAGCCAAAGGTCACTTCGGGACTTCGGGCCGGTCGCGTGTTCAGGAGCACGGCCCACTCCTCTCCCTCTCTGCTGCAATCGGAGCAACGCGCGTGCGGGAGCGCTACCAGACACGATACTGCCTAGAAAATATGCGAGTGCTCTTATTCTGTTCATTGCCTACTTCTGTCACTTTCGTCAGGTGACGGAAACCTGGCGAGGTCCGCTGCGCTCGCGCATTGCATGACGACAAAACAGTTTGGTAATTTGAAACGAAAGCAGCGAGACATCCTCAGTATGTATTGTGACATCGTCTGGACCTAGGCCGACAAAGTCGTAATTGGAAGATTGTCCACGTTGGACAGCATGGCTCTGCCCCAAACTGCATGCCGGCGGCTTGCGTGAAACATTTTCGAGCGCTATCATGAACTGAAGGCACTCAGCTTACCTACACACTCGCAAGACGAGATAGATTGACGTCCATTTGGAGCTCCCTTGCTAATCTCCGCCCAGCGGTCGCAAGGTCATCGGAGCGGCCCTGCACACCTAGCGTTCGCAGGCCCTTTCCTTCTAGCTAATACTATTTGACTGGTCTATGAGTAAACCGGCGTCCTGGTCAATGAGATGGCGTGCCCTTGCATTGGAGCAAACAAAGTTGCAGCACGGAAGGCGAAGAAGCCACAGCACAGAGTGAGCAAGTCACACGCTCCGTTTCGATCCCTGCTAATTTCTTTCTAGATCAAAGACCTCGCAGACAATGGCGAGAGGACAACCTGCATGGACTTGTTCAGGCTCCGGACAATGGCGTTGCATTCTGGTCCGTTGACGAACCAGCTGCATATGTCTGTCGTGGCTGCACCAAGAAGCGTAACAAGAATGGTGCAAGCTGGTTTATTCCCCTTGTTGCCGGAGGTGCGAGATAATGCTACGACGATGGATGCACACGGCGTCAGGTACTATGGGAAGGGTGGCGACGCAGAGGTTGACTCCTTGACGAAGAACAAGTACGCCCGGGTGAAGTGGGAAAGTGATCCATAAAGTTGAGGAGACAGAGTAGTGGGATGGTTGAGATCTGCAACACATGGCTTGAATTTTTAGCATCAATTTGTGGTTTCGTACACAATATTTGTTCGACCTCATATCACAGCGGCAAGGGAGATTTTGAAACTGCAGAACTGGGTCGAAGATAGTGGAAATTGGCAGGCTGTCGAGAGACTGGCATCGACAAAGGCTCGCCGTAGTGGACGCCCTTGGAAGCCTCATCGTTCCTCCCCAATGTCTTCGTGCAAAGCCCTAGAATGCAGAGTCCCTACGCGGTGAACAAATTGCCGATCGACGGTAGGCTGTCGTCCGCCTGCTTCATCGATGCAAATGTTTTCGCGAAGACTCTGAAGACCCACTGCTTCGGGGTTCCAACATCCACTCGCTCAGCTGTCTCGTTGTCAGACGCCTCAGGCACCTCCCGTGCATTCTCGATGTCCTGCTTCAATTTGGCTAGGGCGGCGGCATCGATCTTTCTCCCGTATGCACTGAAGATCTTGAGTACCTCTGTCTTGGGCAACATGGCCCACCAGTCATCTTGAAGGGCGAGATCAAGCAGGTATCGGTGCGCCTCATTGTGCTAGACATTGTCAGTCAGTGCGAGACCTGTCGATTTCGCGCACGACTTACCACTGCGAAGATTGGCCACTCTGGGCCCAGGGCATAATTTTGCTGACGCACGATGTGTACCACATCACAAATGCCTCTGAAGAGGCGGCGGCTGATGGAGTCCTTGGGCGACAGAGTCGGTTCACTATCCTCATCTGCGTCGTTGCGTAATTTTTGGAAATGTGTGCCTCTGAGGTACGGTGTTAGATCCGTCACCTCCTTCTCGAGAGCATGACTGGGAATGGCAAAGAAGTTGGCTCTTTGACGGAGTCAAGGACGCACTGTCGCTCAGCAAAGTGGTCCATCGTGTGCGGTAGCCTCCGTTCGCCTCGCTCTGCTGAACCCCATTCTTGTTGTTGGCCTCTCGCACTTTGTCTGGAATCTTCCCACCAAAGGCATCAGCGCCCCACCACGACGCAATGTCGGTACATTTGAGCATCATCCTCGATTCATGGATCTCGCTGTACGTCTTCTTGGTGATCAGCCGGTACACGTTCTGCGCTTCACTCGCACCCCAGCGGTGCACGCGACAGAACGCCTGCTAATCGCTGGCAATGTTGAAAGAGGCCTCTGGCATAATCACGGTGCAGCACTGATCGTGTGCATTTACACCTGCCAGCTGCAGAGCATATGTTGCGATGAGGACTTGGGCACCGTCTTTGGAGTTGTTCCAGTTGCGAATGATTTCACCGCGCTCGATGACACCTTGGTCTTGTGTCAATAGGATCGCATTGACACCGATGAACCTCAGGATCCTCCAGAGATAGAGCGCGGACCTCGGCAGATAGAAATAGACCAGAGTCTTCTTCCTCCCAGCATTCTTGGTCATGACGCGATATATGATCCTCAGCGTCAGCTTAAGGGCATCACCGCCCCACAGCGCTTTGCGAAGCACATCCAAGTCACTGGTGAACTCGCCAATTTCGACAGCTGAATCACCGCCTTTGTGATCCTTGTACGCTTCCTGCACCAAAGAAGGGAGGCTGAGAGACTTGTCCCTATTCTGCAGGAGGTCTTCGGTGGCAAAGTCGCGCAGACCGTGGAGCACGAGAGAGGTGGAGAGGGCGAATGCCATGAGGACTTGTTCCCCACCTGCCAAGCGGTCCTATGGGTCACTCGTTTCTCCATGCTTGAGCGTGGCCCGCCTTGCGCCCAAAAGCGCGCATCAATGGCGTCAAACCGCGGGAGCTTCCAGAAGTACAAAGCCGATATTGCAAGACAAGAGTAGACGAGCGTCTTCTTTCTCTCCGTAAAGACCTCCCAAAGACCTCCCTCATGATGGAATGAATGATCTTCAATGTGAGCCTCAGAAGATCAGGTCTTCACATTGCTTTGACAAGTACATCGAGGTTGTCGGTGAAGTGAGTGAGCTGCACAGCTGGTGGTCCAGGTGCGATGGATGGTGAGATTGTAACACTTCTCGACCTGGAGGCAAATTTTCCCCGAAGCTTGTCGCCCTCAACAGAATTTAGTCTTTCGTGTAAGTCGTATATGTAGTTCACGAGGCATGCGATCGTCCAGGTGGTATGGCGCCATAGGTACGTTCCATTGACTTCCTCGACATGGAAACTTCCTTCGATGAAACGTGGACTGATATATCCCTCAGCTTGGGTTAATCTATATCTTGTAATCGCGGTAATGTCCTGAATCGCAGGGAGATGATGTCGTTGGGCGTCCTTCCTGTGTTCCGCATTGACATTCTGAGCAATGCAGGCTGCATCGCTCGCTCCGTTCCGAGCGTGCCTGTCTTGCCAGACGCATTTTGACTTACCATGGCGACTCAATCGAGGTTTGAATAGTGCGGCCCGTATGTTTGCTCTCGTTTGCTGGCCTGCGTTTGTCGGCGACCGGAACATTCTCTTGTCAGATAAGCAGCGGTGACAAACATGTTGCAAGGGATAGTCGGCTCGATCTTTTTGTCCACACGATAGTGCCCATCGGGGAAAGCTATCGTCGCTCATATCCGTATTGTGCTTTTAGTGGCTATTCGAGATTCTGTTGGTCTTCGGGCGTGTGATATGGACCGCTGATCGCCTGGAAGGTGCCGTCAGATTGGAGCTCAGGTGCCCGGCAAACGCACAAGCGCTGCTGAAGCTCAATGACACCGACCGAGCCTGTCTGCATTGAGCCATGCCATGTCTAAACCTTGATTCGTTGTGCAGAAGGCTGTTATCACAGATCCCAAGGTGTGAGGGAACAGGAAAAGGCTGCAAGTTCAATTCGTCAATGTGAAATTGGAAGACGCGATGCACGGCCAGCATTTGCCATTATCGTCGTGCAGCCCGCACTAACATAGCTGTAGCAGCGATCTTGTCCACTGTTGGACAGTATAATCTTGCCGCAAGCCGCATATCGACAGCTTATGACAGTGTTTTGAGCACTATCGGGAAATCTCCACTTTTGGCTTACTACACACTCGCAGGATGAGAACAACGCTATTCCTGCGAGGACAGATTGACGTCCATACCGAGCTCTCTTGCTGATCTCGCTCCAGCAGTCGCAAGATCATCGGCAGCATTATTGCCTTCATCCTTGTCGTGTCCCTTCACCCATTCAAATCGTACTCCGCCCGGACCACGATCCCATTGTGCTCGTTTATCTGTTGTGGTGATTTCTTGCTCGCCTTCGATCCGGTGCTGGTTGAGACGGAACCGCTCCTCCAACATGTCCAAGATCTTCTGGATCAAGTCCTTGTTTTCCACGGGCTTCCTCGAAGAATTCACCCAGCCGTTTCGCTGCCAGTTGCGGAACCAGTCGGTCACGCAGTCTATCGAATACTTGCTGTCGCTGACTATAACGATCTTTCTGTCTTTGGGCGCCACTTCGAGCGCGCGAATGATCGCAGTCAACTCTGCTCGTTGGTTCGTTTGCTTGGTGCCACTCAGCGGCTCGCTGATGTTTCGTCTGTCCTGTGGTCCAAAGTAGACACCTACGCCGCCCCAGGCTGTTGCCTTTCCATTCGAAAGCGAGCTCCCGTCCGTGTATATTCTGATTGGGGCGTCCTTGACAGGGCGTGCCGCCTGATATTTGTACGCCTCTCTCTCTACCCGCGTCTTGTATCGTAGGCCATCTGTGGCAGAGTCTATTATGAGGTCCCGATCGAAACCGTCGTCCGCATCGTCTGGCAGTGGAGCGGCGCCCGGCTCGTACTCTCCTTGCACGAGAGACAGCGGAGGACTCTCCTCCTTGATCCCATTGGCCTTCTTCTTCGTCATCTTCATTGCCTTTGGTGCTGGCTCGCCCTGTTCGATGCTGCCTATCGGGATGTCTGCCGCAGCTGCCGCGAATGCTGCCTGCCCTTCAGCCACATATTGCTCAGCTTCTGTCCTCGTTTTGAAACCCTTGTGCTTGGGTCCTTTCCACCCTGTGATCTGGTCCAACACGTCTTGCCAATTGGTGTACACTCCAGGGTTTCTCCCAGCTTGCACGCCGTACCACTTGGTGACGTTGGATGGTCTCGCATCTCCCTCATTGTTGACAAACTTCTCGGCATCGCTGAGCGATGTGAACGACTTGAACATGGCCTTCGGGAAGCCACGGACTTGTTCGAGACATTCGTTCCAGGTGTGATAGATACCTGGTGACTTGCCAGTGCGGACAGCATAGAACTTTGGCATAGTCTTCGAGTCCCTCTTCCTCTTGTTGCCAGCCGCTGACAGGGGGTCGGGCTCCAGTTGCACGGCGGTGGGGGAGGTTGGGTTGACGGCTGTAAAGCCTGTTGGTGCATCAACTTCGGCCATGGCTAGTCTGTCTCGCTGTATGCGAGACCGGAGCAGCTGCACTTGGAGTGGGTTGCTGAAGAACAGGAGCGGCTCGAGTACGTTGCTGGATCGCGTCGTGCTCAAGCATCGGACAAATGCCAAGCGCGGAGTGGTGGAGAGCCCGTGGGCAAGGCGGAGCAGGAACGGAGGTGCCAATGCGACGACGGCAAGGCAACAATGGACGGTCGCGGCGAGCAACAGGTGCGGAGACGGGCGGAGGATCAGGCAGCAGGCGAAAGGCTGAAGGCTGGCTGATGAACTGCGCTCACGGCTGGGATGGGGCCATGAACGAGGGAGAGGAGTCGGCGGAAGTAGCCAGGGGGTGCTGCCTCCGTACAGTGGGGAAGCGCGCCGCGTTCATGCTTTGGCGCGGCCTGCACACGTCGGAGCGAGGATGTTGCTTCGACGAGCACGTTGGCCTGGCCGGATGAGGGGTGTGCATGTCGGTACGGATGGGAGGGAGTGAGACCGCGAGACCGCAGTGAGAGTGACTGCCAAGTCGTGCGTTGCTCAGCTTCCCGCCGCGTCCGTGTCCTTGAAGCTGCTCCACCACAACTACTCGTGTTGGAGACGAGGAGCCCGCCCACGGTTTCCAAAGCCCCCACGGATGTGATTACATAGCATGCCCTTCTACCAACAGCATGTTTGAGGTATGCCACGCTCAAGTTCGGACCACCATTCCGTCCGCTACTCCCACCACTTCACTGCACCGCTAGAAGCTCGAGGTCCTTCTCCACGATTTTCCCTTCTGACAAGGTCTCCACTCAGACTCGCCATGCATCAGATCGCTATCACCTACGTCTGCACCGAGCGCGGTCTGTGGTGCTTACTCCAGGCGAATTAGTCGAAATCCGTGCCGCGCAACGAACATTCGAAGGTGCATACATCAGAACAAGCCTGAGCCAATTCAGCTTCGCTCTGGTTGTACTGAAAATCTTCACGAGCGAATTCTACAGCATAGGTAAGCGTGCTGCACAGATCCTTGAGCCATGCACGACTGCCGCTCACACCGCCGCAGGTGCCCTGTTCGCAGTCTATGGGGCAGGAGTGCTCGCAGTGAGTGCTTTCAGACGAATGCAATCCAACAGACAATTTTTCACGGAAGTAGGCGAGGACGGGTTGAGCAGAAAGCGCTTCAGAACGAGTGGTAACGTGGTCGTGATCTTGACTAGTCTCAGCATTTCGGCCTATATCACCCTTATAGTGCTCACAATACGACTGAAAGACTTGTGACATGAATACGGATTGACCTCAGCGCCTTGTGACCGACTCCCTCGTTTAGAGGGCAAGCACTTGGATGTCGATCAATAGATATCGGTGGTGACGAAGCAACAGTCTGCATCTGCAGAAGAGCTCACCAATCTTCCTCATATGCATAGCAGACACACCGTGACATCGTGTACGCAGTTTCCTGCATGTCCCTCCTCCTGCGCGATGACATCGATCACCCTGCCGCCTATGCCACAGTCAACGTGAGGTTGCTGTAAACATCTCCATCGATATGAGAGTATCCTCGTAGAAAACTACTCTGTCGTTGTGGCAGCTCGAAGCGCAGTCTGCGGCGCCGCCATTGGCCGACGATGTGCCTGGGACAGCCACAATCCAAATTGGGTGAAGCCGAAAGATCCTGAGCATGAGCATGGACATACTTGTTGCGGAGAGAGCAACACCTCTCCGTTGTATCGATCGGCAAAAATGGCAAGCTATGGCATGGGTTCACGCTGCTGTCAATCGTCAAATAGTCTGGTTGAGATGGTCGGACCGTGGGAGCTAGCTGTTGAAAGGTTAATGGGCTGAGAACCCGCCGCTTAGGTGAAGCTGCCAAGTGTGCAGTGGCCTGATGTCGACTTGCGGAGTGGCGATCACGACGCGTATACTACTGTACCTAGTCATGCGAAATGGGAGGCATCGAGTACAAGGAGCCCCGAGCGGTTTGGACTCCCTCCAAAGAAGCCGTACCATTGCACGGCGATCGATATCATATATGCGCTTGGCAGGAGCGGCCAGATATAGAGATGAGGCTCAACAAGCAAATGTCCGCAGGGCCTGGGCGGCGGGCGTGCAGATGTCTCGCGCGCAGATTGGTAGGTTTGGGTTTGCGCCGACACAGGGCCTCCCGCACTCCGGACAGCAGAAGAACACCCTGCGCGGGAGCTGCTGGAAGGTACATGTAGTGCTACGCCTGCTCGCCGCGTGTCTTGTGCTTGTCCTGCACCTCTGCTGCTGTTCAGGCGACCGGTCTGACGAAGCACTCCGCCCTGTTCGCCGCCTCGGCGTCGTGGGAGCATTCTGTCGTTTCCCTTTTCATTCATAAAATTAGCTTCTTCTGGACCAGGAACCGCGAGCTTCGCGTTTGGCGACTTCGGCGTTACCATCCCCGTCTGGAAATCGTGCGGCAGCGCTCACGAGCACGCGGCAGCACAGATCATCACGACTGGAGCCGTGGAGTCATCATCATCCGTCGGTCGCGCAGAGGGTAGAAATTTGCAGCGTCTGCTCCAGTTTTTGCCAACAATGACGGCAAGTTGAGAGCGCCTTGGAAGGAACAACTCCGGTCGCGCTTGGCCCTGCAGCTCAGCACAGCGCGAGGCGTCATCTCACTCTTGCCCTGCGATTTCGCCAGCGATATGCCACATGCAGTGGCGCAGAATAACACCCCAAACGCAGAATATACCAATGATGGCGTCGGTCTAGGCGGAGCAGACACTAACGCGCACGCTGCTCGCACGTGTTCGTGTCACGAGGAAGACAACTCGCAACTGGGGCTCTTCCGTCGTCGCCAATCCTCGACCATCCAGCAACAGCAGTCTAAGCTAGCGCAATACGCCGCCATGAGGGCCAGTGCTGAATCCGAGCGGAGCAACCGCAACGAAGAGCCACAGAATGATCAGCAGGTGGAGTCACTGCGAAATCAGCTCGACCGGACGCTCTCTCAATCGCAACGTGAACATGCCAACGCCTCTCCAGCACCGCGGAACTCCTCATCAAACGACTTCCTCGCTGCGCCGAAGCGACTACCTTCTCACCGGGGAGGCTCTCTCGCAGCTGTCATGAACGGCACCTTGCAAGAGGTTTCTGGTGCCACCATGGCGCTGAACGATACTCCAGCCATTACGCCATCGACTACGGCGCCGAATTCTCCAAAGATACTGGCCATGTCCAAAGGGCAGGCCCCTACCAGCAACGGCAGCGACAGTCCTAGCCATCCGAGCCAGTGGAATCTCGCTCCCCGACGACAGAATTCGGGCACCTCGACCCCGCGTGTACGGCCTACAACACTCGATATCCCTGGCTTGACCAAGAGCAAGGTGTCGCCGGATGGACGAATTGCGCAGCGAGATGTTGGCTCGAAGCTGGTCATTATCATGGTTGGCTTGCCAGCAAGAGGAAAGAGTTATATCACAAAGAAGCTGGCCCGATATTTGAACTGGCTGCAACACGATACAAGGATTTTCAATGTGGGCGAACGACGTCGCACGGTAGCAGGTGGACCCAACAGTCTAGAGAAGACGAAAAGCCATCAGAGCCAAGCAGCTCACAGCGATGACAAACGAGAGAGCATACAACCTCGACCATACCCGCAGGGTGAGCGAACCGCACATCACCCTTCCGTTGCTCAGATCATCCTGAACGGCCAAACGAAGATCGAGCCTCCTCAGACACCGCAGCAGAGTAACGAACCTGGCCAGGCCAACGGCGACCCATTCGATGGAAGGCCAGCACCAGATAGAAAACAGAGCTTGGCAACTGCCGTCCTTTCGAAAGACGTTCCCGAGCAGAAGGCGGAGAATGGTGACGAGAATATGGAACAGAACGCGGCATTTTTCGATCCACAGAACAAGAAGGCGTCGCAGATTCGTGAGCAAGTAGCCCGCGAGACCCTTGATGATCTCCTGGATTACATCTTGTACGAGAACGGAAGTATTGGCATCCTCGATGCTACAAACAGCACTCTGGCGCGACGCAAGATGATAATGGACCACATCCGCGAACGTGCTGGCCCACAACTGAATGTGCTCTTCCTTGAGTCCAAATGCGTGGATCAGGATTTGCTAGAGGCCAACATGCGTCTGAAGCTACAAGGACCAGACTACCGCGAGATGGATCCAACAATCGCGCTGCAAGATTTCAAGGCGCGAGTGAGAGAGTACGAAAAGGCATATGTGAGTCTAGGCGACTACGAAGAGAAAATGCACATGCCTTACATCCAAATGATCGACGTCGGACGCAAGATCATTAGTCACCAGATCAAAGGATTTCTAATGGCGCAGGCAAATTATTACCTGCTGAACTTCAATCTGGCACCTCGACAAATATGGATCACTCGTCATGGTCTTAGTCAGGACAACGTGTCTGGCAAGATTGGAGGCGACAGTGACCTCGCGCCCGAGGGGCATATGTATGCCAAGTCATTGCAGAAGTTTATCGCTGAGAAGCGCAATGAATGGGATATCAAGCAGATCGAGAATCTCAAGAACACACATTTCCCCCCGCAGCCAGGAGACGTCACACCACCGAACCCTTACTACCAGCCGCAGTCGCCCACTTCAGAGGGCGATGAAACGAATTCGATCCTCACCGAAGCTTCAGCTGTGGGATATGAGCCAAAAGCATTCTGTGTGTGGACTTCGATGCTGAAGCGAAGCATCCAGACTGCGCAATATTTCGACGACGAGGAGTACGACACAAAGCAAATGCGCATGTTGGATGAGTTGAACGCCGGCGTCATGGAGGGCCTCACGTACTCGTGTATAAGCACACAGTACCCGGAGGAGTACCGCAGCCGGAGGGCTGATAAGTTGCACTACAGATACCCTGGGCCAGGCGGAGAAGGTGAGATAGCACCTTGTCAGCAGTTGAATTTCCTTGCTAAGTGTACACAGGTTATTTGGATATCATCAATCGCCTCCGACCTGTCATCGTGGAGCTGGAGCGCATGACTGATCATGTACTTCTGGTTGGACACAGGAGTGTTGCTCGTGTGCTCCTGGCCTACTTCCGAGGGCTGAAGCGGGAAGAAGTTGCAGATCTTGACGTCCCTCTCGGCATGCTTTATTGTCTTGAGCCCAAGCCTTACGGCGTCGACTTCAAGGCATACAAGTGGGACAGAGACACCGAATGGTTCTACGAGGTGCCCAACTTCCAGTTGCGAAGAGCTGAGGACGACATGGTGTAGAGGTACGTCGCCCAGGATCCAAGGCCACAGAGCATATGCTGACTTGATTGTAGTGCCTGTCAACTCAATCTTTCCAAATCGGAGGCCACCCTTTCTACCTTGCCTCAGCGCAGAGTACGATTTACTCTCGGAGGCTAAGCATAGCTTGCATAGCGATACAATCGGATGCGTGTATGATGCATTTCCAGCGATAGAATCAGGGAATGAATGACGACAGAGACGGATTACAATCATGATTCTTGGTGTACCATAGAGAGCGATGGACTTTCGATTTAGCGAGGCGTTGAGGGTCAACAGAACTGGCTACTAGACGAATAGAGCTGGCGCGCCAAATGATACTAGTTTTCACTTCTCAATATGTTCCTTCGCAGCATGTCTTTTGCATGTGAAGGGCAGCAGTCGGAATAAACTCGGCGATATTGCTGCGGAGAAGACCTCCGCTTCCAGTGATGCACATCATCGATTCCAGTCGCTCTTCACATCCCTCATTCATTTCACTACGATCAGCAATCATGGGCGGCCCAAATCTCGAAGTCTTCAAGGTACATCACGCATCCAATGTAAACGGATATCCCCAACTGACGAATTCCTCGCGCACTACAGTTCGGCATGTACATCATGTTCCCAATCGGATTCATGTACTACTTCGGCATCAACCTCGACTCACGCTTCTCCGTCCCCGATTTCTGGCCCAAGAAAGGTCAAACGCACGAAATTCCATTCGAGAGAGATGAAATTAAAGAAGAGATTGAGAGGCTGAAGCAGAGGAGATTGGCTGCTCGGGCGAGAAGACTGGCCGCTGAAGAGCAAGGATTGGACACCGCGACGCATGTTAATGAGAATGAGGTGCGAGAGGGACGGACGAGGGAATATTTGAGTAATACGAAGGTTTTGCCGAGGGAGGGGGAGGTGCCGGAGGAGGAGAGGGGTGGGAAGAAGGGTGGGTGGTTTGGGTGGGGGAAGTGAGTGATGGGTTTGACGAATATGAAAGGACGCTACGCGGAACGAGACACGGCTTGGGAGCAATGCCGGTTCTAGTTTCGCCTGGAGTCTGGGAAATCGTGTTGAGAGGGGTTCCGAGCGAGAGCAGACACCACGAGTCGAAGACAAAGCGTGCTGGCGCGTGCGAGTAGCAGCAAGATGACCACTCTGCCACGCCTGCACTGAACGAACACAGACAAAACCCGGCACGAAGATCTGCTGCGCGAGGCCATCTCCGAGACCATCTACAGGACTGCGCGCAACGAGTGCCCGACCATGGAGCAGCGCAATGCGATACCCAAAGCAACGAAGCCGATCAGAGACCAGTCTGCTCCGTCACAATATTAGAAGAGCTGGCCAGCCTGCATTTACACGGCCAGGCTCGAAGAATGCAACGCAGCAATCTCACTCAACATAATCACTGGAACATTCCTGTGCTGGTCAGCATGGCTTCGACTGCCATTTGTCGGTCCTGTCACTGTGTTGCATGGGACACTGGGCTCGCCAGGAAACAGCCAGACATTGTCCATAGAGATGCATAACGACTCTCCACTCGACTGCGTACAGACAGATGGAAATGACATGATCATGGACCTTTTTTTTCCACAATTTTGGGCTTGTCACGCTTCTGTGTAGCCTAGTCTAACGTCTGTAATCTAATGTTGGTCGTGGTATCATTGTAGTTGAACGTCATCTTCATGTCGGGTATATCAATGCCGGTAAGCCTGTGCTCACTCCGCAGGCTGGTAACAAAATCGTTTCTTCGGCACGCTATAGCGCGTATAGAGCAGCTCCAGCGACGGCTCCAAGAGCGGCAAAATTCCACGCTGGTGGTGCAGTGGGCTGGGCTGCAGCATCCAAAGTCATCGTGCCGATACGTGCACCTCCGCTAGCCACTGCCACGTCAGTGACAGCATTGGCAACGATCGTAGCATCAGGGACACCTGATGAATTCGTGATCTCCAGAATGTTGTTCGTGGTCGAATTAAAGCTCGTCTGTGCCAAGCTGATTTCGTTCTGCGCAATGTCATAGACGACATATGCAGATCGGAGAAACGTGTCGCCCAAAACTGGTGTACTGCCGTCTGCTGGCGAGATGCCCAGTATACACACTTCTTGCCCTCTGTCGGTTCCAGCTACGATGACGAGCTCGTTCAACGGTACTCTGATCGTAGGAGACGAGAAGGTGAAGTCGATCGTGTCATCGGAATTTCCAAGACTGCAGTCTACGAATGCTGCGCCTTGGCTCTCGTCGTATTGTGCATTCACACTGTCGTAGATGGACTGCGTGATGTCGTTGGGCAGGTACATGAGACTGCTTCCTGAGTCAAGCAATGCCGGTATCGCTTGATCGCTTGCGATGGAGCCCGATTGACCATTCGCACCCACAGCGGTCAATGCAATGATGAATTCGGCGTACACTCCTTGCTCCTTCACAACCGGTAGGGTCTCGAGGGCGCCAGTGTATTTGGCTGTATTGACGCCACCGAACAATATCGATCCGGTGGAAGCATCGAGGTCGTTTAGCCACAAGCTGTAGGCGTTCGAATTGATGGCACCAGTGTCGACCAGGTTCTGCGGTACATTCGGATATGTCTTGCCCCCATTATACCTCACTGCCACTTCGTTACTCGCGTAGCCGATTCCAAGTATTCCTTCCTCGGAGCTGGACGTATATCCCACGCCAAACTGCTGTGTTTCCAATGTGGTGCCGCCGATTTTGACAACGTCGGTCACATAGTCGCCAGTAGCTCCGGAACCATCGACGTAGGAAATGTTGAAATTGCTGTTGAGATACGAATATGTCGAGGAGTCGTTGGCGCTGTATGTGCCAGATATTGAACAAAGATTGCCTCTTTGCTTGCAGACATGGCTGTCTGCTACATTCACCCACAAGTCGCTACTGCCAGTGTCCAAGTGTAGCCGGAATTGCTGTTCTGGTGTCCCGATTGAAACATTGGCAAAGTATAAAGTTTCCTCATTGTCCAGAGTTACGCCCAATGTATCTCGTTTCCGGAGTTTCCGCCGTCTTCGATCATGGGCCAAAGGATTGTCGATGTGTTTGCGTTGTATTGAGTGCTCGACCACTCGTGGCGGCAAGCCATCGTTGCGCTTGACCAGGTTGATGGCGTCAACGGTCGTGCCAAGAACGCTTGCGGTGAAAGCGACAGCCACTGAAGTTCGCATCCCGAATGAAACACGCGCCAGAGCCAGGACGTGAGGTCGATGCGACCACGGGACAGGGCTCAGCGGCGATCCATGTATGTGTATTATACAGCGAGAAGAAAAGTCTCGATCTGCTCACATGGCCTCGTCCAGCTGTACGCAATGTTCAATGACGCGGCCGTTTGTTGCGACTAGTGCTGCTACCCACACTGGTGGCAATGTCGTCGTGTACATGGATCCGGCACAGCCGCTAAGATGACTTTTGTCTCAAAGCGATGGATTTCTGGCCGTCATCTGAATTCTGCTTAGAACTGATGACGCTTTCGCTGATGTTGGATGAAAGTAAGCGTGAAGAATGCCCTCGGAAGATTGATCCTCGCGGCGCTCGAGGACGGCCGGTAAGTTTAATGCAAAGAGGCAATTTGATATGCTTGCGCGTCCAGGCTGCCGGTTACGTATTGCAGCTGCATGAATCGAAAGCCGCAAAATCGGCATCGCGAAACAGAAATGCCGATTCGCCTGACACTACATCAAGGTTACATGCGACATGCAATAGAGGCACACAAACTTACAGCTTTGCATTCGCCAATGTTCTTGTCGGGAACCCACTGTCAGCAGGGGCAAAGCAAGGCCAGAGGAGGGGCGACACTTTCTCGTCCGAGCATCTTGGCGCAATCCGCACTCTTCGTGCTCGCACTATCTCGTGTCGCACAATATTGGCATCCAGACACAGGGCGCGTGTGGACGAATCTTTGTCAGACCGGGTCCCCATTCTCGGCATGCAGACGCAGTGCTACTTTTCATGTGAGAGAATCCCGGTGCTGATGCTTCAGCAAGGATGGTCTCCGGCATTCTGTTGACCGGCCAGTCTGCGAAGGGCATTGCGCCTTCTGTTTCCTTCATTGTCTGGACGCTGGATTGCTGGCACTGTGCTTGCGCGTGATACTGCTTGGAAACACCAGCAAGCTATGCTCTGCGGAGGGAGCCCCGTGGTCGCACTGTTGTAGCGCAGCGCGTAGCTCCATGTCAGTACTCGCTCCGGCGTCCTGATAGCTGCAATGGTCCGGACTGAGTACCCACAAGTGGGCAAGGAAAGATAATATATATGCCTGTTGGTGCGCCTTTGTGCTACGATTGAGATGTCGTTGACGCGTGCAGTCAAGATCAAGAGTCTCGCGAGGGCGGATCAAGGCAAGCCAAGTCGGGGCTGAGTCCTTTGGCCAACGCTCTTGCATGGCGCTTGAGCATTGGGGTGGAGCGAGCACGATCCTTCTTGGCTCCTGCTGCGCTGCACAAATCAAGAAAGATCGGGACAAACGTATTGAGACAATTCCGTCTGAGGACTTTCAGACGAATGTTTCCATGCTATCTCCTGCAGAGCAACAATTACTGTCATGACTGAACAGCGGGTCGCTTGAACGGATGTGCCTCAGTATTGAAGACCCAGTCGTCTAGACTGATGGAATCGACTTCTGAGTAAAGCAAGTAGAAGTACTTCAAAGTCTCGGCGAGCCAGAAACTTTCCATGCTGTTCATCTTGACGCTGTGTCCCGTACTCTCGAGCCAAGCAGGATCGTACGTTACATCTGCGAGCGCAGCGTTCGCGATGTCCGTTTCTGTAGCATTGACGATACTGGTAAACATTTCCCATCCTCGATCCAGCAGGTATGTCTGCCCGGTAGTCCTATAGAGGATGAATACGCTCTCGATCGTTTCCGGCCGCAGAATGTATCGCCTATCCCGGATATTGGTGAAGCCTTTAGGCAGCCGAAGGTCGTCGATCGGATCTTGGTCTCGGGTCGCATCGAATTGGTTGACGGCATCTCGCCACTTCTCTTCGTCCCACGGGCATTCTCCCTGGCGCGAAGGGCACGGAACCATTTCGAAGACTTCGGGCATGACTCCCATTGGCAAAGCTTGATATGCCCAGATGCATCCATCTGTAAGCTTCTTGCCGATATCCACATGATCCTCCTGCTCGGTCAATCGTCCACCGAGTGCGAACATGCCTCCAGCGAAGCACACCAAATGCTGGCCTTGTGGTTCCAGCTTGGGCGGCTTGCCCATCTCTGCACGTACGTTGCCGCTCATCAGAATATCAGCGCCGTCCGGCGTCATCGGCTTCCAAAGGTTGTGTTTGATGGCGGTCTTCATACTTCGCTTGTACATTCGCGCGTAGATGGGGTCGGTTCCTCCCAACAAAGCATGCATCTTCGGAAAGTACTCGTACAGTGAGTCCGACATCGCGGAGAGTGTAAAGTAGGTGTCTTTGGTAAAATCAGCATCGCGGCCATTTACCACGACTTGAAACATCCCAGGAAGGTGAGTATCTTCCTGCTGCTTTGCAAATAGTTGCATGACCCGGTTGACCGCATCGAAATATCGCATGTCTCCTGTTAGCTGCGACAAGTGAGTAAATTCCATACTCAAAGAACCAATTTCAGCAACAAGCACGACATCGTCAGCGACCTGTCGAGTCGTGAGAGCAGCTTGGGGACGCCAACGAGTTATAGGCATGTGGTTTGGAGTGTCAAACGCCTTCAATAGCATTTCACCAAACTCTGTGGCCTTGTCCAACAGTCTCTTATCTTCACTGAGATCGTATGCAGATAAGAATCCGCCCAAGTGCCTGATTGTAGTTTCAAACACATTGACAGATTCTTCTGTGCACTTGGAAAGATCGATCGTGATCGCAGCTTGAACAGCTTGCTCAAATTCGTCCTTCAGGTCCTGCGAAAAGCTCAATGCTTAGCAGAGTTCAAGTCGAACCACATACTATCGATATTTTGCGACTCACCATGATCCAGAGAGTATCGAGAGAGTCCACCAAAGTCGCGGCCCATCCGCCAAAGCCATTCTTGAAATTGCCCGTGATAGGTGTAACTTCGTCCATGAGCCAGGCATGTTCGGTGTAAGCTTTCCAACATCGCTGAAAGGTAGCTTTCACGGCGGCTCGTCTTTCTCGTCGAATGGCTGCTTGCTCTGCTGTCTCTTTTGCGAAATCGAATTGAACCTTGGGAAGCCTTCGAGGTTTTGCTGTGGGTAGAGATGTGATGCTCTCGGGCTGATAATGCAAAGGAACGTCCGACCAGCGGAATTGCCCATCATTCTGACTTTTGCCAGAGCGGAAGAATGCAGCATATTGAATTCTCGTTTGAGATGCTATATTCTGCCGAAAGTGTGTGAGGACGATTAAGGCGACCACCGCCACGCCGGCGTAGGTCACGTAACGGCGAAGTGATATCATTGTCGACTGTCGCCAAATTCGTATGTCATGGAAACTCCAATGCCTCCCATGAGGTCAGCCTCCTGCCAAAGACGTACCGCTTCCAAGACCGCGTGTGATGCAAGGCATTCAATGTTGTTGCCAGAATGCCGACGCGAAGAATTGGAAAGAGGTACCTTGTCATATCAGCCACAGTGCACAGCCACATATCACTGTCGCCTATAGTGAGCAGTGAGCGATCATATTCAGGTCGTCATAGTGAGCACAAGATGTACCAGATCCATTTCACATGGAAATAACTCGAGAAAATGTGATGCTCGCAAAGGACTGGTCACTGAGCAGCTTTGTATACATCGTCCGAAACCCACCAACGCCTCGCTAAGAGCACTATAAGATTTTCCAGCTCTTCTTGATCGACGGCTCATTTTGTAGGGACATTGAACAGTTCTTGCTTCATGTTGAGTTTGCAGAGTTTCGCAACACAGCCAGCTAATTGCAGATAGGTCTGTACGCCTTCCAGAATCCGCATGTGGGTGAAGCCAATGACCCGGATGAATTCGAGCTTCGCATGCTCGGACAGTGATGGTATTGTCTTCGTCACTTTGAACATACTGCTGATGATATCATGCGAAGAGTAGCCCAGACCCCTAAATGTTGTTAGCAAAGTCGTGCCAATTCGTACCATGGATCAGGACTCACCAGAGCTCTTTCAACGAATCCAGTGCCTCATCAACTTTCTGCTCATGGCAGCTCTTGATCATGGCCTGGACTTTGATAGGATGCGGACTGTCCACCACCTTGAAAACGTTGTCTCCATTGACGAACCCAAATCCTGCGTGCGTGGACTGCAAATTGTTGATGGCCTGCCGCATGTCTCCCTCAGCACTGAAGACCAATGCCGCAAGACCGTCGTCACTGAACTGCACATTCTCGGCTTTGCAGATCTGATTTATCCTCTTCACCACTTGTGCATCAGTCAGTCTCGCGTATCGCAAGATTGCGCACCTCGACTGCAGTGGCTCAATAATCTTGTTGCTTTGATTGCATGCAAATGCAAACCGCGTTGTACCAGAATAGATCTCCATGGTTCTCCTCAATGCCTGCTGAGCACCGCTTGTCATGCTGTCCGCCTCATCCAGTATCACAATCTTTTGTCTTCCGGGAGGCAGAGTGACCTTCTTCTGGGCGAATCCCTTAATCCTGTTCCGTACCACATCTATACCGCGCTCGTCGGAAGCGTTCAATTCGAGAACTGCTTCCTTGTAGCTCTCGCCCAGGAGCTGTCGTGCTAAGCAAAGAACGGATGTGGTCTTGCCAATTCCCGGCATTCCGCTGATGATAACGTGAGGCATGTTGCCATCTTTGGCGATAATCTTCAGGCGTTCGATGGTTTCGGTGTTGCCCACAATGTCGTCCAACACAATCGGGCGGTACTTCTCGACCCATGGCAGTTCATAATTGGAAGATGCTCCATTGCTCTGAGCTCTGATGCCGTCGGACTGTGCAGCTTTTGATGATTCGGCGGGAGCCATGTTGCTGATGCAGGAGAAACGCGAAATTGGAAGTTCGGATCGCGGACGACGTGACGAACGCGAAATCCACGCGTCGAGGGCTGCACTGACGTGGACGCACGTGCCATCGAATTGATCAGCGTCATTGCACAATTAAAAGCCGCCCTCTCTTTCTCTCATGCAACATGCCGATACCGAAAAAGCCTCAGACGGAGGGCTCTGCAACCTTTGACCCAGACAAGTTCTTCGAGGCATGGAGCAAAGGAGAGCTCACAGCTCCGTACGACAATGACTTTCGAAAATTCATTATTAAGTCATTTGGGCTGCGTGTGAGCGACCAGTATGGCTACAGAGCTACCACGGAAGTGACTCTACTGGGCGCGCAGTCTCATATAGATGCAGGTGCAGCAAATGGCCTGCACGTTTGGTATCGAGATCCTGCGGGACAACCGGTAAGCATGTCTCAATATCAGGTGCTTGAGATGGCATCTCATGTAAAGTGCAGCCAGCCCTAAGAGTGTCTTCAGAGACCAAATCCAAACGCTACCGACATCGCTGCATATACCGATATCTTTCGTCCAACGACTGTGACTTCCAAAGCTATAACTGCGTTTGCTTCGAATGCAAAGAAGGAAACTGTGAGAGCTGATATTGCGAAACACCTTCACGCACTTTACGCTCCTCCAGAAGCAGCCCGCAAGCTGCAGGTCAACAAGTCCAAGAACCATGTCAATCCATATTTTGACGTCTCTGCGTGGGCATTCCAGAATCTTGAATGGGCTGGTCCAGAGGAGAGAACGGTTGACATTAAGTATAGCCACGCTATTCTGCCCGTGCTCTATCATCACTTTGGCTGTGTCTGCCCGTCATACGAATCCCTATCCTACATGTACCAGATCGCACGCGGGCGACCGATCCTTGACATTGGGAGTGGTAATGGGTACTGGACATATATGCTTCGACGATTTGACATCCATCCTAAGACTCGGCTGAGTGTGACGGCGGTGGACAATGGCCTTAGCGAATGGAGAACCATGTGGATCGGAGACACAATCGAGGCTGATGGTTTCAAGTGGCTGCAACAAAATCAAGGTGGGAAAGACGGTGTTCTTCTGCTCGTGTACCCAATGGTCGGTATGGAGTTCACGTCCAAGATGATCAAGGCGTACAGTAGGTTGTTCGTGAAGTAGCGTTGCGTGCACCGGCTGACGATGTAATACAGAGGGAACCACGATTGTTTCTGCTGGAGCTCAAAATGCCAGTGGATTCACTGCGTTTGCGAAAGAGACCATTGCCGACTGGATGGCACGAGAAATGCCAGCCTGGGAAAAGGTTCTGCAGGTGCCACTTCCTTCGTTCCCGGGCAAAGATGAAGCGCTGTTCATATTCGAGAAGCAAGCCGAGTCAAATGGCTAGGCATCGGCTGGAGCTTGATCCCGCACCAAGCCACACGGTACTTGCTGTTCAGATGAAGATACCGCTTGAGTCATTCCGGTCGGCGGCGTGCGAGATAGGATCCTGATGTGCCAATGCTTGCGATCGGGTATACGTTGACGAGGATATACTCGCTTGCTGCCAGACACAAGGGCACACATCGGATACGCTGAATTTACATGAAGTCCGGATTGCTCGCATGAAAGTTTTGCAATAGCCAAGTGGCCTGCTCCTATAGATACTCTTCCGTGATTGTGAATAGATTGAGCTGTAGATATGTTATGCGGGCCATGAGAAATTCCAGGCGAGCTTGCGTGACAGCCTTTTTGTTGGCTTTGATCAACCTTGCGGCTTAACTTTGCTCTCCCGGACTTGTCCCTCCGCCCTTGCTTCTCGTTTGTCAGCCTCTTTCGTGTGCGGGCGGAATCCACGGACGTGGACGCGCTTCGCGACTGGTACACTCTACGCGTACCGTCGAGGCCTGTCACCTCGGCTCGAGGCGGCTCATGACCGATGAGGGGAAGGCATTCAAGCCTTGAGGATTTGACGCGACTGCATCTTTCACATTCGGGTTTAAGATGCGTGAAAATTACTCCCGGGGCCATACAGGAGGCATAGATTGCTTATTGCCATGCAGGTGACACGAGAACCTGCCAACCTGGACTCTGTCGACGCGGGACAGGGAGACCGCAATTCCGACGAGGCAGGCCATGCTCAAACTCCGAACGGCTTCAGCGAACCCAACGGATTCACTGCCACTGCGGGCGACAATGACAGGAAACGACGAGACAAGCCAAAACAGAAGCGCAACAAACCGACTTTATCGTGTCTCGAATGTGTAGAACGCAAGACGAAATGCGACAGAGCGCGGCCGTGTTTGGCATGTGTCAAGAGGCAGAGCGCGTGCGAGTACACGGCCGTGGCCAACCTCATCGCGTCGTCCGATCGTAAGAATAGCCATCCGAGTAGCAAAGCTCGCTATATCAAGCCTCCTATCAAGGTGCGGCGGACCAGTCTCGCACAATCACCATTGTCCATCCGCGCTTCGCCGACCGTGACCGACAATGGATGGTCATCTCTCGATGGCAGCACTCATCGCCGACAGCATTCACAAAACAGTTCGCCAATCCTGTTTTCCAACGTCCCAATCTCGCAGCAAAGTGCTCCCAGCAATGTCTTTGGTGTTGGTTCGCAACATCCGTTTGCCAACTACTGGACTTGCCAAGGAGGATTGCCAGAGGTAGTCACAGTGCTCCCCAACAAGGACCAGGCGGATATACTAGTCTCAAAGTATTTTGAAATTATCGATAGTGTGTACCCCTTCATTCACAGGTCGGTAAACAAATCTCACACGATTGCATCTTTTTGCTTATGAAACGCGCAGGAGGACATTCTACTCAGATTACGAGCTTTTCTGGGCACTTGAAGACAAAGGCAAAGCAGATGCGTCCCTAGTAGCCTTGCACTACGCCGTATATGCCCTAGGTACGCAGTTCATGCAGTTCACTCCGCTGGAAGAGCGATCGCAGACTGCCGAGTTCTACTGTTCCGCTGCAAACCAGGCATTGAGGGTGTATTCATACCTGAATCGCACCTCGATGCGGGCCATACAGGCCATGCTACTCATGTCATATTTCCTCATGAACGACAATCACGCCAGCGACGCGTATGCCTGGGCAGGCATTCATTTACGACAATCTTATGCAATGCGGTTGCATCGAGATCCAGATATCGTAGTTCCAGAGGCTTCGACTTTAGAGAAGCAGCAGCGGCGGAAACTCTGGCAAGCGGTATTCTTCCACGACACGTTTCTGACGATATTGCTCAAGCTTCCTCCGACCGCGACACATAGCGATGTGCCAGTGGAGTCCTTGTCTGATGAGAATGAGCTGAGCGATGATGGCATCGATGTGTGCGTAGGTACGCATTCGCGCATCGAAAACCTAATGGTGGGTCAACACATCACAATCATCTGTGACAGGACAGAGGCTTGCGCGCTCGTTGGAAACATGCTAACTTCGTACAGAGCATCAACGTGATTGCGCCTCAGATCCCTCAAACGCTACCCCCACCACAGCCTCATCACACCATCGACCAGACGACTATGAAAGCCGACATTGCCTATATGCGGAGCATGTGGCATCTGGGAAACCTGGCCCAGGAGTGTCTGTCTTCTCCTCTCGCGTTGTCATTACCAGTGGCAAACAGCGTGCGGCATAAAGAGTCTCTCGTCGCGGCATTCCGAAGACTCTACAAAACATTCCCTGCCCAGCTGACAATACTGGACTACGAAACTCTACGACACCAGGCCAACAGCAACTCTCGGGTCGTTCGACAAAACCTCTTCCTAACCTCGGAATACTACCACAGTCTGATGCTTCTCCAAGCTTCCGAGAATCGAGAGCAAGGTGTCGAACCCAACGTCAAAGCAACTCTTGAAGCCGCACATGAAGCGCTCGATGCCTTCTTCAAGCTTTGGTTGATGTTCGAGGTCGAAGCTGTTGTATGGTGGGCATTTCAGCATCGCGCTTTCGAGGAAAGTCTGCTTCTAGCCAGGTTCCTCGCTATTCCTCCACCGCCCGAAGCACAGTCTGATCCTATCTACTCAAAAGCCAAGGAGGATATTGCGAGAATGTTGCAGATCATGGAGCGCTATGGGAGCGACATCGAAATGCATAAGACTCGGAAAGACGTTCTTCGCGATGCGTATCTGCAGATTGTCGTGTGAGCGAAGATGTTGTATTCGAAGATGCTCTCTCAAAACTGCTGGCAGAGCGTACTCGGACTCACGCATCAGACTGCTCACTGCGGTGTCTCCACGCGTCTCGCCGAGACGAAAGAACAGAACAACCATTTCAAGAGAAAGATGGTGTCTAACCACTCTATCCGCGAAAGACCTCGCATGGCCATGTCTCAGGCACGTTCCTGCTACATATCTTTGCACAGAAGGAATCGGAGCGGCAGGGAGGCTGTAATGAATCTGGATGAAGACGGGCTTCTTGGTGGTCGGGGAAGATGGTAGCTTTCGAAAGTGTTCATGTTCAACACTCTAGATGGACCTCACCCGCAGTCCTGCTACCGTACCAGCATCAGCAAAAGTCGAGCGTCTATGCTTATGTCACCGAATGTCATTGACTTAGAGGTGACTGTTGGCCCTCTATCTGGGGAACGCTATGTCCCATTGGAAACTCATTCAAAGCATACAATCTTCCACTTTATCGCTCTGCCACCCCGAGCATACGCATACGAAGTTTCATCTGAACCTCATCCACGAACGCCTCGCGACTTGGGAAACCATCCGCGCCTTGTATGGTCAAGAAGAACCTCACATCCTCCGCTTTCTTTGGGGCCTTCCCACTTTGCAACCTCGATCCTGGTAATCTTGCTACGGCTTCCAAGAAGCTCTTCTCTGAATCTTTGGGATCACTGAGCAGCGGCTGCCAGACTGCATTCCACCCTTTCCAGCCGATCAGAGTCTCTGGCCAACACTTGCCACGCCATATGCTGCTGCTCCAGAACTCGCTCGATATCTCCACACTGAGCTCGTTGATAGCATTTTTGTCATCAAGAAGCATGTCGAAAAGTCGACGCCAAGCAGTGGGGTCTGTCTGGGATGAGTGTCTCAGAGCAATGGCTAGGCACTTGTGCTCAGGCGATTGGTGATCCTGCAAGAACGCGACGCACCGCTCAGGCTTGTCATCGAAGTAGAGGCGCCTGTCGTAGACATGCCGTACGCCAAGCTCGTAGCACTGTTTCGAAACGCGCAGGAAAGGCAGACAGAAGTGAAAGCTCGAGTGGTCTGCCTGTTCGCTTGCAGTCTTCGAGGCATTCGGTGACGGCCAGCCGTGATAGGAAAATGGAGCTGAGCGGAATCCAAAAGGACTACGTGTGACGTACGATGTCTGAGAATTTTGGTCCTTGAGAGCTGTAATCGGGATATCACTCTGCTCGAAGTTAGATCAGCTGCAGAATGAAGATGCTGTATTGGACTTACCATCACGATTTGCTCTCTATGCATTCGCGGGAAGAGATGATCCAATATTCGATCGACGACTTTATCAGGCAGTCGCAGTAAACCTTGGACAATCCCCTGACAGACAATTTCGGACTCGCCATCCTGCACGGCTCTGGAGCTCTGCGCTCTGTGCGGATGGAGAATCATGGTCTTGCTGAGCTTGCTTGTTGGTCTGGCCTTGAGCGAGAGAACGAGTTTTGGTCGCTTCTCGTCTTCGAGTTGACGCAAGAAGTCGTATCCGGTTACCACAGCATCAGCCAAACCGACGCCATCCCAAAGAGCGCATATCCAATTGATGTTCTTCAGCCAGACATTTCGGAAGTCAACATTGAAGAACGTGACGTTCTTGAGCTTGATATCCTCGAAGACGACGTTGGAGAACGAGCAGCCTCTGAAAGTGACGTTCTCCAAGTCACAGTCTTTTACGGAGAAGGATTGGAAGTCGCAATCGACGCTGCGAACATTGTTGATGAAGCATCTCCTGTAGATGACCTCGTTCGAGGGTTGCTCGATAATTTCGCGTGCTGAGGACGCCTGCGATTTGCTGGAAGCTGTGCTTCGTTGTCGCGGCGTACGACTGCGTCCGCGCTTGGGGTCCTCCCTGATAGGTTTTCCGATGTCTTCAATTGGAAGGTCGAGTAACGGCGGATCATCTGCTTGTTGGCTGCGGATGCCTGTGAGTCGAGTTTCGCATTGGCGGCACAGGCGGAGCGCCTTCGCAATGCTGCACAGCTTCTCCACGGCATCAGCCATATCTGCCCAAGGTGTTGAAGTTGGTGCGCATGGTGAAAAGGAAGGAATCGCGATCAACTTGACATGGCCACTGCCTGATCAGCTGCGCGCACATGCGTCTTGGCGTTTGCGTTTTCGAGACGACTTTCACATTGATCAAAAGTGAATGTGAAGTGCAACGGTATCGTGCTGCGGGTGGCTCCTGCCTGAATATGAGCGGGAGACCGTACACCGACGTGGCCGCATCGTCTCTTCCGCTGTTATAGCCAAGTTGAGCGTCCATCGGGCAGCTCGCCGTCATCTTATTGTGAGCATAGAGTAGAAGGCTGTCCGGAGATGATACAGGATAGGTAATTTCTTCTTGCCAGTCGCAGCAGTCGAAGTTGCTCATGTCATTTTTCTAAGCTTCAGAAACAGCGACCATCGACGCTGTAGACGTGCTTCTTTCGGATTGAATCAACGAGGCTCTCGACGTTTGATGTAAAGAGCCTGCTGTCTCTTAGATCTGCTGTTGCAAGAGAGATCACCTACTGCATAATTTGTTCAGAACATGCCATCTCGAAGTCTGCACACGTCAGGTCTGCCTGCCTTCCACTCAAGGCACTCACATGCACGGGTTTTGCATTTCCGTACTTTGGCCAAATACGAGGCACAGACGATCACAACAAGCCATCGGCCTCATTCTCGTCGAATACAGGTGGTGGCGATGAAGCTTTATTTGCGGCGGCCTCTTCAGCAAGCTGCACCAATCGTCTGGTCTCACAGAGCAATGTAGGCCGCCACGATGCGGTGCTTCCACGGCAAAAGCACCACTCGGCGCTGAGCGAACGATATGCTGACGTTGCAAGTGGTAACGCGTCGCGCTCGAACCAAGATCTGTGCCAAAGTGTAATTCAGCCTCAGCTCACGTGGACGCTGTTCCTGTCGATCGCAATGACGTTTTCTCCCTCTCCCTCTCCCTCCGTCTCTGGGGCAGAAGTGTCAGATTGGTGCAACAACAAGCAGCTGGCTGATCACCCAACTTTCTGGGATGCTGCACAGTGTTTGATGTGTCGATCTCCAACTTGGCACAGCACAGCAGCAGATGTGTGAGCGTTCGCAAAAGCTGCACGCCATGGACAGCAACTGCCGCAGCCTACTGCAGGCCACAGGAACAACTGCAGGTTCGGCTGAGACGGAGAACCAGTGCACCACCTCATGGCCTTCACGTGAAGAAGTCCACGGATCATCTGCTGCTGTCAGAATCGGCTTGCAGGGCTTTTCCAGGTATGGCTCCGCACTGGTCGTGGAGGCTCCAAGTTCTTCGTCACTCGGAACAAGGCCGGATCCTTGTACATCCCTCGGCAGAAGCCTGGAACTATCAAGACCTGCCGTACTCGCGCGAGGTTGTGGCCAGGTATAATCTGCCGGCAGCGATGGACATACGCGTCGTCGCAGGAACGGTATGGGTTTGGCTTGAATTCGTGCCGCAGCAACCATATGTCCATCGTATAGGACGGACCATGCCTGTCCGGAGTGATGTCAGTAACGACTGATGATCGAGAAGTACATGATGTCTACTCGTGTCCCTGCACTGGAAGCGTAAGATTTATTGCTTCCTCTGGGAGAAGTGGACGGTGGCATCCGCGGCGAGCCACTCGAACTCCCACTTTGAGCAAGCAGGATGGGGTGCACTCCAGACCAAGCCATTTTCAGCCAACAGATGTGCACCGGTAACTTCCTTGGCGGAAGATCAATCTTGCTTTTGCAACAAGCGGCGTGTGTCCTTTGCCCCTTCAGGTTCGCGCAACAAGGACTGCAGTGTCAGCATGGCAGAGAACATGGTGGGACTTGGTTGCCCTGTCGCTGAGCCTGCCACTGCTGTGGTGGTCAAATGTCCTTGGCCGCCCCGTAGTTCACGATTTGTACGGTCTCCTACTCATGGCTGATTCGACCGCGTTCAGCGATTTTACATCGCTTCTCTGTGCACTGTCGCCTGCTCAACTGCTGACGGCTAGACACGCGATCGATGCCCTTCTCACGCCAGACTCCCTCCAAGAAGCAAATCAGCAGCTATCGCCTCTTCTCCGCCTGCCACATGATGTCCTCGAACGAATAGTCGAGCATTCTGTGTCATACAACCACGATGTTGCAACTGAAACCAAGGAACCCGGCCTGCTGCAGACGTGCCATGCACTTCGAATCATGGCCTCAAAGGCCTACTTCAGCCAAAACACGTTCAAGAGGAAGCGGAGACTGAGCGAAGATAGCCTGGACCAGTGGGCAAAATTTAGGATCGGCGAGAACAGGAGGTTCGTTCGCAAGGTTCGCATAGGGCCGCCTACGCACTGCAATAACGAGGACGCAGAAGAGGAGGCAAGCATGCTCGAGAAGGCCTATGGATTCCCTACTGGAACTGTCTGGTGTCTTTCTGAGGATGACTACGAGAATGACTACAAGTGGTGGGTCAATTCACGAGGGGAAACGGAAATATGCGAGGATCAGACGAGCGACGACAGCACCATCGCAGATTGCTTCAGAGCAGTCGACTCCTCCTCCAAGCCTGCTGCTTCATGGTATTGCACATCCTGGGCACAAGGCCATCGTGCTACAGACTACTTCAGTCTCCGGCGAGCACCACCAACCCCGGAATCGAGACCAAGCGCTTCAGATTCGCATTGAACATGTGGTTCTCGACTCGAATGGGCGATAATTGTCTGGCAATACGTGGCATGATGGTGCATTAAGACCTTATGGCTGGCCATGACGGCAGCACGTGGTCTGCACAGGAAAGGCCAGAACCCTGTGCTCGACGCTGCGAAACCTGAGCGCGCATGCCTCAGAAGTCACGGTATGGCTCTCAGGAGCCGAATGAACAAACCTAAAGTCACTTGATGAATGTGCATTGCGGAGCAACAGCAGCCGACTAGACAGGTGTTGGTATCTGCGTTCTCGCGAACAACATGGCATGCTTCGAATGCTTGTCATTCCGAGATCCCTGGGCTCGTGGCCGTGTCGAACATTGGAGTGGAGAACTGGGGTCGAGGCATGAGGAAGCATTGTGGACATTTGTGAAGAGTTTCGCGCATTCAAGGAAACTGTATCAAAAGTTCTGTACGATATGCAAAGAGACATTGCAGTAATTTGTGATATGCAACGGCAGCATAGGCAGTAGTATGTAGAGTATGCTCGGTGGCTATATGATGCCAAGCGTGGCACTGGAAGACAAGTGCTCGAGCATATTATCAAGCATTCAACACAGACACTAATCTGACCATTGACGGCCCAGTCTTGCAGTCGTGCTGGCGTGTATATGAGACAGTGCTGCGAGTGGCCGGGCTGACGAAGAGTGATTGCTTGCGCCTGCTTTCGGCTGTGGACCGATGACATGCCCGCCCCTCGACAACCTGGCCAGAAACTCGCTTGTGACCTTCCCCCGTACCTTTTAGTGCCGGCCCTCACAGAACGTCAGGACGGGAGGTGCCAACCTTCTGCAGCCACCTGATCGGGCGTCACACAAAAGACGTAGGCTATTCGCTTAGCTGCGCACTTTTCAAGAATCATGGCCGCCGACCGACCCAACGCAGCTCGATCCCTCACCTCCCCGCCCACCATGAGTCCAAACGGCCACTTTGCGGGAGCTGATGGGGGACTGTCCAAGGACGACTTCGAACATGGCGTCCAAATCATCAACTCGGACAAGGAGTTCAACGCCAACTTGGGCCAATACTTGCAGTTCGAGAACATCACCAAGGCCGGCTTCAACTACCACCTCATCTCCGTGTTCGGCAGTCAGAGTACAGGCAAGAGCACTCTGCTCAACTATTTGTTTGGGACACAATTTGGGGTGATGAACGAGCAGCAGCGACAGCAGACAACGAAGGGAATATGGATGTCGCGCAACAAGAAAGAGCATGCTGGAGAAGAAGGCGCAATGGCTGCCAACATCTTGGTCATGGACGTCGAGGGCACAGACGGGCGAGAACGAGGAGAGGACCAGGACTTCGAGCGCAAAAGTGCCTTGTTCGCGCTGGCGACAAGTGAGGTACTCATTGTGAATATTTGGGAACACCAGGTCGGATTGTATCAGGGAGCGAATATGGGCCTTCTCAAGACTGTCTTCGAGGTTAACCTCCAGCTCTTCCTGAAGGACTCGAAAAGTGTATCCCGCACATTACTCTTCTTCGTCATTCGAGATCACTTGGGCACTACTCCGCTGGAGAACCTCAAACTCACGCTCCTCCAAGACCTCTCGAGGATATGGTCAACGCTTTCGAAACCGCCAGGGCTGGAAAAGAGCCAGATCGAAGACTACTTCGATTTTGCATTCGTTGCCCTGCCACACAAGATCCTGATGCCGGAGAAGTTTGAGCAGGAGGTGGCAAAGTTGGGCACGCGATTCCGTGAAGGCTTCAAGGACCCCAGGAAAGCTGGCCTTATTGATAATGAGCCTATATTGTTGCCCGAGTATCATCGACGTATTCCTGCCGACGGCTTCCCCATGTATGCCGAAGGCGTCTGGGAGCAGATCGATAACAACAAGGACCTCGATCTGCCTACCCAACAAGAGCTGTTGGCTCAATTCCGTTGCGATGAAATCTCCAAGGAGGTATTGATACCGTTCGACGAGGCGATCGCGCCTTTGGAAGAGCTTCAGAACAGTGCAGTTGCAGCAGGGAAGCCAACCGTCCTTGTTGACCTTGGGATGAAGTTGATCGGCGCGAGGAAATTGGTTCTCGGAAGTTTCGAAGAAGAGGCTAGCAGGTACCACAAAGGGGTGTTTAAGAGAAAACAGGCCGAGCTTGAGACCAAGGTCGATGGCAGACTCAAGACCCTTTTCATTGGACAACTCAGCGCTGCGCACAAGTCAGGTGTCCATGACTTTTCAGAGGCAGTGTCTTCTGCTGTCAAAACAGGCCAGAAGAAGGGGTCAAACTATGATTTCCACCAAATCGTCACTTCTGAGAAAGAAAAGGCATTGGATCGATTTGAGACACAAGCTAAGACGTCCCTGGTGGAAGGCACATCCTGGAGCGACTACAAGCAGCAGCTGAACCTCTTCCGCAAGGATCTAGATGAAGTCAGTGCTCGCCTAAGACAAGACGAAATGAGGCGCCTCGCCACAAGAAGCGAGAGATGGGTACGAAGTAAGCTCAGTGAGAGTGTCGGAGTAGAATTCAACAAGCTTGGATCCGGGCGTGCTGGATCTGGTGCCCCAGCTGATGGCGAGAAGCCTACCGAGAAGGATCTCTGGGACCGAATATGGGCTGTGTTCACTGATACGGTTTCTCACGCGGAGACACGATTTACCGATCGCGCACGCAGCTTCGATGCGAGTCCTGATGAGGTCGAGGTTGGGCTGTGGCGACTTCGCCGTAAGTCATGGGGAGCACTGCGTGACAAGATCGACGAGGAGCTCATGGAGGGCAATCTGTTACTGAAGCTGCGCGAGAACTTTGAAGATAAATTCCGCTACGACGAGGAAGGAGTTCCAAGAATATGGCGTCCTACCGATGATATCGAAAGCATGTACACCAAAGCTCGGGAAAGCACACTGACCTTGGTCCCTCTCCTCGCAAGGTTCAAATTATCACGAACATCTGCTCCACCACCACTTGACGCCTGGATTGGCGAGCCGCCAAGCACAGTCACGCCGGCTGATGAGGAGGATCTTCACCCAATTGGAGGCGTCGACGAAGACGAAGGCAAGACTTTGGAGGAGGAAATGACAGTCATCAGCGATGCTAAGCAGCAAGATCTGTCAACACGCTTCAAGAAGACCGCAGATGGCGTCTACGTCGAAGCCAAGCGTAGTGCCATTGGCGGCATCACGCAAGTGCCTTTGTACTTCTACGGCCTGTTGTTAGCGCTCGGCTGGAACGAGATCGTGGCAGGTGAGAAGATGCATCCCCATACAAGCTACGTTGAGAGATCAAGCTAATATGACAATAGTGCTGCGCAACCCAGTATACTTCATCTTCCTCATCCTTCTCGGCGTAGGCGCCTATGTCACCTACACCCTCAACCTATGGGGTCCGATGCTTCAAATGACCAACGCAGCATCCGCACAAGGCCTCGAAATCTTCAAAGCAAAATTACGAGATTTCCTGGAGAATTCCGAAACTGGTCGACAAGCTATTGGTATGAGCGCCAAAGCCGGTGCGCCGATCAATCTGGATGCATTGAATAGCAATGGAACGACCAAAGCTCGAGCCTCGCAGGAGGAAGAGGTCGATGAGATTTAGAAGTATCCGACAAGGGGCGGCTTTGTTGGCAATGGGCGGGCATATTGAAATAGCGTTTTCGAGAGGGGGTTTCTTGCATAGCGGACAGTGTCAGCATGTTCGTCGACTTTTCCAGCAGCACTACTTGTAGCATGACATGGCTGCGTGACAGTGGAAGGGTTGGAAAGACACGTTAGTCAGGAGATAGAATGATATTCTAGTATGGCTTTTCCACACAAGATCTCGTGTCAAGCTCCTCATCCGTAAGTGATGTACATGCAAATTTGAGTTCTTCGTCCTGGGCACGGAATTCTTTCTTAGCTTTTTCGCTTCCTCGCACCCCCCTTGTCTTTACCACTTGTTACAGCGGCTGCTGCGTCGTCGACTTTGGCGTCTAATTCGGCTTTCAGCTTTCCTGAAGAATCGGTCTTTGCCCCGTCTGTGCTCGTGAGCGGTTTGGCAGCTTTCTTGCTCTCTTCTTCTTCCTCATCTCCGCCCTGGCCGAACTCGTTTACTCTACTGTAATCGACCTTGTATTTCCATGTCTGATACAGATAGACAAAGAAGATGAAATCATCGCGCAAAGTCGCGAGACGGTGAAGGATTGGCATCTTGATGGTAAATGCGAACAGATCGTCGATGAATGTGTTTAGGAACTTGTAGGCCATAGTGCGTCCAGGCATATGAGCCACGGACTTGAGGCGGTAGTTGATGTATAGCGCTGGGACCTGAGTATCATGTTAGTTATTTTCACTTCTGTGATTTTCACGTTGGAGGTGGTGAATCACGTACCATCATGAGGAATCCGTATGCGTAGACGCTTCCCACGAGGGTTGTAATGATGAAGCTGTACCAGGACTTGTGCTCCTCGTAGTACAGAGAATACACTGCATAAGCCAAGAGCAAAGGAACGGCCAGATATCCCATGTATTTGAATGCAATCCTGTCGTATTCCTCGGTCTGTTCTTCGGTCTCGCTGAGTTTGTGCTTATCTTCGAACACAACGGTATAAGGAAGGCCCAGCGAGTGAGCGTACGATCCGGGTCCGGGTTGACGAATGCGGATATTGACGGTCTTGGTAATCTTCCAGGCTTCGATGGCAATGCCCATGCCCTGCCCGAACAAGATCATCCAACTCGTGTTCTCGTTGTTGTCCATCAGGTACAAGAAGATGATCGTCTGCATGACAACGTTGGACAGGATCGTTCTGAAAGAGACGCCAACATTGTCCTTCTTGTTGCGCCAATGACCTACGTCGTTCTTGAACGCGAGCAGTTCGAAGATCATGTGAAGCACACTGGCAATCACAGTCGTGCCAAGAAGCCACTGGTTTGTGTCAAGCAAGGTCTCCTTGATAAGCTCCATCTCAGAGCCATCGCCGCCACCAGGTGTGCTCTCTCCACGAGCAGCCTTACGAGCAGTTTCTTTCATGCCCTCATCCATACTGCACATGACGCTGAATTGCCAGCTGGCCAGAGTGCTCACATCAACATTGATCGGCAAGGTCTCCTGTGGAATCGTGGAGTTCAGCTCGATCATATGTGACTTGAGCTGCCAGAAAGTGTTGAGATACAGGACGGGATAGTACCAAGTGTTCTTTCCCGTCTCGTCACGGGCTCCAGTGGCATCTAGAGTGTAGAATTGCTTGACAGCGGGATGCAATGTGGCCCATTGAACGTTGCCGATTTCGGGCACGAACGAGAGGGTGAAGTTTGGATGGTAGTAGGATGCGATGGAAGGCCCGGTCGGTTCCTCTTCCACAACTTCCTCGCCTTCGTCATCTTGAGATCCCAGCAGATTGCGGACCTTGTGTACTTTCTTCTTGGGCAGGTACGAAGTGAGGGGTCGCAACATGCGGTATGCCTTCTTGGGATCGTACGAAGGCGATGCTGGGTCCAATTGTGCGCCTGACTGGGCTACAAAAATGTGTGCCCATAGTGTACCATTGTCCTGCACCGTCTTGGGTACATGGAAGGTCTTGTGCGATTCTCTGTGGTCTTTTCGTGATCTGTCCAAGGCAAAGTTCGTCTCTTTCACGATCAGGCTGTCTGGTGGCATAGAACTGAAAGGCGGCATTACGACGCTCGGCGAGATGTAGAGGCTGACATCGACAGTGGCATTGGTGGGCCACATCGGAAAGAGGGTATGTGGCACAGCGCTGTACTCGCCCAGCACCGTTTCTCCGCCCGCAGACGACGAGGGAGCGGACGGAGCGGCCTGCTGTCCGCCTCCCATGAACTGCTTCATCGCGAACTGGATGGCCACGAAGAGAGCCACGCTCCTGCCAATGGACCACAGCTTCGCGCTCCAATCATCCTGGGCTGGGGCGGCGTCGCCAGCCTGTGCTGCTTCGGGCATGCTGAGCGGAAGTGCTCCTCGCACGAGGAGAGGGGGAAAGGGAGGTGGAAAGGCTGATGTTGTCCTAAGCGTCCATATGTACAGTCGTTTGTCTCCCGGACGCTGCTCTCACGCCGGCCAACGACTTTCTTCGCGGCCGATCACGAATGGCGCCAGCACGTGGAGCAGGCTAAAGCACGGCCGATGCATGGCTTGGCACCGACGGAGATAAGATAAGCGAGCGGATAGACGAGCAGCATGTGATGAGATGTTGTGATGCATGGAGCAGGCCCGGCAGCAGTGACACGCGCTGGCAGAGCATGCTCTAGATATTCAGACGTGTCGGTGCATTGTGATCATCACGGCGGTGGGCGTTGCAACAACAGAAATGGGAGAAGCGCGGAGGCCGGGGCGGACATGTGATCCCGTGCAAGAGTCAGTCGGCGGCTTTTGCAGCGCGCTGATGACATGCACTCGCTGCTTGCCTGCTCGACATCCCCACGCGCGCTGCAGTACAGCCCTTCATCATCCTTGCCCTACTATTTCCTTCACTCCTAATCTCTCCTCCACCGCCGCACGATCTGTATGCCTAGACCCTCCGGAGGGACAGCGGCGTGAAGGTCGACCACAAGCCGGCGTCATTGTTGTCGGCGTTGCCGCACTCGGCCACCGCAGCGGACTCGAGCAGAGCTGCCGTGCAGCTGCAGCACGAAGCCGTCTTTATCTATCGCACTGTACTATAGCCATCGCTTCGCCCTCTTCTCGCACTCTTCACCATGTTCTCCGAATGTGAGTATCCATCGCTCCGCTCCCTGGCCTGATGTCGTTCAGCACAGCATGCGACATCTCCCACCTCGCTCGCGTGACCAACAGCCTGAGACTGACACCGCTTGACCTACAGACGCCTCCCGCTTCCTACAACAGTCCAACGCCCGCCTTTCCTTCACCCAAGATGATGGCAGAAGTCGCTCGCGCAATCCGCTCGATCGCCGACGTCCACCAGCATCGCACTCCCGCTACGTTCAGCGCCCCGGCGGCATGAATCACCACCCATATCAGAACCAGCATCCCGCTTCCTCGCAATCACGTTTCCCCTTCGCATCGCGTTTGTCACGACAAGACCCACAGGCTCCGCTCTTCTATAGCGCGACCGACGACTTCCAGGACGAGGATGAAGGCGACGAGCATGAGCGGGAGGTAGCAGACTTCTACGCTCTGCAACGAAGCAGGCAGCATTTCGGGCCCAGCAATCTCACGGAAAGCTCAGAGGTTGAAGACGATGGCACGGAGAGATTGGAAGACACGCAGCATGGTCAAAATCACGACAGAGACGCAAGCCTACCCCGGGGCAGGTTGGGAGCTCCATATCCACCTTCGTCACGCGCGGAGAGCAGGGCATCGGATGTGAGTGGCAAGGGCAAAGGGAGACTGGTGGATGTCAACCTCAACAGTACAATTGATGAGGAGCCTCCTGAGTCGCTTGCGAGACTATCGCCCTCCATCGATCCGGATGAGCCACCCGCACCCTTCAAGCCATTCCGGTCAACGACAAAGCCCAGCGGCCTCAGTTCATTTCTACCTCTCGAGACCGACGATGAAACACATCGACTCCACCCTCGACCCATGTCGCCAGATCGCGAGAGTGTGCCACCCACCGTCATCTTGCCTGCGCAGGAACCCCCGAAGCACGATGCATTCTGGGCGAACCTATTCCAGATCTCCTTCTGCACAATGTTTGCCGTCTTCGTGCTGATCTGGTTCCAAACTTCGACGCCGAAGAATTCCCTCGGAGACACCATCTACACTGCTCTTCGTGGGAGCACGAGCATGCTGGTGTGGGACACGCTGATTGCGATCGTGGTGGCACTGATATGGCTGTCGCTACTTCGAAACCACGTACGACCATTGGTGTACATTCTCATCATCGCAGTGCCTGTCATTCTGTTCGCGTTTGCACTGTACCCCTTCATCAGCAGCTTCCGTGGCTCCTGGAACGGCAACTCGATCCAGGACAAGGCAATGCGATGGGGCTCATTTGTTCCCGCAATTGTCGGCTTCTTCTGGACCTGGAGTGTCATCAAGAATCGACATAGCCTGCACAGTTCTATCAACGTGCTCGAATTCTCAACCAAAATTATCGCAGCGAGCCCGTTCCTCGTGGTACTTGGCTTCGTGGCGCTCGGCGTAGTCGTTGTATTCTCCTGGACCTGGATGCTCATGTTCGAACGCATCTTTCTTTCGGGTCACTTCACAGGCGCGAAGAAGTGGGTAATCAACGCCAATAGCTGGTGGCTTGGAGCATACTTCATCTTGCAGTACCTCTGGAGCTTGGGAGTCATCGCAGGCCTACAACGAGCAACGACCGCTGCAGTAGTCAGCCAATGGTACTTCCACCGCCTAGCAGTGCCACAGCCGACGAGCCAGGAAGTGGTCAAGGCAAGCTTTTTGCATGCTACAGGAGCCCTCTTTGGTACAACCTGCCTGAGCACCTTCCTCAGCCTTCTTGTTCGACTACCGTTGATCATCCTCCCTGGCCGATTGTCTGGTGTACTCAATATGGCCGCATACTGGATCATGCCGAGTAGCTTGGCCACGCTCACCAACCCTCTCACTCTCACGTATGCTGCGATTCACAGCCAACCACTCGGGATAGCCGCTCGGGGTCTGAACCACCTCAACTTTATTTCACATACGAATCCAAGCAATACTCTCGGAACACGCAACTTCAATCCTTCCCATTCTGGAAGTGCCCTTATGCCATACCGCCTGGCGAAGCTCCTTCTGCAGGCCACACGTTGGATAATGTCCTTCGCGCTTGGCTTCGGCGGCTGGGTCCGAGCTGCACACAGCATTCAAATACAAGGGGCTGCATCAGGGTTTCGAGGTAGTTTGTACGCCTACATCGTCGGTATGATTGCCGGTACCATTGGCTTTGCGGTTCTAGGTTGCATCGAGAACATTGTTGGCGGCGTGATCGATGCGACAATGGTCTGTTGGGCAAGCGAGACAGCAGGTGGGCGCGGTGAGGCAAGGTTCTGCCGAGAAGCAGAGGAACTCTTTGGAAAGAAGACAGGAGTGAGTCTCGGTGATAGAGACATGGTATAGAGAGCGTATCGACGCGAGGACCCAAATGATTTTCATGGAACAATAACACGAGTTGGAATTAGCGAAGGTACAGGACACGGCGTTCTCAAAGCTGGATATGGAATTGGATACCCGGAACCACATTGCATTGTTTCAAGATATAGGCCAAGAATACATGGCAAGTCCACATTGTCGCCTTAGACATTAGTGCATATTCATCGCCTGCCCCCTTGTGCCTTTCACGACAATGCCTTCCGTAGTTCGACGCTCGTTCTTGCCACTGAACTTTCTGCAGGCGTGCCGTGGAAGCACCGCCATTATTCACGAACATGACTGCCACAATTGTACACAGCAAACCCGCCTCTCCTTGTCCTCACCGTCGTGAATGCCTTCACAATGCCAGCATATAAACCTTCCAGACTGGCGCTGCCTTAGCACTCTCTTTCCCGTCACAGACCAACGAGAACCAAACTCCCGCCTCAAAAGGTCCAAGTCACCTCCAAGTCCCACTCATTCTCCACTTCACAACCCGAGCTCACCCAACATGCCGGACGAATGGTGGAAGAAAAACGAACGCTACACCCAGCAGGATTATAATCCTATGCAATGGGGTTACCAAGGGCCCAAGAATGCTGCACAGCGCGCTCAGACTAATCTCTGGATGCAACAGGCGCGTCCGGCGCAGAGTTGGCAGGATTCGCAGAGGAGATTGTATGATGGGCGGATGGGAATGGCGGGGTATAAGAAGAAGTGAGATGCTAAAGGGGAGGTCTTTGGGGATGGTGGAGTTGATGATAGGGGCGTTGGAATGTTTTTGATTTTTGCTTCTGGTCTTGTTGGTAGGCGGCCAGGGGTTTTGTCTCTTGGTGCTGTAATATGAACAATCAACGTTGAAGTTAGCTTTTGCATTTTGCCGCATTCTCGCTGTTGTTTGGATCGTTCTCTTCGTTGGGAATTTGCTCCGGGGCCCGCAGTAGCGAAAGGTTCGGAGCCTATTAGGCACATTAAAAAGGTAAAAGGAACTTTTGGGGAGCATTAAGTCGAAATTAAGGTAGTCGAGGTGATCGTCCATCACGCACTGAACTTGCCCCAACCCAGATGCCACATGTCTTTGTCCTCGTCTTTCCCAGGCCACATTATCTTGCCGTACCAGAGAGCTCGTAAATGTGCAACAGCCGTGATGAGCCACATGATGACCAAGAGAATGGTCAAAGCGCTGGCTACACCATTGATAGCGGAACTTGATAGCGCAGAGCCGATCTGTATGATTGCAAGACAGAGACCCGCGTTTGGAAATATGAACTGTGGTTTGTTAGCAAGAATAGGATATGGTCCTCGGGTCGTGAATCGTTACTTACGGCCCACCAGTTCAAAGTGAAATGCATGCGCCTGATTCCAGCTATCACAGCAATCGTTGTAATGCAGAAGAACCAAAAAGCAAAGGTGACGATGAAAAGTCCGCTGACGATCCCAAGGACCCGCACAATGTCACCGTCTGGAAGGGCGCTAATGTTGAATGTGTTCTCGGGAAGCACACTCGAAGCCTGAGTTCCCAACGATATGAGGCCCGCGCTCGTGTAACCCGCAGGACCAACAGACACGTACATTCCAGGTCTCGTGGGCGGAGCCGGCAACGCGCTTGTCATGAGTCGTTGAGTGTACAGACTGTACATCATCAACGCCACGGTCCAGGAGAGTCCCTGAAACATGACTGCCCCTATCCACATTTCAAAAGCTGCCTGTTCCGGCTGAGATGGAATCATTGTGCCAGCCATCGTTCCAATAACTAAAAGGGGGTAGATTGGGAAGATCCACGCAGGAACGGCGTTTGTGATTTTCAATCTCTCCTCTTGGAATAAAGCGTAGTATTGCCCAATTCCAACAACCAGAACAATAGCGCAATAGAGCCAGAACAGAACCCGCAGTGCAGAGACGAGCCACGGACCACAGTTCGGCACACCGTAAGCCTGTATCGCGTTCAAGATAAGTGAGACCGAAACCCAGTACGATCCAAAGAAAAGGCCCTCGACAGGATGATGAAGTGAAGCAAAAAATCTCCTCGGGAACCAGAAAGCTCGCAGTCCCATGGCGATATTAAACACAACGAACATAAACAGATCAACAATGAAGAAGATCTTGCCAATAGTCTGCAATCCAGTAAATCGATTCGGTGTATTCGCGATCACAACAGCGATCGCTCCAGTAGACATCGTTGCTGAAAACCACGGCCAAGTAAAATGCGCTATCCTGTCCTTGAAATCCGCGCTGGCAGGAGGGTTGGGTAAGAAATCGTTTCGATCATGGCCAGTAGCATTATTGTTGTTGTTCTGGGTTTGTTTTTCGACATCCTGTCCATTTTCGTTCCGATATCCGTTGCGCTCCATGTTGGACGTGGAGGAGAGCAGCAAGCATCTCTAGTTGCAATGGGGCTGCCATGTTTGTATCAACAGAGACAGTGTGGATATCGTCTTTCGTCATCGGCCATATTGGACCCTTGCACAGGCTGTCATTCACAAGAGCCAAGCCCGCGGAACGGCAAGCCGATTTGCGTCCAAACCTGTTCCTGTTCAGCTTCCCAACGATCGTGCATAGCCTGTCGTTTAACAGCCAGTATTGGTCGAATACCATAATTTCTACAATAACTTCAGCAGTGGGCGAAGAAGCGGTGACAGACACTTACGCGTGTTCAAACTCAGAGAACAGGTACCAGGCCTGGGCAAGACGCAGCAAGTAGTGACTGCTCCTGCTCACGCGTCCAGTAAGGCCGGCATCGAGAGCAAGGCCATTCGATGGGCACTGTGCGACCGACGCCTTGTCGACAAGGCTCGTCTGCGCTCTGTTATTTTGATCACATAGACGTGCTGCAATAGAAAACCATGATCTCGTTGCCTGATTGGGTAATATCATTTCTGTGGCATATACAGTCTAATGCTGTGTCGCACCTAGTTCAAGTTCATAGATACATCCTTGTGTGCATCAAACTTCCCTTAGTTCTCGACCCACTCTCCGCCGATCCATCGGTTGAGGAAGTCAAGCGACGCCTCAGGCTGGTTATATGGCACCTACCACATGTTAGTACAGTTGCAAGACTATGGAGGAAAGGCAGAAAGCGGGGGATCAAACTCACCATGTGGCCGGCAGCATGGATGCGGATGAAAGTGAAGTTGCCAGAAGACTTGACTGAACCAGTCTTAGTCTTGCTGTCGGACTGGAGAGTAAGGTCCTCCATAGGCGCCTTGGCGTAAGCCTTCTGACCAGGCCACTCAAGTGCCTGGGTCCAGGCGAGGTTACCGAGCCCTAGAGAATGTTAGTTCGCTGCGAGTCGTATCCATGATATTGAAGTACTTACAGTTGCAAATGTAATCGGCATCACCGGCGTAGACGAGGACAGGAATCTCCTTCAGGATATCTGGGACCAAGCGGTGGAATGGTTGCATCCAGTCGCCATTGAACAAGAAGTTGCGGTTAATGTCCATGTTGCAGGAGTCGTAGCTGTCGACCTCAGCTCCAAGAGCCTTCATGACATCGTCGCGGTTGAGGTATTCTTGAATCCAGTTGAGCTCGTCGTAGCACAAGTTTCCGCCCTTGCACTTCTCGCGAACGTCGTATGGGTTCTGGCCGGTACGCTGGTATGGACCAATCAAAGCATTGTTGCAGTAGATGCTTGCTGGGACACAGGACCAGACAGACTCGCTCTTGTAGCAGCTCTCGATCAAGCTTTGGCAGCGAGCAAGCGAGTTGTCCATGCTTTGGCAAGACGACTCATCAAGCACTGCTGGCCAGCCACCATCGCCACATGCCATTGGGCGGTAGTACTCATATTGAGTGTAGCCGTCGGTAAGTCCATTACCGATCAAGACAGACTGCAGGTTGATGTTGCGGTTCTTGTGCGACAGGATCTCGGAGGCAAAGACAGGAATGTAGTGGCCAGCGTAAGATTCACCAGAGATGTGGAACGGCTGCTTTGCGTACTCTGGGAACTGCTTGAAGAAGAGGGTCAAGAGAGCGTAGACGTCTTTGCCTGCAGCTACAGTGCTGCTGACAGCGCTGCCAGAGTAGGAGTAACCAACGTTAACTGGCTGGTCCAAGAAGATGACAGAAGCGTTGGCGTTCCAGCTGGATGGGTTGTACGATGGCTTGCGATCCTTGCCGATGAATGATGGGCCAAGCTCCATGAAAAGTCCAGTGAGAGATGAGCAGCCTGGGCCTCCGTTCAACCAGAGCACGACTGGGTCGTTCTTGGGGTCATTGCGGGATTCGAAGAACCAGTAGAAGAGATGCTTGTCGTCCTCCTCATTGTCCAAATAGCCCGAGTACTGCTTGACTGTGTCAACACCGAGGCTCTTTGGGTCGACCTTCTTGGTACGGAGGTTGAACTGCTCGAGATGGCCGTCGATCTCGCGCTGCTTCTCGCCCTTGGAGTTGACGCTGAACATCTGCTCGATGTGCTCGCCCTTGGTCACGAAATCCCATTCGCGCTCGTGCTTGCGGGTGTGCTTCTTGGGCGTAGAGAAGAACGAGGCTTTCGACATCTCTTCAGGGAACATCATAGCCACTTCGTCCCACGCAGACTGAGCTTCAGCGGTAAGGTGTTTCAGCTCATCTTGGAGGTGCTTCAATGGCTTCGCCCAGCCAGAGACCTTATCGCCAGCGGCGTTGAGAGCATCCTGAACGACCTTTGGAGGTTGCAATGGCTGCTGTTGCTGCGGAATCGAAGCAGCTGCGACTCCGATGAGGAGTGCTGAGGTGGCGACCTTCATGGTCGACTTGCCCGGCGTGGAAGCGTCGGCTGTTTAGGCGGCAAAGCGGTCGAGGTGCTGGAAGCTCACGAATTAGCATTTGTCCGGATCCGGCGATGATGGCGATGCTCACATTTCTCTCCTCGATGGTATAGAGGTGATGGAAGAGACGAAAGTAGGAGGACAAGGAAGAGAAGGACTGTGTTGGTCCAGAGAGAGCATGTGAGCAGGCAGCCCAGCAACGGCGACGCATCATGCTGAACCTAGATCATGCAAGGGCCGCGCTGGGATCAAAGCTCGTCTTATCGCGATAGCGCCTTGGCGTGGATGACGCATATCGGCTCATCATTCAGAAGTTCGCGTGCGGGCTTAAGGACACCAGACTCGAGCAAATAATTCCGACGCTGTAAAATTCAACACGAATCCGCCACGAGCAACCGAGAACATAGCTACGATAAGGATAGCATCGCAACAGTTCCCCCGCGCCTCAGAAGGTGTCCGTCACCATGCCTTCAGCACAGATCAACCAGCCTTCAAATCAAATCAAACTGACAAATGTCAGTTTGGTGCGCATGAAGAAGGGCAAGAAGCGCTTCGAAGTTGCATGCTACAAAAACACTGTTACATCATTTCGGGCCGGCAACGAGACGGATCTCGACAATGTCCTGCAAATACCAAACGTTTTTCTGAACGTCAGCAAAGGGCAAGTGGCGCCGAATGAAGATCTCAAAAAGGCTTTCCCTGGCATGACGAGAGACGAAATAGTACTGGAGATTTTGAAGAAGGGTGAGATCCAGGTTGGCGAGAAAGAACGATCGCAAGAGCTGGACCGAGTGCACAAGGAAGTTATAGACATCGTGGCTGGGCGGCTGGTAGATCCAAAGAGCAAGCGCGTGTATACCACAGGCATGATCGAAAAGGCTTTAGATCAGTTGAGCAGCCAAGGTGGACATGCTGGAAGAGCAGCAGGCAAAGCGGGCGCCGCTGGTGGAGACCGCAGTCAAAGCAGAGACCAGAGCGCACCAGCGGCCGGCTCAGGTGCAAGCACACCAGCTAAGAATGGCGAACCTGCAGAAGTGAAGACTGAGGAGAAGCCAAAGCCAAAGTGGACTGGAGTGGTCACGAACCGAAGTGCAAAGTCGCAAGCACTGGATGCTATGAAAGCCCTGATCGCACATCAACCAATTCCTGTGGCGAGGGCGAGGATGAGGCTGCGAATCACCTGCCCAACGGACGTGCTCAAACAGAATGTCAAGACTGCACCAAAGGCCGAGGGCGAGGAGGCAACGACGGGAAGTGTCAAGGACAAGATTCTCAGCCTTGTTGAGCAGGTGGAGACGGAAGAGAACACGGGCAAAGAGTGGGAGTGCATAGCCTTCGTCGAACCAGGAGCTTACAGGCTGCTGAACGACTTTGTGAGCACACAAACGAAAGGCAAAGCTAGGGCTGAAGTCTTGGATACGACCGTAACGCACGAAGATTAGGCCTATCGAGCATGCTACATTGGTTGTGCAGCGTTCGAGCGTCTACAAAAGCATCAGATCAAAATCGATTCACTAGACTGTTCTTTCCGGCAGTCAGTTTGTTTTGCCAAAGTCCATCTGCGATCAATATGCATGGGCAGTTTGGGTGGTAACAGTAGGCAGGTGCTATCTGCCTACAACTTGTACTTCTGCAGATGGTCTCACGTCCATCCAGAATCTCTATTCGCTTTCTCAGCCTCCTCTCCCATCCTTCTCATCCACCGCTCTACAAGCTCCTTATTCTCCTTCTCCAACTTCTCTGATCTCTGCTCTGCCATATTCAACTGCAACTGCAAGCTCACCATCTCATCTTGCGCTTCCTCGACCAACTTCGCTTTGCCTCGAATCTCTTCCTCCCGATCCCGCAACTTCCTCTCCACGTCCAATTTCTGCTTCGTCAGACTAGTAATCTGTGCCGTGGAGTCCTTATGTGAAGCCTGCAGCTGGCTGAGTGAGGTGTTGAGCTCAGTCACTTGTGCTTGCAACGAGGATCGGGCGCGTTGGGTATTTGCCAGATCTGTGCGGAGAGTAGCTAGAAGCTCTGCTGCTTGACCTTCTGGCACGGGTGATTTGGTCGCTGCCCGGCCTTTGGTTGGAGTCGCAGTTCGGTCGGGCAATGCGGGTGACGCTGGGGTCGAGCTGGACAGAGCCGATGCCTTGGATTGAGCAGCGGTGCGGTCGGCGAGTCTGGTATCTGGATCTGTCAATATGCGCGATGGCGGCAGAGGGAGACCACGCCGTACAAGCATCTATGTATGGCTTGTGAGCTTGTTCGCGTGCATCTCGAGCATCGAGTGCGGCAGAATATTGCTCAATCCAGCTCATAGTATTGGTAGATCGCAGGACCCGACGACACTCTCTTCGCTGCGTCCTGGCATGATGGCTCTCTCGGTTGAGTAGGGAAGCTACCGCTGGAGTGGAAGACAGCTGCGCATTCACTCCAGCTTGAAGTCAGTCTTGGCCGAAGCTTCGTCATCCGTCATGCTTCCCTTTTCGAATCAACATTAACAGCAACATCCACATCCACATCTTGCACTCCTTTCAATGGCAGAAACGATATCATCTACTATAGTCCATCCATGGCCAACAGAACAGACGCTCCGAACCTAGCAGAACGTGCAATAGTCGCGTTCCAACACGCACTAACCTGCAGAATCCACAATCGCTCGAGATGTAGTCAGGACATGGACCCAAGTTTCAGACGACCACAAGACGGGCATATTCAGGAAGTGCAAGGTCATCGCAAGTCTAGTCCGGCCTCGTATGACCCCCACGCGTGCGTCGAAAGTCTTTTCGACAGCTGTTTCAGAGACTCTTCCATCTTCAGCACCGTCCTTCTCGCATCACAAACCTAGAGCGGCGCTCGTTCATGTCAGGGAGGTATATCTATTCGGTCAAGAGTGGGGCCGTATGCAAGAAGCGAAATAGTACCAGCGCTTCGTAGTTGCAGAAGACGTTGTGCCAGCGCTGTCAATCTGTTCGCCAGGCGGGAAGAGCAGTCGCGCCACAACCACGACTGATGCCAGCGTGCCATGTGCGATTGTTTCTGGGATATGATCTTGGTCATTCGCTGGAGAATATCGCGTGAACCTCGCACGAACGTGATAGCGAAGTTTGCTTCCCGCTGCTTCAGGGAAGTATCTTACTGAGATATGCAGCAGGCAAGATACTGCAGTAACCACAGGAGCTACTCAAGAAACCCAAAGAACAAAGGCCCAGGAACATTGCGAGCTCACCCCGCTCTGTCATACCAGAGATGTACTTCAAGCTGATTGCAGTGCTCCTGCTCTGCCATCTGGCAATGCTCGTTCAAGCTATCCCGCGCAATCGCTTGTGTGTCAAGATTGGCGTGACAGTACCAGAGTCTGCTTCAAATTCGACCCCTGGGACGGCGCTTGACCCTCGAGCCCCAGCCACTAGCTATAAAAGTGCGGTCAGGAAAGGCAGGAATCTCTGGGAGATCATGAACGATCCCTTCAAGACGACGCAAGCTACATGGACTGCCGCAGACGTGCAGAAATGGGGCTGGGCTGTCAAGTCCGACCAGAATATCGAAGTCTTCAAAGACAAAACTTCCGGGCTCGAGCAGCCTCTTGCATGGCTGCAAGTCTCGCCGGCTACCAGTCTGACTGTAAGATTGGAGCACAATTCAGACGTCAAAGTCGATGGAGTTGAGTACCCGGTACACACACACAATACTGAGATCACACGGTTCCCAACATTATATTGATTTTCATCAGGCGACCCATGCAGAATATTGTGGCGTGTACAATCCGGCCAAAGGCATCTTGATCGCATCCGACAGACATAGTCCAGCTTATCGGAAATCTACCACCACCAGCTTGCGCAAAGCGCCTTTGCCACTCCTACAAAATTGGTCTGACCTCACGTTCCTCAGCTGGCAGCACCTAGCCGCTGCGCATCAAGAGCAACAGGCACCCCTGCGTTACATATTTGTACGAGGCATTACGAATCGAAACACTCAGCAACTTATCATGGAGGCTATGCATGTCGACGGCTTCAAAAGTGAGCTCGCGCTCCCGTGGCCCAACTTCTGGATGTTCACTCCGAACGACAAGGATGGCAGCATATCAGAACCATTTCTGGCTGTGCTAGGCACGGAGAACTTTGGCGGCATAGCGTTCTTGTTGGCTCAGCATCAAGCTGCTTGCGGAAGGAAAACGATCAAAAGCATACGGATATGGGGTGATGGAGGAAAGTCGCCAGTGTTGCATGGAATGGTAGATGTGCAATGAGATTTTACGGGCTGTGGTAGGTATGGCGGCGGACTTGTCGAAGCTGACGCAGGCAAATTCTCGACAGCCAATGATGACTGCTACAACAGTGGCGAGCATGGGGCACGGAGGGCGTGGCTGTGGTAGAGAGGTATTAATCCATTCTCCTTATCCATGATACATGTTTTGATACAATGATTAACGCCACCAGTGCCTGAGTCATTCCTCATACTCGATCGTCTGTCTCGTCTTGAACCACTTGAGAATAATCGCCCCTCACATACGGCGGCCTACACACATTGTCAACGACGTCTCTTCTGACATCGATCAAAAAGTCGGCCAATAGCCAAGCTGTTGTTAAAGCGACACACACAGAGTGTACCTACTTCAAATAGTTCTTGATGCCCACGATAGCGGCCGTTCCCGCGGCAATAAAGCCCAATTGGGTCGACCAGGTGCTGTCGTAAGATCTTTGTCCCACACTCAAGGCGATCAAGTCGTAGACCAAACATCCTCCAAAGATCCAATCGCTGAGGAAAGCAGCACCACCAAAGCCAAGTGCAGTCAGAGCCTTGACTGTGGTGGAAGGAATAGCGTTCTTGTAGTACGCAACCGAAGTGTTGTGAAGAGCATCAAGAACACCAATACCAGCAAAGGTCTTCGCGACGATGTGAGTGAGCACACTGCCGGTGTTGCGTGTATCCATAGGCTCAAGTTGCGTGGCTGTGTAGAAAATTTGAGCAGTAGTGTTGAGCAGGACAAAGATGTTGGAGATTGATAGCCTCTCGCTGTTCCAGAAAAACATCCAAGTACCAATGCAGACGTTTCCGAGTGCGTAGTATGGCACGAACTTGACAATGTGGTCAAGAGATTTCTTGTCTTGAGGGTTCTCTTTCTTGAGAGTCCAGAGCTTATAGAGCCAGGCTAGCTGGAAGAGCTGTTGTGGGAAGAAGAAGCCTAGACTCTAATCAGCAAGGCTTTCGTGTTTGTTGTTGAATTGCAGCGATAGTTCATACCAGCGATGAAGAATGGCTGAGGACTGAAGAATGACAAGTTTCGATCATGGATGTCCTTCATATTGGGCGAGCTGAACATGCCATATTGCTGTGCTGCAAAGTCGTAGAGGAAAGACGCTGGCGCCAGGTAGCGCGCTGTACTGAGTTCGACGCCCATGATGTGTTTCCTTGTGCTTTCTTGATGTTGAGGTGAAAGTGTTCAGTCGAGTACCTGTAGAAGTGAAGCTGATGATAGTCAGTGATATACCACTTACATGTGCAACGCGTCTTCGATTACTATTGATCCTTGTTGTGATGCTGGGGAAGGATGGAATGATGCCATCATTGTCAGTACATCGTCACTTAGACTTTGATGATCGGAGCTTCGGATCGCATGGCCCCGACCTCAGCAACAACAACCCCTGGCATGTCTCTCTGCGACCACTTCTCGTGTGCATCAACAATATCATCACAGATCCATCGATTCCTTGAAATGGAAGTCGTACAAGTACCAATGGTCGCTGCGACTTACGAAGTCAAGCCACTTCACACATCGATCCTCCCATAGCTTGATCGGACGTCCAGCCTCTCGACGAACAGTCGCCCAGTCTGCAGCGACATTGCAAGGCTAGTGAACTGGACTCGGCTGAAAACTTGACAGCAGGGGCGGGACATTTCGTTGAAAGCGCACCTCGGTGCAGTTGACATTATGCTAAAATGTGACAGAATCATACAACATCTCCCTTTACTCTTCAATCGTCACGGACTTCTGCCTTACTGGGAAGTCACCTCCCTCAGCGGCAGCAGCATCGCTGCTGTTCCTGCCACTCGTGTCGGCGCTCTTTGGGAGCTTGCTTCCATCCCACTTGGCGCTAGTGATAGGATTGACTCGGAGCATGTACATCGTGTCGATTTCCTCCAGGCTGCGGTCCTTCGACTCAATGACGAAGAAGAAGACAATGACTGCCAGTGCCAGACAGCAACCGGCAAAAACCAAACCGTAGAGGTAGTGGATCGCATCCGTGATGAATCTGGTGAAGAACGACATCAAAAAGTTCCAGAGCCTGCAGAGAGAATTAGCGACCGGCCTCCGCGTCTTAGGTCCAGTCGGAAAAGTCTTACCAGTTCGAGGCAGTGGCGAGAGCCATTGCTGGTCCGCGATACTTCATAGGGTAGAGCTCTCCCACAACGGCCCACACAAGTGGTCTGGCAAGCAAGTCAGTAAGGACACGGCGAATGGATCGGTAGATGTCGACAACTCACCCCCAGGTTGTAGCAAACGCAGCGATGAAGAGGCACGAGAAGACAATGAGGACATTGCCGGGTGCGGGTGTGTTCTGTGGGTTGTCTCCGTCCAGCGCGAATTGGCCGACGAAGGAGTACACCATGAAACACATGAACATCCAGAGTGCACCGACGATGAGCGCATTACGGCGACCGCATTTCTGCACAACGTAAAGACCGCCAATCGTGCAGGCCACGTTGACAGTGCCGAGGATGATTTGCGTTACGAACGAGTTCTCCAGACCAGTCGCTTTGAAAATTGTCAGCCTCACATCCTGGAGTTCAGCCCATCATCAGTCTCATGACTTACCCTTGAAGATAGTGGTTCCGTAGTAGAAGAACTGATATCTTGTCAGTAACCTGAAGCAAATCCATGATCAAAGCTGAACTCACGAAGTTTGCGCCAGTAAGCTGTTGTCCGGCCTGAAGCACGACACCAAGCGCAACGCGGTAAAACATACGAGGCCCGGTGAAGAGCTCGATCCATTTAGCTTTTCCGGCAGCGGTTTCCTCTTCGTGCTTGACACGAATGTCGTTCATCAAAATGTTGATTTCGCGGCTGTCTTCTGCAAGACCGCCAAGTCTTGCCAGGGTAGCACGGCATTCTTCCACACGACCTTTGGCATACGCGTAACGCTGGAAATATGTCAGGGAGTGATTCAGCTGCTTGTATGATCCTAATCAGACTTACAGGACTCTCTGGGAGGAACAGGATGCCAACACCGAGAATGATAGCCCACAGGAACGAGAGACCGTTGGGAATACGCCAGGAGCTGCTGTTGCTGTTCTCCGAGGTTCCCCAGTCGACCATCTCAGCAGTCCAGATACCCAAAGTGATGAAAAGCTGGTAGCTTGCGACAAGCACACCACGAATGATCGCAGGGGACGATTCGGACTGGTACATAGGCACCAACACGGAAAGAGCGCCGATACCGAGACCGTTGACCAGACGTCCGATGGCAAATTGGTACCTGGTCTTCATTAGTTGTTGAAATGCGATGTGAACAGCCTCATCGACTCACCAAGCGCTCTGAGAGGAGATCTCAATAACAGTTCCAATCATACAGAAGAATGAAGAAACAGAGATCGAAAGCTTGCGGCCCAAGGTGTCGGCAATCTTTCCTGCAATCAATGCTCCAAAAAGACATCCAACACAGAGAAGACCGGTGATAGTTCCTTGACGAGCTGCAGAGAATTCGATCGTGCCATCAGGGAGAATGGTACCGAATCGACGACCATAGTCTTCCATAGAGAAGAAACCCGAGATCTGACCAGAGACATAACCGAACATGAAACCGCCGATAGAGGCCACCAGTCCAAGGAAGACGGCCATGAAAGTGACCTTCTGTCCATCTGCAACGTTCGGGGATGGTGCCTTCTCCAGTTGGTTGGCCTGCTGAGCCTCGCGCTCAGTGCGCTTGAGGAAAGGCATCTTGTCGTCCGGCCTTGACAATACCGCGGGAATAGGACAAAGAGAGAGACGGATGAGAGTGGGAAGAAGAAGAGAAGGGGTGGCTCGCCCTTATATTCGAACCTAAACGGCAAACGCGAGCGACTTACGGAGGGCAGAAACAACGTTTGCAAAGGCAATGGAGTAGCGGGGCCTCGTTGACGGAGGCCCGTGGAATTCCCACATTGGCAAGTGCGTGATCTCGCGGGATGCAAAACTTTGTTGCGCGAGTTGCTGTTCGCCCTTGTTGACCGTGCCGACATATGCGAGGTATTCGGACCCATTGCCACTATTCAGATCCGATGAATGGAGCCTAGAAGCACGCTTTTTATTGGACCTTTTTCACCGAAAAATGCCACGAGGTTGGAACAGATATTGCGTCGAGCGCGAGGGCAATTCTCTGGTAAATTGCCACCGTCGTCCTAGTCTGCTGCGCTGGTCTGGCATATGACGACAGAACTGTAGCATTCGAGGCGTGCGAGGATATGGGTGCCGTGCTTCGAACCGCGCGGGACATTGTTCGGCGTTGTTGAGAAATTTGCTTATCCGTGGCCAACATAGAGCATATTCGTAGAGAACCAGAGTGAGGTCTGACGTGCAGAGGGCCCACATATAGTGGAACAGGTCTGTTCAAAAAGAGTTTTACTGGGATGAAGCTGACAAGTCACGTCGCTGTGGTTATGGGCAGGGGTGGTGATGGCGTTGCGGCACGAGCCTAGTTCTTCCTAGTGAGTGCCGTCTGGAAGCCTCGTCGATCATGTTCAACAGCACTTCATGACAGCTTTCCCACAGCGGCTACTTCTCGTGGACTCAATTCAGGACGGGTTCCGGATAAAGTCACGGCCAGTGACTCTGATCCCTCTTTTCTCATACCACCTGCCAAAGGTCAGCAAGCAAACGCGGACATAAGAAAGTTGCGGAGTGGAGCATCGAACGACAAATCTCATGCCACCGAGATACGGCCTAAGCTGGATCCACACTCTGACCTGGTGGATATCCTCTATCAATCACAACGCAGAATGGCGACTGCAGGATGAAGGTCGGTCAAAGCACGAGACAGACTCGGAAAGCTTGACGCACGCCGAGCACACGCTAGAACATGCTACGAATGCTGCATAGAACGTAGTGGTTCCGGCATCCGATAAGGAAAAATGTAACCTCATCACATGTACGAGAGGTTCCATATGGCCTGTTCGTGCTTCTCAACTATGCGGTTGGATCGCACCATTGGCTCATCAGTCTCGAGGAGATGAGTTCCTTCGACATGCACTGCGGAAAAAGTTGGAGAGCTTCTTTCGGATGTTCGACGCGAACGAGGATTCTGCCAGCGAGACTGTTTGAGGGAACGCGTTTGAGAAAATGGCCGTAATACGACCGCTCTGCCCATGGTACGCAAACGCGTCTCCGGATGACACGACGGCGCAACGCGGATGCCACACGATTGGATGTTTCGCCACGACGCCGAACACCCGCATCCAAGTGACCGCTACTCCAGGAGCATCCGATATGCCAGTTGTTCCAGTGAAGTATATGCAGCAGCTTCCAGTCGAAGCTGCGACAGCGCACTCTCTGCTGTCGCATTATCGCCGATTCTTCCGGTCCTGCAATCCCTAGACCGACCTGCAGAGCACTCTCCTGCGCTTCCCAAGGACCGTCCAGGATGCAGGAGACCGTGGCTCTTCGATGATAGAGAACAGTACAGTCCGCCACTTGGACAGCGAACGAAGGACCTACGCGCACCGATTCGAGTAGCACGCCCTCGCCTCCAAATCGGGACCACTCAACTCAGGAACGACACCGCCACGACAAAGGAAAGCTGTTCGCAAGAAAATGGATGCTGACTGGACATGGCTCGTAATTTATGTATAGAACAACGCAAGGAGGTATCTCAAACTCAGACTCGTTAAAAACCACTGCTCTCAACCCTTTTCAAGCAAGACGGGGTGCAAAGAGGAGTGTTATCGCCTGGTCTCGATGGGGCTCACATCCTGGCCTCCAGGCTGCTCATTGGGGGTATATGCGCCGCCGGCTCCGTGCATACTCAGCCCGTTGGTAGCGCTTTGCTGCCGACCGACATATGACTGAGTGATCTCGCTGTTGTGGTACGGGCCCAATGCAGGGCGGGGAGGCGACGATGAACCCACGGCGTGGCCTTCGGGAGGATGCAGCGGCGACACCTTTGGCTGCTCGATCGAATAGGCATTCTCGAGCTCGTTGGTATTGTTGCGCTTCGGTGGTGCAAATCCCTCCGGTTCCTTCTCTATCGTGAAGGATCGCACGTGATTAGAGCTCTGCTGCTGCTGCTGTTGTCGATCGAAGTCGTCGAAAGAGACCGTTTGCGGGTGGTGCTGCGACGCAGGCGGAAATGCACTATATTGGCTAGGTGTTGGATCGGCAAAGGGATTGGCCGCCTCTTGAGGGCGTGGAGGCATTTGCGGTGGTGCTTGCTGTCCTGCAAACGCTCCACTTGGCGGAGGTCCACTGGGTGGCTGATATCCGCCGTATGCCTGGTTGTTGCCAGTATCATAGGCATTCGATTGACTTGTCAACGGAGCCGCGAATGCACTATTGGACTGTTGCTGCTGTCCTGGCGGAGGTCCAGGTGGAGGAGTGAAGGCGCTTGCGAGGTTTTCCGTGCCTGGTTGCGTGCTTTGCTCAGGGCTGGTAGAGACACCCATCGCTCGTCTAGCAGCCAGAAGGGCCCGCTGATAGCGACTGGTCGCCAAGCTCAACTGCTCATTCGTCTCGATCAAAGTGGCCATTGTATCATGGTCGGGCGCCGGGTCGGTGGCGTTGATGTATGTCTGCATGCTCTTCTGGGCGCTCTGACAACGCTCGCTGAATTCCTTGATCAGTTCGTTGTTCACAAAGTCCTCAGTGGGTGTGCTCTGCACCAGCTGCAGTAGTATCTTGGCTGTGTTCTTCGCCTCTTCGATCCTGCTCGCCAACTCGACTGCCGACGGGAGACGAGATTGTCTGTTTCCCCGACCACTTGCCCCAGATCTCTCATAACCATGTGCAGGTGCCTGGTATCCATCCTGCCCCATAAACGCAGCTCTCTGCCCGCCTACGCTAAAGCTGGCGGCCTGCCCCTTCTCCTTCCTCCACATCTGGAACAATCCGTGCAGTCCCTCATCGTATGCCTTGTCATTTTCCAGGTGATCGAGCGTCTCGCGCAGGATCTGTTGTGTGCTCTGGTCTCTGCAGTTCCGCAGCATCTCCTTGACAGTGTTCACAAAGCTCTTATCGAAGTTCCGCGTGAACCGGGGCCCCGGGTTGTCGCTCAAGATGCGGATGAGCATGATGGCGTTGTACTGCACATATGGCTTCGGCGACCACTCTTTGCCCAAGAACTTCTTGATCTGGAGAGCAGCGTTTGCGGCGGCAGCAGGCGACGATTCGGCGGATTCGACGATAACAGGCAGATGAAGTACCTCCTCCCCGCCATTGTTGTTTGAGCCAGATTCGCAGAACAGTCGGATTGCCTGCTGGACGTTCGCTTCGGGCGAGTCGAGGGGAGCATTGTCGAACTGGTGGTTGCCCGCATCGCCGCGACTCCCGCCTCGCATGGACAGACCTGACAATGCGCGCACTCGTCAGCTTGCACTCTTTGAGGCGCCACGGCGAGTGTCTCCGGCCCACGTACTCTTCGTCCGTCCAAGGAGTCCTTTGAACTTGTTCATGGTGAGCTGCAGAATGAAACACACTATCCAAGCGACAGACGAGCAACCCACTGCGAGTGAAGATGCGGCAGTCAGTCGTATGTATAGGCCGCAGAGTACTGTCTAGATTGAGCTTACATGGAACCAGGGTTGTGCTGCTGCCGAAGAACTAAGGGTCCGGGTGCTCGTGCATAACTCGCCAAGCCTCCCGACGCGTCATTTCGCGTGGGCGCGGTATAAAAGTCTCTCTGCATCGACACTGCTCGAACATCTTGGCCACGGCGGCCGCCTCTGTTGATCACGCGGCATTCGCGCAACTGTCTTGCGCGGCCAGCGACATCATCGTAACGCTTGCCACTAACACGTTCTAGCAAGGCAGCAGCAACAACAACAGCCTTGCGTGGCATCGATCTGAGCATTTCGCCGAATAAAAGCCCGTGCTGGATCGCTGTGCTGAAGAACACCACAATGTGGCACAAGGGCCCCCACGCCCCAGGAGCATATGTTTCAATGAACACTCGTAGCTCATATGTCGACGGGAAACGAGTAACCTCCAGGGCAATCGCGCCGACTCGAATCATGTAGTGCTTGAAACGATTGCTAAATTGCTCAATTGCTCGACGAAGGCCTTCAATATTGTCCGCCCGTACTTCGTGCAATCATTCACTACGTTCAAAGCCATGAGCTTCTTCTCGTACAAGAATCCAATGCTCTGCATACCTTGCTCGACTTTTGATGAGCGAACAAAGGTACCATGATTGGCGACACCGCAAGAGCATACGAGCAGTTGGACGCGGAGAAACCGAATGGCGCTTCAAAGCAGCTGAGTGAGGACCGAACACATGAGGACATCGGTAACAGATGCAGACTCTCAGAGCTTCCACGAGAGTTACGTGATCTTATCTACCACTACGCGGCGTTCTTTCATATTCGCGATGTTGGGATTGGGCAGACACCAGGTCTCCTTCGCGCAAGTGAGCGATATTCAAGGGTAAGGCATGTCTCCAAAACTTGTGACTGACCTCTGCGCAGACAACCAGCTTCGCTTTGAATTCAGCGACACACTCTACAGTTCGAAGCTGCTGAAGATCAGGTACTTCGACAACGCAGTGTGGAAAACCTCCCAGACCAAATGCTTGCTGCGTGCACTTCTTGAGTGCAAGGATCGCATGGTCGTAGACTTTGCTGGAAGACTACTAGGAACAAGCCGCGATCAAGCTGAGCGACTTGCAGAATTCAACAGCAACCATATTGATCCAGGCGCAGTAGCGGGTTTTCTCGAACTTCTCGGGACTCATGGCCGATCCTGTATCAATGTGGCTTTTGCGCGGAGCATGATCGAAGCCCATGCTGCTGAGAGTATCAATGCCGATTCAGCGGAGAACTCGCTCAAGCGCAAACAAAGGGGCGCACTAGGCTCAGTGCCATGAGTGTTGGGAGGCAGCCGTGTCGTGAAGATGCTCTCAAGCCTCTGGCTGGCCTGCTTTCCGTGCTGCTAGAACATGGGGACACGTCCAAGATAACATGTTGGCAAGCACTCAACAGTGCATTTTCGCAAAGCTGAGACCAAGAGTTTCATGACTTTCATTGTGCGTCTTCGTCCTCTTCCTCGTCCTCGTCGTCCTCCACGATCTTCTCTACAATCAAGTTGCCACTCCTACCAATTCTGTCCCGAATGGTACCCTTGGCTTCCACTTCGAACACCTCTCGAGGCATAGGTGACACAAGTCTGAACTTGTATGTATGTTCGTAATCATCTTCTGGTTCTTGAGCATTCTTTTCCGAGGGCGATTCGAGCTCGTCGTAACATTCCACAAAAGCATACAGCTCCTCCAGCTCAGCGTCATGTCCGAATCGTCGAACCACACGCTCGCCCGATGGCATCCTTATACTGATCCTGACTGCGTCCTTGATATCTGCCCCAGGTTCGCTCGGTATGCGCTGTGCTCTCCACGTCCTCCATCGTGCCAGATTACGAGCTTCCCTGCTCTTACGCTCAGCCGCCTCTGCTCGCTCGCGCTCGGCCTTCTCCTTCGCAGCCTCCTCCTCTTTCCTCTTTCGTGCTTTCTCGCGATCTAGAGCCAGGGAACGTTCATAGGCACTTTCTTGCTCTTGCCTCAGGTTCCTGGTAGCTTGCTGCTCCTGACGTTGCCGCCGCACTCGGTCTAGTTCCGCATTCTGATTCTGCATCGCTGTCTGTATCTTCGAGACGAGCTCCTGGGCGGTAACCGGGCCTGCGGAACTTGCAATCTTCGACATTGCGGTCGATGAGACAGAGGGCGTGTGGACCACGAGAGCAGTGTACGGGAACTTGCTCACGTTCAAAGCAGTGCTGACCTGGTATGCCTCTGCGTCTTGCACAGTACCTGCCCAAAGTACCACATTGTTATTAGGGTTCTTCACGAACTCCACGAACTCAGGCGCAAGAAGTGTATCTCTTGCAAAAACAGCATTATCATCATGCTCGGGCGATAGCAAGACAATCAGTAAGAACTTCAGATCCCTCTTTGCAATATCAAATGCTTGTGCATATCCTCCTTCGTGAAATGGCAGTGTGCCGTGCTCGACTCCGTGCTCCTCCTCGAACTCGCGAATAAAACGTGCTGCCGTATCCCTCGGCGCCAGCGGTCTGCGCGAAGCATCTCGAGAAGGCCGTGAAGTTCGTCCGGACCAAAAGCGTGCTAATAACCGCGGTAGGAAAGGGAAGAGGTATCCGATTCTGCCGAACAGTCGCTGAAATACGGTGTAGGCAACGCTAAATGGGAAGAGGATGATTGTGAAGGAGAAGGGCAATTGCTGTGTTAGTTGGGACTCAGGAGTCGGCACCACTCGTGGTGCTGGTTCTAACCCAGAGGCTCGGCCTCGTCGTGACGATCTGACGGGAATGCCATCCATGAGGGTCTCCGCTCGGCGAGCATCCTGCGCTGGAGGCGGTACACGAGCAGCTTCGGCTGCAGGATCGATGGTCTCGGCGTCGCCGTCGAAAAAGCGCGTGATGGCGATCTGTGCATTCCATTGGCACTTTTGAAGAAGAGGTATCGCGGACTCGAGGTCCTGGTCCGTCACTGAAGTGTACTGCTGAAGGGCGAGCTGCTGCGATTCGGTCAAGGCCGATAAGTCTAACGAGGGTTGTGCCATGGTCGCTCTCGGCTTGCGCAGATGGGAAAGGAGCGCTGGTCGCAGCCAAAGGAGAGTGCAAGGCAAGTGTATGAAAGGACAGTTATCTGCTCGAAGTGATGAGCAGGCACCGCGACTTTCCAGCTACATCATGCCGATGCCGCGCCGGCGATCCACAGCGCTGGGACGCCGTGTGTGGCCTCAGGCCGTCACAGGCGAACAAGGCCGCTTGCCGCTTGCGTGGTTCCGTGGTTTCAAAGACACGAGCGAGTCGCGGGATCGGCCACCAAGTCGGGCGTTGACGACCTCATGCGTCCCATGGTCTGACGGCGCGCTGATTGTCCTCCTTCCACGTCGCTTTCCTTCAGCGTGTCGCGTGCGCGGCAGACAGCATCGGTCGCACCGCGCCATCCTGTCCACTCTTCTGATCGCACCTGGTTTCGCCAGATTTACGACCCGGCACACGTTGATGGATTCGCGATGGAAGAGCAACAACCTCCAGCAACACGCGCCTGCTGACTCCGATTCACGACTACCCATTGGTCTCGGCCGCACCTGTCTTGATTATCAGAGGTATGTGCCTCGTTACCCTTGCAGTCTTTGTGTTCAGAAGTCGGGCCCGGCCTTTCGTTGTCGACGAGCTCTCGCGTGTTTTCAACCATGAAATATGTCTTAGTCGCACGTGGATCTTTGTGCAATCGAGCAAAACTCTTTCGCTGAAGGTGGAAATTCCGTTCAAGTCCAAGTCCTGATTCTGAGCATTGCAGAAGCGCCAACACTTCCTTCTCTATCTGGACGCATTGTGGAGGACCTATTACCAGATCGAGCGAGAACTTGGTGAACTCTTACTTTTGACCTCTGCCCGGGACGGAAAGCCTTTGGAGCGATACACTGGTGTAGCTGAAATTCCTCCTGAAGACCAAACTTTGACGAATTACTCTGTACAGCGCGACGTGCAAGTCAGGCCCGGCGATCGGAAAGGTGGCGCAGAATTATCAACAAGTCCTGTCATTCTATTTAGTGCGATACCGGATATCGTATGTCCAGTAAGCCTTATCGCAGGGAATCGAGGAGCTCTCGCGCCGGCCACAGTTCACATCGTTTGGCTGCCTTGGGCAAGAGCATCGTCACCGTACCATCGCTTTGGGTGATGGTATGGCAAACGTAACATCCCGTGTCGGCGACTCGAGGCGTTCTAACAGACATGAGAATCGTCCTCCGGGACAGTCGCAGCTTTGTCGAAACGGACCGGGTTGCAGAAAGAGGGAAGAAGGTCTGTGCATCACATCACAGGTAGAAACACAACCTCTTACCGAAATGCAGGCACCTGCTACTACAGTCACGATTATTCCGATTCTATGTCGCCCAATGGCTCCAGCAATACGTCAGTCCATTTTGCCCAGCTTCTGAGCCTCCTCATTGACAGACTCCAGGTCCAACAGGGCGCTCAATGTTCAATCACCGGCATTTACACCCACACTCGCTCACGCTAGACCGGCGAAACCAATAGGCATATCCCCCAAGGCAGCAGCCGCTGCTACGTTCACTCCGCGAGGTGCAGGTAAAAGACCACGAGGACCTGAGCATCATAGACGAGGCTCATTTCTAACAGGGTCTTCGACTCCTGTTGCACCCGCTCATGGCAAGCATCCATCAGCGGAATTTGTGCCGCAGCAATCCTTTCAGCAGGTGTCGCCGATGATTGAATTCGTGCCTGGGCAGCAGTTCGTGCCTGCATCCAACGTAAGTGCGCTGCATCACCCATCTTTCGCGGGCCTAACACGAGTCCAGATTGATGCGCAAGCGCAAGTGACGCATCAGTACAATCCGTACAGCGACAATGTCTTCGCGCCACAGAATCTGAGTGGCCTAGATGGTTCACATGTCCAGCTCAACCCATATGCACAGCAGCCCGGAACAGCTGGCGTACAGACTTATTATCACAATTCCGCGGACTTGTCTTACCCACTTCATTACCACCTCTATGCACCTTTTGGTCCACGGCGAGAGAACATGGCGGCATACCAGCGCAGCACCACCGACTTCTTCATCCCGGATGATCTGAGGGAAGACCTTCAGAGGAAGTCGGAGATGACTTTGCAGACGTTTGCTAATAGCACGCTTCCACAAAGTGTCGAGCACTTTCATTCACTTGTTGCGCTCAACGTCGGAAACTCTAAGAGCCCGTCCACATTCGGATATCCGAGCTCAGTATACAAGGCTACGTCCAGCAATGATGGGCATACATATGCGCTTCGACGCATCGCAGGATTCCGTCTCCACAGTGAAGCTCAAGTGCGACCCATCAATGCGTGGAAGCGGATGAGCAATGCCAGCCTGGTCACTGTGATTGATGCATTCACGGGAAGGTGGTTTGGCGATAGTTCTCTCATTATCGTCACTGACTACCATCCACGCTCCCAAAGCCTGGCGGAGAAACACTTTGGCTCTCAAAGACACGCAAACAAGCACAACGGGCAAGTCATGCCCGAGAACGAACTCTGGGGATACATCGTTCAGCTTGCAAGCGCTTTACGGACCATTCATGGCGCGGGTCAAGCAGCGCAGACTGTTATGGCGTCCAAGGTCCTCCTCACGTCGAAAAACCGAATACGGTTGAACGGATGCGGCGTCTTTGATATAATACAATACGAGAACAAGCCATCCATGCTCGAGCTGCAACGAGGAGATCTCCAAGATCTTGGAAAACTTATTCTAGGCATTGCTACTCGGAATCAAGTGGCCCATCAGAATGTTCAGAAGGCGCTTGACTTAGTCGGCCGGTCTTACTCGGAACGGTTCAGGTCATGCGTCGCTTGGCTGCTTGCGCCTCCCCCTATACAACAGGATTCCGAGCCAGGAGCTATCGCCACGCAGAATGTCGATTACAGCGCCAACGCCTTGCTTGTCAATATTGCCGACAAGATCATGGGGGTATACGACAGTGCGCTGCACTACGAAGATGAACTCACTTCGCAACTCGTTCGGGAGCTAGAAAATGGCCGTGTCGTTCGGCTCCTGACCAAGCTTGCCGTTATTTTGGAGCGACCAGATATCAGTCTCACAAGCAACGCTCGTGGGAACCCAGCGCTTTTGAACCAACCATCAGCTTCTTGGTCGGAGACTGGTGAGCGATACTACTTGAAGTTGTTCCGGGACTACGTTTTCCATCAGGTCGACGCGGAAGGAAGACCAGTGTTGGACCTCGGACATATGTTGACCTGTCTGAACAAAGTTGATGCCGGGATCGACGAGAAGATTCAGCTTGTCAGTCGGGACGAAGAGAGCGTGTTTGTTGTAAGCTACAAGGAGGTGAAACGAGGGATAGAGAATGCTTGGATGGAGCTATTGAAGGCTTCAAATCCGGCGAGACGGTAGTACTGGACATATGCATTGATCCCAGTGTATTGACGCTGGAGCGAAGGGAGCTGCACAGAGATGTCGAGATATTGGGAAGCATTAACATCGCTGTTGGGTAGCCAGCAACGCAAGTAGAACAGATCGAGATGAATGCAAAAACACGAGTAAAATAAAATGTATACACTCGCGCAGCACAAGTCGTCTTCAACGACATTTGCGAACATCGTCATTGGTCCGGGCAACTTGACCTTGGAGAGACTGAAGGAGTAGTTTCGACCGATATGACCTTTTCAAACGCCGACATGTGTCGGCTCGGCTATTCGGGTTATCATTCGCCGATGCAGCCTGCATCAACATTGGTGGCACCAAAATGGTGGGAGAAGGCCATCAAAGCACATGCCCATGATATGCGCGTGGGCCCCAATCGTCAGTAAGAACAACTTCCTTTCCCTACCCATCTCCTTGTCTGCAATTTCTCCTAGCCCTCCAAACCTCGCACATGGTCACGGCCCTCGCGACAGCCATGGCAAGAACGTTTTCCTTTGACGAGGTACAGCAGCACAAGACGAAGGACTCGTGCTGGGTTGTCTTGTATGGCAATGTCTACGATGTCACCTCCTTCTTGCCAGAGCACCCGGGTGGCAGCAAGATTATTCTCCAGCTTGCTGGATCCGATGCTACAGAAGAGTACGATCCCATTCATCCTCCAGGCACGTTAGAAGACAGCCTGCCCGAGTCCGCCAAGTTGGGTCAGATAGATCCCAGCACTCTGCCAGCCGTGGAGAAGAGCCCGGTTGAGACTGGAGAGACAAAGAAGGAAGAGATCATGAGCATAGAGGAATGCCTGAATCTGGACGACATTGAGGCGGTGGCTACACAGAAAATCAACCACAAAGCATGGGCATACTACTATTCTGCTGGCGATGACCTCGTGTCCAAGTCATTGAACAACACAGTATATCGCAACATTTTGCTGCGGCCGCGAGTCTTCGTGGACTGCACCAACTGCGACACATCAACCACCATCCTTGGCCACAAAGTCGATGTCCCATTCTTCGTCTCTCCTGCTGCAATGGCTCGACTGGGACATCCAGACGGCGAACACGGTATCGCTAGAGCTGCCAACAAATTCGGAGCACTTCAGATCATCTCCAACAACGCATCACAAACACCAGAGCAAATTCTCGAAGGAGCACCAGAGGATCAGATCTTTGGCTGGCAATTATATGTCCAGAACGAGAGGAAGAAGAGCGAGGACATGCTGAAACGGATACACAAACTACCACAGATCAAGTTCGTGTGTCTGACATTGGATGCACCAGTACCTGGAAAGCGAGAGCACGATGAGAGGGGCAAGAACGTCGGCTCGAACCTGCCAGTTCGGTCAAGTGTTCAGCAAGGTTCTGCTAGCAAAACCACATCGAAAGAGGACGAGGTACAATCTGATGCCGAGGGCATCAAACTCGCAGATAAAGGCGGTGTGGGCAAGGCTCTCTTCGCAGGTACAGCACCCGATTTAACCTGGAAAACTACATTGCCTTGGCTGCGTCAACACACACATCTTCCGATCGTGCTCAAGGGACTGCAAACACACGAAGATGCCTATCTGGCGTCCTTGCACACTCCTCAGATCAAGGGTATCATTCTGTCAAATCACGGCGGAAGAGCTGTCGATACTGCTCCACCCGCCATTCACACATTGCTCGAGATCCGAAAATACTGTCCCGAGGTGCTCGACAAGCTGGAAGTCTATGTTGATGGCGGAATCAAGCGAGGAACAGACATCGTGAAGGCGCTCGCGCTCGGTGCAAAAGCTGTGGGTCTTGGACGTGCGCCATTGTTTGGCTTGGGAGCTGGTGGTGCGGCGGGTGTCGAGCGCGTTCTGGAGATCCTGAAAGCTGAAGTGGAGACTGCGATGAGGCTGTTGGGAGCTGAGAAGGTCAGTGATTTGGGAGTGCAACACGTTAATGCGAGGGCTGTGGAACGGGACATTTATGATGGCGCTGCTGGGCTGGAAAGCTTGCACCGGGAATATGCTGTTAAGAGCAAGTTGTAATAGAGCGCGGTGATTTTAACACCAGGCATGTACATCTCTATGCGGCTTCGTCCGCTACATATCTCTCCCATAGGCATTAGCGTTGAGTTGTCCATACCTGTCAAAAGTTGCTGGGTAGTAGTAAACGGGTCAGCACCTAGTTTATTGTACGAAGTGCGGCGGAAAGTTTCTCCCAGGCAGCACCCAATACGAGCACAGTGTTGCAGACCAGGAATCATTGGCAAAGTTGTATCAGTCATTATCCGTAGTCTTCCACATCGTATCTTTCAGCATAGCATGACAAGAGCCGTTACCTGAAAAACGCCTGGAACTCCTTTCGCTGCGCTCGGAGCCAGTCCACAGGCCACGCGTCCATGCTTCATCCAAAATCGCCCGACCAAGACCTGCTGCATCATCCCTACTATGTATAATCGGGTATCGAAAGTGGAATGTGCTGTTTAACAGCATTGGCCCTTCTTGGCATCTCCTCCTGGAGGGTTGCTTGACGATAGAGGTATCGATGTGCCCTGGCCTGGAGCGCCCGCACTTCCGGCGTCGTTGTCGAGTGCCTTTGACGACACAATCCCTGCTTACTGTCAGCATTGCCACATACTCGAGCAGGAGCATTTGTGAACAACTCACGGTAGATCTCAGTCAATTCTTGCTGGAAGGCGAGCTCGACGTTGCTTGCGTCAAGTGCAGACGTCTCGATGAATGACAGTCCATTCTCTGCGGCGAAGGCCTTCGCATCGTCGGTAGGCACTGCACGGAGATGCCTCAAATCGCTCTTGTTACCCACCAACATGATCACAATGTTGCTGTATGGCGGTCAGCCTCGCTCTCAACCTTTACAGCGTCTCTCTGCTTCACTCACGTATCGGCATGGTCTCTCAGCTCTTTCAGCCATCGCGTGACATTGTCGAATGTCTGGCTCTTTGTGAGGTCGTAACAGAGGAGGGCACCGACAGCTCCACGGTAGTATGCTGAAGTAATAGCGCGATAACGCTCCTGACCGGCAGTATCCCAGATCTGGGCCTTGATGGTCTTGTTGTCGACTTGGATGCTGCGGGTAGCGAACTCGACGCCGATGGTGGACTTGCTGTCGAGGTTGAATTCGTTGCGGGTGAATCGCGAAAGCAAGTTGGACTTTCCAACACCGCTGTCGCCTATGAGCACCACCTTGAAGAGGAACTGTGAGGGAGAGCGTTAGCTTGTTGCCGTAGCAGCAGTATCAATTCGAGAGATCTGCGCACATCGTATTCGTCGTTGGCCATTGTCGCAGTGGTTGCTGTCTACTCGTCTCTGGCGGTGGAGGGGGGCAAGGCGGGGACGTTCGTGCGTGCGAAAGCGCCGATTTTCGTGCAGCGGCGGCGGAGTGTCGTCCAAGGGCGGTGGTAGTCGACAGCGATGTATGCAGCGCGGGGGCCTTGATGTGTGCGGTGAATGCGTCGGTGTATCGCAAACAGCTCAAGTTGTCATGACCAGATTGCGGCCACTCCTTTGTCGCTTCAAGACCCTTGCAAGTTGCAAGCGCATGCTGGAGTGCCAAGACCGCAGCCACGTGAAGCCGCTCCCATTAGCACACCAGTCTGAGATTGGACGTGCTGTGCTCCTTCCACACCAAGTTCCAACTTTATCTCCTGGACGTCAACTCACTTGGCCGCTTCCGGACAATACAGATCCTGGGAACCCATCCACCGCAAGACTCACGACACCGCTGGCAGTTCTGCGCGCTAGCAACGCGTGACACCAGTCCGCAACGCGAACATGATATAGGCTGAAGAAACGCCACCTGCCGCCTGTGCAGAACCTCAATTGCAGTCTTTCCATCACCTAGCTGGGTCAACATGGCTGACTCGGACCACGAGTACGATGAGGACGATGAGATCCATACAAATGGCAGGTCCATGGCATCACGTCCCAAGCCCCGAGCGCTGGCAAGATGGGAAGAAGGCGCCACTGGAACAGGTGACATCCGCCAAGGCGCAGATGGAAACCTCCTGGAAATGCTGGGTGGTGCAGAGGAGGCTGCAAAGCGGAAGAGGTATGTTGGGAGCAGTCGTCGCTTCAGATTTCATGTATTGATCAATATGTAGGCTCGTCAAAGACACCACTCCCTTGCAGCGAGGCATCATCCGACACACGATCCTTATCATTGACCTGTCGTTAGCCATGGCTGAGAAGGATCTGCGCCCTACACGATTGCTTCTGACCTTGACCTATGTCATAGCGTTCATTCGTGAGTACTTCGAACAGAACCCCATCTCACAGCTTGGAATACTAGGAATGCGTGATGGGCTGGCAATACGAGTCAGCGACATGTCCGGCAACCCGAATGACCACATTACTGCGGTCAAAGGCCTACGAAGCACAGATCCAAAAGGCAATCCATCGCTACAAAATGCGCTAGAGATGGCACGAGCAGCACTGTATCACACGCCGTCCCACGGCACACGCGAAGTTGCCATCATCCTTGGAGCATTGCACAGCTCGGACCCTGGAGACATTCACGACACGATCAAGGCCTGTATCAAGGACAAGATCAGAGTCAATATCATTGGCTTGGCGGCACAGATGTTCATATGCGCCGAGATCTGTCGAAAGACAAATCAAGGCGATACGAACTGCTACAATGTCGCAGTGGACGAGGTTCACTATCGAGAGCTTCTAATGGGAATCACAACGCCCCCGGTTGTGCGGGCCACCGATGTCGAGGCACAGAAGCGGAACCAAGCGGCCTTGCTCATGATGGGCTTCCCCTCGCGGATGGTGGAGGAAAGAGCCACTCTCTGTGCGTGCCACGGAAATCTCACCAGAGGAGGCTACCTCTGCAGTAGATGCAAGGCGAAGGTCTGCAGTTTGCCTGCCACGTGCCCGACGTGTGAGCTCACTCTCATTCTCTCGACTCACTTGGCCAGATCCTACCATCACTTATTCCCCCTGCAGAACTGGGATGAGGTCTCATGGACGCGCGCACAATCGAAAGGCAGTACCCAGTGTTTTGGTTGCCAGGCGCCATTTCCGCCCGCTGCTGGCAAAGTCGATGCGGTCAACGGCTCCGGCGAAGAAGGTACGAGACAGAAACGCGCAGAAGGTGCGTCCGAGTCGTCCAGGTATGAGTGCTCGACTTGTCAGCAGCACTTCTGTATCGACTGCGATGTCTTCTGCCACGAAGTAGTCCACAATTGTCCTGGCTGTCAGAGTAGTACCCATCTACCCGGTGCACAAAACGGCGATATGGACGTAGAACCCAGTTGAACAAGGCGCAGGACACCGTATCGAAAAGACTGGCCTGATCCGATCGTACATGGTCCCCAAGTAGCAGAAGAGGTCTCAAGCCTGTTACCTCAAATAACTCCACATCCTGACCAAGACCGCAGAAAAAGCTACGACGTCACGTCTTGGCACGAGGCATTGATTGCCATTGGAGAATGGCTGATATGCAATGTGCACCGTCGGCACAGCGCGGACAGTGAGCTGTCCAGAATTAGCACATGGATAATCTTCAAGGCATGTTGTGGCCAAAGCGATCCTCAGAAAACATACCTGCTTCTGGGAAAATGGTCGCTTCCAGGCCTACCAGGTTGAGTACGCGCTAGAAATTTCGAAGCACGATCGTGGAGAGGCGCCTGTTTCGCAGAAGAAGCGGGCAGACTTCCCGCTGCTTTCATATGCGTGGCTTGCGGCGAGTCTGACGGATGGGTGAACAGAACCAGTGGGGCGCTACTAGAGTCACAAGTAATGAACACGCCATCAGGCGACTGTAGCCCCAGCATACATGTGTTTGCTCACATCAAGCTTTCCACTCATTCCCTCCGATTGCCATATGACAGGGACGGCATCAGTTCACCAAGGTCCTTCCCGCACACCATCTCCCTTCTGACAAGAGCTTCTGCCCGTAGCACACACTTCTCGCTCCATCATCGTCGCAATGCCTGCCTTCTCCCTCCTCTCTGCGCCCAGAGCAGATGGCGCTGCAGAAACGAGCGCTCAGCCCCCTCGAGTCGCTGCTGCGCTCGTCGATTTTTCTAAGCAGACCAAAGCCAATACTTCGACCGCTGCACAGTCGAACAAACGTAAGCGCAACAGCTCCGAATCAAAACCAGCGCGGCCACCAACTCCACCCTTGACGCCCTCACCCAACGCCGAGACGTACACGTTCTCAGCAGAAACAATCCTCTCCATGCTCGACGACATCATCACAAGCGAACTGAGCTACTGGGCCCACTACATGAGCGCGGCGGCAAACCAAACCAGCTACTCAGAAATCACATTCAACGACACCACGACCGAAATCAAAATCGCAGCACTACGCCACATACTCGAAACTCTACCCCTGAGGTACCAAGCCCTCGCAACAGCCTACTCAGAAACGCAACTCGAGCCCATTGAAATTCCCGAGAATCTCCAGACTCTGCTTCAAAACTTAGCAGAAGACCCAACGGAGGTAGAATTGGAAGGATGGTACGATCAGAAATGGTTGCAGAGAAAGAAGTTTCGATCGGATATCATGAGTATGGACGGTGAAGTGAGGTAATTTACACTCTATTGTCCTATCTAATGAGGCCTGGAACCAACTGACTCCTTCTCACAGACGTCTCGAAGAAGCCCGCATGCAAGAACTCAAAGCCCTGATGCTCATGGTCGAAGAAATGAAACTCGCAGCGGCGGACGGGTCGGTCGACGATGAGGCTTTGACTCATTTGATTCACGCCGCGGATGAAGTGGGACTGGGTTTGGTTACGCAGAGGAAATCGAGAGCGGCGAGTGAGGAATCTTGGACGCCGGGGAAATGAAGCAAAAATTCCTCGATGCGCAGTCGTTCCATTGTGCGTGACTCTGCGATTCCGATACCAAATGCAGCCACCAAATGGAAAAACGCGCTGCGATTGCCCGCATATCGCAGAGCGAGAAAGCATTCACAGCCACTCCTGGGCATACTTCTTGAAAGGAGAGAAGAGAGGCTGAGATCGGAAGAAAGTCGGGGACAGGGTATCAAATTCGTCCTTCGCTTCAATAGCGGTATCAAGTTGTCGTAAACTAGATCACATCTGACCGTTCTGGCCATTCTGTGCCAGAGCCCTTTGCATGGCCTGGAACTGCTGACTGAGATCAGCATTATTACCTTGTTGATTATTAAACTGCTGATTAGCCATGTTCATACCCATATTCATGCCCATATTCATATTCATATTACCACCCATGCCGGCCTGTTGTTGTCGCAACATTTCCTGATGTGCACGCAGTGTCTGCATATACTCGGGATCTCCGCCGGAGGTCCCAACTACAGCTTGACCATGCTGCGAGGCATGCTGAGCTCGCGCAGCCATCTGTTGCGCCTGCGCAGCATTTTGGCGTTGCTGTGTGGATTTCAGTAGCATTTGTGCTGCCTGTGGGAGCTGCGCAATGACATGACCAGGGATCTGGTTAAGGCTCCCGTACTGCTGCTGCAGCCGTGTCAGAACAGACTGCGCTTGCCTGAACTGCTGCTGCTGCAGCTGCTGTCTATGTTGTAGTTGTTGCGCTGTCATCTGAGCTTGGTTGCCATCGCCTTGCTGAGGATGGCCGTGATTCATTTGGCCATTCGCCTGCGTACCCGGGTGTGCGTTCGAGTTCTGTCCAGCTTGCCCGTGCTGCTGCTGCATCTGCATTCGCTGTTGCTGAATCATCTGCGCTTGCTGCTGTCTCATCATCATGGCCTGGCGTTGTGCAAGCGCCTGCGCCATCTGCGGATTACCTTGAGCCTGCTGCATGAGTGCTTGCTGGCGCATCTGCATCGATTGCCTTTGAGCAATATTCTGGATCTGCTCGGGGGTCATTGATTGTGTGGCATGCTGTCCAGGCGATGCAGATTGCATGGCGTTCGCGTTATGCTGATTGACCATGCGTTGATGCTGTAGCATGGCGAATTGTTCTTGGGTCATTCCAGCGGGAGTTTGCATGGGTAGCCCGCCCATAGCATTTGCAGCGGGTGTGCCGGGTGCGGGACTTCCTTGCGCGATGCGTGGCGTCTGGCTCATCTGGCGATTTGGCATACCACCCATGTTTGGTGTAGCCTGTGGCATCTGCGGCGTAGCATTTCGGCTCGGATGCTGCTGCTGACTGACCTGGCGCTGCATTGCTGCATTCGCGTTGGACATCGTTGCTGAGGTTGGACGGGGTGGACTTCCGGCTCCTTGACTTGTAGTCGGTTGCATAGGGAAGCCATTTGCTGGCATCATTGGGGATGAATTCATCATAGGAGTCTGTTGCCGCACTACGGGACTCGCCTGAGCCATGGAGGCCGCGTGCATAGCTTGCTGCTGTGCCAACATGTTCTGCTGAGGATGGCCATGAGCCTGTTGGTATGCGTGCTGTTGCTGCATTTGGCGTTGTTTCATCATTGCGGCAGCCTGTCGCTGCTTCAGCATCTGCTGATGTTGCTCAGCGGCCTCTTGTTGCGCCTTGGCTTGTCTTTGTGCTTCCTCTTCAGCTTGTCGTTTACGTGCCTGCTCCTGGTGTTCCTTTTCCTTCTTCTCCCGCTCGGCCTGTTCCAGCTTCTCCCTAACGACCTGGATAGTTTTGAAGCGGCTGAAGCCCATGGTGGCAGCTGTGCCTGTATTCTCTGCCGCGCCCGCGTTCGCGCCGGCTTTAATCCTCTCGTCCATAACAAGCATCCTCCTCTCCGCCTCCGCTGCTTTCTCGTCATCTGCCGCCATCTCGGCGGTCGTCCTCTTCCGGGTCTTGGGCGACGGTGGTGAGGCCTGGTGTAGGGGATGAGATAGCGCTTCGAGAACTTTCTGCGTCGATTCGGGCCCATCAACAGGCTGTAGGAGCAGCGGGGGCTGAGTTGCTAGCAGCACATCTGCCTGGAATTGGTAAAAGTCCTGGGGCTCCAGACACATTTTGTTGTCGTCAGGGGTGGACCGGCCAGCGGTGGCTGCCATGGGGGTTGGGGGGACCGATAGCTGGGGCGTGGGAGGTTCATCTCCACCTTTCCTCTTGCGCGGCATTTGTGAGGCCGGCGTCTTCGCCAGGAGCAGCATCTCACGATGCCGGGTCATCTCGGTGGGAAAGAGCACGACCGTGGCGATCTGAGGTCCATCCTGCTGTTTTCCCTTGTCCTCGCCGGCCGAAGCTTTCTCATTCTCCGCCTTCTCGACGGCCTGTTGCTGCGCCTGCCTTGGGTAGTCTACATAGGGAGATGGTGTCACGTAGACGCTGTAGTTGTGCATCGAGGACCGCGTGCTATTGTTGGCGGCATCTTCGCGCTTGCTCTTGCCCGTGGCGGCGCGGTGGTTGTGGATCTCAACAATGAGGCAGTCGTCGTAGAAGGGCACATTGTTCAACAACAGCTCCTCGAGCAGCTCGTGAGGGACGCGTTCTTTGCGGATGTCGTCCAGGACGAATTTCATAGGCGAATCGTATGGCCAGCTCCCGTCCTGCGACTCGAAGCGGAAGAAGTTGGGGTGGAGGTGCAGGACGAGCGAGGGTGGCTTGCCGGCGAACTTGCGCAAAATATGGTCTCTAGTGATGACATGCGGCTCGTCCAGGCGGCGCCGCTTGCCTGGCGGCTCGGTGGCATTGTCCATGCCGGCGCTGCGCTTTGGCGGAACGGAGGGTCGAGGGGGGTCGCGGCGTTGGCGCAATGCCTGCGCAGGTCGTGCGACCGTGGCCGTGGCCATCTTGATGCAGTCGCTGCGCGGAGCAGCGCGAGTAATGCGGCAGTCACGAAAATGGGGAGCGCGGCC